GTGGGCCCAAATGACCTTCGACAGGACACAGTCCGTTCATGAGGAAGCAGTTTCAGTCCGGGATTCTGCTTTCGATACGAATACCTGCGACGAGGAAGTATTTCCCCGGCTTCACCGTTGAACGGAGGCGTGGGACCCGCGGGACCCGCGGGTCCCGGTGACGAGGATCTGCGCCTAAGGGCACCGTTTGCTCACTCCCTAGGCTCCATGACGTCTATGTTTCTAGCCCACTTCGTCAACAAAACGAGCAGGCATAATAACGCTCGGGAAGCCGGAGAAGAAACCTTTCCTTTAACGTATACACAATTCTACTGTCTTGTGCGAAAAGCCATGAGCTAGCCTCACCCTTCTCACGGTGTCTGGTGTCAGTGAGTGTCAATACTTCCATTTGATGAGGAAAATAAGAATCATCTCCCGGTCGGAACGGATATATCGACGCGCTAAAATAGACGCCCCACACGTCCACGCCCGTCTGACCACACAAAATTAGTGAAAACAAGAACGGACTAGCTACGTTCTCATTTCTCCTTTGTCTCGCCACAACTTTTTTACGCTCAGAGACGTTTGCACTATCCTACCAACAGTTGACTTGCGACGTTTAATAAACGCTGACGGCCAATTCTTGCTAACAAGAGGCGGAGGATAACCACCGCACGCAGTGAGTAGTTCATTAGCCACCTCTTCTACAGTAGCTAGCTTAATTAGTACATCTAGTTAGCAAGCGACTTGGTCAATTAATAGCCGGGTTACGCTCGAACCAACGTGAAACTCCTCCTCTTGCACAGCCTGATAATGTTGTATGGAGGATTTCGTACAGCCTGGCTGAGAGGCGAAGAGATTTGATGATTCGGCCATTTCTTGGATGTCTCAGCACTAATAAGACTTTACCCTCCAGATTAGGCGGTTTCTGCGAAGATTCCGTCCAAATTGGTTGCATATTAAGGGACATTTTTGGGTGGGGTGTATAGGACCGGAATGATATGAGCGTGAAGTTCTGCAGCGTATAGTTGACTTCGAAAACAGTCCCCCCCCCCCCCACAACAAGGAGACAGACGCTTTGGTATTAAGTTCGGTTCTAGATTCTCATACGACCAATAATACGGCGTTCTACCTTAGGGAAGGACCTTATCTAGCTAAAGCTAGCCCAGCGTAATCTGCGCGGGGCAACAGAGAAAAAAAGCCTATGTGTGTGGGGAAATACTGTTTTCGAAATCATCCACACCGTGGACGTATCTTCGTTACCATCTAGCTATGAACGTTATTGCTCCTCAGAGTCAACAATTGCTACCGCCCCAATTTTCCCTCGATTCTGCTCCTGTCGGTGTAGAGAATTAGGGGGTCTTTCATTATCCTTGTGGCGCTTACTATCGAAATCTCGTAGTTAAGTACTGAATGACCTTTTTGCGCAACCCTGTTGAATTTTCGCACCTGATCCGTGGTGCCGTTTGCACTTCCTTCAGACAGACCTGTTATACCTACATTCTTTCGCCCCTCCAAATACTCCTATCAGCTGACACAGCAAATTACTTCATCCCAACGGTGTACCTATTCACACATTCGATATTACCGACCCACTTGCGACCAAAGAAGGAAATTTTGCTTCGTTCGATCAACTTATAGGGGGTGTTATCGGCAGAATGCGCAGTCGTTGCCCTAATTTACAGCATTTCTCCTAACCATCCGAATTGCCTTAGAACCTAGAGCGTGAGACTTATGCGACGCATCTGTAGAAAATTAGAGCAAATGTACAGTAGTTTCCGAAATCCAATTGACTGTAACTTACAGTACCTACCTCTCTTGCAACTTCATTCCCGGATAATGAACCCGAGATACCCTAACCTATTTTAGTTCAACGCTAGATCAACGGCAGAAGCGCAACCCTAATGCTTAGTGATCAGAGTTCTGAAACTGGATCCGTTGTTACTTCTCACACTGTCAGCTAGCTCGGGTATATTGTGAATACAATATCCTCTCAAAGTTTACACATGCGGCCACCCACACACTTCTTATATTTTATGTCATTCTGTCGGGCAAATTCCGTGTAATTTACGACGCTGTCAGTAATAGGGCTCGATTATTTCGAGAAAATTTATCACGTTCTAAATCACATGATTCAATGGCGAGATAATAAAGTCTGCCGTGCCGTGTCTGGTACACCGATTTAATAGGTGCATTCAGAGTGTCTGAAACTTAGCGATAAAGATGCGCTGTACGAAAGACCTGTAACTGTATTTAGGGATACGTGATGGTATGTAAAACGCAAAGTACCCCACATGGTGGCGGAGTGATTAATTATGGATCTCCCCCGCTTTTCAGCAGGTCCGTTTTAGCTTTATTGTCGGCTAGTTATATTCCGCTCCCTCGCCTCCAGGTCTTATCTAGCCGTCTCCTCTTGCCCTCGACTACCTTCAGGAATCAGTCATGTCGCCCGGTTCTGGAGGTAATGCAGTCAGGTTTCCTCGGCAGAGGGTACGGTTACCCTACCCTCGTTCAAAATCCGGATGCCTAGTTTGTCGACGTCAGCACAAGAAATGTGATGAACGTCGTCCAGCGTGTTCTCGCTGTTTGGCAAAGGGGAAGGATTGCCAATGGCCATTTGCTGCTCGGCGTGAGGTCGATCTCGAAGAATCACCGCCCGTCCATGACGCTCCGTCTCCGATACGGGAAGTCCCTTCTGATTCAAGCCCCTGCAGGGTTGAACTGTTCCCCTCGACCTCCACCAACGATGCTGTAGAGTTTGAGGAAGAGGTATTGCGTCTCCTTGCACCACCAGGTTGCTCCTTGGGCTCTGTGTCTTCCATGTTTTTAGCCCACTTTGTCGGCGAGACCAGCAGATACATGACTACAGTGAGCCCGGAGAAGAATCCGTTCCTAACGCATATTCTCCCTCTGGCTTTTTCTGAGGAGTTGGTGCTTCATTCATTACTAGCCCTTGGAGGGGCACACTTGGAAAGTAGGCAATCCTCTCCCGAAATCAATACATGGGTATGCCGACACTATGGACGAGTCATACATCTACTACAAGACACCATTTCGCGAAAATCGGACCAGCTAATTGACTGGCTTCGAGCTTCTCTTGCTCTGTTGATGCTGTACCTTTTTGGAGTATGTTCACTGCCTTTTACTTAATCAATCTCTTCGAACCCCTTACTGCGCATGTAACATCGGCAAACTGGCGCTGATTGCCATAATAAGGCTTGATATTACAGACCTGACTCTTTATTCACTAGGTTTTCAATTCCTTGCACTCTGGAGGCGCAATTCTACATATTCGAGCCGGGAAGAAAGTTATCCCAAAACTGTTGAATGCTGCTTCATCGGAAACGAATAGTATGCGAACACTATGCGGTATAACATTCGAGTTATACACCTACCTGTCGCTTATAGCCACCCCTACCCCTTACGACAATGGGACACCATCCGAGCTGGATACTCGCAACTCCCTTTTGCTGTCCTGGGAACTTCTCAAAGGCCATGCAGGTTTTGGCGTCATCGTTTCTCCAATACATCGATACTTGGAGATTATCCCGCATGTGGTTGCCCTTTGCACACGCCGCCAATCAGAATTGACCTTCAACGAATGTTCTGCGGAAAGCTTGATGCTTTTCAATGACCTGATCGCTATCATTGATACTATAGGCTGTGAGGATGGTTCGAAATCCGCGCCAAATCTCGAAGCCTGTCATAGTCTTTTGATCGCCGCAGTTTATCATCATGCCTTGATAATCTTTGCACACGACGCTATGTGGTGTGGTACCATTACCAGTGACGAGTCCCGCCTATCGATAGTTCGTCAGCATGCTCTTGGTGCGCTGAAATTATTACCAGCTTTGATGAACACTGATTACCGGAACTTACTTCTGTGGCCAACTCTCGTGATTGGATCTTGTCTTCTCCACGAAGAAGAACTCGATATACTTCGATCGTTATTGTCTATTAGGCAGCCAATATCTGTGATTATTAAGATGAGAATAATGCTTGAGAGACTGTGGGCTGAGAATGACCCTGTCTACTTTGGACCCTATGGATTGCAAAAATATATGATGGTACATCAGACTGTTATCTATCTTGCATAATCTGGTACTTTGGGTCTATTATGTCGACACATGTATTATAACACGCTGTGAAATTTCAACAGAATGGCAATTTTGGCTTCACTTATGGAGAGATGATACACTATGCGGTATTTTGTGTGCCGTTGTCAGACTGTTCCCTATTTCCATACTTTGCAGCCCACCTATACCCACGTTTCGATTCCATTGAAGTCAAATGCGGTCTAACAGGTTCTCAATCTGACTGTTCCGGTAAAAGCCCGCGGGGACACCGAAAAGTGGCTCTAACTCTGAACCAATTGGCAAAGACAATTGACAAAACGATGCCAAAGATCGCTGGTGCCCAGTTCATTGTATCCAACGTCACAGGCACATATTGGGGGAAGCAAACAAATAAGGCGCTGATAATCATCCAGCATATTGCGATAATATTGATGACAGGTCCAGCGGCTCTGAGATTAAAGAATCTGTTTGAAGGAAGATTTCGGAAATTAGCCAGACGCAGGCAAGTTGGCATGGCGTAGGAAGTGGTAAAGCAAACCACCGAAGCGCCGAATAGCCCATTTAAGACAGTGAGGGGCGCAAAGCAAAGGATAGAGAAGAGCGCACAAGCCCCACATGATGCAAGTACAGCGTTGAAAGGTGTCTGGTAGCGATCGTTGACTGCTGAGAGCAAATTCTCGAACGGCAAGCCTCCCACTTTCGCGAAAGACCAAATAACCCTGCTGCAACCTGTGATAATGCTGATAAGTCCGTTAAGTGTCATGATCCAGTATATCAGGCAGACAACAATAACGAATGCTTTTGATGGCAAGGCATCCCAGCATATCTGAAGAATAGGCATACCCGCCAATGGTTGGAGGAGGTTTTCTGGGTGGGTTGTACAGAAAATTAAGGAAATGACCATTATCAAACTGCCAATAGCAGAGAGAATAGCATTCGCTAGCATCACAATTGGCACCTGCCTCTGTGGTTGGGGAAGCTCTTCTGCCATGTGGGCTGCTGTATCAAACAAGCAGACAGTCATCATGCCAGGAAGGAGACCCAGAAAGAATACCAGTCCGTCTGATGACCAGCCAGTCTCATTGACAACATCCATAAATGCTGACTTTGCAGAGGCTTTTGGATGCACGGTAGCCAGCAGGGCGATGCAGATAAACAAGGCTGCAATATTTAAAAAAACAACCATAAAAGCTGTCAAATTTGGCACCATACTGATGAGCAGCGTGTTCAATATGAATGCGACAATTAAGACAGTGATGACGAGAAGAAAGATCTGCCACGAAGTAGGCTCGTATGTGTCCGAAACCAGTTGGCCAAAGCTGGCAATAAAATCAGCCGCGAAGACCGCGGTTCCAGCTGAAGCGAAGATCCATCCAAATGTTGTCATCGCACCATTCAAGTAGCTGAGAAAGCGCGCATACTGCGGTGGACTTAGGATGGCAGTCCAATATATTTGCCCTTGAAATGTTGAATAAGATTAGCAAGATCACAGAATTTGGCCGTGGATGGAGCCTTACCAGAAGTATGCGGATAGGCACTCGACAGTTCGGCTAAGCTCAGGGCTACCAGAAGTTGCCCGATTACAGCAACAAGGAAGCCCCAGAAGTAGAAAGGGCTACCCCCAACGCCGGTTATGAGAGTGGTATAGCCAGCGATTCCAAGAGGTGCTGCGGTGACGGAAAATTGAATACCTATGGTGCTCCACAGGTTGAACCGATTATTGTTAAGCTGTGTCACCTCACACATTTGGCCCTCCCGCCTTGTCTCCACAGTATCGAGAGCTGGGTGAGGTGGGGCTTTTTCGTCAAGCATCGCGAAGGTCTTGATCTGTATGTTGTATCTTGGGCTCCTACCACACTTGTGAAGAAGATTTTTGTTGTCTAGAGAAATTCGATAAGGTATCTACGCTATGAAGATTCACAGACTGTCTAGAGAGCGGTAACATATATACTCTACGAGATGTTGGCCTGATTCAGTAGACTTTGGGTGAACGTACCCCGCGTTTAAACCAATAGACTTATCTACGCGCCAAAATTTTATTACCGATACTGTCTATAATTCCTATCTCTAGGGAGCTCTAGCTGAATTTGCGGGGTATGGAGAAGGAATCACCATCAGTGGGAATTCAGCAGAAGCCTCACGCCTGTGGCGTGAACAATGCTTAAACAATAGAGTTCCACATTTTTCAGGTCATCTGACAGCTGCCTCTATTTGCCACAGCCCCCTAGGTGGTTTTCAGATACCAATAGGAATTCCCTTTGGAGCGCGTAGATAAAGCTTCTGTTCTCACCATGGTAATTACGATAACTACTAGATGTATCATAAGCGAGCTAAAATCCGATTCCTTTAATATTCATAAATGAATGGCTTGTTGTTTTCAACATATTTATAATATGTGATTTGCTATGTCCAGAACTCATGAACATAAACAAAAGTTCTTCCAGTTTCCAACAAGAATGACTTAGATTCGAGACTTAATACAATGCAAGTATCTCTATTGAGCGTTGAGAATGAGCCCACTTAGTTATGAATTCTAAAATGTGCCAATTCTTCACAATATAGCCTCGCGTTATTTGACTTGGGTCAAGCGTGGCTATAGGAAATTCAAGTAGCGTGCCGCTCCATAGAAATTATGCGACCCTTTTGACGCCCGTATTATGGCCGTATACAAACTAAATCACATACTTCAAAGATGTCAACTAGCTTTTTCCCACCAGGAAATGACATTATGGAACTTACTGGGATAAACAGGTAGGGGACTTCCCTCTCATAGCGAGCCCAAGCCTCCCCATACTTTCTTCGGCACTTGTTAATATCCCTCTTGGTTCGATGGATAATCATAACCATGAAGAAAAGGAAGTAAAACCAAGGAAATGGACTCCTAATAACGGCATATTAGCTATCACAGTTCATATTTAAATGATAGGGAGATACATACCTGAAACCGGTGATTAAACCCCAGCACATGGAGAAAAACATGTCAGGAATATAGTTTGGTTTCCGGACTATTGCGAACCAGCCATCAACCATTATGCTATCGCCCGTGTCGGTTTCAATCGTTTTTGGGTTTTCGATCGCCTGCCATGGCACCTGAGGAAATGTATTCCGTTTCACGAGTTGTCCCTTTTCCTTGTGGCGAAATGCATTTTTTTGACCATTTGCACTGTCCCACATCCAGTAGAAGAAGATATACATGGCAGATAATAGTGCGAGTTTGTAAGGGTTCCATTGATATTCGGATGGGTCATTATTAGCCAGGTAAAGGGCACAATGACAATAGGTGAAAGGCACGCCAGCCATATTCCAGAATGTGAGCAAAAACCCCAGTTTTTCGAAATACATATCCCTTTTCCCTTCAGCTAAGCAAAACTTGAATTTGAATATTTGGGTAGACTCACCAGCTTGTAATAATCATTTGCTCAGCTTTGGCGCACGCATTGACGTACAGGTAATGTGCTCCAGCCAGGAAGATAACCTCGGCGGGAATATAGCCATAAGTTTCGTGAAGGCGAGCAGCGGCGGAGCAGGTAATGAGGAACAAGATAAACCACGGGATTCTCACCTCGTAAAACATCTTGAAGTCCAGGATACCAATGCGAGGATTCAGTTCCGCACCCATGAAGAAATCATAAACAACAGAGCCTGACAGCCTGTGGGTGCGCCCACGTACTATAGCTCGAATATAAACAATAAAACTGTTCAAGAAACCTGACAAGATGGCAACACTCATAATGGGTCCAAACTCGTCAATCAACGTATACATGGGAAACACACGAGTAACGTGGAGCACAATGATGATAGCAAGGGTCGCATAGAAGCTGCAATAGGCGGAGCAGTAGTATAGAAGCCTTTTCCCACCTTCATGCTGCAGCGGCCGACCCAAGTTCCAGACACCAGGCATATAACAGTACATAACTGCCTCCATGATAAAAAACGTCCAGTAGATAGCCCATGCTTTCGCGGACGGGTAGGCTCCCTCATAGACCAATTGGCACAAATGACAGATGAAGTCAGGCCAGGATTGGCCGGGGTCAGGGAAAGGAAGCATACCGTCATAGTATGTTGCACCAATCCACATGTACCACATCAAGAGAGGAAACCCCGTCATCAATAGCACAGCACCCACTGGACCACCGAACTCAAATTCATTGGATACACCATCTGTGAATCTATTTGTGATTCTTGACGCACTCTCTTTCGCCCATTGACCAGGCAGATCAGGGGTATGAGAGTTTCTTTGCCTCGCGGCCATTTGGAGCGATTGATTCGATATCAGAGTTGGACAGTGCGCTGGCGGTGATCACAAGTCCTTGAATGTTTATTTTCAAGGGTGCAGCTCTTCAAGGGTACGACTTAAATCTTATGATGTGTACGCAAAATTCATCTCAGGTGGATCCATTGTCATTGCAGGGCCGAGGAACCGAGGTTCCTTCTTGCCCTGAGACAGACAGCGATGCCCAGGGGCCTGGATGGACCACACTTTGACCAATGGTCCTTTTGATTTGGACACAAGTTTCAGCCGTGTATAATTGCCGGCAACTAGGCGAGTCCCACTAACCTTGCGCCTAGATAGTATGCGGGTGTCAATAGTGATGAAGAGAATATCGGTTCAAGCAGGTGGCGAGTGAACAAAATTGAAGTGGGGTAATCTGTTTCGGCGTACTTGTATGGGTAGGATCGAGCGACTAGATAAGCGATGATAGCCGCCGCTACAAGTTGGGTGGGTCATAATCGGTGTAGAGAAGAACGACCAGGAAGATTATGCTATTATCGTTCATCTCTGGTTAGTAGGTGTATTTCAAGTTATATATACTGTGGTCAAATGCGGTTTTGTTCAAGATACTTTGTTTTCCACCACTAAGTTCGAAGTAATCGCGGCGATGATCAGTCTGCAACAGTTATCATTCTTGACTATCCTCGAGGTTGTTCTTCTCATCTACGGTGTTCGATGGGTCCTGATCTCGTTGATTCATGCCCAGCGAGCTCGGCAAATGGGGTGTAAGCCCGCCTTTGTCCGACCGAGCAAACTTCCGCTGGGTATTGATATTGTGAAACGATATATGGATACGACAGAGAAGCAAATCCTTCAAAATGATGATTTGCTGCTTTACGAAGAGCTGGGCCGACGCCCGACGTGGAATCAAAACCTCCTTGGTACTTGGCACCACATGACAACAGACCCAAAGAATGTGCAGGCTATGCTTGCGACACAGTTCAAAGATTTTGAGCTTGGCCCTTTTCGGCGTAACATGTTCAACCCGGTCATTGGGAAGGGCATTTTTACTACTGATGGGGCGGATTGGTATGTGACTTATTAATAGTCTCAGAGGTTATGTGTGTTGATGTTGAATATAGGCAACACTCTCGGTCTCTTCTTCGCCCACAATTCACTCGAGGCCAAGTTGCTAATCTGCGACTGGAAGAACAGCACTTCCAGCACCTCCTCAGTCGTCTCCCAGTTGAATCTGACTCGTGGACGTGTACTGTGGATTTAGCGCCCTTGTTTTTCAATCTGACTCTTGACTCCGCAACTGAATTTCTCTTTGGACAGAGTGTGAATTCTCAAGTCACCTCATCGAAGAAAATTCAGGACCTCAAGCCTGTGAAGTCCACACAAGATGGTCCCCCTGACGGATACTCTTTTGGTCAGGCTTTTGACCGAGCCAATGGAGTGGTCGCGTACCGAAGTAGGCTGATGAGTCTGTACTTTCTCTACAATCCTGCACAATTTCGCAAAGATTGTGCAGAAATCCAAAACTTTGCCCGTTTTTATGTCAACCTTGCTCTTACTGGGGGCCTGAAACGCGGGGAGAACAAAGCCGTCGAAGAGGACCAAAATGACTCTGGCTACGTTTTTCTTAGAGAACTTGCTAAGGAAACGCAGGATCCCGAAGAGCTTCGTACTCAGCTTCTCAACATTCTACTGGCCGGTAGAGACACTACTGCGGGTCTTTTAGGATGGACTTTTTATCTACTTTCACGTCATGTGGATGTTTATGAAAAGCTACGTACCGTTGTCATTGAAACATTTGGGAAATTTTCCAGTACCAACACCATTACTTTTGAATCCCTGAAGTCATGTTCCTATCTGCAGCATGTTTTATCTGAAGTTCTACGACTTCATCCAGTTGTTCCTGAGAATGGTCGCCGCGCGGTCCGAAACACTACACTCCCTCGTGGGGGCGGCCCAGACGGTACTTCGCCAATCTATATCCGCGCCGGAGAAGATGTTGGGTACAACGTGCATGTTATGCATCGCCGGAAGGATATCTGGGGTGATGATGCTGAGCAGTTTCGTCCTGAACGGTGGATAGGACGCAGACCGGGATGGGAATATTTACCTTTCAATGGTGGTCCGAGGATCTGCTTGGGACAGCAATTCGCTCTCACTGAGGCTGGATATGTGGTCGTGCGGATGCTACAGCGATTCGACAAAGTGGAAAACATGGACCCGTCAAGAGTGGTCAAACATAAGTACACGTCGACCACTGCCCCCGTTCAGGTCCTTGTGCGACTACATGGCAGTTCCTAATGAACAGTAGATAAGTGCGCGTGGGTAAATTGGCCAAGCGCTTTCAAATTTCTAGAGAATGGAGAAATTCAAGTCTGAAAAGGAAAACCCTGCGAGATAATCCTTGCAAATTACAAAGTCTACCAAAGCATACCAAAGCATACCTAGACAATTTGACCAAATGAGTTTGTGAACCCGGAACGCCTAAAGCTTGATCTGGAGGGTCCAAATCAATTCTTAGGTCCGAACCAGCAAGCATGTACCAACATGTAAACATGATGGCGAGGAGAGACTGCCAAAATGATCAGAACATGCTATTGATTCACAAAGGAGGTTCTATGAGAGAATGTGGCTAAGGAGCAGGTTGAGGTCTTGGCTGCGTAAATAAGTATTTGAGTTACCATGGTAGAACCGAAACGTTACCCACATACAATACAGTGCCAACACAAGTGACTAGGCGGAACGCATACATTACTATTACTTATCACCCCATATTTTCACGTTTTATCGTCCCAGTATTGAGTACGCTGTCACTAGATGCTTTATCCCGCTTGCATTCTGTTTGGAACACGCTGGTGGAAAAAGTCCTAATTTCTTTATGATATAACTTTGATGCGCTGCCTGACTAGGATCGTTCATGACTGGGATCAAATTTAATGGGCTTGAATACGTGAAAATACTTCAGGTGAACAGGTATAACAGGACTAATTTGTAACCGGAGAGAACCTTGGTATTGAAGATAAATCACGTAAAAGGTACAGCTCGGGACATTGTCTACATCGGCATTGAGGTGTTTCTCGGGGTCCGAGGGCACCGAAGTTTAAACTACAGTTTCGAGCGGGGTAGTAGGCCCTGGTAGACACCAAAGTGGGTGGGTTATCAACCACTCATGATTATATTCAATTCTGAGTGTTCCCGGCACCAACCGAGAGAGCCAACTTCAACCAAGATAGCAAATATACGAATTCCGAAATGTGTTCCCAGAAGTTAGGGGTAGTCTGGCATTGGAATGATGCCAAGGGCAGCAAGGAGGATCCCTGGCAAAATCCAAAGCAGCGTCTAGATAAGAAAACGAACTAGGTCATGTGGGGTAGATGACGTACAGCAGAGATAAGAGTCAAGCGAGTGCGGTTAGCGATTAGATTGGAGATCCGAGACTACCGCCTGTAATCAAAACGTGCCCACTCACACGGCTCAATGGCGAAAGTAAGAGAAGCCATTGTGTTGGGCTGAAGGAGAGGGCGCTGGAAAGCCCTTCTGGTTGTTTGATGAATCTTGGCAAAATTCATGATGTCCTCTATAAATAAACGATGCTCATTGACGGGATTCCCTATCCATACGTATATCACTTGTCGGGCTGTTGACATAAAGCATTATTTGACTCTCCTGGATTATCGAACTTCATTCACCATGACTCCAATCTCTGTTCCTCACGTGACGCCAACAGACGATCCAGAATCAATCACCCAATCCCTACGCGAATGCGGTGTCCTGATCATCAGAGGACTTCTGTCGAGAGACCAGTTGCAGGAGTTGAATCACGAACTTGACAAACCGTTGGAGGCCATCCAGTCGGGCTCCAAACACAAGGTCGACAAGATCCAAGACTTTCACGGCAGCAATACAAAGCGCCTCACAAATGTTACAACCCACAGCAAGATATTTCGTCATCAAGTGCTTGAGAACGAATTAGTCCACGCCGTGGCTGAGAGGGTTTTCCACCAAGACTCTGGGACGTACTGGATGGGTGCTGCTCAAGTGATCCAAATCGGGCCTGGCAACAAAGCTCAGGTGCTTCACCGGGATCAAGGCCAGTATCCAATCTTCAATCTATTGGGCGCGAAGGCACCGGAGGCGACTATCAATTTCCTCATCGCCCTGACAGACTTTACTGAAGAGAATGGCGCCACCAGAATCATCCCTGGATCTCATATGTGGGAAGACTATTCCAACATGGGGTCACCTGACCAAACGGTTCCTGCCATTATGAAGGCCGGCGATGCTGTCCTGATGAGTGGCAAGACAGTTCATGGTGGTGGTGCCAATAAAACTAAAGATGAGAACCGTCGTGGCTTAGCTTTCACACTACAGTGTAGTTATCTGACGCCAGAAGAAGCGAATCCGTTCATTATCGGATTGGATACCATCAAACAACTATCCCCTAGAGCGCAGCGGATATTGGGATTCCGTTCGCAATTCCCGAAATTTTCGCCTGGACTATGGCAATCCGACTACTCCGAGCTTGCAGACGTTATTGGCCTATCGGGGGAAGATGCAGCCCTTGAACGCTTGAAACGGGAAAACAAAGTGACATTCTAGGTCATAAATTGGTTATGCGCCTTTGCGGGCGGATGAATTATTATGGATCGTCTAATGAAGACTTCAGTCCTTTCTGCCGAGTTATCACTTCATATGTTTTGTCCAGCAATCTCGGCCATCATACATCATATCACGTGTTGATTTCATAGTGATGCATGTCAATTGTACGATACTCTCCTCTCTGAAATCGAATAGATGTAAATACGTTTGAAATGACCACAGTCGTTCAACACTATACTTCCCAACAAGCTGTTTCCTAAAGCGATGAATTGCATTTGTATTGTTAAATTTATTATCGGAGTGCCCGATTTTTCTAGATAATCTTAACTTAGCTGATTCGGCAGCTGTGGCATTAATTCCTGCTTTAAATTGATATACCACTTCATTGACATAATATTCTCAGATCTCTTTCGTCTTGATTCTTGAGTACCCCATGACTTGGACAAAACTTGTTTCTCTTCATCATTCCTATTGCATGATAATTTGCTCTCGAGCTACTCTCGTTGTGACTTTGGCAACCTACAGTTTTGCGGTCATGTGTAACGCTTCTTCCACCAGTTCCACGGCATCTTGAGCACACCCAAATGATGACTGATAACCAGCTCCACCGGCGCCATAGTTGTGGACTACCCATGTGTCACCAATGCGTTCCTTCTCCACCCTTGTTCCCCCTTCGCGCACTGGTCTCAACCCGACGCCGTGCCTTATGATATCAAGGTGTTCAATGCCTTTTCCACCAGTAAGGGATGGGCACAGCTCAACTGCCCTCTTCATGATTCTGACAGCAAGGCTTGGGTCAACCTGGGAATCCCAATTACCCTTCTGGTAGGACCCACCAAGGACAGTACCACCGCCTGCGGCCCTGGTCATGACATAGCAAACTTCTTCACCTCCATCGTCAGTCCCGGATATACCAACCATTTTGCTCGCATCATTACGAACAATCACGATCTGCCCGCGAACCGGTACCACCGACTTGTCTTCGACCCCACCCAGCTGGGAGGCCATTAGACCAGTACAATTGACTATCAAGTCGATTGAGTCTCCCAATTGATCACCGACGGAGCGGGCTTCCAGTACATGTTTGAAATCAGCACGTGTGAAACGCACGCCGTTCTTCAGGCATTCAGATACGAGCCAAGGAAGATATATAGCGGTGTTAATACAGACGGAGGTAAAACTAGTGCCAGCGTCCACTCCGGGGCCGAGTTTGTCTTTGGAAATGCTTCGGAACTTTCGGTGAGTTAGTGATCGCTCTCTACACAAGGCATTGCACCGAGAAAACAGAATTACAACTCACGTTGGGAATAATCTCCTTAAACCAGGGATTGGGAGCCAGCAACTCGGAAAACCATTCTGCTGTGGCGGAGCCTTTATCTTTGGATCGGCTATAAATTTGGCATTCTGTTCATATGTTTAGCATACCGTCTTGGAAGGAAATACCTGGACCAAGCCTTACGTACCTTGTATGTGTATGCCTGAATCCGGTCGGTTGAGTGCAAGGTCTAGCAGACGTGCCCATGTCTTTTTGTCCCATTCTGCTGCTTGCGTTCCACGCATTGAGACCCTAGGCATTTCTTGTGAGTCGATGACTATGCGAAATGTATGTATTATAGCTCGACCCACGGCATGTAATTTGCACCAGCCCATGGTGAGGCATATTCGATGTCATAGTCGCCGGGCATGTGCTTAGCAGCTACAATGATCCGGTATCCGCTTCGCTCAGATAGGAGGAGTGCTGTAGTAAGTCCTGCAACCCCAGCCCTGTAAAGAATGAGTTCCTTTTTTTCCTTGTTTTTTTTGAATATCGGGTATTGTCACTGCGACATTGCCAACTTACCCAATAACGACGACGTTCTTCGGTGACATACTTCGACTTTGGCGGTCGCTGAGTTGTAAGCAGTCAATCGATTTCGATATATTTGCGACGGAAGAATTCAACACCAAGGTCAGGCAGACTTTAATTTTAAATTCGATAGGTATATTTGGGTACTAGGAACGAAGATGCGTCAAAGTCGCGCATAAACTTAATAATATGTCGGCCTGGCTCGGGCGGATATTGCTGAAATTTGTGTTCCGGGACCGCTTAGTCGGAACCTCGCAAGTCGGGTTACCCCAGGTCTTATCTAGCCGCCCCTACCAGTAGCCGCCCGTTATCTATGCGGCGTTACCATTTACACCTAGAACACCTACATAGCCAAATCTGATGTTGACTCACGTGACTACGTGGCTTAAAGGATATAGCGTTGTATGTCAAGGAAATATATAATCACTCCCATGGCCTCTATCCAAATCGTGAGCACAGCATCCGTCAAAGTATTTCCGTGGAGTGAAATCATTCCCCCCCCCCAACATACTAGTCGTCATTTCTTTGAACTGTTTGACACAATTCGCTTCAATATGGCCTCTATGGATGCAATTCTAGGAGGGTATGAAAACCGACAAGCCAAACTTGAGGCATGCAACAACCCTTTTTCTCAAGGAATTGCTTGGGTCGAAGGCGGCTTATTTCCACTGGGGGAGGCACGCATTCCACTTCTCGATCAAGGTTTTCTGCATAGTGACCTTACATACGACGTTCCAGCTGTCTGGGATGGACGTTTCTTCCGCCTTGACGATCATATCGATCGATTGGAATCCAGCTGCAAGAAATTGCGTCTCCAGCTCCCTCTATCGAAGCCAGAAATCAAACGCATCTTGGTGGAGATGGTCGCTAAATCTGGCATTCGCGATGCTTACGTGGAACTTATCGTTACCCGCGGCCTCAAATTTGTTCGCCAAGCCGACCCGAAAGATATTGTCAACAGGATGTACATGTTTGTGCAGCCTTATGTCTGGGCCATGCCGCCTGTCTTGCAACGGACCGGTGGGAAAGCTATTATAGCGAGAACGGTCCGCCGTGTCCCTCCTGGGTCGATGGATCCGACGATCAAAAATCTGCAATGGGGCGACTTGATACGCGGACTGTTGGAGGCCGTCGATCGGGGTGCTAACTATCCTTTCTTAACTGATGGTGACGCAAACTTGACTGAAGGGCCGGGATATAATATTGTGCTTGTTAGAGATAGCATTTTATATACCCCAGATCGAGGCGTGCTTGAGGGAGTCACTCGCAAGACTGTCCTAGAACTTGCACAGAAAAACGGCATAACTACCCACGTTCAAGTTGTCCCGGTTGAGATGGTCTTCCAAGCGGATGAGATATTCATTTGCACAACTGCCGGAGGTATTATGCCTATCACATCAATTGATGGCCAAACTATCAATGAGGGTGAAATCGGGCCTGTCACTAAGCTAATCTGGGATGGGTATTGGAACCTGCACTATAGCCCTACTCACAGCTTTGCAATCACTTATGGAGACGTGCAAGAGAGACTGTAAAGGTTTTTCAATGGGAATCTTGCATTAAGCATGCCTCGATCTAAACATTCTCTATTTACTAGCATATCTTCCTTTGTTCAAAATGCCGCAGAGCTTTCGAAGTGTCACTCCGATTTCCATTCATGTAAACTGAAAGTCTATTACTATTATAGATGGGTACTTATTTTTAATCCAGTTTTTGACTTAAATCCTGGTCTGTGTATCGTATAGAGAAATTTTTTCAAGCTTGCATTGACTAAATAGCGATATAAGACGCCCACAACCACAACATGAAAGGGCCGTCCCATCGTGGCAATATTGAAGGCTCTCTCTGTAAGTTTGGTTACCTAGTCTCTTCAGATAATCATACTATTTAGTTACTATGGGATTGAAACAATGCGACGGATAGCATGCACGGCGACGTGACATAGTCTGTCTAAAGCGTTCGGGCCCAGTCGAGTAGAGATAGCTACGTCTGCAGCGCTTGTCCATGATTTTCTAGCTTCCAACAGAGGAAGCACCTACATGGCCATTGAGTTTAAGCTCTTCTGTGCTGTACTGTATTATAAAATGAAGAATTGTCGCTTGGATTGGAAGATAGGATGCTATCCTGCTAGTGGCGTTGTCAAGTTTTCGGTTTCCGCGGATGCCGGGGTCCAGCTGGCCAAATGCTTGGATGGTTTGATTTCTCTTCCCCTTTTTGATTGAAGTGTCTTAAATGAATTGTTCTGCTGTGACCAAGGCTACATCCATATCTACTTCATGCACGCTCTTTCGAAACCTACACCAATGTCTAATTCCCCCCCTTGAATGTGCAACTTTCATTTCAATTTCTCATTAACTCAACGAGTATAGGTGTGTTGGTATGTTTATACGTTTTCTAAATCATCCATTAACCGTCATCTCTGCATGGCTGATCTTAAGAATAGTGCGAGACGTCCGAAGGTCAGGACATGATATTCGAATATCATTCGATATGGAGTCAAAATTTTGCGATCAATCTGAAAGAAAGGAGGTAGTGGAACATAAGCAACGAAAAGCAATGAGATCATGCAGAAATTGTCAACGATCACATAAACGCTGCGGTAAGATACTTGGGCCTATCGGCTTCAATACAATCCTACTTCACTCGATACATTACAGAGAAAAGCTATTAACTTACTTTTTAGACAACTTACTGCCATGTACTCGGTGTATCAAGCGGGGAATATCGCATTCGTGCGTTGAAGGAACCCGAAAAAAGCCTCATTTTATCCAATACTCGGTAAAAGAACCCAGGTCGACCTTCAGCGACTGCAGAAAACTCGATGTAACAACTGGAGAGGAACACAAATCGAATTCTTCTCAACCGAAGTCTGCGGTTAGCCTACCTGGCCCTGATCGAATTGTGCTTGATAAGTCCGTGTTATGTGGCCCTGGATATAGCCATGCTCGCTCAGAGCATGCAAATATACAACCTAGCTCTGCTGTGCCAGGAAACGATCCAATGGCCTCCGATACGCAGTGCCCTAACTTGGATACTCGGGGCCGCAGCTTTCGCGGTCTGAGTTGTCATACTCGCACATCTGAAGTTTCTGAGCACGCAGTGCAATACCGCGAGCAGAATTTCCCAACCAAGTCAACAATCCATGAGATGAAGGCGTGTGAGAACACTAGGGTATTATTTGTGCACCCCGGACATTTGCATATGTTTCCTGACCAAACGATGCCTTGCGGATTCACTATCCCAAGCGGTTGGGCGAATACGTTTTTGTACCCGGACTGAAAGTGCTAGGTGCTGACAGAATGCAGAATCTTATTATTTGATTGGTATGGTGTCGTCTGGGCACTAAGCAAGCAACTTGAGCCCAGCTCACCCCTCTCACCCGGGCGGCAGCCACCCGACTATCTGCCGCACATAAGCCACACGCCGGCTAGTTAGTAGTATGGTGGGTGACCACATGCGAATCCTGGCTGTTGTATGTTTTTTTGCAGATTTTGTTGATTAGATAGGATTAGATTAATTCATCAGTTCTTACCGCTTCGCTCTTCAGACCCTTCTCGCCCCTTCGCCTGGACTCCAGGAATATCCCTGCAGCGCTGACGAGGCCCCCTGTCAGAAATTTCTCTCTGTACTACCCTTCGTCCAGCTCACCTCACACGTCTCCTTCCATCTTCTTCTTTTTGAGGGAAACAATTCAGTCCGACAGTTTGAAAAGCTATATTCGACAGTTGATATCGGTTCAAAGGACAATTTTGCAAAATGAGACCCACTGTTGCGGGTGCGTTTGTGGCATCGGTACCTCGTTCTAACTTACGTGGTTTGTATCCAAGTAATCAGCGATAGATCGCGGCCATACTTTGATGCCTCACTCATTTATAGACGTTCCACATAAACATTTTCCATCCTCCGGTTGAAGAGTGGCACGATATGTAACAGAACTATTATCTTTGCAGATGAACTAAAGCACCTTCAGGGCTTGTCTCCCATCATGGTATCGCAGAGAAATTTTGCTAAGGAAGAATATTGACTGACTACTCTCTGTGTCATAACCGTCCCCCTGTGAGAGAAATGGGTTTCATTCTGCATGTTGACCTGGCTCTCATTAGAGTCATGCGACTTCTTTGATTGGGTGGCTCTCAGCCTCTTGAGCTCCTCTTTGTAAACCAGTTACTAGTTGTTGTACATAAGATGTTGCTTGATGGTCACCAATTACTCCCAATTACGCTGCCACTCGCGGCTCGGTCAGCATAATAACCCAATGGTAAGCCTTGACCAGATCCGAATTTCTTGTCTTTTCTTCCAGTTTCTCATGCTCTGCAATCATGTAGACACTACTGGCCGAATAAGCGACACCTTGACAAGCTGGGTTAAGAGCACAGATAGCCAGCATCCCGCTAACCCTACGCGACGAACCCACGCTTTCAAGATGCTTTTTGGGCTGGTATTTCCGGCAGTGGACCCGAAATTGAAGTGACCCAACGGAGACAATGCTGCCGTCTGAATCCGGACAACTGGCGTTATCCATGTAGTCATCTTTGATCAAACGACTAGGAAGGTCGGGTGTTGTGGCACCGATGCCTCCCTCGCGTGGAGAAACCGGAACGAAACTGAATTCTGTACTATCCGCCCACCCAAGTGGAGGATATTCCCAATCCATCGTCATACGACACCGGCTGAGGTGAGTCTCATAGTAGACTCCCTGGCAGCTTCGATCAACTGTACAGGCTCCCATACAGTCCCCGAAATTCTTCGATTCAACGTAGTCGTCCGTGTAACGACCACGAGGTCTAGCGCCACAAAAGGCTTCGTAAGTCACACCAAACGCTGTCGCTCGCTGACCGTGGAGTGATGGGCACTTTTGCTTTGAGAATGCTTCAAATTCAGACGTCGAGTTGTTCTGCGGACCAATTTTCTGGGGTTTTGGCTCTGGTCTGGATTCTGCCTTCAATTTTTCGTTCTCTCGCTCGAGCTTTTCCTTGGCCGCTTGGTCGTCTTTCGCCTTTTGGACGCGCTCATCGTCTTGTTTCTTTAGCTTCTTGTTCTCCTGCGCAAGCTCTTCCTTCTCCCGCTCGAGCTTTTCCTTGGCCGCTTGGTCGTTCTTTGCCTTTTGTGCATGTTCGAAATTTTGCTTCTTCAATATCTCTTTCTCCTGCTCGAGTTGGTTCTGGGCTTTCCGGTGTTCTTCACGCATTGTATCTTGGTCGCTCTTGCATTTTGCTGCTGCGTTCAGTTGTGCAGTTGCACACTGTGCTTGAAGTCGCTCCTCCAAAGAAGCCTTTTCTTTTCTAAACCATTCCTTATAGTCGCTCCCATATAGAGGATGCGAAAATTGATTATTGCATTTTTTCTCGATTTCTTTGGTGTAGTGGGCGTGAAGCCTCTGTTCCAAGAGCGCTATCTGCTTCTTGCAACTTTCTGTCTCTTCAGCTTTGCAATTGGCTATTTCTGTATGAATTTTCTCGTTGCAGGACAGGTAATCCTTCCATCCATTATCGAAAGGTCCCATGCTGTAATCTGGCTTTGCATGGAAGCTTCCAGGCCTGCTAGAGAAGTCGGAGTACTGGTATAGCCAATATGGATCGAGATCATGTTGGCATAACCAAAGGGACTTGCTGGCTGGAGACCACGGAGGCAGTCCACATGCAGGGTCAAATTTCGAAGGAATGCCTGGACTGGCATGGCAGTGAATACTCTGTTGATATTCAAAGTCGTGGTTGTATGGTGTTGCCGAGTAGGGGTATGACGAGACTTGTTCGCATTGAGCCCCGCCATAATGAAAATTGTAGCCCGGGCTGCGGGACCAATCTTGGCCTGATAGCGTTCCGGGCATGACAGGTACATGATAGTGACCTGCACATATGCATACGTGGATCATGCTGCTAATAAATAGCACAAAAGTAAATGGCTCTTTCATAATGCAGAGACGGGTAGTTGAGCTGTGCGATGGAGCAAAATTTAAACGAGCAGTCAAGTCTGAGAGTATTTGAGAATTTTAGGCCAAAAGCGAAAGCACCATAGGAAATAGATAATGCGTACGGGTGTTTCGTTTGTTCAGCGTTGATTGTGGATGATAAGACTAGGAAGCCTGAGAAGAGCGGAGGTTTTCCACGCACCTATGCAGCTCAAAGTAACCCCCACCATGGCACAGTTACACGGCACAGGGATAATTTGTGATAGCGTTTATTACTGGGCAGGCAAGCTGTGTGCTATTTGTCACAGTGAAGCTAAGATAATGATGTCAAGTGTACAGGTTGACTAGATACTACATAGGTAGTCGCTACCACTGTTGCATTTAAAATATATGCACCAAACAATGAAGGATGGCATCCTTATACAATGTTTCTTGAGACTGTAGAAGCACTGATCAAGATTCCTTTCTGCACTTAATGATCCTACACCTAGCTTCTGTGTTGCAGGAAGTATGACATATTGTTATCATAGTGAGAGAATAGAATCATGTAACATAGCTAGGGAGCCACATTTCATTTCCTAATACATGATCCTGTAGCTGACCATACAAGTGTGGTTGCATAGGTGTTTAACATGATCTCACTGCTACCGAAATACTTCTATGAATTCAGCCACTTAGTGATGTCAGCATTTTAGCTGCTGAAAAGAAATTTCATATGGTTCAATCTGCAAACAGAGTGCAGAATCTGCCCCACGGGCCACAGCACATTTGGAAGTAGAGATTATGCATAGCCGGTATCATATAGGCATCATCATGCAATTGTAAATGGATGAATGTAGGTTTGTTAGGGCAATTATCTCACATTACACGGACAATCTTCAGCTGCCTTTTAAAAAGCCTGTTGAAGAGAATGCACCTGGTGTTCTATCAAGGTAAAGAAGTAGACGTGTGATTTACTGAAATAACATCATTGTGGAAGATTCATAGCTCTTAATTTTTTTCCACAATCTCTCATTTATTTATTTTACAGTCACATTCCCCCTTTTCACCTCTATCCCCCTTCTCTCCTTTCTCTCCTTTCTCACCCTTGTCACCCCTCTTGCACTCACATCTCACAGGACATGGATCAGGTTTTGGAACTGGCGGACGATCTGGTTCTCGGGGTGGTTGTGGGTGAAGGGGATAAGGATAAGGATAAGGATATTGAGGGGGATAAGGAGGCATAGGATAAGGACGTTGGTATTCAAGTGGCGGCAGTGGTGGCGGCGGCGGCGGTGGTTGTAGATAGGGTTGCTGCACAGGATAAAGAGGCGGTGGCGGTGGCCGCATTTGATGATGAGGATACAGATGCTGATTATGATATTCTTGGTAGCCCATTCCATTCCCATTCCATCCAAGGGGAGGAGGGAGCAGGCCCAGATCCCCAGGACTAAGACATAATTGAGTATTGGGAACAAAACTGCAGTAAGATGCCGGCGGGTAGCAAGGGGGGGCAATGCATCCAGTATATAAATGCGCTGTGGCACTGTGCAAACAAAAGATAAGAATCCATAGTAAAACGAAGTTGGCCTGCATTTCTGCACGGGAGGAGACAAATTGATAGGCACACCGTTCTGTGTGAAAGAGTAAACTGTCTATCGACACAAATACGCTTAGTTATACCTTTCTCTCTTGAACCCGTGTAAATATCCGACATATCCGTTTCCAAAGTTTTCACTTATCAGACCTGGATGAGCTGCCACAAGCTGTCACGAGCTGTCATAGCTGCATTCGTTACCTAGGTTCTACTTTTGCATTCCATCCCTTTCGTCAAGGGCTGTGCACGGACTAAGGATTGAGTATGACTTCAGGGCCTCCATCAAAGACCCTATTGGAGCCTATTTTCACATCAATCTAGACGGGTCTATGACTATTGGAACTCCAAAAACAGACACTCTTGCCGAAAGGAGACTTAGCATGACCGATGCAGGGTGGTGGGGATTGGAAACGTTACTTGAAGACTCCAAATCCACTCAACTACGACATATTTACAAGCCCAATGATGCCAACCGGGCAATCCACCTTCTGTAACATGTGATATGGAAAAGCAATAGTACATCTAGTGAGGCTACCAAGCCGAATTCCAAGGTTCACAGAGTTGCATGACATGAACCTGTTTATCTTCTATGATTCATGACAATCTACAGGGCGAGTCTGCAAATAGGCAGTAGGCCTACACCCGCTCTTATCAATTACCGTGCTGCTGCAATTCTCCTGGCTGGAATCCACTTTCTATCTTAAGGATACTGAACTACAGACATCCTAAGGGTCTCTCTCGGTTTTTTCTTCTATAAGACGACAAAGAGCTATCTGGAAGCACAATGCCTGTTCTTTATAGCTTAAAGCTTGTGGTCGTTGGCCTTCTCATTTCACATCTCTCTGGTGTAGTACGAGGCCAGAGTCTGCCGGCAGTGGATAATTTAAAGGGCAGTACAGCTGTACCTGGAGTTGATGGAAAAGGTAAGTCTCCAGTCCCTACCCTGATAAGCACATAAAAGATATATAATAACCTCTTGGCAGGAGGCTTAGGAGAGACAGTTCAGGGTCTTGGTATTGATCAAATTCTCAACCTTGACCTAGACAATCAAAAGGTATGCTATTCCGAGACACGAACGACTATATGACGCAAAATTCTTGATCAGAGAAAGCTCATTAAATGAAATTGAGCAGAAACTCGTTGGCGTAGGAGGCCAACAGGGCGAAGCAAAGATCGACGTTTTGGCCGCAAGACGTGCCAAAGAGAACAACAGTACAGCCGAGGAGGAGAAGCAAAAAATCAAGGACAATCAAAAGAACGACAAGAAAATTAAGCAAAAGGCTGAAGAAGACCTGATAGCAGGTCGTCTTAATGCATTCTATGCATATGGGATGCAGAGTGTTGGGCAGAGCGTCCGTCCCAAATGGGTTCTGGTCTTCGAGAATGCATTCACTGCCCATGCATATTTCGGGCAGGTGATGCAAGACTACCAGGAGTATTATAAAAAGAGCAGAGAGAACTCCAAGGATCCTCGTATGTAAAACTTACCTGTTTACAGTGAATTACTCTAACTCGAAACAGGACCGCACCCACAGATCTTCATTTTCCCTCACGGCGTCGGGCCTGACGGATTAGAACGAGTCAAGAAATACAAGGACTACGCCAACAAGTTATTCTTCAACCCAGTTGATGAGAAGAGTATGCAACTTCCTGTTATTCCTGTGCAAGATAAGTATGGTTATGTTTTACACAGCAGTAGTTAAGATCGCTTTCTTGAGGAAGCTTTGGGCCTTAACTCAGCAAGGATAATACTATTGGAATCTACTCCACAGTCTCTTATACCCACCAATGCCAATATGAATATTCTATCCGACTATTGTTCACCAAATCCGTCTTCACCAGCCCTTAGCGTAGCAAAGCCTGCAAACTCCGATGCTCTATGCGACGTGCACGTAATGTGGTATGTGGAATTCCCGGATACGGATTTGACCGTGTAGTCGCGTCAACAACTGTTTCTATATCCTTCATTTGCCCGTTTCCGGCTTGTAACATTCGTTATCATTGTCTATTTCTACTTATCCGCTACCTACTCTAGATAGATACAACTAAACTGCATTTCTGTAGCTTCTCCTTCCCGTCACTAAAACTTCACCAAGCCTAATCCAGTATAAATCCACCCCTTATTGGAATCTCCATACCGACGAGAAAATGATCATGGACGCATTAATGAGTTCAATTGCCTTTTTCATATTCATTAATGTCTCCTTCGCCCAAGTCGCCTATATCTGCACCTCTAACACGCAATGCACGCCGATCTCACTGTCTCAACCAGGTCAACAACCATGCCTCAACTCGATGCTGCAACCAATAGGGGGAACGCAAAATCCCTTCCCTCAATTTGGGTATGGCCAAGTTGGACCCTGCATGGGCTCACTCGGCGGCTCTAGCCTGCCAAACTTCCTCCCTATCCAGCAACCATCATTCATCGGCATGCCCATCGCCGTAAATATGGGTGGTCAAGGCCCGCTATTTGGAATGGGGCAGCAGCAGATTCCATACCAACCCCAGGTTATTCCCGGAGGTCAATACATTCAGCCTCAACCTGTACAGCCAGTAATTCAACTCATTCAACCTCAACCTGTACAGCCATCCACTTCAACTGGTCAGCAACAGCCTTGTAACATCTGTCCTCAAGGATCACCGGGGCCTCAAGGATCACCCGGGCCTCAAGGATCACCGGGGCCTCAAGGATCACCGGGGCCTCAAGGATCACCCGGGCCTCAAGGATCACCGGGGCCTCAAGGATCACCGGGGCCTCAAGGATCACCGGGGCCTCAAGGATCACCGGGGCCTCAAGGATCACCGGGGCCTCAAGGATCACCGGGGCCTCAAGGATCACCGGGGCCTCAAGGATCACCGGGGCCTCAAGGATCACCGGGGCCTCAAGGATCACCGGGGCCTCAAGGATCACCGGGGCCTCAAGGATCACCGGGGCCTCAAGGATCACCGGGGCCTCAAGGATCACCGGGGCCTCAAGGATCACCGGGGCCTCAGGGGAAGCAAGGTGATCAAGGTACTAGAGGTCCTCCTGGCGTTGATGGAAAACCGGGCCCTTCTGGGCTTCCCTGCACTTCGGGCTGTGCAAACCCAGATTCAGGGAAAGAGAAAGATCCAGGCTTAGATCCTGGAGGTATCGCCAAAGGAAATGGTGCAAAGTTCCAGGAGAGTGTACCTCCTGCGACTGGGAATGGAATCGCCGATGGGAATGGCGCAAATTTCAATGAAAATATGCCCAACCCTACTTTCCCGAGTGGAATTGCCAGTGGAGAGGGTGCTGCACTTCAAGATTTTATACCTTCAGTTGCAGAGAACGGAATCGCCAGTGGAGAAAATGCAAGGTATGATGACAATGTGCCTAAGCCTAGTGATGAAACAGGGATTTCAAAAGGGGAGGGTGCAAGCCTCGAGGATACTGTGCCTAAGCCAGTGGATGCTTAATCTATCTGCACAGTACGAGAATCTAGCAGCACAGTTGGGCAGCCCGATACGTCTTCTGTTTCATCAGCTAAGTACAACAGTCGGTTCCATTCATTTTGTTGATGTGTATTGTTGATAATACAGAAGTTGATGGCCGCAATTTGGACTTCATTATTTTGTTTCTCTTCTTTCTTTTCACATCTTTTATACATACTATTTCCTGTCACTTCTTTCTCTTTTTCTCTGATCTTCTCTTTAAAACTTCCTCGCCATTGTACAATTTTCTTCGAATTGCCTGCTTATTTACTATGGCGGCCAATCACGTACTGGAATTCTGCGGCTCTGCCTAACCTCAAAGTCCCAAACTGAGCGTAAGGAGGAAAAGAGATGGAGATTTGAGCTCTGTACAGCAGAACTGCCTATTGTTTAGGCTCTGTCAAACTTTATTTGACCCTTAGCTTCTTGGGATAAGCCTGGGTCAATGTGTATCACGTTATGGAACAGTTTAGGTATAGACGTTAAAAAGTAGAAGGTGGCGAGGGTGATTATGCCTGGCACTATACAAGGTTCGGTTATGGCATGCTTATATACTGTAAATTACATGTGCGAAAAGAAAAGCGGCATTGCAGAATAATATTTTATGCATCCGAGATCGAAAGCCTTGCGTCAATTAAGTTTATGTTTCTTTTTCACCATGGGACATAACCTTGAAGATTATTTGGAACGAAAACTAGCCGCGCCATTTTCCCGTCCCCGAAATCATAATAGACAGGGGTATACATTAATCTGCCCAGAGCTGAAAGATAGAACCGACTAGACTTTCTGTACGCGGATCTAATGATGTTGTCATAAGGTTATCTTGATATATTCTGCGAAATAGAAAAACTCCACAGATTGGATGTAGAGTAGGCCTCGCCAAACCCCGCACAAACCCCAAACCAGCCCACGAAAACCCAACCACCCTCTGGCTGGGACTGAGTCATCACAATCTCCGGGTGGGGGTCATTTGGAAAAGCTGTCGGAAAGAGGGCGGTGGCTTACCCTAGACGGGTTGTACAACGTGACCTGCTTTCGTTTGTGTTTTGTATGGAATTTGGTATTCATGGCATTACGATGATCGCACACCGTACCTGGGCTATCTCTAGGGTATCTCAATCTACCCCATGATATCAGTTCTATCTTCAATCAATAGGCCTTTTAATCCAAGATGGGTTTCGCTTAACCTCGAGGGAAACGGTAGGGAGATGGGAGAGAAGTAGAAGAGGTATAGAAAAAGTTAAGGGCAAATAGCGGCAACTGCCTAAAAGGCAGGGACATGGTGTCTGTACTTACATCGTGAAAGATTTTCCTTGATCAGAATTTACAAAGGCATAAAGGCATATGTTGGGGCAGGGTGAAGAATATTCGGGTGGGTGAACTGTCAGCTGAAGGCCGACCGCGTAAAGGGGTGAGCCGCCTAATACAAAACGATGGGCGCTAGGTGAGCATCGCCATAGTATGGCTGTTGTATGTTTTTATTTTTATTTAGGGTGCAGATAAAATAGGTTAAGTCCATTGTGGGTGAGCGTCCGGATCACCCTAAGTGTATATACTACTTACCCAGTCCATATAGGCAGGTCCTCGGGCCCTAAATCCCTGAAACGCTTTCCTTACCTCCCAGCTACTCCATTTATGATAGAGGTTTCCTACCTAAACTAATTCGCTTCATTGACTAAAATTCAATTCAGCTCGCTTTGACATAATGAGAATAATTCTCTCCCACTCTATGTATGGAATTACTGCCGGACCTTCGTCCGGTGATAGTCATATGATATGCCTGAGCCCACATAAGAGCCTCACCCTCTACATACTTCTCTAACCCCATACTCACAGCACCCATCCAACGCAGCTCTAATGACATCGACGTTGCCCTGGTTCCGCAAGGGCACCGACCCTGGAACTATTATTACCCTTGATAAACCCGGACCCTCCAGTCAGATGGAGAGACTGGGATAAGGATACTTCACGCTGGAAATGGTAGCTGAGGGAGAAGAATGGTTCGTTCAGCCTCACATTGATCTTTGCTTTGCTATGTTAGGAAACAACACAATCAGGTAATTGACAGACGTGGAGAACGAGATGGTCTCCTCTTAGGCATTACGGGTCCAAACCTGGTTCCGCGTGCCTATACCCGTCTTAAAATCTGAGTTTGCGAGGGCTAGAAATGGTTTCCCAAACCATGCCTGACAAACAAAAATCATCCCAGAGCATCCTTGAGACGATCCTAACCCATATATATGGAGACATTGACTGCTGGTATCACGTAGTGATTACTTGCCTAGCAGATATTATTTATAGTACTATGCCCGCTTGTACGACCCTCTCAGGCCAGCCCTCGTAGGTACTACATATTGAGATGCTTCGGCTTTTCTGTCGTCAACGCCCGTTGCTAATTACTCTGTATTGTGGAGAAGGCAATCAAGTCCTAATATCCTAATAAGACTACTTCTCAAGTAAACAAAGGAGAACATTGAATAATAGGATTGATATCAAGGCAAGAGCATCTCTGGTTTGAAAATCGCGAAGTTGAATGGAATAGCCACCGTACAATAACATATCTTTTTTCGGTTTAAAACAGTGGGTCTAAGAACCTCAGGTTATCAAGTGGTACAAGCCCCAACCGATCATCAAGACCAGATCCAGAATCTTTTCTGTAGAAAGCATTGCCAAATAAACATGCCTCTCTTCACAATAACATGTAGGTATCTTCGCCAGGCCGGCTGAAAGCGGAGAGCTAACTCAGGTCCCAGTAAGCCTTTGCGAACCAATGCTTCACAGGTCTTTGTCTCCTTTGCAGAATCAACGAAGATGTATTCTGCATTCCAGATCATATCCTCAGTCTTGCGCTTGAAGTCGTACGCTAGCAAGGCCATTGTAGGATAGACATTGTGCCAACAAGCAGAAACAAGACCATCGAAAACCTCATTGCGATTAAGTTCTGGAAACTCCATTTCCCAAAATCGGCGATCCCATTCTGCGGCGCTGAGGATAATGTCGTCATAGGGTTCATGGCCATATACCATAAAGTATAGAAGTGTCCCAACCGCAAACTGTTCAGTTCTGGCGGAACAGAGCCCGTATGTGCCTTTCAATGGCCCGGCAAGTATTAGCCTGGCTCGTGGAGGTCAGGTACCTTCAAGTGGCTGTCCAATGGTGGTGGCACGACCAAAATCATTCAGCTTCAAGTTGAAATTTCTGTCAAGAAGACAGTTGCTCGCATGCAGATCATTGTGACAAAAGCCCACTTTCTCGACATACTCAAGAGCAGAAGTGAATTAATGTATCCACCGAGCGATGAGAGCAGAATCCTCGTATTCCTTGACCTTGATAAGACGCCCATGAAAACCATTTGTTCCTGTCTCTCGCTCCTGGCGTTCAAAGAAGCGAGAAGCGATTGCCTGATAAGTGCAATATGATAGGAAAAGGTAGTCCGGGAGCATGAAATAACATTCAACAATATTCGGACATCGATCGCGGCACTCATTAAGACGTTTGTAAAACGAGATCTCCTTGAGGAAAGGATGCTCCGCTGCCTTTTCTTCAGGGGTTCGGTCGCGACGAACGGTTTTTCACCACAATAGTTGGAGTGACGCGGTAGATATAAGCGTCGAGTCCTCCGCCAATCCAGTTATGTTCCTCGAGAGCATCAGCGTAGTGGAAGCTCATGATGATGATGATGGCGAATCAAAACATATGTAATTTTAGTCGTAGCCGTGTAGAGTTTTGCTAATGATATACAGAAGTATTAGGGTGGGGTGGCAGCACGGGCAAGGACGGTAAGGCCAGGGGGAAGGGACAATTTTGGAAGAGATTGATTGTCTTAGAAATAACAATATAACGCCTCATCATGTGGTTTGGGCGGTTCAAGAGTGGCTAAATACTCTGGGTAGTACATGTCCTAATTAAGAAGGAACGGAATTTATCAGCTTCCGGCCCGCCGTGGCCCAATCCGTTCTAGCGCGTAAATCCGCTGATAAAACTCGCGTCGCGCGGCCCCAATTAACTTCCTTTCCTCTCTCCATCTACAGTTTACATTGTCAAATGTAAATCCATTGGGACTCCACAATGTGGCTTGCTGAGGGTTATCCGATCGTTTCGGCGTTCATGGGTTTCCTTCCGTTCCCGGTCCTGGAGAGTAAAGACGCTTCTCTTCTCTAGCCACTCTACGCTAGGGCTTCGGCTCCTCGGGTGTTGAAGAGAGGAGGGCGTCACATACTTTGTTCTTTTAATAATTATCAATGAAATAAATTATGAATTCAAAGAATTAATCGACCCAGCTCTCCATTCCCACTTAAGAATTAACCCAAGGGCACCATACCTACCCCAACCAACAACCCAAAACAAACAAAAATCGAGATACGGACGGCACCTACGCCACGTGCAAACAGCTAGATATCGTCCTAGGCTTGCTGTGATGCATACCAATAGCTCATTTCCTGGTGCTGACTTTCAATGCATCATCCATCGTCTTGACCCACTCCTTTCGTTACACTCCGAGTTTGCGCTTCGAGTTTGCGTCGTCAACAAGGGCTTTGCGCTCGTAGCATTCCCGCCCGCTTAATTCCCACTCCCGCAGGGTGACAGGCTTGTCATCGTGGGAATATTTCAACTCCGATACATAGTACGGTCTAGGACCATCCATGCCGATCAGCTTTCGCCTATATACAGGTCCATTCAAGTTGGGCACATAAGGCTTCACATCCTTGTCTAATTCGCTGATTTTCTTCGTCTTTTTGATTCGGCACTATAAAACAGTGTGGATATATTCAAAAGTCTTGCCTAGCGACTTGTTACTTATCGTTCTTGAAAGCATATCGTTCCTCGGTCTACACGATTGGTGAAAAGGTGACTCACAATACACTCTTACTGAAAAGTGATATCAAGATCTGACGATTATTCTAGGGTGCGGATATCATCAAGGCTGCGCACAAGGATCTCTGCGCGGCCCAGGGCGTTCCCTACTTTGTCCCTAGCAGATTGTAGATTGTCCAACATGGAGACAGCCCAGACATGCTAAGCTAGAGATGTGAAGATTGTACTTTCTATTGTTCTTATTATTATTCTTGAGCTTGAGGTTCTTATATAGCGATTGTCCAACGGTCATGGGGCGACTAGTCTTTTCATGGCTATAACAGGTTCAAAATCCAGATACCTGGGTCAGGACTGGAACATTCAGCACTCTGTCCCCATTTTCATAGCAAACTATTGCCGTAATCCTTTCTCTAGCTTAATTGAGGGCGAGAATATTTCATGTGTACTAGCGATCTCACCGAGCGACTAGCGGCTAGCGAAATCGCAGCAGAAGCCGCTACACTGATTGACACCTTAGAAAGGCTAGTCCCCAATAGTTCTAGCGTCGGATGTCAGTGCTAATCAAAAAAAATCGCATTCACCGGACGGACCTATAGTGGTCGAAAAAAAGATAAAAAGAAAGCTGGACTCGCGGGGAATCGAACCCCGGACCACTCCCATGCTAAGGGAGTATTATACCACTAAACCACAAGCCCGCTATGTAAGAAAGTTGAAAAAAGTGCTAGATGAGCCAGATTTACATATACACTCTCATGAAGGCAAAATTGTTGAGTCGCGAAGGGGTTGGAAACCTACAAGCAACCTACGAGGCATAACACGTCCCCATATGCCTGCATATGGCTCAATAATATCAATACTTAAGCCATAAGAGACATTAGACACTCGACAGCACCGTATTAAGCGAACTGTATCCATTTAGAGTGATGTTAGATGTTCATGAGTCAATACATATATTTGCGTCGGAAGTAGCACTATTGCTGCACCGCTTTGACATGAAAAATCCACTCAACAGCAAAATCAACCTTTTTGGACAGGTTAGGCCTCCTCAATTCCCCTGACAGGCCAGTATCCGACGATAAAAGACGAAGCATACAGGATTATACAAAGGTTTTCCACCCCACCCAGGTCCCGGGTCTCGCGGGTTGGGTCGCCACGACGGAGATTACTACCTACTGCTACAGGGTACACAAGAATGTTTCGTTAACTAAATTGGATGGCAAAAAGAGCCGAGTCTCCAAAGACTAGCTGCAATGGCATATAAGTCTATGGATAGAATCAATACTCCAACCGGATGCCCAACGAAGCACTCGGCGGCGATCCCGCGCCCCCGTCCTTCAAGGGAAGCCTCTCGATCCTGACAACCATATCCTGACCTTCCATTATTTGCTCCACAAAGTCATCATCAACTAGAATCTCAAGGCCAGCTTGATTGGTGTGTAATATGCGAGAAACCTTTGAAGCATCAACTGAGCATTTCTCACATATCCTTTGGACCAAGTCGCGGGTAGAGCGTTCTCTCAAATATATCGTGCGATAGTATCGATCTGAAGGTGAGTCTTCTCCAGAACGATGGATATAGAAGCATGCAACTGTGTTGAAGACAAAATTAGTTGAATGGCTCTTGAAAGTAGAATAATCGAAGCTTACCTGGCATGGGCGACTGCCGTGGGCCGGCGTGTTTCAGAGTCATTGGGAAGCCGTCCTCGATAGCGTCGACATTGTTGAAGCCCTGGCGGACAGAGCCTAGCGCGCCATCGACAGAGGCAGTGCTACCTCTAATAGAGCTCACACGTGGCGCCGCATTATTCTGAGGTCCTGGACTGCGCGATTGTAATCGAGTAACATGCACCTCAGGATCGTCCTCCTTACCGCCGCGAAGACTCAGGACACTTTCGGAGCAGCTCGAGAATAACATGGTCCGTAGGTTGGTGAGCTTTATTTGTAACTTGTTTGAATGAGGATCTCCGGCCGCATGGTCAACCGTGTCCATTGACGAGCCATGATCTGCCTGATCGGACACCTTGAGCTCATTCCTGTTCTTTGCGGCAACGCTACCACGCTTGCGCTTTTTCGGTGGCTCATGAAGTACCGTCTTCCCAATTTGCTCCGTCAATTTTTGAATTCTCTTCTGAATATTGGTAATGTCGTTGGATAGTTTGCGTTCTGCTCCATGATCTCGGAAAACCCTGATGTTGCAGAAACAAATCTCCGGCTGATAGGGAGCCTCCAAGTTGTTGAGCTGGTCCGTTTTGGTGCAAAGTCGCACCGAGATACCCTTCACCCCCTTTGCCAGCGTGAAATCAGTGGATAAAAAGTTGAATCGTACCGGAATGTTGCATTCGCCCAGACCGGTTGCTGGATTTACCGTCCACGTAACCGAGAACCCGTCTAGAAACTCTTGTTCAAGCTGCACCTGAGGGCTATCTTGACCAGCGTACTCGACAGCTCGAAGCTCAGAATCTTTTGTATCCGACTCGGCCAAGCCCCGGCTATCTTTCCATAACTGCCAGTAGGCTTCAGCATTGACTCGTTGTTTGTGCTCCTTGAATGAAACTCGAACGAACGTCCGGTACCTCGTTTTCTCGGTAATGAGCCTGGGCGGAGTTGTGTCGACTAGGCGTAGATGATAGACCTGACCCTTATTGAGGTAAGACTCGGGCGCTTCCTTCGAGTCGCCGACCATCGCAGTCGAAGCTCGAAGGCTAGTGTGAAAGCGGAACCTGAGGGATATGTGTTATTATTGATAGCGAGGAGCACAGGATCATGGATTATACCTACCTTTCGCCTTCAGCCTGTGAGATTGTTGTTCCAGTTGCAGAAAAACTTTGCGGAGAAGTGGATTTTAATGCACTTTCCGAACTCTGGGGTCGAGAGAATCCACCCTGCGATAGAGAGTGCGCCGGCTCATCCCATGTCTCATAGCCAGAGTCACAGTGTAAGATTTGACTTTGTTCACATGCAAGGTTGTTGGAGAAGAGGCCCGCATGGTTCTGTTGCTGCAAAGGTAAAGGGTGCTCAAAGGAACTAGGATCGATTTTCCAGTTTGACTGAGAGCTGGGAAGCCACCCTCGAGTGAATTGAAGACTCTCATTACCGAACATGTTCTTCGGTGAGATTGATCGGTCAATATCTTTTCCAGAGTACTTCAATGCCGACTGGTAAAGCTGAAAGACCTGGTTATGAGAGGGTACTCTTTGCTCTGAAAACGAGTCCATCGAATGTGGTTCTGTGAAGCCATTGAAAGATCCATGCTCTTCAACGTCCATCTCCCCTACAGTTCCAAAGACACTTACTGCCATGTTAGTTTGCAAGAACCTATCTGCCTTTGAATGTATCCATACCTTGGTGAGAATGCAGGTCCATTCTCTCTGCCTGAAAACGCGGTATCATATGCTGACATTGGGTCAGCTTCTCTATGAAAAAAAGGAAGTCCGCAAAGACCTTGAAAGCGCTCAATAAGCTCGCCATCGGGCCGCTTGGAGCTCTTACTAATTGGGAGGCAAGAAGTCCATGTTAGCTATTATTCATACTCCAACGACAGGAAAAGAACAATTAATGAAATTGTAACTCACCGATTACTGAACATGGCGAGGGTATCGCCCTTCGTTGGTCAAATCCAAGAAGGAAAAATGGCTGGAGTGTTCGCTTGGGATCTGTCAGGAACACTGTCTAATGAAAGACTTTGAATTATTTTTCCGGAGACAGCGCGATCTTAGTAGTTTTGAAGGACCGCCCGAATATAGTAGGGATAATCTCGGACGCGTTATTTGCCATACCCCGCCTGTTGAGCATTGAATCATACTTACTTCACATTCGGGAAGTGGATACTAAAAGTGACATACAGTAGTGAGATGAAAATTCAATTTAATTACACTTGGCATTTATTACTCGCTGATAGAGACGCACTGCCCCAAATCGTCCGTCAAAGCTGTAAGTGTAAAAAAACTTTCCGACCAACGAGGGTTGAGATCGTGAAGGTTCTATTGTACCGTTCATTCTTAGATCGGCGGCTGCCGTAAGTGTGATTGGCTGGCTGTTTGATCCGTGGGGTACCGAGCCTTGCCTTGGCCCACTTGCTACGCTCCGTCATCATGGAGATACGTTTCCGTGCAACATCATTGGGTTGAGTTTGCCAGCCGCAACTTGGGATTGAGGATCTCCACGGAGTGCACCTGGTCAATCCGTTAGATATTAATATTGAATGGTACTACCGCCACAAGGTTCTTAGTGCGTTCGCTATCATCCGACTTGAGACTCTCGGAGGCAATCAACTCGTGTTTAAAGTGTAAAGGATCCCCAACGGTACTTTTGCCAAGTGGATGACATCAGTCGTACTAATGCACAAACTCATTTCAACTGTTGGACTTGACAATTACGACGTTGTGTTGTGACGTAGGTACTTACTCTGTTATTCAGTATATACCGGCTTGGGAATAAATTCAAGACGGAAATAGCTTATGTGCCATCAAGTAGAAAAGATTGTGCAAGTATTCGGGACGAAAGGGGAAGTGAAGATTGATGGTAGGTAAAGAATCGAAGCCTCGCCTGAAAAGCAGCTTGAATTGAATCTAGAGTGCTTGTTTGCTCTCCATGGACTCGTATTACCTTTCATTTATATATAAACTAGTTTCAAGGCTCAAAGGGTTGAGCCCTATCAGGCGTCTCCCAATGCGATTGAAACATCAGAATAAATAGATCGAATATGGGTCGTATGAGATATCCTATCTAGAATAGATCGTACAATAGGATAGATGGTCACCAGAAAACAAGTTTAGAGCAATAAAGATTCCACTTAACCGCACTGAACTGCCCGTCTTAAAGCCCTGAAAACCACAGCTACCCCAAAAAGATGAATAAAGCGAGGGAGTACTGTCCATAGGCTCCGGTGCGCGAGTATCAGCGGTGATAGGTAGTAGTAGGCGGTAACTGTAGTGAATTCCAGGGGAACGGACCTTTCAGTACCTTGGTCTTCGAGGCACGGGCCCTTTAGTGAGAGTTCGCAGTGAAGCCTCTATGTGTGTCTGTTGACCTCGGTATTACTTCAGAAAAGTATTCCGTAGCTCAGATGCATCTTCGAACTCGATTCAAATATCCTCAGTGCCATACTGTTGGGAATAATGATCGGTCTTAAGGCAGATCCTGTCAACGTCCTTGCCTTTTCCTCTGGGAGCGGAGTGAAGTAATAACTACTGTAGCAAAAGTTAAGTAATTAATCAGAATGTCCAAGACTGGTCCTTGCAGCCTCAAGCTCATCTTGTACACAAAATAAAATCCATTGTGACTATACTCTGGTCAGCACAGGAGATATTTTTAGGCCAAGAATATTCTCGTTGCATTATAAGTTGTCCCAGTACTGCAGAATAGTCCGAGAAGCGACGGTCAATGTAGCATTCGACCAGAAATGACACTTGAAATCTTGTCTTTAGTCATAGCTAAGGTTATCGGTTAGATACGTGTCTCTGTATCTGTCTTGACAATTCGAAAGACGTGGTTGAGGATAGAAAGAAAAAGCAGCGCTTCTCAAGTACAAAAAGCCTATTCCGGGGATTCCTCGGCAATTGTCAACCAGTCGGGACTCTCCTGAAGATCCTTCGCCAAAACATCGAATACTTGGACATGATAGACACCGTACTGATAGGATACAATTATATGCGATTGGCCAGTCATGGCCATGATACTGAAAGTCTAGTAAGCAGAATCAATTTCTGTACATAGAAGAACGAGGCTTGCAATGGAAGTCTGATAGTAGTCAAGCTTTGAGCTCGATCGATGCTAGGCACCCAAATTTTTTCCCAGCGAAACAAAATGCAGGACTTCCATAAGCTCAGCCATCGACTTGTCCTTTCTGGTGATTCTATTGGCGATTCCACCTCAAACTACGCTCAATCGAGGGAGCTAGGGGAGACTCGCACTTAGCCACGCCGGCTCGGCGTCAGCGAACCTTAAATTGGGGAGAATTCCATTCCTCAAGGGGGATTTCCTTAGCTGCAAGAGTGTCACTGTGGGCGCTTTATTGGACTATCTGTTGCTTATTATTTTTCATTTCGAGGGAGCCTAAGTTGATCGCCGAAGGGGGGCGTTTGTTTGTTCATTTCTAGGCTTTGGACCCTGGATTTTCTTTTTCTTCTACCATTCCGACTTCTTTTCTCTTTGTTCTCCCTTTCATTATTATTGATTCAATTCTCCCGATCCATCCTGCTTATCCTTCTTGCTGGTCTATTGAAATTCCCCTCGAGGCCATTTTGCGACCGTAGCGAAGTGAGCGGCACAGCAATCCCTCCGGCGATCTTTCCAGGGATTAATTGCTTAGCGCCCGCAGCCTCAAAACACGCCAATTCGAGCACGCGCGCAACGACCTCACTCGATTCTGCGCTTATCGCCGATTGGAATCGATCCGGACGAAGCACCGGAGCTAGATCCACGGGTGTATATAAGTTATAGCACGAGAAAGTGTATAGCGCATTCGGTCGGAGAGCTCCAGCGAAATGGGCCAGATATCGCCCAAGAGTGCGATCGCGCACATCTCCAAGCTCCTGGTGCTCTCGTATATAATCGACTGGATCTTCATCATGTACGATTCTCGAGTCTGCGATTTCGGCTAGGAAACCCCTTGACTGATCAATTGAATAGTGGCGTCGGACTGATCGGCTATGGATTCTACAAACAGGATCCCAACCAGCGTCCCTTCTCCCTGACCGACCCGGACATCTCCTTCCCATTCACCGAGCATGAAACCGTCTCTACTGCAACCTTGATCCTCGTCTCCGTGCTAGCACCGGCCGTGATCGTTCTCCTGGGAGCTGCGCTCCTCATTCCCGGCACCGCTGCCGTCGGGGGCGCAAAGGCATCCAAATCGCAAATGCTGCGACGCAAGTTCTGGGAGTGGAATGCGGGTTGGATGGGATTGGCGCTTGCCCTGGCGGGTGCCTGGATGGCTACACAAGGGTTGAAGACGTTGAATGGTAAGCCACGACCAGATCTGCTGGCGCGGTGTAACCCGGACGTGAAGAAGATTGCGGAGTATGCGGTGGGTGGTCTCGGCGAGCGCCTTACTGGTGCTCCGGTCTTGGTGGACTGGAAGATTTGCCGGGAACAAGGGTATAACCTGCGAGTAGATGGGTTCTCCAGCTTCCCTAGTGGACACTCATCCCGTGAGTACCGAACTGCGCTTCAAAAGTGGCTTCAACAAGGGGAAGGATAATCGCTAACTCGACGTTTATCTAGTCTCTTTCGCTGGACTTGGCTACTTGACTCTCTGGCTCGCTGCCAAACTATCCGTTAGCTTCCCCTATCTGCCTCAATTCCCCGTCGAAGGCGATGATTACAGTGACGACCGCACCTCAGTCCGCACGCGCGGTGCGGCACCCCCGTGCTATTGATGATTCTCACTTTCCTACCTACCGCTGTTGCCTTCTTCATCGCCTCCTCTCGGTGGTTCAACTATCGCCACCACGGATTTGATATTATCTGCGGTGGCCTCATCGGAATCTTCTTCGCCTACATCGGAATGCGCATGTACCATTTGCCCATCCAACGGGGGGCAGGCTGGGCATGGGGTCCCCGTGGCCACCGCAGGGCATTCGTTCGAGGCATTGGCTTCCCCAGCACCCTTGGAACGGACAGCTGGTCGTATACTCGCAAGGGACATGCTGCCGATATCTCCAACGGCTCTGGCCATGCCGAGCCTGTACATGACATTGAAAATATCCCGATGCACGAGCAGCCTGAACAGGCAGCTGCCAGCGAACGGGTGTAAATGAGTTCTTCATTGACGCTTACCTACAACTACCATGGGCCGTCTGATGTCAAACGTATATAATAGGTGAAATGTTGTCGCCTACAATGGCCCTAACTTCCACCCAAACGTCTTGTTACTACCTTAATACATGTCAATATACATAAACTTCAATTTCTAATCCTTTTGTCTGCATTTGCATGGCACATAGGTAGCTCTGATCTACTCTCGAATCCAATGACATCATAACTTCAAATCCTCCAAAGTCGCGCCTGTCGTTATGGCTTACGCGAAGCAATTAGCACATGAAACTTGCACAATTTTGATTTATAATCGTGTTTAGTGCCTACAGCCTTACACAGTGGTAAATGAGTAATAACCGGCCTTCGTAGTCGCGAACACGGGGTTAAGAGCGGAGATTGCGTATAGCCATTCGTCTTGACCTTGGCGTTACTAAAGCGCGGGATCGAACCTTAGTATAACAATCAACTCCCCACCTACAACTAACGCAAACGTAAAGCAGACGCCCAACAGACGGAATCCACTTATTGAAAAGCCATGGCATCTTACTTGATCACCGGCTCATCAAGAGGCCTTGGACTGGCACTCGTCTCCCGCCTAGCCTCCCTACCCGCCGCGCAGGTCGGCAAGGTCATCGCGACCGCGCGCCAGGACAACTCACCCCAACTCACGGAGATCGTGGAAGCCTCGTCTGGCAGAGTTGAACTGGTCAAAATGGATGTCACAAACAAGTCTAGCATCCAAGAAGTGGCCAAGTTGGTGGAGGGTAAGTTGCAGGGGAAGGGGCTTGACTATCTCATCAACAATGCCGGTCTAGCGGATTATGCTCCGGCTGGATTGGAGGGGATGTAACTATTGACATACGTTGTTGGAAGGGTTGATGCTAATGTTACTAGGGATAATTTGAATGAGCTTTTCCATACGAATGTCACATCCGTCCATAATGTCACGCAAGGCTTTCTACCTCTGCTGCGCAAGGGAGAGAAGAAAGTGGTTATCAACATGTGATTGACGCCTCCCTTCATCGGGGGAATGGAAGCTAATGGGGTACAGATCAACTACCCTGGGCTCCTTTGCAAAAGCCGAGGTCTACAGACTGTCTCCCACGCCCGCGTACAAGATCTCCAAAGCGGCATTGAACATGTTAACAATTCAATATGCCCAGCAATACGAGGCTGATGGATTTACGTTTGTTGCTATTAGTCCCGGTGTAAGTATTATCAAGAGCCCCTTCGCATCTGGAAATGAAATTGCATACTAACTTCTGCAGTGGCTGCGTACTGATCTTGGCAGCTCTCGAGCAGATCTGCCCGTAGAGACAGGAGCAGAGAAGGTTGTGGATATTGTGCAACAAATTGGGCCGCATCAAAATGGGAAGTTTCTCAATATTCATGTGCCAGGCTGGGAGAATGCACCGGGGAATAACCAGTATGATGGGGAGGAAGTAGGCTGGTAAGAAAAAGTACACGCCGGTGTCGTGTCGGTTGAACATTTGGCTGGCGACTGTCTGAAAGATTGTATGTATATATTGCCAAAAGATCTCATGATAGTCTGAAAATGAATCATCAACGCCATTATCCGAGCAAAGGCTAGGCTCATGATGTTTAGAAAGGCACTCGGACTAATGCTAAGACAGAAAGACTGAATGATCCACAACACGCTTCGGGTTAACGCTATCTTTGGACCTAAATCAAGTATTCTTTCTATGCAATTGTTCACAGCTTCGAGCTCAAGGCCTTGACGGCCTCTGGCGGAGTAAGAATGCTCCGCAATCTCTCCTCAACAAGCTCATAGGCACCGGGAAGCCAGTCATTTACTTTCCCCCCCAATATCATCAAAGCCAATGCCTCTCCACACAAGAGACAATTTGCCATCCCGTAACCATTGAAAGCAGCCGCGATCCATTCTCCCTCCCCACGTCGACCTGTCAACGCAGAAGAAAGCCGCCCTACTAATGGCAGTCCATCTGACGAGAACCCCATAATTCCACTCCATGAACTAACCAGCTTCCAAGAGGCCTCGTCCTCCTTCCCAAAGAACCGCGGGAGAACCGATTGCAGATGAGAAACGGAATGCGAAGCAACGAAACTATCATCCGCTGACACAGCTTCATCCATGCGCGTATTCTCGCCTCCGAAATAGAAATACCCCGTCTTGGCACTTTGACCGAGATAGTACAATCCGTATCCGTGACGTTTAGTATCTGGGTCAAATGTGGGTGGATAATGGAATCCCCACGACACGGATTTGCCTTGATTTGGGAGTGAAGTACCCGGATCTTGAACTGTCATAGTTCCCTTGAACGGATGAATACGTCCTCGTAAACTTGGGAGGAGATGCCCGCTATACCCGTTTGTGCAATATACCACGCTAGTCGCTCTCATTAGACCTCGAGACGTGTGTAGTGTATAAGGATAGACGGTCGTTATGGGTGTCAAGTTCTCCTCATCATGTTCGACAGACTCGACAGCCGTGTTGGCCTCGATGGTTAGTCGACCTGGGTATTTCTTCAAGAGAGCATCGAAAACTTTGGTGACCAGACGATATGGCCATACTGTACCGGCTGGAAGCAAAGCACCGCCAGAAGACCCATGGATTCCATAATCCTGTGATTATTATCAGAAGCCATATCAAATGTCAAGTTGCTTGCAGAGATATCTTACTTCGAGCACTGTATCAGCGTTTATAGTCTTATAAATCCCTCTCATGGAAGGATGATCCGCTTCCAGACGAGCGATACTCTTCCTAAAATCCTCAAACTTGCCATCCGTCATAAAAACACGCAACTTCTCGAGCCTCTGCATCTCAGTGGTCTCAACAGCATCATATTCCTCTATCAGGTCTTGCATCTTCTTCAAATTCCGGAGTGTAAATCTTGCAATCTTGCCAGCCATCTCAGGACCATGAACTTGGGCAAGATGCATATATTCTTCTCCTGCGTTAGCAGCCATCTGACCGCCATTACGTCCCGTCGCTCCAGAACAAAGTGTACGAGCCTCCAAGACAGTAACCGTTGCAGTCAGGTGGTTCTCTAACAGCGTCTTGGCGACCGAAAGGCCTGTGATGCCAGATCCAATGATCACATAGTCTCTTTCGCTGGGTAGGTTCTCCGATCGGACATTTGCAAGACGATGCGGAATATGTTGCCAGTATGATTGGGTTGGATTTGGGCGTGGAAGGCCTGGATCCGCTGTAACAAGGCGTGCTGTAGGAAGACGTCAGCCACATTCCTCGGTTTAAATGCCGTGGATGGAGTGCCGGTTCCAATGTCACGTCAATGTATTCGAGGTCCGGAGTTTTCGATCAACTTACCAAGCTCTTTTTCAGATGCCATAATGAATTGGGCGGGAAATATATGAAGTGCGAAGATACACGAATAAGCTTAGCAAAACATGTCTGGAGCTATAGGTTTCTTGAAGGTCTGTTGACTGGTTTAAATTGCTGAAGATTGTGCGGGGTTATGGTTGACATGATAACGCCTACGGGTAGAACTGCCTGGTTAGGAACTGTCCAGCCTCGGTTAGTGAGTGTGTATCTTTGTCGAGAATTGTTCATTTCAACACCGATAACTATAATTGAGTAGCTCCTAGTCTAAAACAGCTTTTCCAATTGGGACTCTTCCAAGCTTAATCCAACGTCTTCTTGCTCTATTTCCCCTTATTTAAAACAAAAATTCTTGGTCAGCGCTCCCATCAATAATAAGCGCTGCCTTAACCAGGCGTCTCTCGGCAAAATTGCCGCACACATTGATTGATGCATGCGCGGTATTGTGGCATGACGTTCTTTATGGTGAACTGGTAGTCCCTTGCATACAATATACGTATTGTTGCAATTACCCCAGATGCATATGCAGGCGCCTCTAGGCCCGAAAGACACTCACTTCTAACCTTATTTATCAACTGTATCGACATACTTTTGTCCTTTCATCCACCGATCATTTCAATAGAACTTGCTGTGAAGATCAAAAGTGCACAATCCCCAGGCTTTGGTATGCAATATGGCGTAGCTACATACCATACCATCTTGCATTCCGGGGGCAACACGCAGGACCAAGCTTTCGGAACGGATAGAGGAATGTAAGAGACATATTTTCCTTGCTAATGAATTCTGAAAGAAGCTGATGAGCATTTAATGTCGCTGATTTCCTCCGCAACCTGGCTTTGAGCTCGGCTTCATCGAAATCTACGATTTCAGAACTCAAAATGAGATTCTCCTCCGTTCTCCTGACTGTCTTCGCTCTGGTCGCATCTGGCCTAGCAGACAAGTCGTGCACTCCCAGTTTCGATTACTGCTCCGATATCCTGATCAAGTCTAAAGGTAATTCCCAGGCTTCGTCGCACTTCATGACGCCCTTTCATTAACCCATGCTAGGCTTCACCGAAGCGGATCTGAAGGATGTCTTGAAGGGCACCGACCTAGAGAACGAGGATGTCAAAAACGTCCTGTTCCACTGCACCAACCCCGGTATCGTTGGCCACCCCAAGCTTTGCAGCAGTGGATGCAAGGATTCGGCAACGGAGGGCAGCCACCAGTGTGATGGGTAAGCCTTGTCTCAAAGATGCCCCGCTCATATCTTAAGGTCTCGGAGCTGACGAGTTACACCGTCTAGCTAAATTGCACGCAGTGTGCGCATGATGTTTCTACTTGCATACATTATCGGACTAGTAAATGCTGTACCTACATCCAATGAGATAGCTATGGAGCCCAACATCCTTTCGATCTTTCAAGCCTTGTGCCGACTTTCTACATATTTAGTGATCTCGGAGATTTTGAGTAATTGCCGTGGCTGCGCCCTTCAGGGTCTTCCATGTGGCTGTGGGAGGGCGTTTACCCGATATCGGTCGACTTCCCCATCAGCTCTCGAGCCTCCAAACGATGGTGGATACGGTTCGGGTAAACAGAGTGCAAACCACCGAAGTATCGAATGTCTTAAATACTTTTTCGACGGAGCAGTCTTGTCTGGTCGCACTAATGCTCGGCAACTCATAGACCTTGGATATCGACCATTCATCTTCAGTGATTGAATTATCCAAAACTTTAATAACAACGGAGGTTGGCCGTTTTCCACAGCTGAAGATAGGATAAAGAAGAGTCAATCTTATTCTAGCCATCACCCGATTGGCGCATTCTTATCTGTGGAAAATCGCCAAGCCCACAAGCCCACGGCTTATCTGGGGGCGGGACGGTTATTAGGTGATGTATACTGTCTCCCCCGCAAGGACGCCGATAAGGCTCCGAGGTTGTATATGTTATATGTGATATTCCATTTCCCACGAGGTCGGTGCAAAAAAAAAGCAACTATCATACAAATTTTGGAACCATGGCGGACTCTGAAGCGCCTTCCAAGCCCCATGCGGTCACAACTATCGCGAGCGTCCAGATCGACCCTCGGGCGGAACGAGCGTTGGTCTGGAAATTCGATCTTCGTCTGCTTCCTGTCCTGGCAATTATGTACTTGTTCAACAGTCTCGACAAGTCGAACCTGGGAAATGCAAAGACGGCCGGTCTTGAAGGTAAGCCATCTCGTTCCGCTGTACATCACCATAGTATCTTACATTGTCCTCCAAAGATACCCTTCACCTCAAGGGAAACCAGTACAATTTGATTCTCAGTATTTTCTTCGTTCCATACGTCCTCACCGCACCATTCCTCGGCCTCCTCGGCAAGAAGTTCGGACCTAACATTGTGCTCCCATGCATGATGCTCACTTTCGGTATCTGCACTATTCTCGTGGTCGCTGCGTACAACTTCAGCGGTCTTTTCGCTATCCGCTGGTTCTTGGGTATGGCGGAGAGTGCATTCTTCCCTCTGGTCATCTACTACCAGACCACGTAAGTTGGCACTCAATAACTGTTCTCTTGCCAGCAAAGACTGATTACCTTTACAGTTTCTACCGTCGAGGTGAACTAGCCCGCCGTCTGGCTATCTTCTACGCTGCTCAAAGTATCGCCTCCGCTTTCTCTGGCCTCCTAGCCTTCGGTGTCTTCCGCATCCACACCGGCCCTCTGGCATCATGGCGTTATCTATTCCTGATCGAGGGTTGCGGAACCGTCCTTTTCGCCCTCTTCGCTCTGTGGTACCTCCCCAAGTCAGCATCGGAGGCCACTTTCTTGACACCAGAGGAGAAGGAACTCGCATACCTCCGCCTGCAGATCGACAGTTCATCCGTCGTGGACGAGAAGCTGAATATCCGGGACGCTTTCCGCATCTTCAAGCACTGGACTAGCTGGGCTATTCTAGCTATTCAGATCTGTCTCGGTGTGCCTCTGCAAGGAGTTCAGCTCTTCCTTCCCGTCATTATCAAGCGTCTTGGATACAGCACCGTCAAGACCAATCTCTACACCGTGGCACCTAACGTTTCCGGTGCCGCGATGCTGCTCATTCTCGCTTTCTGCAGTGACTGGACTAGATGGCGCTTCCCCTTTATCGCACTGGGCTTCCTGTTCACTTTCATTGGATTCATCATCTACGCTGCGATCGACGTTGAGCGGGACTTGAGCATTGCCTACTTTGCTACGTTTATGATGGTTTGGTAAGTTCTACCTCGATCTTCCCATCTGAATTTCCACTAACAAACAATTTCAGGGGTACATCCGCGCCTTCCGTTCTCCTCGACTCTTGGTACAACAACAACATTGCCAACGAGGGACGACGTGTCGTGCTTACCAGTATCGCCGTCCCAGTCGCCAATCTCATGGGAGTTGTCAGCTCCAACATCTTCCGCACCCAGGATGCACCCAAGTATTTCCCTGCGCTGATTACTACCGCTGCCTTTGGTGGTACTGGTATTCTGTTGACTCTGGCTCTTGGTCTGTGGATGATGTTCGATAACAAGCAGAGAGATCGGAGACAAGGCGTCCATGTCAAGGCAATGGATATTCCGACGGAGAACCTGAATGAGGGTCCTGCGAGTGATGATTTCAGGTGGTTCTACTAGTTAGAATAGACCCGGTATATGAATTTAATGATAATGATCGAATTTTCGAGTACTTGTGAATATTGTTTTGCGATGATAGATGCCCTGATATATATAACCGGAGTATACCCGTGCACTATAAAATAACCGCTTTATATGATAAGCATTTCATAGGTCAAATCTCCTCATAGTTATTCATATGAAACTATACACAATAACCTCGTACTTCCCTTCATCTCTAAGTAGTAGATATAGTAGCTCCGACCATCTAAAAGTTGTCTCCGCTTATGGAGTGCACTCTACAGTATCCACCCGTGATCCATGGACCTTGTAGCTCAGATTTCCTTTTCATCAGATTGTGCAGTCGCACTTAAAACTAAAGTCGCACCAACTTCACATCGATTGGGCTTATGGTCTAGGGGTATGATACTCCCTTCGCATTGGATGGCATCTGCTTCCGATATGAGCTTGGGAGTGGTCCGGGGTTCAATTCCCCGTGAGTCCACATCTTTTTGTTTTTCCCGCACATGGGAGGGAAACACAAGTATGCCCTTCTTGATTAGGAGAGATCCCCGAATTATTTTTATTATTCTTAGTTTCTAGGAAGAAAAGGAAAACTGTGCTCATGGACTTCAGAAGATTTTGATTTAGGCGCAGAATTGGGTATCTATGTTGATTGAGAAAGATTGCAAACAAGAGACTGGGTCGTGACCATCGATTCGCCTCACGGACGCCCATCAGACGCCTCCGCGACAACGAAATCCATCACAGACGAATATTCCTGACTGCTCAAAGTTCCCACTGATGGCTGAGGGAATTTGCAAAGATGAGCCGCCGTATTGTGCGACCGGAGTTCCCAGGCGCCACGACCAAGACCATCAATGCTGTGTACAATATAGGTTGTGAGTGTTATTTCGTGACGGGAGAGTGCAACCTTCATCTTCTTGTGTTTTTCAGGGTTGGCATTAGGCAGGACAAGCTCCCCAAGGTGAGGGTACACTGCATCCCAGTTTTGCTCCTTTGAGGCAACCGCATTAGGGCCGTTTTGAAAAGCGGGTAGCGTCTTGGATGAAATTGTTGAGACCACATCGAGAAGCAGAAGATGTGTAATCGCCGTTTCAACCTCGTCCTTCAATCCCATGCGACCAGGTGAATTGAGATCTGGAACAGCCGGCAGTTTCACAGAAACGTCATAGTGGGTGCCAAAGGGTGGGGATGACAGGTTGGTTCGAACGGTGACGGTGAATGAGCCACGAGATGTGAGAAGTTTCCCGCTGAAAACAGACTCGATCGGTCGAAGGAACCTTTCGACCAGCGCTTCGAGAGAAGCCGGTGGTGGCGACGTTGGTGACAGCTTCCAGCTAGCGTATGTGTTCGAAGTCCACTCAGGCATGTCCAAACCGGCAGATCGCAAGACCGAGTAGATATCTGTAAACAACGATTCTAGCCACCTGACGTGTGATAGATGCTGCATGTAAGCCAAAGCAGGACGGAGAAGATGGTATTCTGGCGTTGCAGGTCTTGTCATTGTCAAAGGACGGGGGAGCTGAGTTCTTCGACGTAAGTTTTGACGATGAGCAAAACAGAGTAGAATCCGGATCGCATGGGCTAGCCCGTCTGCAAGCCGGCTATCACGTTGCCCCTGATCCTGTTCGAGAGCAACACCATGTGTATCGGCATCCACTAGATCCAGCAGAATTTCTATATCCTCAGAGACGGGGATGCGAATGAGATTTTGACGAGTAGTCACGCTACAATTCGCCATAGACCTAGCTTCTCGGACCAATTCATGGAATAGCTCTTCTTCGAAAACCGAGTCGCGTGCCTGGAGGATGCGATGCTCAATTGGATCTGCATCACTGAGGCCACTTCCAGACGGCTGTGAGCTCACAAAGACCTGATCTCCTTGTTTTACCCGGACCCGGACATGACGCGCCCCCGTGGGGAGCAGTCCTTTGTCCAGGATTAAACTTCCATCCTTTGCTCGTCGGAGAGAAGCGAGTCCGCGGTCGCGGAAAATAGGTGTAGCTGTTGTACAATGGTTAGAGATATGCAAACCATGAGACGCATGACATAACTCTTCATACCTTCCATGAATCCGTACTGCACAGCTAGTGCTTGTCTCTCTCGTGGATGTCTGCAGACCTTCCATCCATTATCCTTGACGGCAAGCACCTCATTCCAATACCGAGTCTCCGATTCGATCTCGCCATTTAGTCTGGTGGCAGCACTCAACAGCTTGTTCGAGGCGGCATTGAAGTTCTGGATGCGCCACCCTCTCGACACCGTCGATATGTCTTTAATTGCCGATTCTGATCTCGGAGGAGGATTGACCATGTCGGAATCGAGGGAACCAAGAGGCGCGAGTTGTTTGAGCAAAGGAGACATGGATGTTTCGGCCTGGCGCGGCGCATGTTTCGAGAGTAGCAGGGAAATAAAATCAAGGGCGAGCATGGTTTCTTGGTGCGATTTTCTGTTGAGACAATTTGTTAGCAAAACTTCTTTGAAAGTCTCTCCCATCGGGCGAATATGACTGACATGGCGAATTGGGTGATCTCATGGCGTCGCTTGTAAAGTTGCTCACGACGTTCAGTCGGGTCAAGTTCTCCAGCCTCTGCTTCGGCCTCGTCCATTTCTTCGTCCAGCTGTGCGCCATGGCGTTTCTCCTCCTCGGCGATCTTGGCTTGCAGAATTTCCTCATTCACCTCACGGAAGGAACCCCACTGGTTGTTGATCTGGGCGATCTCGACGGGGAGGGTGTCCGGGCGCTCATTTTGTTCCGGAGGCGGGCGCAGGGGGAGAGTGAAAGATTCGACCATGGTGGTGACGGACCATGCAGTTGAATATTCAGGGAGATGTGAGGGTTATTGTGTGTGGTTTGCAATGGAAAGGGCGAACGAGAAGCTCGGAGGACGGGGAAGGCATCGACATGTCACGTGCACCGAGGGGAGCTAAAGTGGGTCTTCATCAATTTGGAGAAGATCTCTTGTCATCTCTCCTTGGGATATGAAGGAATGATGATCCAATCAGGATCCAATACATTGTTTATGCAAGTATTTGAATTTGGACTTTCATTGTCTTCTGACAGAATGACCTTATGCTGGGAGTATATTCTCGCTTGTGCAGGAACCACCGCACCCAAGCACGGCCACCATCATCACTGTCTAGCTTTGACAAAATCAACCAAATCGAAAAAGCTCTTCTTATAAAATCTCTCCTGAGTCTCCGAATCCACCCCCTGTATACCAAAATGACTCGGCTGTCCAAATTCCCAATTATCAATGAAGCTCCACGCCAAAGCACCCATAACATGTACCCCGTCCTCGTGGATGGCACGGAGGACCTCGGACATGTATGAAAGGTAGTACACGCTTCGAGACGAGTCAAACCGCTGATCCGAGAGCTCTTTTTTTGATTCTTCCCAGACAGGGAATCCAAATTCGGAGACTAGCACGGGAGATTGGAATGTATTCCACAAATAGGACAGGTATTCGCGGAAATATGTTGGTGTGATGTAGACGTATGATTCTTGGGATTTGTTAGTATATGAAGCTCAGAGGGCCAAAAAGGGGAGAACAACTGTTTGTTTACTCACCAGATCTGTAGCCAATATTCCACCCATACACATTCTTGGTCTCCTGTTTAACACAGTATGGGAAAAGCGAATTAGAACTAGATGTATTCGCTGCACAGGCACTGATCCCCTCATCTGCCGGTGAAACGACCGTAGCCGTATACGGATCAATAGCAAAGAAATCTGCTGTTTGGCTAATATATTTTAGTTCCGTCTTGTTTAAGGCTTTGGCACCAGATAGAGTGTGCAAAATGGAATCGGGGTATTGTTTGCCAAGAAAGATCGGATTGGCAAAGAAGGCAAGTTGCATCTCGTTGAATCGATTAGCAGCCTGAACGTGACTGGCATTCTTTGGGTTCTTGGGCACGCCAAAGTTATCGTTGAGTTTGAGGCTCATCTTTCCAGTAGCTTTCAACTCCTCGTGGTAGAAACGATATACCTGAGCATGCGCGTGTATAACATTATCGACACCTTTAAAGTTAAATGCGTAGAGCAGTGGCTCGTTGAATGTGATCCAGATGGGAACTCTATCGGCGAAGTTTGCTAGGAGGATCTTTCCGTAATTGACGAAAGCATCAACGAAAGTCTCATTCTGATACCCAGCATTCACATTTCCGATATCAGGATGTCGGGCTGCAGAAATTAGATCGTGCCAAAAGGGCATTATTCGGGGGTATAAGTGTGCATACCGATACTGTCGCTGGCGACAAAGATAAGAGGGCTATCGAAGTGAAGCATAGTCACGACAGGCTGCATCCCAGCATCGAGAACGGTGTTGATCAGATCATTGTAATGATCGATAGCTTGTTTATTGACTGGAGTACCAGGCAGGACGAAAGGCAGAATGCGGGTCCACGGAATACTGAAACTGTAGTATTCCACACCCATAGCCGTCAGGCGCTCAATATCTTGCTTATAGTAAAAGTAATTCTCGTCGGTGACATAGTCTTTTGGGGTATCGGCTGGGGCTATTTTCTCAAGGAGCGATGGCGAGCGTCCTTCAAGGGCAACCGCGCCTTCAATCTGAGCAGCGCTGCCGGCTACACCGAAAATAAAGTCGTCGGGAAAGTTGTAACAGTCCGTCGGGCCAAAATAATCACGAGGTGGCAGGACTAGTTCACTAGTTGGGACTGGCGTAGGGCTGACGGTAGTTGAAAAGATCCCGGTCGTAGTCTGTGTAAAGTTTAGCACCTAGAGCACGAGAGGAACTAGATTTGAATACTGACGTAGTTTTGCAAATCAGCGCCTAACCACATAGAAGACCATGCAGCTTGACCGTAGGGATCATTGTGATCTGTTGCACTAATGACCGTTTCCCCAGGAAGCCAGTTGCCCCAAGTTGATGTAGCCACAGTCGTCTTCAGGTGTTTAGCGGCATCCTTGTATACCGGGCCGTAGGTCTTTGTAGTCGTTGGTGAAGGAATGGAAGTTGCATAGCGAACTGTCTCCTCCAGCGAATATGAAAACGACTTAAAATGATAGCTTGTTGAAGTAGTAGATTTTGTGCACTGGGGACGAGCAGTATACCCCGTCGTCGTGAGGTAAATCTCCTGAGCCTGCGTAGCGACCGCAAGACCTAGAGCTACACTGAAAGTGATTCGCATGATTTCGAGCCGCTGATGAAATTCAAACCATCCCTCTTACCTCTCAGAATTGACAGGACGTCATTCTTAAGTATTCTACAACTAACTTATGTACATTCACCTTGTGTCATCAGGCCCCACACCCCCGCAAAATCAATTCCTCACCTGCGGGTAATTATCGGATGCTGGCCATCGTACTTCGTATAAGCTAATATTGAGTCTCGTAATTCGTAAACTTAGACCCCTTTGGCATGGTGCTGGACTAAACTGCTAGACTAATGCAATAATAAAATCGCTCTGATGCGGGGTGCGTGTAAAAGAAGGTGTAGATCGTCAGCTCCCGCCTGTTGGTTGCATTGTCTGGTAGCATGACTGACAGCCAAGATCCGCAACCGGACGAACAGGAAAACCTCACCACGAGGCCAGTGAGACACCCCTAGGAAAAGAGCCGAGGTTATTGGACGTATATTTAGGAAAGGAAAATAATACGAAAGGGGTCTACATTGAAGCAGAATTAGCGTCGGCGCAGTAGGACCACCAAATCTCCTAGGAGTCGTTGTTGGCATTCCTTTTCCGCCGAGTATTTCTTTTAAAATAAAATTAACATTTGCATAAAATCTTAACTCCTAGTCCAGTCTAAAAAGGTGTACATCATTGTTTAAAGATGCGAAGTCTCCTTACCCTTGGCAGCCATCATCTGTCCGATGCGCGCATCAACCTTGCTAAACATCGCAATCACAGCCTGCCTCAAGCCCGCAGGAATAGCCTCAATAGTCTCCGAGACATTCTCAACCCACTGCTTTCTCTCAGTCTCATCAAAGACTCTATTCCACAGCTCTCGGGGCTGGACGTAATCTTCGTCATCGACTGCAATCTCGTTCTTACCCAAGAATGCAAATCGTTCGATGGGCTCGGTGTGTCGCACATCCGAGGTCACCTGGCTGGGGACACCAGGGCTCAAGGAACTGCGCACATAGTTTGGATCGCCGCCATAATTGCGGGTGTGCACACCCATGCCGTCTCTCTCATATGGAGCGTAAACGGGGCAGATGGCGCGATTCGACGGGAGTTGTGTGTAGTTTATTCCGAGTCGGTATCGCTGGGCGTCGGGGTAGGCAAACATGCGAGCTTGCAGCACTGTTCCAACAATGTCAGTATAGCCATCGTGAAAGCTCATTCGAGGTTGACTCACTAGGGTCGGGCGTCATCGCAATGCCTGGCACCATGTTGGAAGGTGAGAATGCTGCCTGTTCAATTTCGGCAAAGTAGTTCTCGGGCTGAACGGTCTCGTTAGTAAAAGAGCTATCTTGATGTCATACATGGTATATCCTTACGTTCTTGTTGAGAGTCATCTTGCCAACCTCGATCAAGGGGAAATCCTTGTGAGACCAGACCTTGGTGATGTCAAACAGACCGCGGCCGAACGTCTCAGCCTGCTCCGGCTCCATAACTTGAACATATAGCTTCCAGACAGGGAACTGCTTGCGAGAAATAGCGCACCACAGGTCCTGGTTATGGAAGTCGGGATTAACTCCAGCCATGCGAGTTGCATCTTCCTTCGAAAAATGGGTGATTTCGTCGACAGGTCGGAAGTGGAATTTGCAGTAGCGGAATCGGCCCTCGTCCGTCACCATCTTGAATGTATGCACGCCAAAACCGGTGACTCGACGAATGGAATCGGGAATACCCCGCGAGCCGAAAAGATGCATCAAAGCGTGGACACTTTCGGGTTGGTTCACATGGAAGTCCCAGAACTGGAGAGTTCCGTTAGTAGACGTAATGAAGTAGAAATCACCAGATGAGACTTACCATAGTCCAATCGGGACGGTTAGTCGAAGGGTGTCTCTTGTGACTCCTGTTCAACGAGGGGAAGCGAATGGGATCGCGGACAAAGAAGACCGGCTGATTTGCGTTAGTATGCCAGTTATAGGTGCAAACTGAAGAGACAGAACTCACAATATGGTTTCCCACAATGTCATGATTACCTTCTTCGGTGAAGAATTTGACAGAGAAGCCTCGCACATCCCGAACGGTATCTGCGCTACCCTTTTCACCACCGGTCGTACTAAGGCGGAACAGGACTGGAGTCTTCTTGCCGACTCCATTCATAAACTTGGCCGAGGTGAGCGAGGAGATATCGTTGGTTACTTCAAACTCGCCCCAGGCACCGGCTGCCTTAGCATGAACAACTCTACAAAACCCAGTAAGTAAATGATAGGCATCGAAAGATATCAGATGTCTACACACCTCTCGGGGATGCGCTCCCGGTTGAAATGCGTGAGGGTCTCGATGAGAAGAGTATCTCCTAGAGTAGTGAGACCACCACCGCCCAAGGTAGGCAAGGTGATGCTTGTGGATGGGTCGATGACGGGCTGGCCTTGGAGGATGTTAGATAAGGAACAATAATTGCTCAAAGGTAGTTCAACACCTTACCTTCGGCCAAAGTGAAATGAGGACTGGGCATTAGGAAGTTTTTGCTTTTCAATTCCTTTAAGAATGTGTGATATCGGGTTGACGCATAAATTTGGGGACTGAAGAGGGTTTTATATCTTGATCTATGTCGTCCTCACCCTTATCGCATACATGGCAGGCAAGGAAAACGATCCGAATTAAAGCCGACCTTGATACGTTTGATCAACACTACTAGAGTGATGCATGAGGCAATACTATGATAAGCCTATCTGAGACGATAGGCGTTCAAAGTATGAACAAAAACCCCTCATACAGATATCCGTAGGATCTGTATAGTGCCGGTCTAACCGTGTTCCTATTTCGTAGTCACCATGAGCTCCTTCGGGGCATTGTGGAGATTGGGGGTGGATCTCCAGTATTCTGGAGCCTTGTGATATCATTTCTCAGTGAAGGTCATGACCTTTTTTAGAGATTAACGAAGTTGACCCCAGGGCAAAAGGATCTTACCTGCAGGAGTCTAGATCGCCGAGTTTCCGCCGCCGAGTCAACTCCGAGTTCCAGCCACAGTCCAGGATTCTGTGGCTGTCCGTAATATGGCGTTTGTGATTGGCCAGTTGTGCCACTCGATTGGGAGAAAGTGGAGACGAATTGGAGATTTCTTCTCCGCTTTCTGGCAGCCCCTCACGAGGGGGAAAGACACGTCCAATCAGCCAATCAATCACCCATCAGTCACGAATCAGTCAAGAGTCAGTCAAAATGCAGTCAAAATGCGGTCACCGCCTTTCCTTTTCATTCGCAAAGTCTCTCTTCGGCCCGTCGGGCACATTACTACATCCATCACTGTCATTGGTCGCCCTATTTTACGTCAGACCCGCTACTGCATCCAGTAATACTACCAACTCGAGTATAGCTACAGATCCTGCGATGTTTTCGAGACGGAGAAATCAATCATCTCCAACGTCAACACTGTTTCTGACGCCGGACTTTGTTCGGCGCCATCACGATGACTTCCGGATCCCGGCAAGAGCGCTATACCTGAACATGATATCAACTTCAAACTGTCCAAAGGTATAAAGCTGACTGCCTTTTCCAGCTATAGATGTTTTCCTCCCCATCAACAATTCCAAAGACATTGGAACAATATCAGAATCACCTTCGATTAATCATTCTCCTTCAAAACATCAACCACCACCACCATCACCATGGCTATGGTTTCTAACGGCTCCGAGTACGACTTCATCATCGTAGGCGGTGGTACTGCTGGCAATGCCGTCGCCGGTCGCCTCGCTGAAAACCCCAACGTTCGCATCCTGGTTGTGGAGGCGGGTATCCCCAACCCCGACCAGATCGATGAGATCACTACCCCCTCCAAGGCTTTCAACCTTCGTGGAAGCAAGTACGATTGGGCCTACAAGACCACCATGATCAAGCGTGACGACTACGAGCGAATTGAGAAGCCCAACACCCGTGGCAAAGCTCTCGGTGGCAGCTCCTGTGCCAACTACTTCACCTGGATTCCCGGCTCCAAGCCCACCTTTGATGACTGGGAAGACTTTGGCGGACGTGACTGGACTTGGGACAATTGTGTGGACTACCTCCGCAAATGTGCTACCTATCACGATGATGAGAAGCTCTACCCCACTGAGCTGAGTAAGATCGGAACCGGCGGTCCTTTGCAAATCTCTCATGCCGAGCTGGTCCCCGAGATGCAGCCATTCCGTGATGCCCTTACCCAGGCTTGGGTCTCCAAGGGTGAAGTTCTCACTGAGGATATCTACTCTGGTGAGATGCGAGGCTTGACCCACTGTGTCGATACTATCTACAAGGGTGAGCGCCAGGGCAGTTTCCTGTACCTGAAGAACAAGCCCAACGTGACCATCCTGTACGGTGTTCAGTCCAAGAGCTTGATCATCGATCCCGTTACCAAGGTCTGCTCTGGTGTTACCGTCATCAGCGAGGCATCCAACACTGAGATCAGTGTTTATGCCAGCCGCGAGGTCATCGTGTCTCAGGGTGTGTTTGAGACCCCCAAGCTCCTCATGCTCAGCGGTGTCGGTCCCGCTGATGAGCTCGCCAAACACGGAATCGCCCCCGTCGTCGACTCTCCCCACGTTGGCCAGCATCTTCTGGACCATCCTATCGTGCCGTTCGTCCTTCAGATCAAGGATGGCTTCGGTCTCGATGACCACCTGCTCCGCGCTGGTCCTTTGAACGATTCTGCCGTTGCTGCCTACAAGCGCGACAAGTCTGGTCCCGTTGGCTCTGGTCTGCTGGAGCTGGTCGGATTCCCCCGTATCGATGAGCGCCTGGAGAAGTATCCTGCCTATCGCGAGGCCAAGGCTGCCAACGGCGGTCTGGATCCCTTCGGACCCGCTGGCCAGCCTCACTTCGAGCTGGACTTTGTTGGTATCTTCAGCACTGCCTTCCAGTGGCACTACCCCCTTCCCGAGAAGGGCAACTACATGACCGTCATTGTTGATCTGCTCCGCCCCCTGTCCGAGGGTGAGGTCACCCTGAACAGCGCGAACCCCCAGGTCCAGCCAAACATCAACCTCAACTTCTTCGCCAATGACCTGGATATTCTGGCTATGCGCGAGGGTGTGCGCTGGACCTACGACGTTCTGACCAAGGGTGCCGGCTTCAAGGACATCGTCCTTGGCGAGTACCCCTGGAAGATGCCCCTGCACTCCGATGATGAGATGAAGCGAGCTGTTCTGGACCGCAGCCAGACTGGATTCCGTAAGTACCATCTTTCATCCTTAATTCTCTCAAAACATCACTAACATACTCTCAAGACCCTTGCGGTACCGCCCGTCTCTCGAAGAGCATCCACCAGGGTGTCGTTGACTCGAAGCTCCGTGTCCACGGAATCCGCAACCTGAGAATCGCTGATGCTTCCGTTATCCCAGTCATTCCTGACTGCCGTATCCAGAACTCTGTCTACATGATTGGTGAAAAGGTGAGACACAAAACACTCCTACTAAAAATTGATATCAATATCTGACGATTATTCTAGGGTGCGGATATCATCAAGGCTGCGCACAAGGATCTCTACGAGGCCCAGGGCGTTCCCTACTTTGTCTCTAGCAGATTGTAGATTGTCCAACATGGAGAGAGCCCAGACATACTGAGCTAGAGGTGTGAACATTGTACTTTCTATTGTTCTTGTTATTGCTCTTTATTTTGAGATTTTTATATAGATTGAATAAATTTCCTTGCGTTCAAAGTCGATGAGTAACTGATAAAGTAATCTGGCATAAGCTGACCCCTCTTACGAGTCGAACAACTCCCTCACCGATTGATCAATAAAACATTTCGATGCTTTCCATCACTCCTCCCAATTAAAATTAATCACAATCCTCCCCGCAACCTGCCCCTTGCGAAGCTTCTCAACCGCCTCCGGCAGTCGATTTAGTGGATAAACTTCACTAATCTGCCTCAGCATCCCACGCCGCGCAAAATCCAACGCCGCCGCAGTATCCCTCCGACTACCCACCAAGGTCCCCTTAATACTAAGATTCTTAAAAACATACTCACAAGGATCCGTCCCCAAAGTCACCGACCCGACCGCAGGCAACCCAATACACATCACCATAGATCCCACCCGATCACCCACGAACGAAACCGCCGTCTTATACGCAGCAGGGGCCGTCACAAAGACACCGTGAACCCCGATTCCATCCGCGACCTTGATAACAGCCTTAGCAGGATCTTGTTCTTCTTTGAAATCGATGAATGCTTCTGCGCCCATTTTCAGTGATAAATCGCGTTTTTCACTGCCCGTGTCCACGACGATAGGGCGCATGCCCATTGCTTTGGCTAGTTGTACACCCTGGATACCGACACCACCACCGCCACCTGGGAATACCACCCAAGATCCTGCTTTGAGATTGGACTCAAGGAGCGACCGGTAAATCGTGCTTGCGCTGCACATAATCGGCGCGGCGATTTCATCGGGGACACCATCCGGAATGGGCGAGGCATATCGTGCAGGAGAAACCAGGTATTGCTGGTATGTGCCTGGATCTGAGTGTGAGACCTCATCGTGAAACTAACGTTTCATCAGATAATCCAACTCACCAGCAGTCATCAAGCCCGTATGAATAGCCGTCCTGCAGTACGTCTCCTTATCATCGCAGCACAAATGGCAAGAACCGCATGTATCAGTGAGCGGCTTGATACCAGCTCTATCACCGAGCTTGAAGTTCTTCACATTGGCGCCGACTTTGACGACAACGCCGGCACCTTCGTGACCCGGGGATCGAACGCCGAAGGTCGACATGGGTGGTGAACCCAGATCACCCTGCATCATATGGATATCCGAGGAGCAGAGGCCCGTGAAGTTAAGTCGAATCAAGACATCGTCGGGTCCTGGATAATGGCGAATTTGAGCAGTTAGTTACGGCTGCAAGATCGGATTGTGTACTGTATACCTGGTTCGGGAACTGGTACCGTTTGTACCTCGACATGGAAGTTTGGGCCTTCATTGACGACGACGCCTGCTTTGCAGTGGGTGGGGATTTCATATTGCTGCGTCTCTGGTACTGAACCCATGGTGAATTCTTGAGTAAGGCTTTGGATGCTTCATCACCCTTGCACGAAGACATGGATGTATATGTATCCTCGACCATTGAGATAGCCGGCCAGACACCGAGGAACGCGGCTGCGGAAAACCCCCGCCACACCAGCAACCCCTCTTTATGATGGAATCTTAATATCATGGTGCCGTTGCTGGTATGGTTCCCCTCCTCGTCGGGCGGAAAATGTGGGGAAGGGTAATCCCGTATATCCGATGTTTTTACCCTCAGGGCCGGCAATGTTCCGTTGTTGGTAGTTCGTAGTATTAATCGAGTGGACAGTCAACGAGATATAGTAGTTGAGAAGAAAATGAGATTCAAAATCCGGTATATATCAAATCCTGCCATTATTCACAAAACTCCATTCCACGCCAAACCCAATGAAACAAAACCCAAAATCTAACGCCAGTACATAGAACAAAGAAAGTTGAAAGAAAATAAGTATATCTAGTCCCAGATCAACCAGCCACATGATCCACCGAGAGTAGCCATCATCATGACAGTCAAGATACCTGCACCGGCTCTGTCTGCAGTGGTAATCTTGTACGATAGAGCCTTCGGCTTTGGCTCCGGGACTGTCCCTCCAGCATTAGGATTTCCCTTGCTAGTGCCACCATTGTCGCTGGTTACAGGCGGAGCAACGCGAGTGATGAGGTTGGCCTGGACAACCTCAAGAGCTGCCATCTGCTGACCGAAATCCTTGGTATGATCCCATTGTTGATCAGTCCATTTCAAGCCACAGGTAGTCCCCAAAGCTCCTCCTGTGCAGGTTTTGGCAGCAGCTTGCGCAGATGCCTTCAACTTGGGCATAATCTGGTCAAAAGTGAACGGGGCCATTTGAGTGGTGGCGGCCATCCATCGCGAGAGATAGCCCTTGAATGAACGTTGATCGACCATGCAGGTATTGACCGTTTCGCAGGCACGCTCATACATCACGTTCTGCGGCGTCTTGGCGAAGAATATCTCGGATGAGTCGAGGATCTTTTGCACGCGTTCTTTCCACTTGGGGTCCTCGGTCTGTCAAAAGTTAATTTCACTCATCCAATACTAACGGAGCTAGATGGCACTTACCACATTGTACATGTTTGCTGCGCCGAGCAAGAAAACCCCATTGTTGTAGGTCCACTCAATCTTGTTCATTTCTTTGCAGTCGGTCAAATCACTCGCTCCATCCCAGAAGTGATAATCTTCGGTCATGAAACCGACGTCGGAAATCCAGTCCCACGCCTTCTCTGCCCAATCGGAATACGTTTGGTTTCCGGTATATTTCGCAAGGCGTGAAGCGAGGTTGAAGAAACCACCTGTTGAGATGGTGTTTTTGTAGTTGTATCCGTTGTTCCACGTAAAAATCTGCCAGCGCAGTCCACCTCCACAAGTAGAAGGGTCCCATCGTGGGGCCTGCGTATTAAAGACAGCCTGAGCCATCTCCAGCCATTGGGGCTTGCCGTCTGGAGGATTGGGAAAGTTTCGCTCGGCAGCCGACATTGCCGCAAATCCCCAAAAGGCTTGGTCATCGTTTCCCTCGGTCTTCGATTGATTGTTGGGCATAAACGCGGCATTGTCGCCCGCTTGCCAAAGCAAGCCTTGCATGGTAATATCGTTGTAAGTGTCGTCCCCGGTGTAGAACCAGTAATCAACCAAGACATTGAACATTGCACCCGCCTCCCACCAGTAGTATGGATCTGGCAAGTTACCTGGATTGTCGCCAGGGTTCATACCAGTATAGTAGGTCATCATGTTGGTCGCAATATCCTTGGCTGCTTTCTTGATCGAGTCTGTTGCCGGTCAGCTTCCCATTCGTAAGTGTCTGGCAGGATGTTCTCACCTGCGTCTTCGACATCCAGATCAACAGCACCGACATATCCTAGTCCTGCTAGGCCAATTGTCAAGAGACCCGCCCATGAAGGGTGAGTCGAGTGGCCGGCCACTCTCATTATGTCTTTTGCGATCGATTAAGAGCCCGAAAGGCTCGAGTTAACTCTGGCGAATGGACCGGTGATTCGGCCTCAATTCAAGCTTTCCAGCAGAGAGAAGATTCTGCCGGCGAGGAAACTGTTGTAAAGACTCGATTCACGCCGTGGTTCACGGCGATCTAGCTTCTTCATGCGAACGCGCAAAGAAGAGGATGAGAAGGAAGGAAAGAAAGAAAGAAAGAAAGAAAGAAAGAAAGAGCGCAACGTCAGTAACCATGAGGGGAAGCCGCGCGAGAGGGTCGCGTGTGGATCAAACGATCACATTCCGTAGATACTAGGAGTGCTGGCATGGTAACAGCACTTCCATCCCTCGAATCATCGTGGCACCCTTGCCCAGGAGAAAAGGACCCCTGGGCCATACGGCTGACCGCACAAGGAGGTCGCCAGCGAAAGCATTGTCTCCATACCCGGAATAAGTGCTAGAGGAGAAACTACTGCAACCATAGAGCTATCAATGTGTCGAGGCTTCCATGGTTCTAGCTTGCTCTGCTCCACGATGGGGCTCTGCGTGGAATGCGGGCAGCTTGCTGTCAACCTCAGCGACACGATCGATAGGGACAATTGAAGGAGTATGCCCAATCATGACTGCCAACGGACTGTTAATATGGAGTCAGTCTTTCGAATGGTCGTGACCGCAAGCGAGTCGCGATGCAACAATGGCCGCATTCCGTCGTTCGTCATGGGCCATCCCTTTCCGGAAGGGGGAATGGTCGGGTCTCGCCCCTTTGCTGCATTTTGGAGATGAGGAGGGTCAAATAGGCCAAGGAGACAAATCAATTGTCCTGAGGTAGGGTCCTGCTCTTTGAAGTGAATTGACATGTCAAGTGAGGAGGTTAAGCTTCATCAGTGTGATCAGTGGTGGTTGACAAAGGAATGGCGGACACCTTGATTTTCAGGCAGAAATAAGCACCGCATCTCAACCTGAAGCCCAAGGTCATCCAAACTATTCCTATAGAGTATATTGCATGCTGATTGAAATTAAAACGATCTTTGCTTTTGGGAGATGTTGTGCCGTCTTTAATACACTGTCATCTGGCCGACCTGGTGCTTAGTTGGGTACAATATATCTAGATCGATCGATTGAGCGGGAGATTGCAGGATTTGTTTACGAGCCCCCACCTATACCTAGTTCAATCCTCATTTTCCAGTGCTTGTATCCTAGAGAGCGAAATATTAATCAATATTCGCGTGACTAGAATATTGAAATATCTAAACTACCATGTAAATGAACATGGATGAGGGGGCGACAGTGGAATGGTTGCTCCCGCTACGAATGGGCTTAGTAGGTAGTTCCCCCAAAATGGAAATGTATTTATTTTCTGGGAGTTGTATTCTCTTTACTTTAGTATTCAGATCCATTATTTATGGATTGATGAATGATATCCTCTGCTGACTTGATAGAGTACCGAGGTAGTTCTGCAATGTACTAAGCCTATCTTATCTGCATGTCGGCGCCAATTTAGGACCCGACAATAACTTCACCGAGATGATTCCCCTGCCAAGAGTCCAAACAGTCTTAGCGCTGATGAACCCTTCGCCTTGTTTGGAATTTGCTCATCCTTTACCAGATTCAACCGGGAAACTCCATGGTTCCCCGGAATCACCGAACCAACTAGTCCTGACTGAGTAGGTCCCTGCAGCAAAATGATGCACATCAGACATCCCACCTGCCACGGTTGTAGAACCCCCTCGATCAACCGGTCGCTCACGATGCAACTTCACCCTCTCCTGGTGACACGCGACAGCCGTGATCACCGGCAATATTTATCTCGACACGACCCCAGATTTCACGGCACAACACCAAGGCTATCTCTATCGGCCTTGAACAACAAGAACAAGATTATCTACACATGAATCTGTCGCAGACCCTCAGCGCCCTCTTAGTGGGCCTGGCAGGGGTACACGCAGCCAGAAACACCGCATCTCCTATCGTTTCAACTCCCGGTGATATCGCCGTCATCCCAGGATGGAGTCTCCAGTCCAGCACCCGCGTGGCGGACGATATGCCTGGCTTGTCCCAGCCCGGTGTGGATGTGTCTACTTGGCATCGTGTCGGCTCACGTGGAACCGTTATGGCTGGCCTGCTCCGCGCTGGCGTGTTCAACGATACGGAGTTATTCTATTCGGACAACTTGAACCAACTGGCCTCGGAGACTACTTTCCGTTCTCCATGGCTGTACCGGGAGGAATTTACGCTTCACCCGAGCGACAACCAGTACTTTACTCTGCATACCCACGGGGTCACCTCGAAAGCAGAGATCTACGTGAATGGTGAGCGGATCGCAACTAGCGATGAGCAACAGGGATCGTACGGTGGTCACAAGTACAATCTGACCGGTCATGTTAAGGATGGAACGAACTGTTTGCTTATCAAAGCTTACCCGACAAACTATCTACGAGACTTTGCACTGGGCTTCGTTGACTGGAACCCCTATCCTTCAGATAACGGCACGGGCGTGTGGCGAAACGTAGAGATCTCTCAGACAGGCCCGGTCTCGATGTCTCCTTTCCGCGTCATCACTGATCTCAAAAAGCCTGACCAGAACCAGAAAGTTAACGTCACGCTGAAGACTGACCTGGTCAATCACGCACGAAAGACTGTCCAAGTGTCAGTGAATGGTACCATCACCCCGCCACCAGGATCAAAGGCTGGGCCCATCACACGATCTTTCGAACTCAAGCCCGGCGAGACCAAAACAGTCTCGATCAAAGTCGCCGTTGAGAATGCCTCGATTTGGTGGCCTGCCAGCTGGGGTACGCAGCCACTCTACACAGTCCAAACCAACTTGCTTGTCCATGACAAGACAATGAAAATCTCGGACAAGACCCAGGCTCAACAGTTCGGTATCCGACAAGTGTCTTCATATGTGAATAAGCACAACGACACGGCATTTGTCGTGAATGGTCAGCCGTTCCAGGTGATGGGAGCCGGCTACGGGCCGGACATGTTCATGCGTTTCGATGGGACGCGCGTGGAGAAGATCTTCCGGTACATGCTTGACATGGGAATGAACACGGTCCGTCTGGAAGGTAAACAGGAGCATCCAGAGCTGTACGAGCTTGCTGATCGAATGGGGATGATGGTACTTGCCGGCTGGGAATGCTGTGACAAATGGGAGGGATGGGAGGTAAGATCTTCTACTACAATCCTGTATCTTGGAGCATTACTAACTGAATGACAGTACAACAATGACGCCCAGGGAGTCAAGTGGGGAGAATCTGACTACCCCATTGCCCACGCTGCAATGCTCCACGAAGCAGAAATGATGCAAGCACATCTTTCCATGCTGGGCTTCCTCGTAGGCTCAGACTATTGGCCCAATGACCGTGCCACCGAGGTGTACCTCGATGCCTTGAAAGACATGGACTGGCAGAATCCCATCATTGCATCTGCCAGTAAACGCGGTTACCCCGAAGCTCTGGGCCCCTCTGGAATGAAGATGGACGGTCCGTACGACTGGGTCCCTCCCAACTACTGGTATGGTGACCAGGAAGGTGCTGCATTCGGGTTCGGCTCCGAGCTTGGAGCGGGAGTTGGTACACCCGAGATGGGTAGTCTGAAGAAATTCATGTCTGAGAAAGATCTGGAAACGTTATGGAAAGAGCCAGATGCCAGTCTCTTCCACATGTCCCGATACGACTCGCAATTCTTCGATCGCTCCATCTACAACAAAGCTTTGTTCGCTCGGTATGGCAAGGCACAGAATCTTGAGGACTATGTCTTAAAATGCCAGATGGCCGATTACGAAGCGACTCGTGCTCAGTACGAAGCATACTCTGCCAAACAGAATGCGTCTCGCCCTGCGACGGGATCCATCTACTGGATGTTGAACAGTGCTTGGCCAAACCTCCACTGGCAATTGTTTGATTACTATCTGAGTCCAATGGGAGCATACTTTGGCACAAAAGTCGGCAATCGCCTAGAGCACGTTGCATACGATTACGAGAGTGAAAGTGTCTGGTTGATCAACCATTCCTTGGACCTGACCGGTGACCGAGAAATTTCTATTGACCTGATTGACACCAACGGGAAGAAAATTTCCGGAACCAAGGTCAAGACAACCACCGCGCCGAACTCGTCCAAGGAAATCCAACAAGTAATCGGGATCGACAAAATCACAGATATCGCATTCTTGCGCCTCGTCCTCCGCGACACAAAAGCAAAGCGAGACGTGAGCCGCAATGTGTACTGGCTCTCTCCTAAACCCGACGTCCTCAACTGGGATAACTCTACCTGGTACACCACCCCGGTGACCGATTATGCAGACTACAAAAAGCTGGAAAACCTTGCTTCCGCGAGTGTCAAAGCCACAGTGCAAAGCGTGAAAGCCAAGACCAAGGATGGCTGGACATACGCTGACGTCCAACTGGAGAACAAGTCCAAGGTTCCCGCCGTGTTCCTGCGACTGAACGCGATCAAGTTGTCTGATGGTGCAGAAGTTGCACCCGTTTTCTGGTCAGATAATTATCTGACACTCTGGCCTAATGAGAAACTTCGCGTGTCTGTTGGCTTCGAGGGGGATATTAAGCAAACAGTTATTGAGCTGTCGGGTCGGAATGTAAAGAAGCAAAGTCTGAAGAGCGCCAAGTAGGGAGGGGGCTTAGATGGAATATTGTGGCTAAAGGGAGATATGACTTGCTACATACAAACGCTCTCTGGGCTCGAAGCTATGTAATGGGCTGTAGCTGCGTCCTTGCTCAAGAAATATTTGCAAATTGATTGACGAGTTAAGAATTCCCTAGCTAATGCATGTACAAATGAAAAACAACAAATGAAAAAAGCTCAACCTCCATAATTAGAAACAATGCAAGTGTACAGTATACAACAAAGTTATCGAGTAAACGAATGCAAATGTAAAAATCATCCTCACGGGTCTGTAAAGATTAACCTGCAGCTTGTAACAACCTCAAAACATGCTCCATCTTCGAACCAGAGTATTCAATCCCAAGCACAGTAGGACTCTGCAGATTCTCCGAGTAAAGCATATGCAGTTTCTGCTTAGGTGTATCACACAACTCAGGCGCTTTATGAATATCTGGAAACGAAAGCAACTCTTTCGTCGGCGCAGTAGCCCACAAATAATACAGTGAAATGCTCTGTAAAGACTCGAAGCTCTGACTCAGCTCTTTCAGAACAGACATCCAGTCTTCATCTGGCGTCAAAGACACATGATAGAGTGTGAGAGTTGTTAGATTCCCGCGCAGACCGTGAAGAAGCTTCTTTAAGTCCGGAACTTGAACTGAAGTCCTGAATAAGGCCAGTTCCTGCAAGTTCGGGAACGAAGCTGTCTCCGCTAATTCATGCATGAATTCACTTGCCAGATCGTGAGAGCCAAGATTCAACAAAAGAGTCTGGAGATTAGGAGCACTCAGCACAAGTTCGAGAAGAAATCCAAAATTATCGAGCGTGAGATACTGCTCCAGGGACAATTTCCGCAAATTCGACCAAACCATCTTAAACTCAGGCTGTCGATACAAAAGTTTCGGCATACGACGCATGTCCATGACCAACGTGCGAGAATACTTATTCGCATAGATCAAATGGAAAGACGTCACCGGCAACTGGGCATCAACAACCAACGCAAAAAACACCGCGACCGCATCCGAGATAGTAACACAGTTCATATCCGGATGACCCTCGGGGTATCGACAGAAAATGAAAAACGATCTGCAATTCGTGAACTTGGTGACTAGATTATCGCGTAATCGACCGATCGCTTCGATCTCCAAGGGCGCAGACAAGGGACCCCAGGGGTGTCGGTCCCAGACTAACCCGCGACCAACGCCGTTTTGAAGCATAAATGCTAGACCGTGGACGTATGGGCGCAGTTCTTCATGGCGAGAGAGGGCATCGATGCGACCGAGACTTTCCTCGGAGAGATCGGTTTTGATAGATGAGAAGAAGCGGCGCGCAAACTGGTGGAAGGTCTTCTTCTGCAGATCGCGACATGTCAAGCGCAGTCCAAGTAAGCCCTCGCATTCTAAATGGCCCGCGATGAGCTCGACGAGTTCGACTGCGAGGCAAGGAAATGACGAGTCGGGAGGGTGTGGATGCGGTTTCATTCTGCTGGAGATCGTGTATATACGGGGCAGAGATATTCACATTTTCAAACGTTTCTCGCAAGTTCTGGTCCCCATGAAGAGAAAAGAGGTGGGGCACGTGGAGCTTCCCCAGATTTTAAGGAATAATAAACCCAGTCGCATCTCAGTGGCTGCAGAAGTCGTTTACCCCTCACTTGCGAGTGGAGGACAAAGCAGAAGTACACGCGGGTCCGGCCGGAAGTATCACATGGAGAAGTGCGGAGACATCTGGGGAGAGATTGGAGACCAGACATCATTGAAGCTTAATATGGTCAAGACGAGATAACCTGTGATCAGGCTAGGGAAATCTATCATATACAGAGACCTGTCTAGAGGTCATAAAGCATATAAAATGAAAAATACATAAAAACCCAACCAACGCCCGCCAAATGAAGGTGTCACCATGACACATCGAGTGCAACAAAGAACCAACCCATGAATCATCAATGCTCCATGGACTTGGAAAGTCCCTTCCACATCAGACATCGATCCAACTGGTCTTGAGGAACAGGTTCCATCTCCGTCGACCCCGTCTGTATCTTCAGTCGTTGCCCATACCCAATACCCCACGTCTTCCAGACGGGCGCTTCCTCATACTTATACACATTAGGATCCAGCGCCTTGATAAAGCTGAGGTAATAGTTCATCGTGATGGGCACGATCTTGGCGTTGACATTAGCGAAGGACTCGGATGCTTGGTTGGTGTCTCCCAAGCCGAAGATGGCCGGTAGCTCGAACACATGAGGCACTCCCATCCCGTTCGCAGTCTCTACCGGATCTTGGACGTTGAATCGGTAGTTCCATACTTTATAAGAGGAGAAGTATCGGGCCATCATGGAGGCCATGTGGTTCCCCGGACAGGTAAAGGTCGACTCGCCATATGCCTGTGCGGCAGATGGAAAGTATGCTGCATGTTTGGGAAGAGGATCCATCAAGGGGTACGACTGGTTGATCTGATTCAAATCTTCATCACTGAGCCCAGGGTAATTGTTCTTCATGAACTGGATAACCTCCTCGGGAGTGGATGCATTGTATCCAAATGAAGTGCCTTCGTTGGTGTCATCGGTGACTACCAGAGGCACATGAATGAACTTGTTCTGCATGAACAAATTATACAGTCGATCAGTGATCAACACCCCGTCCACCACCGGCAGGAAATACCACAATGGAGTCGGCGAGTCACTTCCACCAGGGAAGGGCTTATCAACGTCATAATGCATAATAGTCGTGATATCAACTGAGCGCAGACAGGCAAGCGTGTTCTCTGACCCGCCACAGCCCACGTCCTGCGCGAACCGCTCGTACTGGAATTCCGTCTCTGCGACCGTGCGTTGCGTGGGCCAGAAGGTAGACTCCGCGACTGCACCGACAAAGAGATTCATATCGCGACCGTCGTATGCCGTGAGATGGTGAGCGACCGAGCCTGCTCCAGCCGAATCACCGTGAATCACTACATGGTTGGGATCACCTCCGAATTGACGGATATGCTGTTGCACCCACGCGAGCACCTTCCGCTGGTCCAGCAGACCCGCATTGAGGTCGCCGTCTCTGCGGATCTCCTCACTTGCCAGGAATCCGAGGGCGCCAACACGATAATTGAAGTTGACGAAGAGGATATCGTATCCTGATTGCTTCACAACTTCACTTCCATTGAAGTTGAAGTTCGCATTGTCTGCGTACCCACCTCCCTGGATGAACAACCAAACTGGGAGATTGGAGTCTGCCGTCGAATTGGACGGACGCCAGAGATTGACAAACAAGCAGTCTTCTCCCAGAGAGTCGCTGGTTCGTTGACCCACGCCAACACAAACGGGTCCGAACTGTTACTCGTTAGTTCTGCTGGTGCTACAGTCAATTGACAAGAACATACCGCGGTCGCATCCACGATTCCATCCGTCTGCTCTGGATCCTCTGGCCCTCGGAATCGCAACTCGTTCAGAGGAGGTTTGGCATATCGCATGCCCAGGTACTCATCGACGCCATTGCCTCTCGCAATGCCCTGGTAGCGGGAGTAACCGAGGTCGACAATTGCGGAACGGGTCAAGGGTGAGGCAGATAATGAGATCTCCAAGAATGCCAGCAACCAGCACAATTGCCATGCGAAAGAACATGGCGGTGGCCTGGAATGCATATGTGTACGAGTACAGTGGCTGGACTGGTGCCGGCTTGGCTGACGACACTCGGCACTAAAGAAGGGGGCTAACCTGAGAAAGGACTAGAAGATTGATGCGTGGGGAATTTCTGGGGTTCCCGAAGGTTCAGGCATCACAACTGACTCAGCTTTGAGGATTCTCACTGCTGATTTCCTATTTCGGAAGTCGCTGTTCTCGGCATTTGGACTGATTTGATAGAACCTCTTGGGACACTCATATGGATCGAATCAGAATTATATTATTTGCATTGTCTATAGATATTACTAAAAGGAACATTGAAGTTAAACACTGAGGCTGAAAGTCCATAAACCTTTCTAAACATGTTTATATTTCCGACTGGTTGATTTTGTTTTCGTGCAAGATGACACCCTCCATTTTTACCTAGAGATGCTGGTATTTGAATCCAACGGACTTGTAAGGTTTCACTTGGCGAGTTTCGTGAAGAAATACCTTTATTCACGTCTCTCGGTAAACTTCCTAGAAACAAGAATAAGGTCCCTGAACAAAGTTAGTATAGACAAGTACCGAAAACCAGTTTCCCAACATTGTATTTGGATCACATCACTTGCTTGGTGTCATGAATGGAAATTACCTGCTATCGCGCATTTTAAGAACAGTCGGCTCGTACCGAGTTCCAAACAACTCAACCGCAAGAACCGCGACGCGATAGATGGCACACGCTAGGAACTGGGGATGATGAAGGAGCTCATCTTGCTCAGCTCTCGCGGTCAAGGACTTCATACGTACGAAGGGACATTCCATTGTCATGGCGTTCAATCTTCCCCCCGTATCTCAAGAATGAAGCCTCACAAAATCTTCGAGTAGCTTCCCCAAGTCTCGCAAGGCTGACAGAAGGCTGAACGGGATAAGCACCAACCTTGAAAAGACACCATGATGACCATCAGTCGGGTTGACCGGACTAGGCTGTATATCTGGAATCGACGAGATGTCAGAGCTTTTCAAATGTGAACTTAATGGACTGGAAGCATCTACCTTTGTCGCAGGAGGATCGCATATCTGCACCAGAAACGTCCTTGGCTGCTGGGTAATGGCGAGAAGATTCCTGTCCGATGATACGATCTTCGTGAGTTGTCTGAGTACATTAGGAGAAGAGAAGCAACGCAATATCCCTCGCCGCATTCATAATCGTAACAGTCGTTAAGGACTTCGGTTCAATTTTGTCATCAGTTACTGGCCAGGACAGAGAAGTTGTTCGATCCTCGCGCAGCTGGAAACCTTGTTGAGCCTTTCGTGAATGTCAGCTTTGATTCCGACCTCCATCCCTTGAAAACTTTAAGTACCATAGCCACGATGTCATGGACTCTTAAACATTGAGAAAAAAACAAGACAAGAACCTGGATATCGGGTAGCCTTCATAGAGGATAGACTGTCGTTGTTCAAGATCTTGAGCTATATGAAACCATCGTGCTCATTTTTCACTGAAGGGGTCCGGATAGTGGGACCGAAAGATATCTGAACCCAGGGCCCATAGACGCAGGCCCAAACCGGAACTAGTTATAAGCATTCTTCAATCTCCAGAATGCTCAAGCTCTGGCATCTCTTCCTCAAAGGTTGCTGGTTGAATAAATCGTGGCTTCAATTGATGCCGAACGATGAACCCGTGACAGAAAAGGGTCCGGAGCGATTGTATTTTATAAGAGATTTTCCGCATGTAATTTTTGTAATATATAGGCCCGGAGTAATATAGTGGATGCGAGCGATGATAGTAGGCCACAGAAGGAGGTGGTCCAAGTTGTATATATGGAAAGGGAGAATGGAAGTAGACAAATCTGTTGATTCTAAACAGGGTGAAATGTAGTCCACTAAAGGGTAGTGAACCACAAAGACATGAAAGAAATTATAACGGGACTTTCCGTTCTATTATCTCTCATATCTGGGCGTAGCTAGGTGGGTTATGAAACATGATGAGACAACAGGAGCTACCCAGTATCGCGATTTCGACCCCGCGGGAAACTTCCATATCAAATCAACTACATGGATGGTCGTCTAGAGGTGGACCGTGGGGTCAGAAAAAAAAGCCATGAATCAATAAACAATTATCATGCTACTTTCATAACTCATCATTCATATCGTACAAAATCATCAAGCGTATCTCTAGTATACATGGTGGTGGCTTCCCCGACCGTCAGTTCCGTGCATGCGTCGAGTGCCAGCAGCCTAATAAAAACGATCAGTGGGATGATCAAAATAATCTTCCGAATCCATAAGTACATACCTTGACACCGGGACGGCGAGTCAAGCTTCCCTTCAACTTCATCATAGCTCCAGAGACCTTATCACCCATAGTGACCTTGCGCTTGTGGTGGTGCTGTGGCTGGGAAACACCCCAGCGACGCTTGGAGGTGCGGTGCGTAGCAGGACCGTGACGGGTAGTTGTGGTCTTGGTCTTGACAGTCTTCGTTCGGGCATTGGGCCCCTTCAGACGGGTCATAAGGGATGGCTTGCTTTCGCGGGTAGTGGTAGTAGTTGGGCGATGATGACGGCGGAACATTGTGGCGGCTTATAAATTTGATAGTGGTAGTATTGATGTGATTTGGTATAGAGAATAATATTCAGTGTTGTAACAGGTATATTGAAGATGAAGATGGAGATAAACGCTCACAACGAGACATCCATGAGTTTAAATAACAACAAGTCAAGCGAACTATCCAGCTACCATCACGAACGTACGCCAAGCGTAAAGTCGCCTTCCAGAATGGAGATGACAGGGCACGACAGGGGTTGTATGGAGTGGCGCTAAGCCTGGCACGTCATCCGTGGAAAGATCGGCGCTAGTAACCTCCAACTAAACTAACCACACAGGGGACAGCATGTCACAGTTAATTTATTTCTAGCGATTTGATTGGCGATAAATCCTGTGGGGAACGTCATGCAGAATATTGTTGGTGTGATTCTATTTGTGTCTGCATCACAGTGTTCGAGGAAGCTCTCTGATAAGGTCATTTTCTTGTTTCGGGTGACATCATCAAACCATATTGAGACCTTACAGGAGGGGAGATAACAACACATGCAGTCGATCGAGATGTTATTGTGACATCGATGTGATACACGAAATGCAGAGATATTCATGGAAATCAACGCTATCTGAATGCCCAATATTAAAGATCCAGGCTGATGATGTCAAGGGCTACTCCTCACACCGATAGTTTGTGGACACTGTTGTCTTCACTTCTACGTTCGCAAATAACATAGATCTGCGACAAAAAGTCGCCTACAGGACGCAATAATTTCGGCAGTCAGATAAAACTTGTAATAGGAAACTAACGCATAGATGATGGATTCGCGGAATCGCTAGAAACATTATAATCAAAGGACGGTATCCTCCGCAGTGCAGTTGACCGCTACCTTTAGAAACGCTTAGAATACCTAGAATCCAGATCTCGACTGAATGTATTATTTGAATTACGTGATAACCGGGATTTGAAACAGACTGAGAATGAATAGGGGAAAAAAGCAAAAAGCTCCAAATCATTCGTGTCACTTGCTCACAATCAAAGACTAGTTGCGTTTAATCCTGTCGGAGTCGCGGTCACATCCCTTCTCAGGATCCATCTTGGCTGGCGAAATGATACTCCCATTTTCCAACTCACTCGCTTGGGGACAGCAGTAGAGGATATTCGGATGCAACTCTGGTAACTTTTCCCCGGCTGTGCCTGCGCGTCGCAGCCCAAGAAGAAGGTCCCCCTTATCACCCCAGAACAGCTTTTCATGACTCCAGTCGTCTACCAACTCCAAAACCTTTTCAAAGTTTCCATAAGTTGCAGGAATCCTGCCTTTGGATCTTATATTCATCATATATTCCGTCAAGGCCACCAGGAGCATAAAGGCAGCCATCAAAGCGATTATTGGCAATAGCGCAATGTTGATTGTTAGATTTGAGAAGAATGCATATCCAAATATCCAGTGAAGTATAGCTTTGATGACTGACAAGAACAGCCCCTGCCGGATGAAACTGGAGAGAATCGAAGGGTTGGGTTTTGATCCAACTGTTTCCATACTATGCCACACGGCTTCGTCACTGAATAGATTGAACTGCAGCTCCAGACAGTGTAGGGCCAGAGCGAGGAACGACTGCAATATGATCTGAACAAGTAATGTTATCCAGGATGCGCTGGGGTTTATTGTCGTGCGGGGGTCAAACCACATGGTTCCGTAGAATTTCCAATACTCCAGCGCGTCTTTAGGCCAGCGAGCGTCAAGATCTAGCAGAGTTTGTTCCTGATAGAGCCCGGTATAGATACCCTGTCCAAGGGACCAAGCCGCGAATAGTCCAAAAAAGCCCCATACAAGATAACGGACCGGTCGAACTTTTGGCGCTACATTGAGCATCGAGTCCTGTAATGTGCGACTTGGGAATTTTGCACAATTCTGCCTTTGATATTTCTGAGATCTCGCTATAGCCTGTGCATTGGCAAGAAGGTTGTTGCTCCATGTCAAAACTCCGCTACTGCATAATAGGCTGTAAGTTGACACGCAGACTTGAAGGAGAAGCCCTAATCCTAAGGCAGTGACCGCTAGAGCGTTTAATTCAACGAAGCTTTTGGTTGACAAGAGATTGTCCGATATCTGCGGATCTTCATTTTCAACGGTCACATCCGCCAGCATACAAGATAGTGAGCCGTGTGAAATCACCAACCCTGTGCCAGAAATCACGTTGAAGTACCAGCTGTTTGGCCCATGGGACTTCGAAGCCGTGAATAAGCGATTATTTGAATTGAAATTTAGTCGCTCCTCGTGGAAGAGCGTCCATCTGAGGGTAATGGCATGGATGTAGTTGACCGAGTCAAGCACAGTTGCGACGAGAAAATTCAACAACAGACTCACTAGCACAGCTAGCCCATAACCGAGTTGATAGATGCGACGAGCGGTAGGTAGTGTCTCTGGAGTGTATGCGTATGAGTCTGAATAGAAGTAGATGTCGTAGTCAAGTCCCTCAAGGCTTGGTGGAACCTTCCTTTCTTTAGGGCTCATAATGAATGACCCTCCAACAGCGAAGAATATGGACACAGCCCAGCCTAAACCCAGTCCAACTATACAAAAGTTCCTGGTCTTTAACCCTGGGTCGGGACTTGCGTTGATTGGCGGACAATTATCTGGCGCTGGACTTGTTGCATCATTTGGCTCGGGAGGTAATTTTGGGAAGGATGGCAAACTATGAGAATGAGAAGTCATTCTTGATGGTGTGACGCCCGATTCTAAGAAAATATCAGCAAAGTGTACGAACTCATATTGAAGGTTGTGTAAAAGCGTTAGGAGCGATCTTTTCGTACCTAAGTTAGACCCTCGTCGATAGTCAATATGGGGGCCGTGCCGTGCGGGAGTATCTTGAACGATCAATGGTTGAAAATGACGTTGATTTATTTTATGATATTTCGCATACGACTTCAAATTGGGAATATATAACGTGAAACAAACCCAAAGCATTAGGGAGAATCTATATGCAGGTGTGGGACAGTCGAGGAGGACTCGAAGATGAGGCTCAGCAGCAAGGGGGGATATTAGGCTGACATTGGAATGTAAGGCAGGCCGTGCAATCGCCATTTCACCCGGGCTGAAGGGATCGCATTGTAGTTAGGGATCAGTCATCTTAAAACCGGAAGTAAAGTGCGTCGGCTTCCTCGATGCAGGTTTACTTCCAAAGAGAATATATGTAGATTGACAAGGTCGCCCGTAGGCTAATCGCTAGGATGAGGTCTTCCGATATAGATAGAAACATCTGATATCGACGGAGATAACGCAGGATAATCACGAATAATCTGCGGAATGGCCAGTATCATGAGGCATGGAAGCTGATGGAAATTACGATTCGAAGCCTGCCTTCCGAACTCGATAGATATCCATATCGCCGGAGTTTGCATTTCTGGGTGACTGCACCTGTTATTGTTCGTCCTTAATTAGGCCCGAAAATCCGGGTCGATCTAGGTGCCACCCGCGCGGCAAGCATAATTACACTTCGCTCCTCTAAAATTTTATTTTGTTCCATTGGGTAGTATTGATGAACGCTCCACGATTCTCCGTTCATATTCCTGATATCTCCAATATAATTCTCACTTCTGAGTAATTTTTTCCAGGGCCCAACTGAAGTAACACAATCATCACTGATTGCATCGTGGTAGCCCGAGGCGTATTCCCTTTTACTTAAAAAAGCATCCAAGGAGGAAGCAAGGGAAAGGCTAGGCGTTTAGACGAAACAAGAACAAACCCGAAGAATGTTCGGAGCACCTTACCGAATATGGTCAAGGCTCTCTGACATATTACTGGATGCTACTTAGCAAGTAAGACTGAAATTACAATAGTTCTGTGTTCGCGTATCATATCGTGAATATGTGCATCAATACTATGTTCAAGATCTGGAGCCTCCCAATTAAACAAACTAGAAGCTCTTCTTCAACCACTGCGTCTGCGAGTTGCAGTATCCCAAAAGACCACTCAGACCCCACTCAACACCAACACCACTCTGCTTGTGACCACCAAACGGCGCGTTAGGCGCGACGTCAAAGTGCGAGTTCACCCAGACCACACCAGACTCCAATTGGTCCGCGATACGAGTGGCACGGTCAAAGTCCTTACTCCAGACCGAGGCACCCAATCCAGTCTCAAGTGCGTTAGCCTTCTCGAGCACGTCGTTCTCGTCAGACCACTTCATAACGGGGAGGATAGGTGCAAAGGGCTCCTCTTGAACCACACGGGAGTTCTCGGGCGGGTTCTGGATAATAGTCGGGTGGATGAAGTAACCCTTTGATTCCTCGATAGTGCCACCGAGAACGGCCTTGAGGTTCTCGGTAGAGATGGAGTTGAAGAGGTCCTTGGCCTTTTCGAATTGCATCTTGTTCTGAACGGGGCCGAAGAAGACGTCCGCCTCGGTGCCGTCGCCGACCTTGAGAGTCTTGACGAAAGCGATTAGCTTCTCGAAGAACTGATCGTAGATCTTCTCGTGCACATAGAGTCGCTTAATCATCATGCAGATCTGGGAGCTGCACAGATAGGAGAGAATTCCAATCTATACATAATATTAGCTCTGATCTGTTGAGTACGATAGGGGAGGACCTACCTTGGGGATAATAGCGTCGATATCGACATCCTCGCAAATAATGCACGGGTCGTTACCGCCCAATTCAAGAGTAACGCGCTTCAGGGTCTTAGCACAGCTGGCCATGACACGCTTACCCGTGGCAATCGATCCAGTGAAGGAGATCTTGTCAATACCGGGGTGGTCGGTAAACAGGGGACCCAGGCTTTCGTCTCCACTCAGACACTGCACAACACCGGGAGGGAAGAAACGGGCTGCCAGCTCCACGAGCTTCAAGCCACAGTACGGAGTGAACGGCGATGGCTTCACAATAATCGTGTTACCAGTATACACAGCAGGCACAATCTTGCCAATAGCCAAAAGGACTGGGAAGTTCCAGGGCACGATAGCACCCGCAACACCCATGGGTGTGTACCGCTGAATGATCTTGCGATCCTCGGTCTCCTCGATGACATTCGTAGGGATCTCGAAGCTGCTAAGCCCGCGAATCCAGGTGCTGGCCATGCCGACTTCAGTGGTAGATTGAGTCAAGGGCTTACCCTGCTCCATTGTAAGGGTCTTGGCGAACCCGTCGAGGTTGGCCTCGATGGCATTGGCGTAGGCGTGGAGGGCGGCTCGGCGCTCCTCGAAAGAAGTCTTGGACCAGGTCTTGAAAGCGGCGCGGGCAGCTGCGACTGCCTTGTCCATATCTTCCTGAGTGGCGACGGGGACCTCGGGATTGGGCTCCGCGGTGGCTGGGTTGATACCATGGCGAGTCGCGGCGGTCGAGGTCAATTCGTTATTAATGACATTGTGGAATGTCTGTGCGATAGTTTATTAGATTATGTTGAATGGTCTGTATGTTCGTTGTAGAACCTACCGTAAAGTCCAAGGGACTATTCTTATCTGAGGCTGCCATTGTAGTATTCACAACTTCTGCAACGGGTCGAATGTGTGAAAAGTGAAGCAAAATTGTTGAGAAAAGAAAGAGGAAGAAGTGGGAATCGAGGAGGGGTAAAAAAGAGCGCTAAAGAGTCAGGCCTCCATCCCGCCTTTTTATCAGGCCGCCGACTTTATACAAATCCACTTCAGCTCGGCTATCGCCATCTCCAAGAGGCGGCACCGGAATCCACTGCCGTAAAAGACTTCCGGCTTACACCGTCGTGGTCTTTAGCATTATTGATCTACGATTCTCAACCATGGAAATTGCAGATCCAAGAGCGTGCTCTAACCCGACCGTCTAGACTCAGCGGAAATGTGAGCCGCCAAGCTATTGGCGACTATTCCCACTTAATTCGATCCAGTTTCCCGACTATTGGACTCCTCATGGCTGAAGGTTGATTTCATTGGCAGGATTATGACTGGCGGGGCTGTGACTTGGATGCGGGGAGAGAATGCGGGGTCTCTGTCTTATGTCTCAAATATTGGTTGATTTCAAATCCTTAAACTTTGTGATTAGCCTTGCATCGAATGAAATTCTTGCGCGAAACACCTCGGTCAACGTCTCGGGTTCTATACTCGGCATTCAATGCATGGCGGATATATTAAGCGGTACTTCAGCTCTGAAGAAGTATACTGTATGCTCCATGCATGCATGAGAGGTGTGTTATCTTCAGCCAGCCCAGAATTAATGCTAGTATCTGCTAATGTGAGATGGCTAATTACCCAACCAATCAGCGAATTTGATAGAGCGTCTTAGCTCTGCAGCCTCGGTAGAACTCCGGGTTACCCCACTAGTCGGTGAGAAGTATGACAAAAAAGAATATTGGAGAAAAATAAATCTTAAATTGATAAAAAACGATGAGGGTATCATGCCATTGCGATGTTAGAAAAAAACTAATAATACAGGAAAGACCGGCTATGTGCTCGCCAATGGCTCCTCAAGAAAGTCAGAAAAAGTCACAAAAAATCAAGTAAAAAAGATCCACGGAGTCATTGCTCCGTGGAGGAGTAGAGGGGAATCAAATCCTCCATCTACTCGATGGGCCAGCGACCCTTCATCTTGCTGGAAAGACCGGCGCGCTCAACAACCTCACGGCTGCGCTTCTTGGCCTCCTCGATGATCTCCTTCTCATCCATCGTCAGGAGCTCGCCATTCTGGACGAGCAGTTTGCCGTCGACAACGACGACGTCGACGTCGCGACCGGTGGCAGTATACACTACCGCGCTGGCAGGGTTGTGCCACGGCTGGTTATGGATGCCACGGACATCGATAGCGACAAAGTCGGCCTTCTTGCCAACTTCCAAGCTACCGATGCGGTCATCCAGGCCCAGAGCCTTGGCGCCGTTGATAGTTGCCATCTCGAGGACGGACTCGGCAGGGACGGCGGTCGGGTCATACGAGATACTCTTGTGAATGATCGCGGCCAGTTTCATCTCCTGCAGAAGATCGCAGGTGTTGTTGCAAGGAGCTCCATCAGTGCCCAGGCCGATGTTGACGCCCGCCTTCTGTAGTTCAGGCACTCGGCAAATACCGGAAGCCAGCTTGGCGTTGGAGGTAGGGCAGTGAGCGACGTGAGTTCCAGAAGCCGCCAGAGTCTTGATGTCCGAGTCGTCCAGATGGACCATGTGCACCAGGACGGTAGATGGGCTCAACAGGCCAACCGAGTCACAATATGACATGGGGGTGTGCGACACGGAGGCGAAGAACTCCCGGTCGGCCTTGACTTCGGCACAGTGCATGGTGACGGGAATGCCCTTTTCGCGGGAGATCGCAGTCATTTCTTTGTAAAGGGCATCGGAGACACTGAAATGGGTCAGCATCGTATTCAATCGTGGAGAATTGTCAGACAGAGTGCACACTCACCCGCCAGGCGTTCTGGCACCAAACCAGACGCGAATACGATCATTGGCAGCGCCGTTCCACTTCTCCCACATCTTCAAGGTACCCAAGAGAGAAGTCTCGCGGTTCTCAACCAGGCCGGCATGCATGGCCCAAGCATCATCTTTGGCATACTTGGCGATGTCCATGACAATCTTGCCCAGACAGCCTCGAATGCCAGACTCTTCGACAGCACGAGCGAGTCCATCAAAGCCATATCGATCGGCAAACTAACCCACAATTAGACAGAACTTCATAAATCTCCCCAGTCTATACTTACCATGCTCTCCAAGAAACAAGTCGTACCCGACTTCAACATCTCGCCAATACTCAACCGCGCCGCCGCATACCCATCTGCCTCGGTAAAGTTACCCTGCAGCACCCAGATACGCTCGCACAGCCACGACACCAGCTCGAGGTCATCAGCGGTTCCTCGCAGCAGGGTCTGTGCCGTATGCATATGGGTGGAGATCAACCCGGGGATGATAATGCGACCGGACAGATCGTACACCTCATCGTCCGGATATCGCTCCTTCAGCACAGCAGTCTTGCCAATATCAGCGATAATATCTCCATCAACGCGAATGGCTCCGTCGTCGATGATACGACGAGAGGCATCCACCGTGATGATGGTAGCGTGCGTATACAGCATGCTGGGTAACAATTTTGGCAGTGGGTTTGCGGCGGTGCTAGACGGGGTAACAGAATTGATAGGGTGTTCTTTCAGTTACAGAGGAAGTAGATGGACTCTTTCGACTCTGGCTGGCTGAATTATGGAGAAAAGAGGGCCAATAAATAACCCATCATTGTGTAAATTCGCCAAATTCTCCCCCTCTCGATTATCGCAGCCACCGAGTCGGAGACCGCCGATGCCCCGCAGGAACGGGCGAACATCGCCGATAAGATAACATTCGTATGGAAGGGTTACGCAATTTTTCATTTTGATGGAATTGGCCAATCATTCGAACCGCCACAGTTCATTCACGGAGTCTATTTGCATCGAAAGTGTCCTAGGAAAGGTCATAATATCAAAGAATAGGTTGTTCCAACTCCCGTAGGATCCTTGGCATTGCAGACCTCCTACCAGACACACCAGAAATATTGATTTTTGCACAATTAGACGATCTGCACATTTTGTAAAAGCCGGGAGACTTGTAAGCGTAGGTCAGATCCTCGAGAGCATGGGTCCTAAAAACAATGTTCCATGGACGGGTTCATATTATAAGCGATTTTCTGAACACAGTCATGGAGGACACAACGTGATTCATTTACATTGACCTTCGTAAGATTAAGGTTATCATACTCGGAGCAACTGCATGATCTTGGAATTGACGATTTTTCTTGGCTTTTTTTGGGAGTAGTGGCAGTGATGTAGGTCATCGACAGCACAATTGGGGCTCTCCCAATTTTTCTCACACAATACCTATCCACCTATCTCCTCGGGGCAATTAACGACAGTAGTGAAAGCTCACCACTCGACGACCATATGTGCTTAGCATCGAGATGTTATTTTGATGCGTGAGGAATAATTTACCTAACACTTAGGTAAGGATTGAAAGCCATTGCTTGGAAGGGCTTAGTTATTTAGGATAATTATATGATAGAATCGCCCTATAAGAGATCCCCTTGTTTGCATTGAGGCTCTTCGGGTATTGCCTATAGGATCATCCCTCATTTGTTGCTTTGTTTGCAGGCTGATTCCAGGTCCAGCTCTTTATTGGCATTTAGGCAATTTCCTGTTTCCGTTCCTCCTTGTTCTCTTGTTCTCCCTCAGAGAGAGTTAGATATAATCGAGCTGCTTGCTTCCTTCCCCTGCTTCCTTGCGCTGGTGACTGACTCACAATCATTATATAATAATAGATAGGTTATTTCTCAAATGTGATGTCTTATTTTCTCATGGTTTCAAAAACAAATGGAGCGGATATTGCCGATGCTATCTCGAAAGACATCTCCAAAGCTGTGTAGAAAGAGAGAATGTTGATGCATTTCTGGCCAGAGGCTTTTCCTCTATATACTTGTCTCGGAACTTTCGAACTGCCACTGCATGGGGTACTTGGACTATCCATGGCAGCAGAGAGTGTTAGGTCAAGAAAGGTTGAAGTATTAGCAGTCCTTTCTCCGGCAGAATCTTGATATCTCTTGGCCATGGAACTTTCCGGTAAAGGCAAACATTCGTTTAAGGCAAGACACGCGATTCTGAAATTCTTGTTTGTACACCCTACGCGTCCTGTGGTACTTGCATCTTTCGTTATCCTTCTTCATCTCCGTTAACACACTCATCAACATATCCAGTGTTTACGTGTTTACGTATCTTCCACAAGCTCCATCTCTGCCAACTTCCTTAACCTGGTCTCTTTCTGATCTTCTGCGTCCACAATCACGCTTCCTCCTTCCATACCCGAACAGTCCACTCTGTGTTTGCCTTCTTTTGGGGCTAGCCCTGTACCTGTCCGTTACAGGAAACAACCACTGACCCATTTCTTTGTGAAATCCACCACGATGTCTCCATCTTCCGATCCTATCTCGTCTCTCCCTCGCTCTGTTCCTCCTCTACCTCTGACAGAAGCCCACCTGGCGTTGATCCCACTGGAACATCAACAGAATATCAAGAACAAGGCAAACAGACGAGAAAGCCTGGAAACTGACATATCTGCGGTTTCGGTTCGCTCTACTTTGTCTGAGTTTATCTCAAAGAAGACCGATACCCTCATCGCCCGTATTGAGGAGCTCGAGGCCCAGCTAGATGGCGTTGGTTCAGCTCCCGAGGCCCTTGGGGAAGGCATTTTTATCGAGGCCTTTGGGCAGATTGTTAATGAGCTAGCTGAAAAATCCAAGGAGCTCATGCTTCTCAAAGGGAGCGAGCGATGGGTTGAACAGCGGCTTGAAGAGCAGATCGAGACCCAGCTTTCCACACGACAACTGGAGACTCCTCAGCCTGACGACCCTTTCCATTTCAACCAACTCGACCTCGGCGATCATTCTGGCCTACACGAAGAAGCAGCCGATAAATTGTGTGAAAGGGCCAATCCTCATCCCGGAAAGCGACCGCGCCTTGAGGGGTGGAATGACTTGACCCCTCCCCATGATGGCCTCCGTCCACTTGATCACCTTCGCGACAACCGCCATTATCCCGAGGATAGTCCTACTGAGAGAAGTGGCCAAGGTGATCTACCCATCGATGGATCTCAGGCTAAAGGACAAGAGACTCCCGCTCCTTGGTACGATGACGAAGTGATATCCAGAATGTACGCGGAAATGATCCCCCAGCGCGTTGTGGGAGGTTACGGCAAGGAACGTGGTTTCAAAAGCCATGATCAGTACAAATTCAGCAAGGCGGTTCTTGAGAGATACGATGCGCTGAAAGAGGGGGATGGGGTCCAGAAAAAGTGGTGTCACGCTACTGGTCTCATGTGGCTAGCAAAGGAGATCAAATGTGCCCACCTGGTTCCCAGCTGTATGACCTCTGATGAAATTGCCATGTTGTTCGGTGATAAGGGGCTGAAGTCGGTGCTCCTTGATCCCCTTAATGGCCTAACACTCCACAGAAACGTGGAGGTGGCGTACGATTGCGCAAGAATCGCGATTGTACCTAATCGCATCCCCATCATTGAGGGAGTAGCGACGGAATGGAAGTGCCTGCTGGTCGACACCTCGTACGCAAACAAGATTGCGTGTAGCTTTGGAGATAGGGACATTTACTGGAGAGTGAGTATCTCGCCATATCACATATATGCACCAAGTTGTCATTTTCTAATGTCTTTCTAGGACCTGAATGGCAAGAAGCTAGAATTCTTGACTCCGAATCGGCCCGCAAGGAGATACCTCTATTTCCGATTCCTAACGACATACATTCATACCAAGCGTAAGGGCTTTACGGCCTTCACCACTCAATTTGAGAACTCAAGTGACTTTTGGGGAACACCAGGGGAATACGTGGAGAAGAGCTCGCTGAACCTTCTAGCAAAGAATGTCGGCATCAAGCTACCCCGCGCTGTCATGCAGAACGCTTTCGATGGAGGCGGTTCGAATCATCCAGTTGAAGAACCAAGACTGCTTGCACCAGTGGCAAAGGTGATCAGCGCTGGGAAACCCATGTCCGGCGCTTGCAACACGGTGAAGACGACAGTGATTCGGAAGGGGAAGGATGTGGGGATTGCTACAAGTATCTTGCCGATGTGTGAAGGATGAACTACAGCATCCAGAGGCGAAGATGGTTTTTTGTGGGAGATGGAAGAATGATGACCGCGTACCCAGTCACATTTGGATTTCCCGTCCTACTTCTTCACCGTCTCCTTTTTTCCAGCTTCGCTTATTTCAATGCATAAGCAGATTCATTCTATTCGTGGTCTTCCTCTTCTAACAGAGTTCGACATTTTTCCACGTGTTATTCATCGTAGCGTAAGTATTTTGCCATATTGGCAGCCTAGACACAGATTCGTAGCTTCTTGAATACCTAGTATCTCCCAACGTTCTAGGTTTTATATCATGGAGCAGGTCACCTGACTGATTGGGGCCAATTCCTTTCAGCCCCTCTCTCAACCCCTCTGGCATTCTTTTCCTGTCTTTGCTTGGCCGAGTTATAAGGCGAATAATCGGCATGCGTCGGGTTGTAGCCAAAGAATCCCCCACAGAGTTTCTCCCCTCAGTCCAAACCCGCGGTATGGCCAATTTACATTCGCAATTTGCGTGACACAATATACTGACGGACGCCAGAGGAACTCCAGGAACGATTTGGATGGCGTCTATCGAGATTATTTATGAGCGATGCTCAGAATGAATGGTTCCAGACTATTTTTCACACCTTCTGCACCGAGTCAGACTCGGCAAAATGCAAGTTTTATAGTCTATTCTTGCTAGGATTCCCAAAGCTAACATGCTACAGTCTGGACGGTATCTGACCTGGGGAATTTCATGACCAGCACTTTCCCTTCCGAGTTAGTTTCATGCATAGCTGAAGCTGCTCCAATTTTACACCGTTGCCTCCTGCGGCTTGGGTCGTTTCCATATCACAATGATCCGCATCCTGCTCTTTCTTTGGATGTGCTACGCACAGGCATGATTATTCTGCTTAGGCTAGATAGAGGGAAACTTCTGGATCATGATAACGACGACGCGTCACTCGTTTACCCTGATCGGTTCAGCGCTAAACAACGAGTTTTGTTGTACCAGAGCATGACAGAGCCGCTAGGAACCTTTGCCCAGGAATCTCGAAACCCAGAAGACGATTATCACCTTGCGAAAGCTATTGAGATTATCACGTATGGGAATTTCAAACGCAATTCGCGGTTCCCGACCGCAGTGAGCAAAGGACCTGAATATTCTCCCGTCGAACATTTCCCTTCGTCAAACTCTACATTCACCAGCGGAAAGATCCCGGTAGAGGATTTTAGGCTTTTGCTTCGGTTAATGCTCCTGACTCAATTGTATGTGGCTGGTATTGGCCCAGAGAATTTTACGTCGTTCCTATCGGAAATTGAAGGAAAGACAGACTGCCTATTGGCGACATTCTTAACCGGAGATGGGTTATCGAATGCTGTCTCTTTCACGGCATTCGACAGCGCCCTAGCAAACTCAATGGTCCGTATAAACTTGTCCTATTGGATTAAAAGAGCTATATGCTAATTTCCAGCAGCAAAACCTCTTCCTGGGCCTGCCTCGAATCCTCGGTCCTTTGCACTCGGTCAAACCCTTCCCGCCAGCGACACCCCCATCATCAGTCCCTGAAGCACAAAAAGTGTTAAAAGAATTGTTTACGCCGTCAGTCACAACAGAGCCTCCTCCCAAAGCAATAATTATGAGTCTCCCTCTCCTGAGCCAGCTCTCGGTGAGCTTACCACAAGACTTTCCCATCGAAAGACCAGAAATTCTTCTTTCTTCTCAGGAGGTGGATCTAAAGTGTCTAAAAGGTTCCCTATCTGCGATTACAAAGGCCAGGATACTGTTGGTGTCTGGAAAGGCCGGTCAAAAAGCTGCCATATTCGGAGCCTACTTTCCGAAGGGGTCGTCGCCTGACACCTGGAACAAGTCATGCGTCGTAGTTCAACTGGCGCCAGTTCATCGAACGTTCCATCATTCCGGAGATGTGGTGCCAAATAAGGAACCAGATTTTGGAGACAGCTCGCGGTTGGCACTTGCCTTTGCAGATGTTACTCTCGTGTTGAGCGAGGGATTCGCCAAAGGCAGTCTTATCGCGCAATTCGGCGATAGTACCGGCCAAGAGCTTGTTGTTGATGGTGTAGAGGTTCTAAGCTTTGAAGGATCCTTTGTTCGTGTCAATACTTTCGAGTAGCTTGTGTCCTATGTCAAGTTACTGTCCTAGTGTTCCAGGTTAGATTTTGAAACGGATGTCTTAATTGCTTCTTTGTATTGGTAAATTAACTATAGAATTCATTCCAAGGTCAACTTATTTCTTCACTCGGTGCTGCAACTTTGACAGATCAATACATATGCAATCTCTGTAACAAATTTATAAATCCTTACTATATTCTAGAAGGTATATCACGAAAACTGGAGATAAAGGTATCTTCTTCTAGGGAGATCAGAAGTTAGGAACCCAGTTCCATGTCCCATTGAGATTATGGAAAGATTCAACCTGGTGTCTTAAATAATGGGAACTGCTTACTTGCAGTGAGTTTTATTGATACGATAGCTGCAGGCAATCTTGTTGCTATACGAACTATCCCCCCACAGGACTGTCACTCCGTTGCGGATTTCGGTTGGAAAATTGCAGTCTGTGTGCTGTCATAAGCTACTTCTCCAATTTTGTGGAGTGTCAACCCCTTGAGAGGATTCAGAAGTATGGACCTCAGCCTCTCCATCCTTGAAGAGCATGAAAATCTCCTCGGATTTCATGGAGCTTGAGACAAGGTGAGCGCAATTAACGTCTTTTGCTAGCCAATTAGTCCAGTGATATTGCACCCCCTGACCCAGAAACGAGACATGACTTCATAACACTAGGCGGCTGCCCATCGACTGGTCATGACTTTTGAATCCCCGCGTGGTGAAAATCCTCCCTCGATACGTCAAGGGATTTCTCTCGTTGGATCTCCAAGGAACTTGGATAGAGTGGAACCGAGGGATATCTGGGTCATATCGGCGTCGGGGCCTTTGCGGCGATTCTCCTTTGTTGCATTGTCTTATCGCTCCTGGTAAATCAACGCCAGATGGCCGCAGCGAGAGGGAAAAATGAAAGGGGAGCTAGTCTCATAGCTAGGTTAACGGTTAGCGGGCGTTTGGAAAAATATATTCCTCGGCATGAACGCGGAGTAGCGCATGGAGAGATCGGTAGATGGGGAAAGAAATGCACGTACCAAGATGTCTCGTGGTGATGGGAGAGGTAGTCAACGCGATAATCAAAGAGATAGTCGCCGAGGAATAATACACAAGTCGATTGAAGACGTGATGGATGCAGGAGGAAGGATGGTAAAAGAGCTACTAAATGAGCTACTGGCGAATCTCTCGAAGAAAGACCTCCCGAGTTGGAGAGAGAAGTACTGAAAGCCATGATGGCCATTGCAAGAGTATATTTACTCCTGCGAAAGTGCCAAGCATGGATAAAGAAGCCCAACCATTAGGAATCTGCCATAATGGCAGGTCACGCGGCAAACACCCATACAGTCTGGAGCCTACACAAGTATGTCTAATAAGACTTTCTTTTGCAAGTATTCATATTGACCTGACCCATGCAAAAGTAGACCAGGCCTAGCATTGGGAAGCACAGTTCTGCAGTCGATGTTTTAGATATGATAACTTCAAAAAGATTTAGGATCCCAATCATAGCACTACAGGCAACTCTCGTGGCACTACGAGTGGGATGATGACTAGGCCGTCAGGGTCCATCACCATTATAGGCCAGGCGTCATTGTTCACGACATGCTTCGCGTAAACCTCGTCGCCCAGACGTCCGGTAAGGCAGACGTCTTCGTCCTCGTTCACGACGTTGACGTGAGAGGGCTTCGCGACTAGGCCAATTTGGAACGTGGGTGCGGTCGTATGGTGCTCCGTGCCCATTAGGCATAGGAAGGATTCCGCGATTTCCGCGCAGGCTGCGGCCAGCAGACAAAGGGACCTATCTGATGCCGAACGCATCGATGACGGCCGAATGGTGCGAAGTGCGCGTGCCGATTCAAAGCCCTTGTTATTCGTGACGTTAGGCCTAATTAGGAACCAAACTTATGAGTACATTAGTATTCGATATCTGTATAATTCAAAGCCTTCCTGTATGTAGAGTGTTAGTTTAAGTTTTTGAGTATACATCAATCTATACGTGGATAATCTTAGTATCATTATACCGTTGTATACTCGTAAGGGAGTTACCTCTCTCATTACGCCTAGAATCAGTCTCATGAAGCCGTTCCGTAGTGCCATGAGTATGATCCCAGCCTTACGTTTTTGCAGTAGTCGATTTGGAAGCAAAAATAGTACATCAGTATCAATCGCTTGGATAATCTTTAGCCTTGGTCTATTCTGCGTATCTATTGAACGATTGATGGCAAAGTTTCCAACGTCATTGTTTCTCCAGAGCAACCTGCCCAAATTCTTAATCCTCCTCAGATCCATTGTCAGAGTCCTCCATTTCATCATCAGAGGCATCGCTGTGAGGACCAAGTTCCTTCTCCCAGCGCTCCTCCCCTTCATCTCCGGCATCAAAGATCCTCATGGCAGCCACGGGCGCAAGTTCATCCTGTCTCCTCACCTCCACATCCGACGCATGGCCATCAAAAACGTTCCTTTCAATCGTTCGAGGGAGTGTAGCACCGACGTTGCGAGTGAGCAACTCCAAGGAGGACTGCTCGAGATATTCGCCGGGCGAGCCCCAAAAGGTTGAGCGGCATTCAACTTTGTCGGTGAACTGCTTGAACCCCTTCTGCTTGGCGTAAATGTACGTGATCAAGAAACGGAAGCACAAGTACCGCCTAGCGGGTCGGTTATTCGTGCGGAATTCAAGCTTCTTACCGTCCAAGTCCTGCCCAGAGTTAGAAGCGCGAAAGTGCAACAGAGGGACCTAACTTACTCTCCAATATGTACGTTCACGGCCGTCATCACAAGCCACTTGGTTGCCGTCGGTAGCAGGATCAACCAACAAACACTTCCACTCAGTATCCATCCGTTCCGGCATCTGGATCTGGTTCGGTACGATGAAGATACGTGCACTGTCATAAGCGAGCTCGACAGTGTTGTGTAAACTGATTCCGTTTAGAGGATCCTTAAGGACAAGCTCGCCGTCTCCGAAGAGCATGGCGATTTCTGGCCCCGTCATGCACTTAGGTACCAAATGAGCACACTTCACAAATTTTTCATGCCACCACCGCCCTGTGACATGGCACCATTTTCGTGTACTATTTTCGGTCTTCTCCAGGGCGTCATAGCGCTCCAACACGGCATTGCTGAATCGTTGCTGGTCGTGACTCTTGAACGCTCGCTTTTGTTTTGCCGAGCCCTCAACCACGCGAGAGATCATCATGTCGGTGTAGAGTTGAGAAATCTTATCTTCATCCCACCAGCGAGGCTTCCTGTCGTCAGTGGCATCCTCCGCGTCCGGATTGGTATGAGGCTTAGCCATGGAGGGGTCAATGGGAACATCGTGAAGGTCGTAATCGCTGTCGTGGAGAGACAGGTCGTCCTGGAGCCGTGGTCGCTTAAGGGGGTTCTTGCCGTCACAGTGAGAAGCGTCCAGCCCTTCATCGAAGGTCATGTATTCGTCAATTCGGAGGCGTTCATCCAGATGCGGTCCGCTATCTGGCGGCAGACGGCTTCTCGGGCAGTCGCTTTCTAGTTGCTCTCCGATTTGCTGCTCGATGTATCTTCCAGTGTTGTGAAGAATATCGAGCTCGATGCGTTTCTTCGCGAGCACGCGAATGATGTCTCGGAACACGTCTGAGAAGATGGGGTCTGTGAGGGCATCTGGGGCCGAGCGGATTCCATCTCGATTAGCCTCTAGCTCTTCGATACGCGCAATCAGGGAGCCTGTCTTTTTTGACAGGAAATCCGACAGTGTAGAGCGGTGGGAAAGGTTGCACATATCGCTCTCAAGGCTCTCTCGACGTGCCTCCTTGACCTTGATTCTCTTTTTATGGGCAGGTGAAAACAAGGCAAGATGTGCTTCCGTGAGAGGAAGAAAGGAAGGAGGGGATGCGGAGGAAGGGGATGACGGCGGCATGGCTGTCAATAATCAAGCTTTTAGAACGGTCAGTGTTTGTTTCCCAAAACAGAATGGCAAAGACTAAGTGACAACGAAAGAGGAAAGAGGGGCAAACGATGAAGCTGTATGGAGATACTGAACACGGATAAGCCACACGTAAGATGGTGACGGTGCTAGGCTGTTGTTTGATGGAAAGGCAGTCGAGAGAGGTTGGGAAGGGATTAAAAAGAATAAACAAGGCACAGAGCTATGCCCTAACCAGTAGAAGACACATACCAGATACGTAGTACGATGAACTTGATGAGATATGCAAAGATCTGTTCAAGAAGATGGGTCTCAGGAAATGTGGATGCAGTATGTGGAAAGCGGATGGAAGAGGGTTGGGAAGAAGATTGGAGTTTACATAGGACTCGATATCTAAAATGAAAGAAAGAGGCTTAAGCAAACATCGCGAGAAACACGACTTATTAAGGCCCATAGTATCCAGGGAAACAGCAATCGCGCGTCTTCGATAGCAAACAAAGGTAACTTCCAGCTCTAGCTTGATATGCATATCTTTAGATAACTTCCTTAGATGAGTAGGACCAATCCATCTAACCAAGGTTGGGCTGAAGCTCAGCGACTCGTAGCATCTACTATCAGCACGAAAACGTGTTTCGTGGCATCTTCGCCCTAAGCTTGGTTGGAGTTATATAGAAGGAAATAGTCTTTTAGGCTATAGGGTAGATACACTAATTAGGCTAAGCATATCGTGCTATAAAACATCATTTCGTGCCACTATAGGTACGATAGATATTAAATGAGAACCAATATACCAAGGCTTCCTTCATACCATTCGTAGAGTTCCTCACGAACAGCACTAACAAGCTACTAATAGTGTTGCGTTACTGGATGAGGACGGGAACAGGAGTGAGGACTGGATATTGTGCACAAAAGGGTCCTAGATAGACCTGCATACTTGCTTTAAGTTTTACGTGGTCGTGGCCAATGACGGGGGACATCCTAAGCACTACAATAAGCATAATTCGACGACCCCTTAGACCTCCAATCACAGTTAATACCTTTAAGCAAGGTTCAATTGACCCAGTTTTGTATCAAAATGTTTCCCAAAGCCATGCCAGCTCTTCTTTCACAACATATCTCCTTCACAGGCTCTCTCCAGCTCACCTATAGCCCCGGGCTGGTTGATATAGTGCTTGGGGACTTATCCTAGAGGGCAGGTAGCTTCGTATTCACACCCACCGCCGAGATACCCCATGATCTATTGCTTGAGTGCTTCTAGCCTGATTGTTTATGTTATACTTCACACTGCTGCCTGTATTAAAGAAATAAAACGAGAGTAACTCTGCACTCGGTTTTATACATCAAACATGATTCATTGAGGCATATGACTCGTCTATCCTATATACACCGCCCGTCTATACAATGCATGAACACGTAACAAAAAACTCGAAACGACTACAGATAAGTCCGCAGGTACTCGCCCAAAGCCATAATAGCCATTGCCTGACCATAAGGCATAGAGGTGAGAGGAATGTCCTTGTAGAACTGCAGACAATCACCCATGCCGGTACCGAAGCTAGTATTGAGGAGCTCGCCCTTGGGATCGATATTCTTCAACACCGCAGCAATGGCCTTCTCAGCGACGGGGAGGTAATCGGCGCTGATGTAACGCTTGCGCACAGCCTTGAGGATACCGTAGGCAAATCCAGCGGTGGCAGAGGCTTCCTGGTAGGAGTCAGGGTGATCCAGGAGGGTATGCCAAGCACCCGACTCTGACTGATAACGCTGCAGGGCCTCGCACTGAGCGTCCAGGGTCTCAATCAGGTGTAGCCTGAGAGGATCGGCAGCTTCCAGATCCAACAGCTCAATAATCTCCGGAATGACAATTGTAACCCAACTATTTCCCCGAGCCCAGCGCGCATCGGCAAAGTTGTGACCGCCATCCTCGAACGTCCACCCGTGGAACCAGAGACCCGTCTTCGTGTCGAAGAGGTACTTGATATGCGTGAGGAACTGCTTTTTCGCCTCGGCAACGTACTCGGGGCGATTCAACAGCTTGCCGATCTTTGCGAGAGGCATAACGGTCATCATCAGGGTATCATCCCATAATTGTTGGTAGTTTTCGGTGAGATATGTGATATGCTGCATACCGCCGTAACGAGTGCGGGGTAAATCGTGCATCGCCCACTCGGCCCACGCGTCCAGCCAGGGCAGATACGTGGGGTTGCCAGTCTTCTCGTAGACGTACGCCAGAGTGAGGAAGACGGCCATTGTGTTGATATTCTTGGTGGTTCCGCCCTCGGCGAATCGCGCAGCGAACCAATCCTCGATGATCTTCAGGAGACGCTCGTCGCCGGTCAATTCGTAGTACTTCCACAGGCCGTACAGACCGATGCCGTGGGTCCATTCCCAGCCGTGCCAGGACTTGGTGTCGATGATGCGACCGTCGGCAAGGGGCATGAGGAACCTTCCGGTCTCATCTTTGATGTTGACGAGGTTGTCAATGAGGAGGTTGACGGACTTGTGGACCTCGGGGGCGAGAGGGCGAGTGGAAGAAGCCATTGTGAGGTGGGAAGAAGGGAATGAGAAGGAAGACAGGGATTATTTTGGAAGGAAGAAATCGAGTGTGTAGAAGCGAACAGCTGGATCACAATCTACCGAGCTCAAGAAATTAGCGACGCGTCTTGCTCGGGTTGATTGCAGTGACAGCCAAGAAAAATCGAAAATTGATCAGAGCAAGCGAGCTGCTCTCCGCGACCAAATAAGTACCCAACGCCGGAGTCTCCCCCACGACTGATTTGCGGAAGATTTCTGGGGCCCCTCGATCCACGAATCCCCACGTTCCCCCGCATGTGCCAAGCCCACATTCGGGGTATCGCAGACCGAAACCAAGTCCAGCCCAACGCCAGCCAAATCTTAGGCGAGTCGATTCCGCGGGAACCAAGCGTTTGGACCGCCGCGCAGGGCGCGTTGAGTGGACTGGAGGCAGTGGGAGATGGAGCCATCGCTCGGTGGATTGCTTCCCCGGACTTGCCCACTCTGGCGTGGGGGCGGTTTTTCCCAAGCCTCCCAAGCCTCCCAAGACTCCAAGACGACACGCAGTGGAGCAACTAAAAGTCTTGGTGGAGGGTGACTCCGCGCGCCAAGAAATCCCGGAGAAGACGAGGGAACGGGGGTCTCATTGGATACTCGGGTAATAGTCTCGGGCTTAGGCGAGCCGAGGGGGATGGTGATAGGGTAGAGATGAACTGCCCCAGCACATGATGATCTTGGCCCGCTGGAATCTGCTTTAGACTTCTTGTCTGTTGTCTTTCCCACTTGTGGCTCTGGGGGAGGGTTCTTTTGCCTATAAGTTCTCGGGCGGATCATCACCCTGCTGGTCTTTTTTTTGATTTCCTCGTGCATCTGTACCCCGATATACCCGTGTGATTGAGGTTTACTTTTGCTAGCCTGAAACCATTCACAATGGCTCACGACGAGCCTCAATCCCAGTCTGGGATCCAGCCAGAGACTACCCAGCAGGTTACTACTGCCATGGGCGACGACAAGAATGCCCGGGATATCTCCCACGTCGAGCGGGTGCTCTCTCCGGATGATGGCCTGGAGAAGGACACGATGGATACCTCACGAGTCGACAAGGAGGTGAGTAGAACCGCCGAGTTAGCCACTCCGAGCATATTGGGATCTCCAATGCTAATCAAGAGCCATGCTAGGTTCAAATGTACTCCAGCACCAGAGTCGTCGTCAGCGAAGCAGATGACAAGCGACTCAAGAAGATGATCGATCGTCGTGTCTTGGTTATTATGATCTTGACATACTTCCTGCAAGCCCTCGACAAGGGTACGATGAGTTTCTCCTCGATCATGGGCATCAAGACTGATGCTCATCTGGAGGATGGCCAGAAGGTAAACCTTGTCCTCACTCACTATATCCTATAACTTCAACGCTGACCAATAATACAGTACTCCTGGCTCACCACCTGTATCTACATCGCCGTCCTGATCGTCGAATACCCTACCAACTGGATCATCCAGCGCGTTCCCATCGGCAAATACCTCGGAATCAACATTTGCCTGTGGGGCACGATTCTGGCTCTCCACTCTGCCTGCCACAACTTCACTGGTCTGGTGATTGTCCGAACCCTGCTGGGTATCTTCGAGGCCTGCTGTCAGCCTACCTTTGTCATGCTCTCCTCCATGTGGTACAAGCGTGAGGAGCAGGCCGCGACCGTCACTTACTGGTACATGATGAACGGTGCTCAACAGATCGTCGGCGGTCTGCTCGCCTACTGCTTCACCCTTATCGGCAGTGACAAGGTTCTCAAGTCCTGGCAGGCACTGTTCCTCTCCTACGGATGTCTCTCCGTCCTGTGGGGTCTGTTCGTCATCTGGTGGTTGCCCGACTCGCCTATGCGTGCCAAGTGCTTCAGCGAGGAGGACAAGCACATGATGGTCGAGCGCCTGCGTTCCAACCAGACCGGTATCCAAAACAGACAGTTCCGCTCGTACCAGGTGTGGGAGGCTCTCCGTGACCCTCAAACCTGGTGCTACTGCAGCATCCAGATGTTCACCACCCTGCCGACCAGTGGTCTGGGTGCCTTTGCCAATATTATCATGAAGAGCTTCAACTTTACCACCCTGCAGAGCCAGCTTTTGGCCATGGTGTTGGGTTTCTATATTATCGTCATCCTGCTCACTTCTGCCTGGTTGGTGAAGAAGTATAAGCAGAACTTGCTGGTCATGCTGGGCTTCGTTATCCCGTGAGTACCTCCGTTCACCCGGTATCGACATACTCCTTGATCACGATTGCTAACACATCAACAGATCCTACATCGGTACCATCGTCCTGATGACCGTCAAGAACACCACCCTGGCCACCAAGGTCGGTCTCCTGATCAGCTACTACATCACCCTCTCCTTCTGGTCCGCGCAAACCCTCTGCCTGTCCATGGTCTCCCGCAACATCGCCGGCCAAACCAAGAAAGCCACCGTCGTCGCCGCAACCTTCATCTCCTGGGCCGCCGGAAACGCCATCGGTACGTACATCTCCCGTCCCCAACTATACCCTCCACACTAACACTATCTCCACAGGCCCTCAAGTCTTCCTCGACTGGGACGCACCCCGGTACCACATTGCCTGGAGTGTCCACCTCGCCTGCTACGCCTGCATGACCGTCGCAGTTATTTACCTGCGCTTCCACCTGAAGCGCCAGAACAAGCGCAAGGATGAGCTGGTTGCGGCCGCGGATCTTACCGCTGCGGACCCGAACCTGATTCACGCTTTCGAGGATAAGACTGATCAGGAGAATCTGAACTTCCGATATGTTTACTAGATGTGTATCTAGATTTGGATACGGGGTTGGATTGAGGATGGGTATAATATATTAGGATATGTTTTATGGATATACCCGATGAATAATTATGGAATAGTTATTACTGGAATGTACGAGTTCAGAGGTTGAGTTTTACACTGTAAGCAAGGAGAGAGGGACTATTTCAATTCGTAGTAGAGATGGTCATAATTCGAAAAGTACATGAGTGGGGTTGAGACAAGCTTAATTAAGCCAAGCTAAGCTAAGCTTGTTACCAGCGTTCATCAACAAGGCGAAGTAAAATAGTCTCCGGCTCTGCGGGCATATCGACAACGCTGATTCCACGCCGTTTCGCAATATCATAGATAGGTTGACACGCTATACGGGCTTGATGAAGCAAAGCCGCAGGAGCAAGCCCGTCTTTCTTCCAAGTATCCTCTTATCTCTCCCAGTGTAGACCGAGGACGAACGCTAGTTTCCGCAGATCGGGAAGAAACTCCTTCGACTCGAAAGCTTGCACCCTTTTTGACCACTCGCTTGCCAAATATGGTTATAGCTGTATTTAAAAGGCTGTTACACACTTACTCGGTAACAGTGATGAAAGTATAAAACTGTACACTCATGTACTGCTACATGTCTAAAAAGATAAACATTTTTCCATATCTCAAAATAAACCACCACCCCAGCCTCTCTCTAATTGTTCCATGTGCCAACCTGAATGCGAGGGTGAACTTATCACTATTTCCTGAGCAAAGGAATTCTCGAGTCTCTCCACATCTTCCTCGGCGCTCGGTTTAACGGATCCTCATAATCTATCTCTCTATAATCACTTTGACCCACCCAGTATGATTGCAAGTAACCAAACACTGTATGATCTCGTGTGCAATAGAAATGGCTTGTGTGGAGTAATGACTTTTAATAGTTCGTTGATCGCTAGGGTTATTGATCCACGTAAGTAATGATCGACCGCTACGTTACACGTCATGCAGGATTCGGTTAGACTTGCTCCCGAACCCAGTAGCCCCTTGCTTCACATCATAATATATATAAGTCGCCCTTTTCATCCCATGTGAAAAAGGGTATCGTCTCCTTTTATTTTACACCAAAATCAATCATGCGGCTCACACTTCTTTTGATTAGCCTCCAAGCTGGCCTTTTGATGGCCCAGCCATCTAATTCCGGCTGTGAAGGAGGCTGTCCTGAACTATACGAGTGCCAGCGGGGCAACCTTTGCAATGATCCCTACGGCTGCGCTGCGGGTCAAGGAGAGCCTTATTACTCTTGTGTCAAGACGGCGATACTCTGTGAGGATCCCTATGGCTGCACCTAATAGTGAGCCAATCAAGAATTCAAACTCCTTGATTCAACAATCTGTGAGACATGACCTTCTCTGATATAACCTTGTCAAGCGCGCGTACTAATGACAGCCAAGTGTTCCTAAATTCATTCAAAGACGAGTGGCTATCCAATGAAGAAGGAACGAAGTTCATGAGAACTCTCGGTCTACGCTGTGTGTCTCTGATGTCTTATTTTCAATCATTTTGCCTGGGCTTTGACTTCTATGATTGACTCGAAATTATTCCCATCTCCACCTTAAACTTACGGTGCAAAGTTGAACTAGTTCTTGAAGATATCTCCGACTGAGAGGTTCAAGGTTTGAAGATTCCTTAATTGCGGCAATATCTCGCGGAAAACGTGCTCGTGGGTATATTGAAAGTCATTGCCACTCGTCGCTCTGATTCGCAGCGTGTGCAGGTCATCCACCAAGTAAGGAAGAGACAGGGCCATGTGATTGAAATTACCAACCCCGTCATTCTACCAGATCTCCATGTCGTCAAGTTAACCGGGCCGGGTGGCGGTTCCTTCAATCCTCGTTCCGGATTAGTGATGATCTTGTTGATATGATTCGACACCAATTCCGGCAGATAAATAATTTTAAGCTTCCCGTCTTGAGGGGCCCCCTCATGAAGCGTGATTTATTTAGGCTGGACCTCTCCACGCTCGATAGCTTCGTCATACTCACGTTTAATTTCATTGCGGGTCGACCCCTCAAAGCGTAGTCCACACGTAAAGAACAGAGTCAAGTGGGATCGAGAACGAAGGGACTTTGAAAGACCTCGGAGGCTGAATCGACGATCTCGAGTTTCTGCAGAGGCCCGTGAAAAGGGATTCCCTTATCGTTGAGATCTTCATTATGACCAGCGCATAAAAGGAGAGACTCGACATTAGAGAAATGGGATCCGAGAATGGACCTTTCCACATCGGAAGGTGTATCACCCTCAACTTCGAGGTGTTTGGCGTCTTTGGGAACGGATTGCAGCTGTGCTTCAAGAGCAGATGCCTGATCAGATGATCCCTGGACCTGAACGATGACGGAAGCCGTGTGGGTCATCCCGGTGGCGAGGTGGCCCAAGGTCCACCGGTGCGGTGGATCACGGATATGGAGGCAAGGCAGAGTAGACGGTAGATCACCGAGGATTGAAAATACCCAGGAAGGGAAAGAGTGTTTGTATCGACGAAGATAAAAAACTGATGGAATGTGTTTATGACTCAGGAGAGGCGGTGACAGGAATGTTGACATGGACGCGCCCATTCGGGCTGAGAGGCATTGCGAGTGTTTCACTACGCGTTGGCGAGAGTGACGCAAGAGCCGCAATGGTAACTGAAATTGGCGGTTTTTCATGGAGTGCAGACTGAAGGGAATTGGATTGGATATCTCTGAGCGTGAGAGTAACGGTGGCTCGAGACGTTGTTGACAGCCAAAAAGGGTGTCCGACCGAGGAAACAATATCCCCGCAGAGCCGCATCGACGGAACACCATTGAACATGGTAGAAACTACGCTCCAGAATGGGGGTCTACAGAGTGGAGTCAGTGTCGGTTACTCTAACCCAGTCTTCAAGTTATTTCTAAACTAATGGAAGTTTTCAAATATAATGTGCCGGTGTGGACTCATTTCTTGTGAATAGGGCTATTCTGACGCACCGCTGGGATTCGCAAGAATCACTTTAATTATTTAGGTTTTGCATCTACCTTAATCCACTCTTCTGGATTATCTACTGAAATTCCCATTGCCTTGATTGATTGATTGCTACCGCCCCCTCCCTTGTTCGATAAATGGTACCAGTTTCCAACGGAGCGTAACTCGATGAGTTCGATAATAACCTGTAGGGCGTAGCGTAAGCTGTAATCGTTCACCGGGGCTTACCGAGTATTTGGCTGTATAGACTAGATTCTGTGACAGTAGAATTGTTTTCACTTTCCAAAAACAACGGCAATCGTTCCGAAGAAGAACCGGGGCCTTATTGGGACAATTGAGTTTCACATTGTCGGTGCGAAAGTCTAATCTCGCAGTCGCACCCACAAAATAGCCTTTTTTGGTATGAACTTTAGATCGCGAGGATAAAGATTCAACCGTTAGGTCTGTGAATGGTGCAAATTCCGAGGGATATAAGGGCTGAGCGAGTTAAATGATATTGTGGCGTGGGGAAAAAGGGGCAAGTCTCTGGGGATTGGAAGGGCTAGAAGGAAATGCGGGGGCCACGACGCCTTAATGCGAGACTCGACCTAACAACCAGCCAATAATGCAGCGAGGCTTCCATACAAAATTCCAGACACCATATCCCTGACTCGTTGAATTTATTGATCGCTACAGAAACTCGTTTTTTGAATGACTAGACACTCCGTAGATTGGTGGTCGAGCACACTTGAGTGGGAATGGAAATGGTATTGCAATACTAGCTGTCACCATGCACCCATTAGGAGCTCGAGACGCGTGGCTACATGTCCCAGCGCCAGCCAATAATCTACGAGGCTCAGTGCAAACCCTCACGCGTGGGCTTGCCAACCTCGACCATAGATGCTTGATTCCACCACCCATTAAAAGACCCTCGAGGGAGCGCCCCCGTCGTGTAACCTTGGGACAGCAATGGCCCCCACCCGTACTAGAAAGACCCTACGGTGCATGTTCCACAGCACGCCTTTGGTACTCGACGATCATGCCTTTACCAAGGGCCCCCTCCTTCAGCTGATATGCATCTATCTTTAACCATTGCGGGGAATGGGGTCCCCGCACTGGGGAAGTAGGAGCAGGTTGTAACTTGTAATTGTTTCATTCGGTTCTATGGCAGTTTGAAAGTGTATCTAATAATATGTTTCCGTCAATGGTGAATAAAGCCACATCCCTCTAATCTATCTCTGGTGGCTTTTAAATGCTGACCGGGCTACGAGAGCGTGGCGGCCCTGACCAGGGGAAGGGAAAATTCAAACCCAAATTGAAAAAAAGGCTAAACAGGATGTCTTCGCACGCGAGCGCCTGAGGGAATTTCAGGGCTTACCAGGGTCTCCGCGTCTGAATCGGTGTTTCGCCCGACTTTACATACTTATGTCTCCTGTTTTCTTTTTCTCTCATTCCTGCCGTCGTGAGTTGAATCGGCCAGGATGACGACCCACGTAGCCTTAGCAGGCTATGGCCTGACCCTCATGATCGTGACGTGGGTTGAGGGTGCTATTGCGACGGTCTTATTGCTAGCCAGAGTATACACAACGTGGAAGATCACTCGACATATACGCTCGGATCTGTATTTGGCCTTGTTGACTTTTGTATGGCATTATCTTTATCCGCTCAACACCTTCATCCCCAGATTATCTCGCTTCTCGAAAGCCAATTTCAAATTACTGACGTGTTAACTCCACAGGTCGTCGCGTTCATCAGTGTCATCCTCCTCACGATCGGTATCAACTATGGGATTGGTGCGCATCAGGATCAACTCACGACGGAGCAAATCGTCGCGGCCACAAAATGGAGCTGGATAAATCAAGCAGTGGGAATTTTCGCAATTGGTACTGGAAAACTAGCTCTGGTCGCATTCCTCCAACAAATCCATGGCCCTGAACACCGCGGACGAGTTACATTCCTATGGGGGGTGGCTATGAGTAACCTCATTCTCAACTGCATGACTATCGGCATGATCATGACCCAGTGCTCGCCACGGGAGAAATTGTGGGACGGCGATTTGGCGGGAACATGTGATGGGCGACTCAGGAATCAGAACATGGCCTATTTCCAAGGAAGTCAGTATTATCCTCGAAGTTCTCGCTGTTGGTGTGATCTTTCGGCTAACATCTGTCGGTATTGCAGGCTGGTCGGCGTTATGCGATCTGATCCTGGCGTTGTATCCAGTGGTCTTCTTCTGGAAAGTGCGACTTGATCTTCGTGTGAAGATTGGTCTCTGCTTTTTGATGGGCTTGGGTGTTATGTACGGAATTATCTCTTGTTCTATCATGCGTGAGCTCGCTAATATTCTTCCTAGTGCCTGCGCTTGTTCTATAATCAAGACCACGGTATTTTCCCCTCCTTTCAGCCTGTTATGCCACTCGTCGGGATTTATGATTGATCCTCCTTTATAGTATCTTCGTGTTCTCTCTCAAACAGACGACGTTACCTGTAAGGCGCCTTGGCCCACAATCAGTGGATCCGCTAACCCATTCCCAGACTATCTCGCGCAGCTAAGTACATGGAACGAGTACGGCGAGCCTGCTTCTCAATAAACCAACCCAAATGACCAACTTACCAATAACTCCCTCTAGAACCGAAAAATGGGTCGTCCTAATCGTCGGTTCCATCCCACCAATCCGCCCTCTACTCGTAATAATATTCCGACGCCTCCTCTCAACCGTCAAATCCTCATCTAGTCCCCAATCCAGCAACGTCATCCGATTAACAGAACTACAATCAAACTCGAAATTTTCCAAGCACACGACTCAGCATCGTCACATGACGCAAGGGATGACTATTCTGAAAAGCAAGGATAGTGAGGAGAATATGCTGTCTATGGAGGAGGGGACGATTATCAAGACTACTAATATTAGTTTACACTATGAGGGGGAGACGAATTCTCGGGAAACGGGTGAGCATGGTGGACGGGTTGTTCCTAGTGAGAGGATATGATATACCAGAATGTTACTTTTCTTAAGAAAGACTGCCGAGCTGGATTTTGTTGTCAGAGGCTAGTACTTTTGATATTCAGTCTAATAACAGAGGCAGTCTAATATGCGGGACTCGTATACTGTACATATGATAATGGATTCCAGTTATAATCTGCTTCGAAGCAGCCGTGTTTCGTCTAACTTTATTGTTTACTATACTTTTTTCAATACTCCACAAAATATTCTTCTACATTTATTTCTCTCAAAGATTTGTATCAGGGACTGATGAGGCGAAGACCTTCTGACCGCCAGTCTCCTAGCTAGCCTTTTCGCCAGACCGGTTGGAAATCGGACTGCACACAAACAACCTTACTCCGTTATCAAAACATAACCATTCCTCAACCTCTCATCCGATAATTAGGTAATTCTAATACACTTTTGTGGTAACAGCTTTCCATTCAACGACTTCCAGATAGAGCATTGCCAGTAGGATGTATATATTTCCGCAGCAGTGTGCCTGCATTCTCCAAAGATGAGGTCGAAAATCAAGCACAACCTCCATTAAGAATATGCCTAAATATCCATAATTTCTACCATATTCAATAAAGATTACACTTAACAGTAACATCTACTATCGAAATGATGATCGATAGATATACATAGTTGTAGTGTGGGGAAGCTGATTGGCGGGGTGGGCGTTACCGCCCGCCGTAGCGATAAGGCCCCGATAAGCGGGCCCCCGCCAACCAAAGCTGCCTCACTTTGACACCTGATTTCTTTGAGACCAGCTCCTTCTCCCCTTTGGGCCTCGGGCCATCCCTTCCTTTTCTTTGCATTTCCATTTCCTTTTTCTTTCAATCCCAGAAAGAATGGACGCCATGGATGAGAGCCCTGATGAGACTTCCGCAGTCCCTGTCGATCTGGGTGGCAGTGATGCAGCTGGGTACAAGGCCCGCGGGTATCAGCTGGAGATGCTCCAAGCAAGTCAACAGCAGAATATCATTGTTGCGGTATGTCTATCTATCGTGCGTGCTTGAATCAATTTGCTGATACCTTGTAGATGGATACTGGCAGTGGGAAAACCCATATGTATGCATGCCTCGACTTTTTATGCATCTGCATACATATCTAATCAACAAACGCTAGTGCCGTTCTGCGCATCATTTCCGAGCTCGAGCGATGCCCTGCAGATAAGGTGAGTATTTGGAAATTATAACAAAGTTTTCCGTCACTTTGGCTTAACTAAGAAATGTGCGCAGTTGGTCTGGTTCCTAGCACCAACGGTAGCCTTGTGCCTCCAACAACATGATGTTATTGCTTCTCAGATTCCGTCTATTAAGACTCGAACGTTGATAGGTGCCGACAATGTTGATAGGTGGACCGAACAGGCCGTCTGGAATAATGCCCTCAAAGATATTCGCGTTGTTTGTTCGACACATGCAGTTCTTTCCGATGCGTTGAATCATGGATTCGTGCGCATGTCACAGTTGGCCCTGCTGGTATTCGATGAAGGTGAGCATTGGAATTGATTGCATTCAATGCGAGCCGCAGGACTAATTCAGGCGCGACTCGATAGCTCACCATTGTACACGGGGCCATCCGGCAAACAAGATCATGCAGTACCACTACCACCCGACGCTTTCCAAACTCGGCCCACATGCCGTTCCCCGAATTCTGGGACTCACCGCGAGTCCTATTGTCCGTTCAAATCCAAAGGAGCTAGGGTGAATGAGCCTGACATCCAATGATGATTCAATCCACTGACAAACTTTGCAGATTGATCGAGGCAAACTTGAATGCTGTGTGCAAGGCCCCACGGAAACATAGATCTGAGCTACTTGAGCATGTTCATCGCCCGCGGTTGGAGTGTATTCCTTACCCACATTATGAGATTGAGCAAGGCCTTGTCGGGAGCAGACTGTTGCCGTCTCTTGTGAAATGCGTCAAAGCGTACGACATACAGGAGGACCCTTATTTCGACATGATTAGAGAAAGACCAGAGAAAGCATTGGAAGCAGGGAAAATCTTCACAACTGGGGAGACATATTGCAGCGAGCAGCTGACAAAGTTCCTTGAGCGAGCCTGTCACATGTATGCTGAACTTGGCGGTTGGGCGGCCGACTACTTCATCCAAGCATCGATCGACCAATTTCGACGATCACTTGAAAACGATGACTCCATGACGAGTTTGGACCGGGCTGAGAGAGTCTACCTCCTGGAACTCCTACTCGGTATGCGAATGCCCGAAGATAGTACGGACAGCATTCACATTTCTCCAAAACTGGAGATACTGCTCTCCTTCCTCGAGAGAATGGATCATGCCGAGTTCTCAGGGATAATATTTGTCAAACGACGAGCGGTGGTCAGCGTCCTGACTCGACTATTGCCACTCCACCCCGCGACTAGAGATCGCTTCAGGTGTGCATCTTTCGTCGGGTGGTCGAACAACGCCACCTCGAAAGACTCGCTGGGCGACTTGCTCACTCGAGATATGCAACGCGACACGTTATCCGAGTTTAAAGCTGGGCGGAAGAACCTCATTGTTGGCACCGATGTCCTTGAAGAAGGTCTGGATGTCAGCTCGTGCCGCTTGGTCATTTGTTACGACAAGCCAGCAAATCTGAAGTCGTTCATTCAGCGACGCGGACGAGCACGACATGAGGACTCGACGTATGCTATTATGCTATCGACCAAAGATGACTCACTTCGATTATCGAAATGGCAAGAGTTAGAGCAAACGATGATTGCAGCTTATCAAAATGAGGAGAGGCAACGGCAAGAGGCATTAAACCTTGAGGCAAAGCAAGAGATAGTTGATGAGTGGTTGTTTGTTGCATCCACAAGGTACGCTTCATCTACTAATTGCCTAAACCCGATTCTAACTAGCATATCAGTGCCCGAATTTCTGCAGACGATGCGATGCAACACCTCCACCACTTTTGCTCCCTACTACCCACCGATCAATACGTGGACAATCGTCCTATGTTCTCTTTTGAAGAGGACTTGAGTCGTCTCGTTCGTGGCACAGTCACTCTTCCCAATTCAGTTCACCCGGCGGTTCGTCAAACACGGGGTAAGCGCTGGTGGCGCACCGAGATCGCAGCCAGAAAGGAAGCTGCGTTTCAGGCTTACAAATCTCTTTGGGAGTACGGCCTGGTAAATGATAACCTCTTACCACTGAATCGGAAGCCAGAGCTCAGATTCACGGAAGAAATGTCCATGCCAGCTTTGATAGACTGCTCCGCGCAATATGATCCCTACATTGATTTGGCTCAAGACTGGGTGATGCAGGAGCTCCATGAGACAACCATCACAGTAACAGACAACAGCACTGGTGCTGTGAATGAGGACCTGCTGATGTCGATCGTGCTTCCAAGAGGGGTGCCCGCACCAGACCCTCTGAAATTCTTTTGGGAGAATGAAACTAGCATGACGGTGACTTTTGGAACAAGTCAGCCCATCAGCCCGAATCCAACAGTGGAGATCATCCAAAACATGAGAACCATTACCGGCATGTTCCTTCAAGCCCCATCGTCTCGCTTGCAAGGAACCGATAGAGACTATGTGGCTCCTTTTGTCCCTAGCATACCGGTCCAGCAGCTTGGAACTTGGATCCAGCGCTACGAAGGTACCGAAAAAGCTGTAGATCTCCACGAGCATGATCACAATGTTCCCCTTATTGGTATTATCCGTGATACTGCAAAGTACAGCGAACCGCGACTGTTTCGTATGTGGCACGCGGAAGGAGGATTGGAGATTGAATGTCGGAGCTTGCCCAAGCGACGAAACCTCCTCCAATATCGAAATCCATCTCAGCTAGCGGATGAAATGGAGGAAGCACCTCCTAAGATCCATGTGATTCCAGCCGTAGGCTGCACGGTTGATAGACTCCCATGGAAGAAGTCCAAGTTTGGTCTATTCATCTCCGCGATTCTTGACCGCTTTGAAGCCACAATCGTTGCGCACAGAGTCAACGAGACCATCCTGAAGGGAGCTGGAATTCAGAACCTTGGACATGTCTTGACGGCAATTACCACGCCACTCGCCCAGGCACCCACACACTACCAGCTCTTTGAGTTCTTTGGCGATTCGGTCCTCAAATTCACGGTGAGCTGTCACCTATTTTATTCGCAGCCGACATGGCACGAGGGGTATCTCTCTGAAAGCCGTGACAAGCTCATCAAAAACCAACGGCTTGCGCGGGCTGCACTGGATACTGGTCTCGATCAGTTTATCTTGAATGATCGGTTTACACCTCGCAAATGGAAGCCACCATTTATTTCCAGCAAATCGGCGCTGGCAGCTAACCGACCGACGCGCAAGTTGTCCAGGAAGGTTCTCGCCGACGTGGTCGAAGCATTGATCGGTGCCGGATACATGGATGGCGGTTTGCGAAGGGCACAGGCTTGTCTACACCGGTTCTTGCCGGAAATAGAGATTCCAGAAACTGTCCCACCGAGAGAACAGGACCCAGATCTCGCCAGCAATCTACTGGACCCGGAGACCATCGGCAGACTAATTGGATATACCTTCCAAGACCCCTCGCTCCTAACTGAGGCATTGACCCACTCGTCGTGCGAGCATGATATGCGGACTCAATCATACCAGCGCATCGAATTCTTGGGTGATGCAGTGCTTGACATGGCAGTTGTCACCGTCTTCGCAGAGCTAGACCAGCAATTCCCTGAGGGAAAGATGACCATGATCAAGCACTCCGTCGTCAACTCTGGCCTTCTGGCATTCCTGTGTATGGAGATGACCGCCGACGGCACCGGACTATGGAAATTCCTGCGCTACAATGGACCGGCCATTGGGGCTGCCCGAGATGCATCTGTCGCACGACATCAGGAAATGCGCGAAGAAATTCTCCACGAACTTCAATACGGATCCAAGTATCCATGGGAGCTATTCTCACGCCTCCGCCCAGACAAGTTCATGTCCGACATCGTTGAAAGCACCCTCGGCGCGATATTCCTTGACTCAGGTGCCGACGTCAGCCTCGGTCCTTGCACCACGTTCCTAGAGAGACTGGGCTTACTTTTGTATCTGCGACGTCTCATTGCAGAGGAGATCGATGTCCAACATCCTGTAAACAAGGCGCAGGACGCGTTTGCGAAGACGGGTGGCCAGGTGGCGTTCAAGGCGAGGCGGGTTGAGGCGAAGGGGGTTGCTGCGACGTACCGGTGCACTGCAAGTATGAATAAGAATCAACTTGCGGTTATCGAGGGATGCGCTTCGGCTGATGAGGCTGAGATCAAGACGGCGTTGTGGGTTCTTGAGAAGTTCCATGCGGGACAATTGGCAGAGGCAGTTGCTTGAAGGATCCCTACAAGTGAGATGATTGATCATCGAACTACTTGGCTAGATAGTGAACCGAATGAAGAATTACGACAAGATTTGTATCGCCCGAGAATGTAGACTTGATCAATTGCACGTAGCCAAATATATGCGTGGCGTTACTTAATGCAGCGTTGATAGAAATATAGTACTAAAAGAAGGATTTACTGCTTGCCCTTGCCACGCTTTGACCGACGGACAGGTTCAGCCTTGGGTTCCTCTTTCTGATCCGACTCGTCCTCATTCACCTCATCGGAATCCCGATCCCCTTGCTCATCCTCTTCACTAGCAGCAACCATCACCCCTTCGTCACTGACATCCCCACCCTGACCATCGGACTCGACAGTCAAGACAGAACCCGACAGACCTTCAGCCGGACCAGAGCTCTGCCTCAAGGTCGACAACATCTTGGTCGTCTCGCTCTCCTCCCCGTTCCAAGCCCCACAGCTACCACACCGCCAACGACCCAGCTCCTCGAGAGTTTTGATGCCCGGGGGTGCCTGGCCATTCACCAGACGACACGAGCCACAGATCATGGCCATTCTGTTACGGGGCTGCATCTCGTCCTCGCCGAGCAGGACATCCAGCAATCGATCATACCAGTGCGGTTGCTCGATATACTGTCCGGAACTGGGGAATGCGTTCGGCGCGAAGCCCGGCTCTTCGGTGAATTGTTGGGGGAGGGGAGGTGTGGAGGGTGCGTTTGGCAGAGCCTGTTGTTGTTGGGGAGTTTGGTAGGGAGGAGGTGAGGGAGGGTTGCCTGGCCCGATAGGAGACTGGCCGGGAGGAGGACGGCGGATGTTGGCGGTTGGAGGAGGGGGTAGTCCCGTGCGGGCTACATGTTGCTGTTGTTGCTGCTGTTTCTGCGAAGGTGTAGTTTGCTTGCGGCTGTCGGGGCCGGCCTTGGGGTTGGGACTAGTCTTTGGCGACTCGCCGCCATACTTCTCGAGCAGTTGTTGCGTGGAGTTGTACTTGGTTGCGACCTTGAGTTTCTCGATAGTCTCGTCGCGCTGTTTGTTCAGCTCATCGAGATGGCGCTGGCTTCTGGAGATGCGGTATTCAAAGAGACGAGCGCCGGCTGTTCGGACTCCGTATATCCTAGAAGAGAGAAATGTTGTTAGCCGATATCTCACACCGAGGTCAGAGTCAACCGGGTACGTACAGAACTGGGCCGCCCGCAATGGCGGTGTACTCCTTGACACCCCAGCTCTCCCATCCGAGTACCAGCGCAAGGACGATCGAGTAGAAGAGATATGCAAAGGTCGAGTAGAGGGTCCACAGAGCCTTGAAGCGACGGGCTGTTTGGCGCTGTTGGTCCAGTCGCGTGGTAGCCTGGGCGATCTTGGTAGACAAGGTCGACAGCGTCTTTTCAAAGGACGCGGGGGAGTTATCCTCGCCCTGATAGAGATTAGCGGTGTGTGAGAAGCTTCTTTGATCACGTCAGACTCACCTTCCAGGGCCAGAAAGACACCATCTTGTGCGCTGTGCAGGTGAAGTGCTCCTGTGGAACTGACGAAGCTCGGCTTGGCTGTTGGCGCACGGACCACCAGATCTTCCGCTTGACGTCGTTTTCTCATTCTCTAACTTCTTTACACAGAACTCTCTCAAAATAATCAGTATACTCAATATTAATTTTCTCTGACTTTATTCTATGATTGATGCCCATTTCAACCTTTTCTAACCATTTAGCAACCCAAATTCCGATAGAATCCACCCATCATAATCCACGCCAGGAACGACCACTGATACCAGTGACCGGACAATTCAGAATATCACACAAAGAACGTGCCATGATGCCCAAACTCTGCCGATCCTGAGTGCACGAGCAACCAAATCAATTCGAAGACTCTCATTCGTCTTTGCAAACGCCACTGGCATCCACCAATTGAGAGGTGCGCCAGCCGCGGCGAGTTTCTTTGTTCTACCAAACTGCCAACCCCACCGCATCCTTGCTTAGCACCCAGATAGCTCCGAATTGCAGTTCGACCTGTTGAGTTGCTCTCTATCATCATGCCCAATGAATGAAAAACCTTTCGCCATGTGGGAAGAGGCAACCACGATACAATCAGAGCTGACAAGCCTGATAAACGCCATTACTCGTGTCTCCCATGGGTCATGACAAGCTGCCGAGAAACCCCATACTATCGCCAAATTGCGATGGATCTCTTCAATCTGCACTATCCATCATAGCGCTGGAGATCCCTCGGAGATCCCATCTCAGCCTATCATCCCCTATTCCGCTATCGGTGACATATCGGTGACATATCGTGCAATCACATCCCTCGTAGCTGACGCCTCCGCTATCACACGATATACATCCCAAAGATGCGAAGATACGGACTCCACCATGACTCGATCCTCTAACAAATGCTCCCGGCCACGCGCCGTTGTAATCCACTGTAGCCCAACCTTATCCCTGCCAGGACCGTTCGGGGCCCTGAAACTCTGGCACTCGGACCAAGGAGCAAACCCCAGACTCCGATGTCAGCGTGGCCCACGCGGAATGGACCGTGGTCGTGCACTGCCATTTCGACACCGTGCCTTTGACACAATTGCCCCGCTGTAGATTGAGTAGTTGCCGGGGTGTCTTTATATCCTAGCTTGGTCCTTTCATCTCCTCCCAGGCTCCCATGTATTCTTTCCTTTCTCTCTTCTTGCAAAGCTCCATGTTTATCCTTTGATATAACATCAAGAATTATACCTGCTTCCCCATGCCACCATGGACAATGTGATGAGCAGCCTACCCCCCGATGTGGGGGCAATCCTGTGGAAGAACTTCGGGATTTTGCAGGTTGTCTCCATGTTCGCAATAGGCGCGTATAATGCAGTCGAGACCGGAATTGTGGCCTTGGAGACCTTTAAACACTACCGTGGTCTATATTTCTGGAGTATGCAAATCGCTTCCTGGGGGATTCTACTGCATGCGATTCCAGCTATGATCCGTTTTGTCTCCGTTGCCCCAAATCTGCCAATGTCCATCCCCTTTATCATCGGCTGGTATGCCATGATCACCGGCCAAGCCTTTGTACTTTATTCCCGCCTCCATCTCGTCGTCTCCGACATCAACAAGCTGAGCTGGGTATTATGGATGATCGTCATTAACGCGCTGATCTTCCACATTCCCATGACAGTCCTCTTCTTCAGCCTCAGCAATAACGCGGCCCTCGCCAGTCCAGCCGCAATATTCGACCGCATCCAACTAACAGGATTCTGCATCCAGGATTTCGTCATCTGCGGCATATACATCCGCGAAGCCCTCCGCGCACTAGGTCCAGTCCTCGAAGTCCGGGGCAAAGAAGGCCGAAAAGTCATTATAAATCTTATCTGGGTGAACGTGGTAGTCGTGATACTCAACTGCCTCCTCATAATCACCGAATACAAACTACATTACATCGAAGTCAGTTTCAAAACAGCAGTATACAGCATCAAACTCAAACTTGAATTCTCCGTGCTTAACCGTCTCCGCTCGCTCACCCGCACATAACCCTGCGTCTGCCAACAACCTCAGCAACATCCCGGCGGTCCGCGCCGCTCAAGCGATATCAACATCTTTGACATGGTCTCTGCACGAAGGATGGTGCCTAGGGTGGACATCGAGGAAATGCCCGGCTTCGTTCATACAGGCGTATCGCATCGGTCACTCTCTGTACCGAATAGTACGCACGATTTCCACGAGGCTCTTCGCGAGACATCCTCGAATGACAACGTGATTAGTCCAGTTGGCACTTGTGTTCTATCTCCTTCAACGCTGTCATCCGAGAATATCTCCCGGCCGCGAATTGGATCTTCAGAAACAAAATCCACCGTGGAAATGAGATTGCTCGAATCGCCGAGATCGAGCTAGGCGTTGTCCCTTTCTTTTTGTCGAGTCCAGTATTTGATCTTGCATCAAAAGTTTTGTATTTATACTAAGCTTGTACTACACCATCGCTCTGTAGTTTCTTTGCGTCGATTTCCTTGGTGGTGGTCTCTTCGATCTTTGGGAGGCTTTTTCTCTTTGGGTGGTGATCATCTTGGCTTCTTCTGCGCGGTCATTATCCTTTGTTTTGTTCTATACCCGATTGTGCTTTACGTTGGTGGTTATTTGCTTTTAATATACCTTTTCCTGTTTGCAACTCTCCTCACCCGCAATGTTAACAGCTTCTTGAAACCAGCCTCAGCCCTTTCACCATGTCCACAAGCTAGGATTGGTTCATGCGACCACTGGTCAAGCCTCAAGTCCTTTCCAAGAATTCAGTATTCAAAGCCTCAAGCGATCACATGCCCCTACAAAATGGACTTCTGTATTTATGGATGAATGTGTTGCATTGACTTGTATACTTATGACAAACAAGCAACCATCCCAATATGGTACGAAATTATGACTAACCTGGAGGGGATATCATGGACAAACAGCACAAAGCACTCCACGATAAATCTACCCCCCACTCAAGACAAGATGCAGAAGAACAAGTAGGAAGAAACAAAAACAAGCAGGCATCAATCAGATATCATATGAAATGGGTATATATATATGGTCCCAGAAAAATCAAGAAAAATCAAAAACGCCAAACGGGTATCCACCAAGCCTTTTTCCGTATACATGGCTGGTTATGCAGGGTAATCATGACAATAAAACAAAATGCACCAGGTGAGAAAGGAAATATTCGTAAGACCCATAAAGTCATCCAAGGCGTGATGTATTGCCTGTTAGGATGAGAAACGAAGACTCAAGGAGAAGGGTGTTGCTGATGAAGGAGACCGAGGACCATGCATGATGATTGGGAAAGGCGTATTCGAGGAACTTTTGTTTTGGTCGGGAGGTGGTTTGGCGGAGGGGTTGATTTGATCATGTATTGAACCAACCGCCATTTTCCCACTGGCCAGGTTTGTATGAGGTTGAAGACCTTGCGTCGCGATTGGAAAGACCACTTAAGAGAACGTTGAGTCGTGTAAAGTTAATTGGCTTCATGACCCAGCCATCAAAGCCCGTATCAATGTATGTCTGCTTCTCCGACTCGAGCAGCGAAGCAGACACAGCGAAGATAGGGATACGTTCGTTCTGCCGAGCTTTGTACGACAGTGAATCCGGAGTCTTGGATTCAAATTCACGAATCATCTTGGTTGCAGTCATCCCATCGACTATAGGCATTTGGAGGTCCATGAGGACCACATCGAAGTTTTGGCTGGCCGAGGTAAAGGTGTTTGCGCAAGCTTCACCGTTGTTGGTAAGTACCACGGTGTGACCCAATTTGGTCAACCGTTTATGGATGATTTTGCTGTTGACGGGGTCATCCTCTGCGACGAGGACGTGAAGTAGCGGGGGAGTCGTAGAAAGAACCGAAGTGGGTACAGTCGAAGGGGGGACGGCAGATGCCGAAGTCGCGATTGACTTTTCAGTCCCCGGGATAGGCACGGGTGGGAAATATGACTGATGCTCAGCCTGCTGGGTGACTCTACGTTGAACATCCCGTTCGGAAACTCGGAGAGCTCCCATTGGCACACCAGAATCGGTGACGTTCGCGGTGCCCGGAGCAGGTGGTGTCTTGAACGGTTGCAGGGCAAGCGGTGGTGTGTGGGTGACTGCAGACAGGCTAGCCAACGGATCATGTGTCACTGATGCCCTCTTAAGGCTGTTTGACCGTGGCGAACTCATGTTTGCCGACAAATGGCTTGAACTGACAGGCGGGCTGGTTGATAGTTTGACCTGACGCGGATCGGAGCTGTCGCTAAAGGCGCGCTGAACCAGGGCAGGTTCCTGTATGGCACTTATCAGACGATCAGCGTGGCTCTTGCCACTGCGAGAGCTGCCTCCACTCCTAAGACTTTCAGAGCTGAGCCGTCGATCTTCACGACGTTCAGCAACGCCACCCACCAAGGTGAATTCACGATCGGAGATCATAGGCGTGGGCGGCACGGCCGCAGAGCTAGGTATGACAGCATCGGGCGGTACTTCCGTTGATACTCCCTCGGGTAGTTTGAATTGTAAGAGAATCTTGAACCGACTACCTTTGCCCTCTTCGGATTTGACTCCCAACTGGCCCTGCATATTGTGAATGATTCTTGCGACCAACGCAAGCCCAAGTCCCAGGGCCCGCTTCGTCTCCGACTTTTGCGTAGTCGAGGTATCTTCCTCCTGATAGTAAGTATCATCAGTGGAGACTTGCTCCAGCTCGTAAAAGATGGCTTCAAGTTTGGATTTCGACATGCCAGCTCCTGTGTCCAAGACCATCATCTCCACGCCAACATGTCCAGGCACGGTTTGGTTGGCAGACCGCCACATCTCAACTGTGACGGCGCCGGAGGTGGTTTGTTGGATAGCATTGGAGACGAGGTTGGAGAATACTTGACGCACGCGACGTTGATCGCCAACCACCATTCGAGGCAGACCAGGCTTGGTAGACACAGTGTACGAAATGTTTTTGCGTTTGGCCTCGCCGGCAAGCATATCAGTCGCCTCTCGGAAAGTAGTTTGAAGATCGAATGTCTCGTCTTTGATAAGCTCGTGTCCCTTTTCGGTGTTGGTGAGATCCAGTAGATCATTAATGACATAGATCAAGGACTTGGAGGCAGAGTGCGATTTTGTTAAACTTTCTCGAGTTTCCGAATCTAGAGCACCCTCTAATGCAATCTCCAAGTAGTTGATGATCGCATTAAGAGGAGTACGAACCTCGTGTGCCGAGTTTGCGAGAAGAAGCTTGGTTAATTGGGAGTTCTGCATGGCCGCTTCTTTCTGTCGCCACACTTTGATGAATTTACCATAGACGAGGCAGAGAACCGCAGCCGTCTCGACATCCGTTTCAGACCACTCGCGCGATTGGCTGAGGACAGTCTCCCGCCATGCCGCAAAACTGCTGCGTGGCTCCAAATATCCAGCCGTTTCTTTCCGCTTTGCAATGTCGTACGGATTGCCGGCCCATTTGATTTCGGTGAGCTGACCTTTACGGAAGAAACAGATAAAGTCACTGCCGCCCGTTGAGAGGGGGACATACAATAATCCCGAAATGGCTTTGAGGCCAGGGGCGTATTGTAAGTCTGGGAAGTCCTTGATGATATCATGCGAGGCAAGCACCGTGTTCAACTGGCGCATACGGAGAAATTCGAGAAGAGCAAGGACCTCTTGGGAGTGTGTAGTGTCACCCAGGACTTTCGTCTCGTCCCGAATAGACAGAGCACCGTAGTCAGCATCAAACAGTTGTAGCAGGTCATCAGAGGAGGCGATGATATAACCAGATGGATTGGCTTCGGTGGGCACGGTATTGATCAACTTTCGAGCTTGGAGACGAGATGCGTACGATAAACGTTCGATATTCCGGGAGACGGTGTCACCGAGAAGACGGCACATCTTGCGAACTGGGAACGAAACACGCATACCAGTGTTTCCGTACGAGTGACACGAGATCAATCCCCAAAGATCATTGAAAGCGTTGATACTGATAGACATTGACGATCGGACTTTCATGTGAGCGAGATATTTGATGTGAATTGGTGACATGGCGCGCAAGTAAGAGTGGGTCATGTCCAAGGGGGTCTCCAAATCCTCCAACGTCCGGCACACAAGTCGTGAGGTAATCTGGTCACGATCGTAAAGAAGACGAACCTTGTTGACTTTGTAGAGCTCCCGTGCCTGTGCCGGAATATCAGATGCCGGGAAATGAAGACCCTTGTAGAGATCAATGGTGACCTTGGGATCAACCAACTCCGCCACAACCAAGCCATTCCAACTGCTGTCAAACTGGTAAATCATAATGCGATGGAAACCTGTCAGCTCCTTGACTAGTCCAACCGTAGTGTTGAGAAGAGTATCGAGATCATTTGCTCGACCTAGTTGCTCTTGGATCTGTGACAACATGCTAAAGACTTCCATGGCTGCAGCCTCACCCCTTCTTCGTCGAGCATTGCGTAGTACCCGAAGCGGTTGGCTGATGTTAACGGTACTGCCAGCGAACTGCTCCGCGGTCGGGAAGGATCCCAGCGTCCCCGTCGGACTGGATGGGGTTTCCAATCCACCAACATTCAGTGGGTTCGTCTCGTCGTCTTCCAACTCCAGCTCGCAGATGATCAGATCTTTCTGCGCCTGGCTGACATGCGTCGCACACCAGAAACGGCGGTTCTCGCCATCCGGCGTGGGAATAGTCAAGCCAAACACTTCAGGCCCGTCCACACCGGGGTCATAAGCATCGTCACGGACAAAGTCGATATGATCCAGTAATGAATCGGCTTGATCGTTATTCAAGATATCACAAAAGCTTTTCAATTCGAAGAGTTGTTTTGGGGAATAGCCCAAAAATTGATGAGCATTTTCGCTTACTACGCGAACCACAAGTTGATCCGGAGACTCCTCTCGCAACGCGATCATGACGCCGAAGCTCTGAACAGCTCCCGGAATGCGAATAGGCTCATCCTCGCAATATTGAAATGCTTCCCCGTCTCGTCCTGTGATAACGGCATGACCACTGTCCGTCATGATATGCTTGAACCGGGCCGTAACGTGCCCATAAGACTCGTTGGAGTCGGCTAGAGGGCGCGAGGGCGGTTGAGGAGTGCCGCTCCTTGCAGACTGGCTGTCGCTTTTGACCTTCGCGTATATCTCTGGATGCTGGGCAACTCGGGATGCCATGGAGTGGGTGGCCAATTCAGCCTGATCGTTGGAAGCAACCGTTTCGTGGCGTAGGGTGTCCGTAGGCATAGTGGGTTCTTGAGGTTGTTGAGGCTGGGATTGTAGGTTCTGCCAAGTATGTTGGTCGATAATCGAGTACTGACGAGCACCCTCGCGGGTTGGCGAGACCGCACCCCGCGCGCGGGATGAGACATGTTGCGCCGCGGTTGGATCAACTGAGACGACCGACCGAATGGGAAACACACGATCGGTGCCACCTAACTCTGCACTCGGTGGTAGTCGCTGCCCTTCGTTGTGTGTCACGGATTGCGAGCGGTCTCTGCTAACGGGTCGAACGTTGGTAGCATCGATCGAGGCCGGCCACGGGGCCGACGCACTCTCCGACCGCTTCCGCGCGGTCCCCGGCCTCGAGTTTTGGGGGCTTTGCGACGACATTTTACGTGTGCGTCGTTCGAGGGAGGGAAGAAAGAGGTCGGTGTCGCGAGGACTGCCCGAGGGCAAGTGGTGTCGGGAGGGTGGGGAGGTTGCGAATGGATCGGACGAGGCGGCGGTGGGATAGTTTGTCGTTCTAGATCGGTGGTATTGTACGACTAGTTGGACTCACAAATCGAGACAACAGTTCTCTGGTTTTTTCGACAATGAGGCAGAGCGAGAACAATGTTTGAAAACAAAAGAAAAATCTTGATAGATATTCTCAGACACGATCTGCGCACTGCGACTGGTTATCGAATATCCAATAAATGAAGGTCTGTTGGAATCCTGAAGAAGGCGGGGTGGATCTCTGCGACTGGGCTCATCAGGTCAGGGATCTGGCACCCACAGGAGGCGTTACACGATTATCGATCCAAGATCCAAGTGGATGAGCGTGCCTGGCTGTGCCTAAAGAGGGGGCGTATGTGTAGGTGAGAAGATGTTTTATTCCCAAGGGAGCGGATGGGCTGGCGATCTAGAGAGACCGACAAGACCGAGTGGAGAGGGGAAGAAAAAGCCCTATGGAGGGGCTACCAAGCGGAGAGACGTAAAAAACCTGGGCCCGTTATCCTTTTCCAGTGCTTGGGGGGAGACTCGGGAGAAGGCATGTGCGGTTTTTGGGGCCCGAGCAAAGAGGAAATGATGTGCAGGTCTCCTGTGAACCCACACCTAGGCCCCAGACACTCTCGGAGACACTCTCGGAGAGGCAGGGAATGGGCACCGGTGGACTGGTTAAACGCGACGGAGCAGCCGAGGACGCGAATTAATGTGGCTTCATGATTGGGGGAGCACTCGCCGGTGGATAGCGGTGATTGGATCGAAAACTGGAGATTGGAGAGAAACTGGAACCCGGCCAGCAGCGACAACCGGGGAACCATTGTGGAATACTATGGACGACGTGGGTAGAAAGGGCAGAGCTTTATGGTGGCTGAGCTAAGGACCCTTCTATTGCTTCTATTGGAAGAGCCCCGGAGTTGAGGTGAGAATTCGGTACCGCTGCAAGGGATGGTGGCGAACCGTTGACAGGAGCATTGACTACTGTTGTCTGGTGGCATAGTGTCTCCATACTGGATACCTCCGAGGCAATAGATGGTAGTCTCGGTACAAGGGAGGTTATTGCGTAGACTTGGCTGAGTGGTGGAGGGTGGAAGAAAGTGGAGTCGCGTGCATCATCGTGACTGGGCGGTGGGCGGGAGGCGTGCCTCACAATTCAGGAATTCAAGGTTGAGACCCAAGTCTGTCGACGACTGACTCGTCTGATGACATCACACGCTATCCATGCTATGGTGCAAGGATTCTGACAGTTTATTTCTACGAGTATACTACGACCACTGTGGAACTAGTGCTGTACAGTATATGTAGATCAATAAGAAGTACAATCATTTGCTCCTCCCTGTCGATATGATGTGCAATGACATAACGATACACCTATATCGCGAACCCTTGAATTACCACAGCAGACAATAATGTCATACGATCGGTCGCAGGTACCTACTGTATCCTATCTTGTATCGAATCCATGATCATGTAATCTCCCACGCCGGAATGTACGGGAGGCAATTTCCCCGTCGGCCGAATCATCGGTGATGCCCGAAACATCAGTCCGCAATGCCATCAACTATTCGCCACTTTTTACTAACAGGCAGATGAACAATCTTGTACCGAACTATACATCCACTCAAGCTGAAACTCCGGCATATCCATGACGAAACGAAGACGATCATGTACTCATACCACGGGGAATTATTCGGTAGTTATGAATGTGATGATTCTTTGAGCTGCTATGTAATTCGACTGGGCTTCGAAAAGTTCGAGCGCTCGACAAAATTCGATAAGGGTCCATCGGGAACTTATCCTCCAGTCATGAAGTGAATTTTCTGTTAGGATGTCTTGATATGACTCAAGGCCCGCTGCCTAAACTACTTTCCGAGAATCTCCAACGCATTATTATAGGATACTATCAATACGCGGGTTCCTTTTGTATGAGTACCATTGACACCCAATACGGAAGAGAGTAATATATGCACTTGTAAAATAGGAAGCAATAACTTGTCAGCAGCCCAGCATCACCCATATTCGGAAACTCAGCGCACCTTACTAGGTTACAAACCTCTAGAAAAACATATCTTCTATATGTTTGGGATCGCATACAAAGGAATATTTCCGCCTTATAGCTCTCCATCGATCTATAGCATCGAACGTATCTCCATAAACTTTCATAGATCACCCCATTTCGCACCAAAATGCTTACGATATCTTCCATACAGACACTTATATCCCGTGGAATTAATCGAGCGATGATGCCACGACGCTCAATTCCACAATCGGCAAATACCTCGAACAATCACCTAATACGGTCTTATCAGATTTCATCCTCGTTAAAGTGAGCAATAGGAATCATCACATTATCGCACCATCGCCCGTGTGGCGTTCTATTCCCACGTTCGTGAGGGGCTGTTTGCTAAACATAGCCATGCTGGCTTCAATGATCAAGGAATAGTACGTAGTGGATGGAGTTGGGAGAAGGTGCGTGGCTACCGATGAGCACACCTCTCTCGGTCTTAGAACTGGGTAGGTCTAGTGTAGTGCATTGTATTTCAGAAGCCTAATGAGATTGATTATCTGGAAAGAGTAGAAGTATGATACAGTGTGTTGATGCCGTTAGAATCATCTATCGTTTGCCGGCCTTAGACGCGCGTGAGGTCGATACTCTCTATTGATCCTCGTCCAAAAATGGGACTAGTGTTTGGGTCTGTTCTTTCAACGAGCGATTTGTTTAACAAATAGACGACATCTTCGCTCGAGGATTAAAACCTTATTCTCTGCCTGAACGTTTAATTAATTTCATTCCCCAATTAGAGATAACGGGTTCGTGCGAGCTCTGACAGGATGCTCGCATATCAAGACGATTCCCGATCTTCAGCCCAGCTAGTGCATCTTTAATACTAGTCCAATCATCACATTGATCTGTCGCTTAATATCGGAACAATAAATGACCGTATAGACTAAGAATGCCGCCCATCGAGCATTTTCGGTCTAGCGGTATCATGCCCTGTTATTTGTGCGACAGCTCATCCGCGTTGGCTGCCTGTGGAGACGACCAATTCGGCATCATTTTACCCCACCTATACCAGCTGAGATATCCGAGTGAGTTGAATAGTGGAAGAATTATCATCCAGTTACACTATAATTCGACCTTGAGTTATATAGGTAAATAAGGAGGGTGAGCGAAACAGTGCAGTTAACAGCGAGGCCTCTATAGGAGCGACGACGGTAACTACTGTAACTAGCTGGGGCAGGCCCACAATATGAAAGCCTAGATCCTCCAAAAGCTAACCGACTTCAAAAATTAATGGTCTAGCCATGTTGGACCTAGTTTTATGTAGTTATGCTTAGAATCGCACTACGCCCAATTTGGTAAATGGAAGACATTTCGTCCTGAGATCGGTCTCTCTCAACTTACAAAATAATAAAGCTGACGTTCCCACCACAAGGATAAGATTAATAACTTCTATTCAAGAAAACCAGTGCGGTTTTTCTATTTTACTTACTTCTCTACCTGACTCCAACTCACCGATTCAAATGTCAGTGTCCTTTCATCCTGCCTCACTGTCAAACCTTGCCGGCAAGCTCTACATTGTACCACGTGAAAATTCTCTAACGTCCGTAAATCATGCCCTGATGGGGCGCACGTCTAGACGTATGTCCGAAGTACAGCCAACGGAACTGGCGCCATCGAATCGATCACGGATAAATATCCTCGAGGTGGCCTGCCTCTTACTCATCTCTGTCTTGGAATATGAAAGACCCTTCCAGCTTGGTCACCTATCCATATTTACCTAGCCATTACTCTGCAATAAAGAGAGATATCCACTTTACAGACACCATCTTTCAATGAACGCGGGATCTTCTTATATGTTCAGTCCAATTGGACCGATATCCTACTCGCAAGGACTTTGCTATACCAATTCCAGCCGGCGAATCTTGTGAACACTACTACTATCAGGGCAGTAAAGAGCAATTCAAACCGAATAGATACTAAGATTCAGCTTGGCCCCAAACCGATCTAACCTTACAAGATCGCAGCTCATACCTTACTATCAAAATCAGCCTTGACCGCAGCAGCAAATTCATCATCGCCCAACACCCGACATCCCACAACAGCCATACCAGCCGCACAATAAAGACTGCGCTGGAAACTCTCTTCCGAACCCGCTCCCGCCGTAAACTGTGGAGTATGATTGACTCCATCGGTATGAATATAAAAACTGCCATGGAACCCGGGTACCTCGTACGAGACATTACCCATATCAGTAGAACCACCACTCAAACCACCCTCCTGACCAGCAGCATCATATATCGTGCTGTAACCCATTTCATTCATGGCAATCATATAACCCTCACAAATAGGACGATTATCCACCATATCCATATAAGAAGGTTCCCTGAAAGTCATAGTCAGCACGTCTATACCAAACCCTCCCGAGAAATCAAATCGCACCATTTATACTCAACAGTACAACCCGTCGCCGTAGCGGCAGCCTCAAAACACTTAACCACCCTCTCCGTCAACGGCGTCAGACTTTTCACAGTTTCAGCCCGAATATAATACTCGACCGTCGTCGAAGCAGGAATAACATTCGGCCTCTCCCCACCCCGAAGCACGACCCCGTGAATCTTCTGCGTCGGCAGAATCTGCTGCCTTAACATGGAAATATTCACATAAGCAGCTACAACCGCGTCGAGCGCATTAACACCCTCCCACGGCGCCGCAGACGCATGTGCCGGTTTTCCGGTGAACGTAACCTCGACTTTGTTATTGGCCAGGTACTGCGCCGAGTCGGAACTCGCACTGAGTAAGTTCGGAGAACCTGTCAATGCAGGGAATGGGTGGACCATGAAACAGGCGTGGACGTCCTTATATGCGCCCGCGTCAATGAGGAGGAGTTTCCCGCCGCCGCCTTCTTCGGCGGGAGTTCCTAGGAGGCGGGTTGTGTAGGGGGTGTTTGGGTAGAGGGCGCGCATTGTTTCGGTTGCTGCGAGGAAGGAGGCGATGGAGCTTGTTGCGATTAGATTGTGGCCGCAGGCGTGGCCCATACCGGGGAGACTGTCGTATTCTGCGTTGAAAGCTATGGTGCGGCCTCCTTGGCCGTTGGTGTAGCTGATTTCGAATGCGGTGTTGATGCCGTAGGCACTGCGTTTGACGGTATACCCGTCTGCGGCGAGGGCGTCGAATAGGGCGCAGATGTTATCGTGGGCATTGTGTTCTTCAAAGGATAATTCTGGGTTAGACCAGATCTTTAGCAGGGAGATGATTAGTAGATGTCTCTAGCGACAAGATATAGGCTGGGACCACTGTTCTGGTGCTACTTACCTTCTGGTTGATCTCGCTCAGCCGCGCCTCATGCTTGGCCAAAGCACTGCGAACATTTTCAATGATCTCGGACTCCTTCATCGTGATAAACCTTCAATATGAAAATGACGATCACCGCCTCCTCAATTCCAACAGCGATGCTATTCCCTTTAAAACACCCCTCATTGCCGATCGGCAAAACCCCCGCAAGATAAGAAGACATTACCACCCCAACTGATCATCCCAATCTCCAAATACCACATATCCATTCCGCGAAAATTCCGCCGTGGATACCACTATCCCCTCTACAAAGCCAATCCATAACACCCTCAAATACTAACCAGGCGCCTCCTGGGTAGCCCCACCCCCAAAAGCAGACTCCATATGCAACCTGGCCGCATGAGCCTGTACAGGCCTCGCATCCATAAAAACCCTCATCTCAACAATCTGCAAATCATCCACACACCCGCCCTCAAGATCAAGAATATTAAACTCCCGTAACTTAACGGGGAACTCATCGGGGTCATTCTTAAACACTGTTTCCGAGGTAGCCTCAAACATAACCGTTCGTTTAAGCTGAACGCCGCTGGTAAGTGGTGCGTAGAGGGTAGTTTCGTCGCGGGCGACTGTCGATGCCCCAGCAGCAGCAGTAGTGGTGGCGGTGGTGTCTTCATTGCCACTTTCCCGGCTTAAATCCATGTCCCAGGCGAGATGGACTTCGTGGCGGAAATGCGCGAGATGGCGGCCGCGGACTTGGAGGAGGGGGATCGCGTCGGTGGCTGTTGTTGGCGGGTTGCTGCCGATTAGAATTGGGGCGTTGGGCGTGAAGAAGGGGTGGATGGAGTGGTTGTTTGGGTTGAGGGAGTCGGCGGCTGGGAGGAAGCGTTGGAGGAAGAGGAGGCCTGGGGATGCGGTGGGTGGGATTGTTTCGTAGGGGCCGTGGTGGATGGTGACTGCCGTGTTCATCTTGGTGGATCATTGTAAGAGTCTTGGATATAGATCTAGAGATAGATGTTGACTGCGTTTGGTGTGGAGCTTGGTAGTTCCGTCATCATCACGTAGTAAGCTATCGTTGGTGCTGCAAAGGTAGGAAGAAGCGATCAATGAATATTTTGTACATTTTGAAATTATGATACATGTATCCCAAGAATAGGTTCAGAGTATGCTCAAGTATAAACAGTAGATGCAGCATGATACAAGATCAATCGTGATGAGGCCGCTGCCCCCCGTCAGGAGTTGTGGGCTCTAGAGAATAGACAGATCCCGGCGAGAGTGAAATGAGGTAATTGTGCGACTGCGAGCACATGTCCGTAAAGAGAATCGCCTTGGTTTGGGAGTCTGTCCTGCTCCCTGTGTATGGGCGCGAGTCCGCGATGACCGGTCCTTATGCTCAACTGTGAGTCACAGGACCGGGTCCAGGGAGTCCACGAAAACCTGCCATGAAGAATGGCACCTTGGAGTTGATGGGTCATTCAAGGCACAGCGCGTCAAGAAGGATCATCGCCGTCACTAGACAGCCTCGACCTCGTCGATGGACGAATTCGTTGTTCCGACGACGGCAAACTCTCCATGGAGATATTATTCCATGCTCCCATGCCTCGTGATCTCCGCGATTCCACCGGGGCCGCATGTGTCACGTCCGTCGTGAATTGAGTCGGGTCCACAAAATTCGGATACTCTTCGTGTTCCGAGGAAGTAGGCTGCGAGCGATGAGTCTGCACCAGCGAGACAAGTTTGCCAAGGACACCGAACTCCAGTTTGAGCTTGATGCTGTAGACCATGGGTTTCAGGGTGGTTTGCAACGAGTAGTAACCGATGTACTCGACAACCAACAGCGCCACGTCCAGCATGATAATCACAAAGTTGATCGCCAAGAGTTCGTACATGATCTTCGTCCGTCTGTGATCCTTGTCCGGCATGAGTCGAAGTAGCTTGACCGTCTCTGAGATATAGATACCCGAGATGACAAACTCCTGAGCGCAGAACCAGGCCAACTGTAGACGTTCCATGACATTGTAGCCACGGATGATAGGGAGCGTGCCGACATAAGCAGTCGAAAAGGTAAGCACGGTAGTCGGAATCAATAACAACACAGCATCAATGATAATCAACCACAGCACAAACCGCAAGATCCGGTGGCTCTGCACCACGAGATGCAATCGCGAATACAGCACCACCGACTGACCGGGTACCATAACATAAAATCCAATCGTAGACATGGTCAAACATAACCACAACGGCGCCAGCGCAAAGAATTCCAAAATATATCCAATAGTATGCGGAATCACGCCCAACACCACCGAAAGCAATAGTGTCCAAAAGTACAGTCCACGGTAGTGCTGAAACGTCAAAAACAAGAGTATAAACAGCTCGATCGCATTGTATAGGGCGATGGAGGAGAAGACAATCATGAGAATGCGCACGGGCAGGCTACCCCCCGTGTAGCCCCCGATCAGGCCATCGGGGGCCTGGGAGAGCTCGCTGGCAACCATCGATGCCGGCGCACGCGCAGGGCGGGCCTAGAGGAGGCTGTCGCGGGTGCTATACAGTAGGACGATAGAAAGGCGAGGAGGATCGCAGGGACCCGCTGGCGGAAGACCGTAGTCGTGTATCTCGTGGGTTCGAATAGGACAGTTTCACCGCCATGATCTGGTTTGTATGTGCGAGCTAAAATTGGAACATCCACGCGAGTGTCGAAGAAGCCGACGCTCTCGAGGGAGGGATGGGAATCGAGAAAGAGGCGGGGGAAGAGAAGGTTGAAGGTGTGAGATCGCGCAGTACACAGGTTCCGATGCGATTCAAGGGTGTGTGATGTTTCCCTTCCTTGTTGTCGTATTCGAAGTTCCAATTATACCTGTAGAGACAATACCAAGGTCGCGCGCAAGCTGTCGCCTCCCGTGGCGGATTCGGATGTAACTGTGGTCGGAGAAAGGGCGGTTATTGAGGAGAGAGACACGAGGCAATTAATCAAGAATGCAACGGATCTCGCAGATAGAAAAAGGATCGTCAACGTGGAAGTGCCGAAGAGGTGAAGGGTGAAAGATCGGAGGAATGGAGGACGATCTCAAGAGTCTGGAGGACGGCCAAAGTGCGGAGGGGCGAAAAGAGGAGCCCCAGTGGGTTCGTGCTGGGCCCCGTTCTTCTCCGCACGAGGGAAAGTTGAAGGATTGACAAACTCGAGGATAACCACGAGATAGAGAGAGAGAGAGCAGGGAAAGGAAGAAGGTTAAAAGAGAGAATCGAAACGAGAAATGGACTTCAACCGACCAAAAGGCTAATCCGTGCGGAGGCCCAAGTTTCCCCCGAGGCAAAAGAGGGAAAAAGTCAAAAAGAAAAAAGTTCGGGACCCAAAGAAAATCGCCAAAATCTCCGCGGGGGCGGTTCTCGACGGCTTTTCGGGTCTTTTGCCACTGAGATATTCTGGAACGTTGGAAGTTTGGAAGTTAATGGAATCTAGAAAACATGATTGGTAAGTAAATTGGAGAGAGTAGTTCACATGGAGGGAATCTGGAGTAGTACTACTACCTTCTTCAGTACAACAGTACTATACAGGGCCACTATTGTTTAACACAGCCTGTTAGCAACGAAACGGCACAAATTAGGTCATTTTGAATACTCTAACTATTTAGCTAACTGCAACTATAATACTATTACTATATTCTCGTATATCTAGAATAGCAATTGCTCATGCTTATGGTCCTGGATGGCCACTGTGGCGGTGGAGGCAAGCCACCGATCCCAACCTCAACCGACACCTAATTCCTGAGGCCCCAAAGAGCAATGGTCGACTCCATCGAGTTCAATTGCTATCGGGACTAGTTAACGATAATCTCGCCCTCTCTCCCCTATATTGCTATTATTATGCAAGCAATTGACCAAATAAGTTTGGCGCTCAGGCCTTGAATCTACCCTCTCCAGTCCATCAGGAACCCGGAGCTCCATAGCTTCTTATTTTGTCTTCCTCCTCCCACGGACTTTTCTAACTTGACAACCCGGTATATTATTCAATCTCAACGGCGAAGTATTCCTCCTTACACAGTACTCGGTAGACTCGACGCGCCGTTGTCACCCGCTAGTCAGTGGCAGCCATGACGATCAACTCCACTTAACCGGCACATCGGCAGTTCCCACCACTAAGCGATGCAACGGTCGCCTATTGGGAGTATTGGCCTCGACCCGCATTATCCGAGCTGCTTCTTGTCGCTGCAGTACTTGCTGGATGGTGTCACTCAAGGGTCCAAGAATTTATCTCGTGAACTATGTGCATAATCGAGCTCGAGTCCAAGTGGGCGGGTCCATTAAGCTCTGCTGAGACAGGTTCGAGCTACAGAACTGGAAAACGTGCCTCGAGCTCTTCATCTTCCGATCGCGTGTTCGATCTAGACGACCAAGACATAGACGAGGTTTCATGCTTATTCCAAGGTTCGAGGCGGTTTCAGTCTTGTTTCATTTTGGGTCTCTTGGTGGGCTCCAAGGTGGAGCCAGTTGTCTCGATCCCTGCGGGTCAAATTCAAAGCAGTGCCCTATATTCCGACGGCGTGGACTCTTGACAGTTTTGTTTTCTGTCTCTGTCCAGAAGCCGGATATTACGATTTGGGGCTGTTTAGCTCTGATCATATCGACAAACACGTCCTGTGCCTTTCTGATTATGCTATTTTCAGCGGTCGAGGGGCACTTGGAAAATTCGTCACTAGTGGACCGGCTTATGTGGAAGAATGCGAGAATATGATCTTAGAACGATCTACGAGGTTTTGACGGGATGTATATCGTTCCTAACAAGAAACGATAGAGAAAAGTGCCTAAAAGGATTATAGCCTCAATTTCTCTTGTTGCCTACAAAAAGACCAAGGGAGAATAATTAGTGGGCATAGCTCGCGTGAGGCTCTCCAGAGGAATGATTTGAGAGCTAAGGGCTCACCCTGATATGATAGGTTCTGTATTAGAGCTAGAGCTTGTGCGAACAGCATTTTGATCAATCGTATTCATAGAATTCTTTTTCAAGGGTTTCCATTTAATTTATTATTGAGGGCTTGCCAGAACATGTTACAACTTATGAATCTCTACTAAAGTGTAGCCAGAATGTTTATGCTCGCCCAAGGCCCTCAAAAGGCACGGTGGTACCTCGCCATAAATCCGGTTAACACCAGAGTTGTTAAAATCGTGGCTGCTTGAATCCAGAGAAAACCAATGTGGCTCAAACTAACAGGTGCCCAATATTTCTTTTACCTACTTACTTTTTGAGTGACGGAAAGATATTGAAATTAAATAAATAATGGCATATCTATCATATGGACTGCATGGGTGACTTATTGTACTGGACTTTCCGAGGCCTTGGGTTCTGGAGTATTCGGTCTCCCTGTTGGCACCACCTCTTGGAGCAGCGCTACAAATGTCTCATTCCCTGCTGCAGCTGCCTCCTGCAGCGGTGTTTGACCATCATTGCTTTCTATTTCCTTGTTGACGCCCACCTCGAGCAACAGGCGCACGATAGCCAAATATCGTTCATGCACCTCAGCCCTCATATACTTTGCCCCAGCAGCATGATGCAGCGGCGATCGACCATTATTATCTTTGGGCTCCTTGTATGCACCAGCCTCTAGCAGCAGATGCAGGATAGCCTCGTGTCCATGACCAGCAGCTTCATGTAATGGAGTTTTACCAGAATTTTTTTTGGCCTCTTTGTCGACACCTGCCTCAAGCAGCAGACGCACGGTAGCCTGACACCCAGTCCGAGCAGCGAGATGTAATGGTGTTAAACCAACCTTACTTTTAGCATCCTTGTCGGAACCAGCCTTTAGCAGTAGACGCACGATAGCCTCGTGTCCATGACCAGCAGCTTCATGTAATGGTGTTTCACCCCATCTGTTTTTGGCGTCTTTGTCGGCACCTGTCTTAAGTAGTAGACGCACGGTAGCCTTACGCCCAGCTCGAGCAGCTTCATGTAATGGTGTTAAACCAACCTCACTTTTGGCATCCTTGTCGGAACCAGCTTTTAGCAGCAGACGAGCGACAGCCTCGTGTCCATAACGAGCAGCTTCATGTAATGGAGTTTCACCAGAATCTTTCTTGGTCTCCTTGTTGACGCCCGCCTCAAGCATTAGACGCACGATATCCTCGTATCCCTTGGAAGCAGCCTCATGTAATGGTGTTGAACCAAACCTGTTTTTAGCATCCTTGTCGGAACCAGCTTCAAGCAGCAGACGTACGATAGCCTCGTGTCCTTGACTAGCGGCGCAATGCAACGGAGTTCCACCAAATTTGTTTTTGGCCTCCTTGTCGACGCCCGCCTCAAGCATTAGACGCACGATATCCTCGTATCCCCTGAGAGCAGCGTCATGTAACGGTGTTTGACCATTGGAAGTTTTGGCCTCCTTCAAGTTTTCTGCGCCAGCATTTAGCAGTACAGACACGATAGCCCCGTGTCGTTGCTCGACAGCGTAATGCAAGGGTGTTTGATCATGGTTATTCGTAGCCTGCACGTTGACGCCGGCCTCAAGGAGTACACGAATGGTAGCCTCGTATCCTCCATCAGCAGCTTCATGTAGTGGTGTTTCACCCCATCTGTTTTTGGCGTCGTTGTCAGCGCCCGCCTCGAGCAGCAGACGGACGGTAGCCGCATGTCCTTCTTCGGTAGCGCAGTGCAGAGGCGTTAGAGTAGCATGATTTTTGGCATCCTTGTCAATATCTACGTCTATCTTCAGTAGCATGCGCGTCAGAGTCTCATAGCCGTGTCGTGCTGCCCAATGTAGTGGAGTGTCACCTTCACACGTCAGAGCTGTGATAGAACTGGTGCCATTGCGGAGCATTTTGCGCATCGTGGTCTCTAGCCCGTTCGCAGCTGCAAGCTGAATTGGAGCGTAGGGAGCACTCCTATCAAAAGAGAGCTCACTATCGCTGATGAACAATCTCTTGATCAAGCCTCGTTCATTATTTATAGCCATGCAGTGCTGAAATGTCCAGCAGTCTCCATTCGGAAGGGCCTCGGCGGCACGGGTGGGGATATGGGCGTCATTGCGCTTTAGCAGCTTAACTACCGGCGCATGTTCATTTGCCTCAGCGAACCGTTGAGGTGTCCATCCGTATTTATCTTCGACGTTGACATTGGCGGCAAAACAAAGCAGGATATCTACCACCGCTGCATGTCCGTTTATTGCCGCAAAATGTAGTGGTGTCCAACCGAGATAATGGTCTTGCACGTCCACCTGCGCCCCGCGGTCGATCAAAGATTTCACCAACTGTTGATTTCCACTATCTGCAGCACAATGCAGCGGGGTCCAGCCAAACTTGCTATCCTTGCTAGTGACATTGGCATCTTTGAGCAGGCTGATCAATTCTAAGTCTCCATTCATCGATGCGACATGGAGTGGTGTCAGGTTGTTAGAGCCTTGTGCATTGATGGTGCGATCATTGATAAGAGTCTTCGTAACGAAGAAAAACCCCATACGAGCGGCTATGTGCAATGCCGTATCGCCGTTTTTGTCTCGCCATTTGGTCGACTCTGTCCTTGAGAAACTCCACCACTTGAACAGAGCCTCCCCAAGCAGCGTGGTGCAATGCGGTTCGCCAATCGTGGGATCGCGCATTCAAATTAGCCCCAAAATGTACCAGATCGCGTACCATTTGGTCTTGTCCACGTTCTGCAGCAAGAGCTAGTGGCCGCCGCCCGAGTTCATCAGGGTCATTCAAGTCAACTTGCCCAGCCAGCTCTATGAATACGACGTAATCCTTTCTCCATATTGCTTGCCTTAGAGCTTCGCTGGTCTTCTCTTCAAAGGTTGTGGGTTTCTGTTCTTCCTGTTCCGACACAAAGCCATCGGAGTGAACGATCACTATTTCATCGACTTTTTCAAATGCCATCTCATTACGGAGGTGAATCGCACCGATGTATTGACAGCGAGTGGGCTTACAAGTTTCTTCTGCCTGTGAAAGAATCCTCACCAGCAAGGCTCTCTGAGCGAGTCCGCTACCACACTCGGCTAAAAGCGAGCACTGGTCGGGGTATTTCTTGAGGGTATCTTGGATCCGGTGCCGTATTAGTGGATGGGATCCGGTCCACAGGAAATTTCTTTCAAGTGCTTTTTCCATGGAAATGATTCGCCACTTCCCTTCGATGCCAGTATCCGAGAATTTCAGGCTATAGGGAGGATTATTGTCCAAAGGCATTGAAAATAGACTCGTAGGGCACCAGCTAGAACCCCCAGACATTGTCGCGGCATTGTGGAACAGGTGACCGGGTGAAACTTGAGTTAATTTCCGTACTATGCGCATGTAGGTGTGCTGCTGCGACTCGTGCGGTTCAACACCCACTAGTAACGCTGAAATCACAGATAGATCCTTCGGCCAAGAGGTATAGCGTGAGACTAGCACGGTCAAAAGCGCGTTGACTGAGGTGATTTTCCTCCGTAAGTTGCGGACGATCTGAGATGCTTTTCTTCGACGTATTTCGTGCTCATCTTCCTCAATTTCCTCACCACTCTCTTCCTTTGCGAGAATCTCCTCATCCAGATCTTTGATAACTGGGCCCTGAGGACCTTTGAATATGATTTTGACCTTGGGAGATTGGGCTAACTCCAGAGCAGTCCAGCCACGACTAAACCAAGGTGACATGAGAATGGCGAAACATGCAGTTTTAGGGTCCCACTCCCAGTTTCGGAGAAATAAGTCATGCACCAGAGTGATCCGAGCGTCCCGGTAGTTAATATGCATTCGCCGTATAGCTTGTGTGCGAGCAGCCTTTTCCTGTGGAATACAGATCGTGTCCCACCATATTCCCTCGCATTCAAACTCCTCCGCGATACCTCGGAAGAACCTATACAGGCATTCGTTGACTTCTCCCTCTCGCCAAGAACCGGCGCCAGTTCCGTCTGACCAGACGTGTGAGACTGCCATAAAGGGTCGTGGTGATTCAAGCATGACATGTCCACTCAGCTTCCACGCGGTTGATTTGCCACTTCTCGCAGCTTCGTCAAGTATTCTTCTTGGAAACTGGTATCCAATTTGTCTGCAGTCTTTTTTTCCGCACTCGCACCGCTGCGGAACAGATGTGAAGTCGCGGCGAGAATATTCGCAAAAGTCGAACGTGCACAGCTCGTGTTTATTTTGGTCGATATGATGGTCATCTGTCTCTACATGCGGCAGCAAATTCGGCAGATCCTCTCCTGCGACAGCCCAAACACGATTAGGACAAAACTTAAGCTGGACTGTTGCTCTTTCGAAGGCTTGCAACGGATTTGCACTATTCAAGTTCATGGTTTTGACTAAAGCCGTTAGCAAAGTCCTAGCCCTGAGCCATTGGATATTTGGATTAGCCCATGGAGCTGCATTACTAGACTTACACCTAATTCAAAAATGAATCTGGAGTTGCTAGTATTCAGATATTTTTGGATTAATATTAATTTTCTTAGTAGACTCAATGTTTGAGGGAAATTAGGTAGTGACAACACTGTGTTGAGTCCCCGCAGAGAAATCTCGCTGACAGCAGATTTCTCGCACCGCCCCGTTGGGTTGATTTGCACTGCCTCCTTAGGCATGCACAGATCTTCCAAGATGGGTCAGGAATACTCTGCTCGAGTGCAAGGCGTGCGTTATTGTACATTCAAATGTTTTGTCAAGCGCTATCCTAGTGGGAGTGTCCATATGCCAAGACCTAGGGAGCCTCGGACAAACAAATAAACATTTGGTCACGTGGCTTATTTACGGTTGAGCCGACAATACTGTCAATCCAATATGACAATAAGATTTGTTTCGTGATCACCATCGCGTAAGTTAGTTAATAGGACCTTAATAGGTCTGAATTGCTCTCTTGCCCCCTAGCTGGCAATTTGGACGGGCTTAAATGACTAATCTTAGCGGATCTAACTATTAGTTCCTTCCTCTGGGTATCCACCAATACTGTTGCTCCGACCGGGCGGGGGGTCAGAATAGGCAGAGAAGGAGTTATTTTAGTAATCCCCTAAAGTTAGAGCGGCGACGAAGGGGTCTATATAGAAACACGCACAGCAATAGTAACGCGTAGAGAGGCGCTAAACCAGAATAGCCAGTCTAGGCCCTTTTGCGAAATTCAGCGTCCTGATTATACGGAGTAGAATGGGAAGCAAATAGATAGTAGCCCAAGAGCGTAAGCAGCATCATCCGAGCCATTCTGGGTAGTAGACAGGATTCTGAAGCGATAGCTATGCTCCTGCCAATTTCTGGTGCGGTGTTCCTTCATATAGTAGGTGGTTCTGTTCCTCAAATAGGCAGGTGGATGGGTAATCAGGAGTCCAGCCCCCAGCCGCAACCGACGAACGGCCAAGCCATAAGCTTAAACATGGCGTGTAGCAGTGCGAAGCAGGGTGAACCAGGGCCAATTGAGTTCTCGATCGACTGTGGAGATATCCAATTATTTATAACAGGTCACTAAACTAGTACTTCTAAGTATATGACAGTCAGGAGTATTGTATGTACATTCATCCAACAAACCCTTAGCCCCCGTACAACTCAATCTCATACCGTAAATAACTAGAGCAAATTCTTGTGCATCTCTATTTCAATATATTACTTCAGAGCCAGCGATAAGACCTATCCACTACTGCCCCTCCTCACGCTAGCAACATCCTCTACAGAATGCACAGCGGTCCGACCAGGCCCACCAACGATCGCCACCCGTCCGTCCCAGCATGGGAGGGGAACGGTCAGCCCTAAACCTTCATTGGAACTTGGACGCCTCGACCAATCCATCTCCACCAATAATGCATCCTGGTCATGCATCAGATAGGTCATTATCCTATTTAGGTATACAACCCAGACCAAGGGTCTAAAATGGTGCATGAATATGCTGGGAGCTGAAGAGGGGGAGCTGCAGTGTGGCGGGTTGTATTGCATATAAGCTCGACAGGATGCCCTGGGACAAGAAGTCTGCTCTTTTGCTTTTTTATCATCCACAGAATACTCATAGGGTAGTTCTGAACAGTATTGATCTTGTCTAACACGGCTATACTATTGCACCATGGGTTCGCATTCCTACGATTTCATCGTGGTCGGAGGTAAGTTACCCTTCCCTCGTGCATAATGCATCATGCATCATGCATATCTAACCGAGTCAACTCTTAATTCCTCCTTCCTCTACAGCTGGACCAGCCGGATGTGCCCTCGCATCATTCCTCGCCAAATCAGCCAAGCGGCCAAATGTTCTCCTCCTAGAAGCCGGCAAGCACAATGACGACAAGACCCTCAAAGTCTCCGGCAAGCGTTGGGTAACATTCATGGAACCCAGCCTGAATTGGGGATACAAGACTACTCCACAAGAGCACTGCAGCGGTCGCGAGCTCGACTACTCGCGCGGGAAATGTGTCGGTGGAAGTTCCGCCATCAACTTTGGTGTGTACACCGTCGGCGCTAGGGATGACTATGACCAGTGGGCTGCTGAATTGGGTGACGATACATTCGCCTGGAAGAATATTCAGCCCAGATTTAAGGCTTTGGAGACCTTTTCTGGGAAGATTGCTCGGCCTGAGCATCAGAAGTATGGAGCTCCCCAGGCCGCAGACCATGGCGATAAGGGTGCTTTGGGTATTGGATATGCGAAGGAGTGGGAGGCGGATGTGCCGTTGGTCCTAGACGCGTTTGAAGAAGCTGGCCTTCAGCGAAATCTAGATCATAACTCGGGAAATCCGCTGGGTATAAGTTTGATGATCAACTCTGTACGCGATGGCGTGCGGACTACAGCAGCCGATTTGGTGAAGAATGCACCCGAGAACCTCGTCGTCATCAGCAATAGTCAAGTGCAGCGTGTCATCTTGGAGGGCAAGAAAGCTGTGGGTGTCGAGAGTAATGGGACTCAATGTAAGTCTCCTTCATTTTCCATCTTCTCCGTGAACCACGAGCATCGCTAATACCATCCTCCAGACTTTGCTTCCAAGGAAGTCATCATCTCCGCAGGATCTCTCGACAGTCCCAAGATCCTCATGCACTCTGGTATTGGTCCAGCCGCAGAGCTCACCAAATTCAACATCCCCATCATCCAAGATCTACCAGCCATCGGCCAAGGCCTCAAAGATCACCCCTTCACGACCCTCCTTGTTACTCGAAACCCGGAGACTAACGACCGCAACGCCTTCTTCCAAAGCCCAGAGGCGATGGCCGCGGCCATGGAGCAATGGAACGAAGACGGCACTGGACCCTGGGCCCGCTACGGCTCTCAACTCGGTAGTGGCTGGTTCAAATCAGACCGAATCACGGCGTCAGAGGAATTCAAAGCACTCCCCGCCGATGTCCAAGACTTTTTGAACCGGGAGACCATCCCACACTACGAGTTAGCCAGCGGATTTCCCTTGCACATGCAGGTGCCCCAGATGTTCCAGGACTACAGCTACATCTGTCTCGCCGTATTCCTGATGAATCAGCAATCCAAGGGTGAAGTCCGTCTCCAATCCTCAAACCCAGATGACCCGCTGCTATTCGACCCGCATTTCCTCGAACACCCCTACGATCAGCGCGCCTGTATCGAAATGTACCGACACTTGCTCGAATTAACCGAGCACCCGGCCTTTTCAAAAGATACCGTTGCAACTGTTATGCGCCCGGCATCGAACTCTGATGAGGATATTCTCCAGTTTTGGAAGGATAATGCCGGGTCGAGTTGGCATATGACTGGCACAGTGAAAATGGGTAAAGATGCTAGCAAGGATTCTGCTGTTGATAATGCGTTCAGAGTGTTTGGTGTTGAGGGGTTGCGGGTTGCGGATATGAGCGTTGTTCCTGTGTTGACGAATAATCATACTCAGGCTACGGCGTATGTAACCGGTGCTACCTGTGCGGATGTCTTGATCAGGGAGTATGGCCTGGATCAATAGTGGAACAAAGTTCCCACTGATTACATGAGGTGTCAATGGCGTTGTTTATTTATTCATTTTTACAGAGTAACGAGGACAATGAAACGTTGGTCAATTATTTAGTGGAAAGTTCCTAGCCGGGGAGTTCCTCTCAAGCTACATCAGCTTCACTTCTTTGCCAGCATCCACTTAAACTCTTCTCTTCCCCCCCCCCCACCCCGTCCAGCATACATTCCTTATATACTCCACCATCAATGAAGTAACGATGGCTCCGCCACATCTCTGCCCATATCGCGAGAGGGACAAATGTCCTAGAGAATTTCGAAGCCCCGGAGAAGCGGCTACACATGCAAAGACCACACGGTCCCTTGCTTTTATGCAGAGGAACGTGACTGCTACGAGTTATTCGGTACGGAAATCAAGCAACGGCGCGTGCTAGAAGTGTATATCACAATGACGGAATTCCCTGCCCAGACGCAGAGAAATAAGGCTGCCCGGCTATCTTTTACTACAATAGGCAATGCCAAAAGCCACGCGGAATCCTTCCACCGAAAGGTTGAACCCCAATGTCCATACGCAGAGGAATATGGAAAGTGATCTATACGCCTGGAAATTCTTCAACATTTACTCTGGGGATATATTAGCCTCGGAGAATTTCTAGCATTGATTTCCAAGACTTTCTTTTGTACTTGCGCTCATTTTTCCTTGCTGTCATTACAGAAGCTACTCACGACAATTCACCGACCGGAAGAGGATACGTTCATGAAATATGTCTATATTATTAGAGATCCTTCACAATATCCGTCACGACATCGACACATCTTCAACCGATCAACCGTCAAATGTGTTTCCTTTCCACGAGGCCGATATTCACCCCCGGTGTCCTGTCTCTGGATCTGAGTTGGAGCTTGCCTACAAGGTAACTTCCACTCCATTTTGATTGAAGATCCCCCTTCTCATGAACAACAGGAGACGAGAACCAACGGCTTAAGACATCTGCCAGACTTCTTCCCCCAAGCCAACCCCGATGGAACATGTTACGGGCAAACTAAACGAAACATCGCTGCCGCAAACAACATTACAGCTAAGATGATTGAGCATCGCAACAAGAAAACCTGGGGCTCCAAATGCTTTTGTGGATTCTATCGAGGGCATCATTCGGCGACTGCCTGTACGAGCATACGGTGCAGTTGCGTTCATTCACTATGGCCGAGCGGCCTAATGACGAGTGTCTCTAGCTGGAACAAATTTGGAGAAAGAGCAATATGCTCAGGTCAGTGGATGGCCTGTACCGTTTCCGAGGGAGCTTCACGATGGGATTCTTGCGACAACCCATCGGAAGCCCTTGATCACGGCATCTTTTTGAGTCAACTGGCTTATCACAACGGAGTCTGCTCTGTACTGAGTTCCGGGCTATATGCAGCTGGAGCTTATACGATGAGCGTGCCCCTAGTGCTCCCTCTATTCACGTGAAACCCAACTAGAGAAAATTTACCAGTATTCACCGGGATGGCGAGGAAATGAAGGACTAGTTTGGTATATGGATCCTTTGCTTCCGGGGGACCTTTAATAGCAACACCGACGGTTATACTACTTACCAGATATGTCGTGAGTACTGCTATTACACTTGAACATTAAAGCCTAGGCACTCCCCTATTAACTATACTACTCACTTTCCTGAAAACCTATCTCCGTATTCTTCCTGTTCACGCGTCTCCTATTTATGGAAGCTGGGCGTTTTACCACTTTGAAGCTAGAACGCTAATTCCTCCTTTTTAGAAAACCTCCGTTTGCACTAGTATAATATTCTATATATTCGATCCCTAAGTTAGCTTAGATAATAGGTACTTAGAGGAGCTCTATATACCGCTAGGATCTATATACCGATCGATATAAGCTTCGTAGCTGAACTTACCTGTCAACATGTGGATGTTGTGGGGTCACATGACGAAGGACCCCCTCTCTCATCTAGATCTTCTCTATAAGATCTATCGAATTGATCCTCAACGATCTTGCATTGAATTGCATACTCGCATTGAATTGCCTATCTAGGCAGGAGACTATCTAACACTCCAATACTCTTTACTTTCTTATGCGATCTTTTACCATGTTTCCAAGACATAAATACTGCTATGTTTCCTAGCTAAATTGAATCAAGTTTATCATCCTTTGTGATCTCTCTTCTAGATCGGTGGTACTCTTCCACAATCGTGGTGCTTCTCCTTCTTAGAAGTGCGCACGACCGATAGACTCATACCAGTGTAAACCAGACACTACCTTGAGTATTTACCAATCCTTATGCACACTATCTTCTTGTGTGTATAACCACGACTTTATGGTCACCGCCTAGAGTCCGACATTACCTCTGCTTATATATTACCTACTACTTCCTTCCTATATAGAGTGCCGCATCCTACGGGCTTAAAAACGAATATCACACGTTTTACCCGGCGTATCGCTCCGTTCGAATCCTGCTACTAGTATAATAAAGCGATATAGTACGCTCTCCTAAGTAAATCTATAGGCACGAAGGGATTTACTAGGGACTTATACACTAGGATAACTATAAATAAATTTATATATCCTAGAAATGATATACGGATCTAAAGCTTTATAAGTATTGCTAGCCTAACCTAAATCCGCCCGCTAGTAACTAGTAGGGGATTAGCCCGCCGAAATTAATCGGTTTCAGGATAATCCTCTTAGAATCAATAGAGAGGATCCACGTTATTATAGGACGGTAGAATTATAAGGAATCGATAAAAGGGTTCACGGTAGTGTGATCCTCTATTAGGTATCTTATCTTACACTATTAGAGAGGAGCATAGTATACCCACACCGGGAAGTAACGTAGTTTAACTTACTAATAGGCTGAAGATTTGTGAACGAATAGAAGAAGCATAGAACCATACGGCCTATACTACCGCGATGTCAGACTAATTTAAAGTTATTATCTTATTACGCTACGCTTAGTACTCTTTACTCTTTAAATATCTTAATGGAAATTGGCTGCCACTAGCGGATGTCTCGTAGATATTCCTAGAACCAGCGTATGCTCATTGTTTCTTTCTGTCGCCTCGGCCTATTTAGACATGATTATATACCCTCTTGGTCTTTCTACCCAGACAGAATAACTTCGGCTTCTCTATCTATATTCTAACCTCCTACAAACTAGGTCCTAGGGGTTCATAGGTTATAAGTCCCTCATAATTCTGTAATGATTTGCCCTTATATCTTATCCACAGTTTCTATATTCCTTTGACGCAGCAATTGCCTAGAAAGAAGACATAGCAGTATACAATAAGCTTAGCCCGGACCCTATCGGCATCACTACATTAGGGATACTTTATAGACTTAGCCATATCAAAGGAGTATGGCTCGTTATCTTATATACGCCCATGCTGAAAATGGCAACTCAACCACAAAAGGGACAATGGTGCTTCCTCGAGATGACCAAGCTGGCAATACCGTACGAGCACCTATACTCCTTAACATTCCACAGGCACTGCTAAGTGCTGGTTCGTATCCGACAGCTTCTGGATCCTATTCCAATTACGAGTTCAGGGGGATCAGGACGATGTGTGGTTCTTCGCGGGTGCTCAGCTCAATGACCTTCTGGAACAAAATGCTCATGTGCCTTCTTCTACAACCACCGAAAACTGGACACTGCGATTCAGACAAGGTGAGCACTACCTATATAAATGCAAAGCTAGGTTTCAGGGTATTACGAGTTCTTTCTTTTCACAAGCGCATTCGAGCCCGGGTAAGATGATTCTACTTGTGTGAGTCAACATCCCTGGCGAAGACAATCCAACATACATCATCAATTAGATATGATCTCATACTCCGTTGGTATGTATTTTGTTCATCTGGTTGCGCAAGGTGTGGCGCTCTATATATTCTTGTCGAATGATCGTCTGCTATAAGAGGAGCCAGTTACAGCTAGTATTGCGACCAGCAACCCGACTTCCGAATCAGGGCCTAAAATAATCTTTCTATTTTCTATTCCCTAGGCTCTTAGGGTGCCTTTTCTTTTTACTTAGGATCATTTCTAGCTAGTATCAATGCGATTCTCTTCTGAGGTAATGGAAAGGGAATACCACGCATGTGACTGTAAATTTGGTATATTATTGGAAGCAGTATGAGCACATCGCGAGCAAACAAGATAAGCTGCGGAAACTGACTGACTTAAGGTTGCTTTCATCAAAACGCCCACCTTGTTGTTTTCTTCATTTCTCCTCTCTCTTTAGTCTCCATTTCCCTCTTCGCGTTGGTCCTTTTGCCGCTCACCTCTCCTTCTGACTCTCGACGGCTTTCAACAACATCATGGCCGTACCATATCGCGTTCGCGATAAACCCAAACCACTGAATCCTTACAGCTATGCGAAGTTTCTGCCAGGCCTATTCCAGAAAGATGAATACTCCGACCTCACCATCTGGTGATGACATTCATCGAGTCCACCGAGTTATAGCATGTCCTCAGTCAACCGTGTTCAGTGCAATTTGCAGGGAATCTTTCAAGGTAAAGCGCGAAGCCCCTCCATCAAACAGGGTAATATCTCACTCACAGCATACAGGAAGTCCAGACAGGCGAAATCAATCTCCCATGTGACGACCCTGCATTGATTCGAATTATGGTTCATTACATGTACGGTCACGGTTACAGAGCTTCTAAAGCCAAGGGGCTGAAATCACCAGCTACTGACCCATGGCTGGACCTCGACATCTACGCTCTGGCCAACAAATACGACCTCGAGCCGCTTCAACAAAGCGCTAAGAATCACTTCAGGGAATGGGCGGAGCAGGCATGGTCCAAGCCAGAATTTCCATCTGTCGCCGAAAGGATCTGGGATATGGGACACCTGATTAGTATTCGGCATATGATTGAAGAAGTCATCGGCGACCACGCGAAGGACTTGTGTTCTCCCACTGGAAGTGCTGGAGATTCTTTGATCAAGAAAGGTCTGGAACAGAAAAGGTTTACTGAGAAGTTCATCCTTCGCATCGTGCAGGTGGCGGAAGCCGCGTCTTTTCAGAGTGGTAAGAATATCGCGAATGGTACCCGTTTTGCGACAACGGGAGAATTTTGGACGACGGTTTGCTGAGACATTTTGATAAACAGATACGAGCATTCACGGACGGGAGAAACATCCTCGACCTTACTAGTTACGCGGCTTTCGCCAAATTACTCGCGAAAAGCAGGACAGCATGAGGATATCAGGAGTGGCATCAGAAAGAACCAGCTACTCAAGAATCGAGATTCTCCAAGAGCAATTCTTGTAGTCCGGATACGGCCTTCCCAAATGTTCTACTCATTTGCCAACAATGTCAAGTTTCATGCAAGCTCTGTTTCGGATAATTAAATTGCACTAGTGGTACATCTTCCCAGCAAGGATCGATTACAAAGTACTGTCGTCTGTAGAAATTCCAATGTCACTGATCAGCCGGACAAGTAGGTAACTCGGACGAAGGGGTTCATAGAGACAGATTGAAGTACAGGAGAGCAATAGTTCTCTTAAACAGGGACTACAAGCGCGTAGACATTCCGCAAACTAAAGCATCAAGACAATACTCCGACTTCCCAAAACAACGCCTAATCAACCGTATTACGAAGCATATTAACGAACCTCAATACCACCTAGAATATCCACAAGAACTACGTTACAAAGATTCAATATTCAAAAAGATCCCATTGATAAAAGCTCATACTCCGTTGAAAGCATCTCCGCTGCTCAGAAATGCAGTAGGAGTAGAATATCAAGATAACACCGCCGAGTGAAAAGAAAAAAGGAAAACATGAATGGCGCCACACACCGTCTGAAGAAAAGCTAACGACGAATAAAGGGTGGGAATTGGGAAGGGGGTGTAGATGAAGATAGGTGGAGAGACGGGCCGAACGAAGGTGTGAGGATCAGGCATAAGGCCTGAGAGAGAGATGATTGAAAGATGGGGGTATGAGGTATGGGGTATGGGGTGTCAATACCGGTGGGGCTGGAAGAGGACATCGAGTCGGCGGGTTCAGAACATGTTGCAGAAGGAGCAAGGAAGAAGTCACCTCGGGAAGTCTCTTAAGCCATGGGCAGCCCGTGGTGAGCCTCCTGCTTGGGGATAGCGTCGGAGAGGTCACCCTGGTTGTCATCGACGCGGACGCGCTTGTTGTGCTGGAAGTTACCAGCCATGAAAGCGTTCTCGTCCGGGTGCTTGCGCATGCCAAGGCCAGCGACGGCGATGCTGTTCAGATTCAGCTCATCGCCGGCAGAACCAGGGTGCTGGGCCTGTTGCTGAGGAACCGGCGCATTGGGCACTTGGCCAGCAGGACCGGCATCGGGCATGGCGGCGGCCATGGACAGGTCGTGACGGGGCTGGCTAAGATCGATGTTACCCGGTGCATCGGGGACATCGATGGAGGCGTCCATGAGACGGTTCTGCAGGGTGACGACGTAGTCACGTAGGCTGTAGTTCTCATTGAGGATGGCCTTCATCTGCTCACGGAGAGCGTCGATGTTCTTGTTCTCAGCTTCCAGCTTGCGGATGTAGGTTTCCTTGCGCTGGCGGAAAGCACGCTGTGAAATAGATTAGGTGTGTTCCTGAAAGGGGAACGGGGTAAATCGCAAATGCCACCACATACCTGAGCAGCGCGGTTCTGAGCAGCACGCTTGGAGGTTGACAGTTCACGCTTGCCGTAGCTCTTGGGGGTAACATCGTCCGGCGAACCCTGCTGAGGTTGGGTAGGGGTCTGAGGCGCAGCAGACATCATGGCACCAGAGATGGCCGGGTCGATGTTAGCCTGATCACGGGGGCTAGCAGTGTTCGGCTGCAGGTGCTGCTGGATCGGACCGCCCTGGGGACGGTGCATGTTGTGCTGAGCAGCCAGGAGCTGGTCATGGAGCACTGAGATGCGGGGATATAGTTAGCATTTTGATACGCGTCTTGGTGTCCCACGTGGTAGGCGTTAGACCACCATTACCAGTCGGGAGTTAAACGATCAGTAGCCCTGGCGGGCCATGACAACTTGAACATCCGATTTGATAACAGTGATCTGAAGTAGCTACCAGATGGGAACTATGTAGATCACGTACCCTGATCCGCGTGGTCCTATAGTGAATACGTCAGTACAAAATGTCCCAAAACCGATGGCGACATCCGGAGGACCGCGGCAAGGCGACGGAGGCACACTGCGACGCGACGACATGCTGGATACCATTCGCTCGAGGTGCATCTCCCTCATGCCATGCGGCCATCGGATCGATGTACTTTGGAGCGGGAAGATCGATCTGATGACAAACGCGTCGAGGATGGGTTGCTTACCTGAGCAGGGTTCTGCATACTGGGATGCGGTGCTGGCGCCAACGCAGGCTGCATGGATGAGGGTGAAATTGGGGAAGAGGTGACGACGGTTTCGATAGTGACTTTAATTCCCCTTATCCAATTTTCGCAGACCAGCGTGGTGATATCGCAGGTGGTTTGGGGTTCAACCGCTAAAATGAGGTAAGCAGATGAAGATGCTGTAAGCAGCGGGAGGTGGGAGGGAGAGAGATTACTTAAGAATGTCTGAGTCAGGCTGCATTGCCAGCCTGGGGCCCGTGCGTTGCTCGGCATTTTGATAATCCGATGCCGATCGGCCGGATTCTGTACGGAAAGTAGTTTTTCCGATGATGATGAAGGGGGAAAGGCGGAGAGCCGAGGAAAGGGGATATTCCGCTCCTGAATACCCGCGAGAGATCAACACAGAAATATTCTGCCAGATTTTAAGAAGGCAGTCACGACCGACAGTCGCCGAGTGTAGTCATTGCCTATTTAGCCCATGTAGCCACTAGCCTACTTCGTTTAGATCATGTCTCTATAGACACTCTTATCTAAATAATCAGTTCATCTTACACAACTTGTACACACGATGACACTCGATTATATCCAACAAGATTCAGTGGACATTCAGTCTTGGCATGATCCTGACTGGAACTTCTGTCATCCACAGCCCTGCTAAACATACGATTCCAGCGTATTCTACCTGGAGCTACCTACATGTAATACCTCCTCCATTCAGCCTCTAGTGTATTCTGTACGGCCGAAAATCATATTCACCATATCCAAGGATCATATACACAAATCATAATTTCTAAGCTCAAGAGATATACCATACCTCATACTCCAAATGTCTGAAACGAAATTGTACCTCGTATATCAAACATATCAACCACACCTTGTATCACACCCCGTCTTACTGCTGCTTCTTGGCATTTCCCTTGGTGGGCTGGGCCAGAATAATCCCCGTTCCCACCTTCGCTGACTCAGTCCAGCCACGCTGACGCATCCAGAACCTCTCTGCTGGGTCCGCAGAGTGTCCAGAGTTACGACGAGCATCCTCCTCGAGAGCAGAGCGAGTCAGTTCCGGTGGAACATCGGACACGAGCTCTTTCTCTTCTGGCTCTTCGTTTGCCTCAGCCTGCAGGGTTGATTCAAGGTATCGCTTGCGCATGAGGTACCGCTCGCCACGCTCCTTGCGCGCGTTGGGAGGCTCGAGTCTGTTCATGGCTGTTTGCACGGCGTAGCGGATGATCAGGTAGAGGTGTTCAGCGAAGAAGATAACCAACAGTAATGCCCATCCTTTGATATCGGTGGGTTGTCCGTTGGGACCGGTCTGAGAATCTCCACTGAACATGTAGATCAACGCAGCGCTGGAGATGCTGCCCACCCAGGACAAGAAGCCCAGGGTGTCTAGCCAGGGGCCGATAGTGTCGCATCGAAGAGGCGTGGGTCGCTGGAACTCCTTGCAGATCTTGAAGAAATCGGACCGCAACTCGATCCAGTTGTTGATGAAGAATGATACCGGGACAAGAGGCCATGTGGGTGAGAAGAGCGCGAGGTAGCCAAATTGAATGCACATTTCGCGCAGGTCATCGGTCACTACGTACTCGGGGAGCTCGACCTCGTTACGGACACGCTTCAAGAATTCCTTCTCCTCGGCTGGATCGTCATAGGTCATGATGGGCGAGCGCTCAGGAGAATCCTTACCACCATTATTCTCAGCCTTGCCATTCTTCTTCTTGTTGTACTCCTTGTACTCCCGCAGCGCGTGCTGCTTAATGTATGGGACAATAGTCTCCATGGCGAATCCAACAATTTGGGCAGTGACAGTGAAGTAGATGACTTGGTTCCTCAGGCGATGAGGATCAATCTTGAAGCTTGAGCAATCAGTGGCAGTGTGTTCTTTGGACACGAAAGGACGGATAGTCAGCCGGAAGATATCCAGATATGGGACAATATGGCTGGCAAATGGCACGTAGACAAATGCTGTGAGGAGGACGGGCAGATAGGAAGTGATAAAATTGATCACAAAGACCTTCTGGGTGAGTGCAGAGTCATAAGCATCGTTGGTCTCGTGGTTCTCGTAGTCGTTGATCTTGGCGGCAATGGACATAAGGACTGCGCTCATGGTCGGCACCAATGCAGAGAGGAGAATGGTGGGAATGAAGGTCTGGGAACATCAGTAAGACTGGAAAAAACATTCGAGAAAATTGAAATAGGGCTCATACCAGGTAGCTCTTCAGAGGACCATTGTACAGTTCCGAGATGAAGATCTCAATCGCAAAGCAAGTTGCAATAATCACTCCCAGACCGATAGCAGCCACCAACGCGAATGGAATCTGGAGGAGCTGGCGCTGCATACGCTTCGTAGCAGGAAAGACTCCCCGCGTCTCGCCAGTGCCTTCATCACGAATCTCCTTCTCGGGCTTGAACTCGCGCCGCTTAGTCTGCACCGCTGAAATACCCTTGGTCTGCCAGCGACAGCTCAAGTCCACTTCCTTCCTCTTCCAGTACTCCACAAAGACGATGCACCACAATGAATTGACCAAGGTATACACAATCGAATATCCCCCGAGGAGGAGCCAGCACGAGAATCCAAACACAGCCGGGAAGATCAGGAATCGGAAGTAGGACTGGAGGAACGAGAAGTAGAACCCGACACTCTCACCAAACTTATCCCGGATCTGATCCAAGTCCTCTTCCGAGAGGAAGGTCTTCTGGCTCCATTCGTGCAGCCATTTCTTGTTGGTCTCCTCGTCGTGCAGAGGTAAGAGCCCAGTGACGTTTTTCCATTCACCGTGTTTCGGGGTGATACCGGCGCCGCCCTCTTCGGTGGGGAGCGTGATCATCTGGTTGATCACCCGCAGTCGCTCGCCTTCATTCTGAGGTTCGATAGAGCTAGCGGGTTCTGGTTCGGCATTACGAATACCATAAAGCCAGTCGCGGACTCTGAAATGATAGCAAAATTAGTATCGAATACTTCTAGATCTCGGTCCCGCAGAAAAAGCAGCCGAAGCCACGAGCAACTCACCGCGACCGATACACCGCCCTGTTCAGCCGCTTCTTCGAAGCACATACAAAGACCAGCAGCGACGTCTCATCGCCCTGACGGACTTCAGATTGTAAACCAGCATTGGCGAGGGTCTGGAGCAGCTTCTCGAGCTGTGCAATTGCCTGCGCCTGGTCTGGGTGGATTGTGAGATAGCACATTAGTCTCTCGGCTCAGTTCGTCCGATCGGGAGTCCAACCACGTTTTTTGTGGCTGCCGAGGCTGGTCACTCACCTGAATCACCGAAGCTGTAGTGTATCACATAGTCCACCTTCAAATTGTACCCTAAGGCATTTGCCTCGGTCGCAGTCGCCATTGCGGGAGTGTGGATTTGGAGGGAGAGGAGGGATGAAGAGGAGGGGGAAAAGGTTGTCGTCACCCGAAATGACCAGTCCGATCGGCGGGTCACTGACGACGTCACCGCGAAGCTTGTCTGGTAGAGCTGTGTAGGAGACCTCGATTATCAGGGATAGTGCATAGTTAGAGATTGAAATACACTTTGGTCATGGACCATGATTCTTTTTCAGTCATTTCCACAAGATATTTTCAGCCCTACTAAATTTTAGACCGTTATTTGGTCCTCCTGGCAGTAAGGTTGACTCCGTCTAGTCGGGAAAGTATCTAAAGTGTGCTGGCGAAGTCTATATCCACCTACGACATACAGGGCTGGAAAGGTCTGAGCACACTACGAATCAAGTTCTGGATGCATAAAATCAACTTGCTATGGCATTCAATCCATGCTCATGTAACAATGAAGAGATCTGTAAACAAGGCTTCGTTCGTATTCAAGATTGACACTACCTACGCAGTACTGGTACCTGAGTTTGTACCCCTAGTTGTACCGATACATGTCTCCGTAGGCAAAGGCGACTAGAAGGCTCCATGCAAACTAAGCAAACCAGCGACCGTTAACAATCTGGCAAATTTCCCTCTTCCATCCTTTAGCTGCCTCACTGCAGAAGGTTTGACGCTGCCTTTAGTGTCCATCTCGGGTCAAGTTGGAAAGCCAGGCTTGACAGTAAGATTTGTTTCGTGGTTACCATTACTTATCGCCATGTGGCGGATTCCGATGTTCGTTGGGCATCAGGTATACCCGGCTAACCACTGACGGAGTACAGCTCTACGCTACCCCTCCTCTAGACATATTCGCCATGACCTATAGCTCTTTTGGTGGCGATGCAGATCAAACTCGGATAATCGACCCATTGGAAACAACTTGGCACGACGCCGCCATGCTTGGATACTCCGGTAGAACATCTGAGATCTCATATTCCCCTAGCCCTACCCCGTATCGTGCCAGGGGTTAGTCACAGTCGCATCAAATTGATAGCCCCACACCTAGAAAGACTCATTGAGCATGTTAATGGTGGTGGGAGCCTTGATTGTCAGGCTGATGTCCTTAACGATATTCGTCGAGATCTAGTTCTCGAAAGTCAGATAGGGAGAAAGTCGAAAAAGGAGCAAAGGGCATGGACTGGGCCACCATATCCTCCAACCATTATTAATGTTCTGCCAGCACTAACCGGGAGTGCGTCCATAGTCACTCTATCCCTACCCAGACGTATACCCGACGAGCCTCTCGTAATACCGGGGCCTCGGGAACCAGCAGTAAGGATCTACTGGAAGTGGCTAGAATCACGCGCAATCGCCGAGAAGCATAAGGTAAATATGTCCGTGTTTATCCAGTGAAGGGCTAAGTGGCTTTGAGGTCGTCCGTTCAAACTTCGTTGTTTATAGGGCATAGAGCAAGATCTCTGAGTGTAATCTATGGGCGATGTTCTGGGTCCGGGCTTAGGCCATGGCCTAGGCCTCTGTAGCAGTGTGTCGATAACTAATCATTTGGATCAATCCAAAGTTCAAGAGACCAGATGATACTCGAGATGCAAACCATTACGGAGCACACATGATGCGAGCCAACCAGATCGCAAGGTGTCAGACCGCAAAATGAAAGTGGATCGATCGATCGCTTGTCCGGCCAATGGCTCGTGCGTTAGCTTCGGCCGAGACGGTGACTATTCGGAGCCCTTGCTAGGATTCAACCCTTTTTACTCCGTACATGAATAAATCGTTTGTACCCCATGCCATTTCCAGAATATCATTCTTCACATAGCATATTTCTTTATTTTGGGCGATCCCCCTGAGTTAAATAATAGTATATAGTACTGAAGCTTATCTAGTCAGTGCGGAGGCCCTCCTCTAACATTGCAATGCTCTATCTCACGAGTAAACGCGCTCCAAGGCAACCTTCGCTATGGCAAACGATTTTTGGGATTTTGACGGCGCACCTTCGCCGCCCGTTTCGGACTCTACGTACCTAGTCATCTCACGCATCACAACAGGAGGTCTGTAGTATTTTATCTACCCTCGCCGCTATTCCACGGAACTAAGGTTGCTACCACAGAAACCTCTGAAGCCCATAGTTTCAGGCCTCGGGATAAGCCCTCCAGCGATTTTGAAACACCTCATCGTCAGCAACCTATGACTTGGCCAGACGTCGGAGACACGGACGATAACTTTTGGGGATTTGATGGGCCGACATCCTTTTCATTCGAACCCGATTTACAAAGCCAAGACCACACTTCCCTTCAAAGCATAGAACCAACGAGACAAATGAGTGCAAGTCGATCTTACGCTGCAGGACAACAAACAAGGGAAAATACGGTCTCATCCTCTGAAAGGAGGCAGAATACTACATGATGGTTCGAAATCAGTTTCACCACGTACCCAGAGAGGTTCTTTCTCGAACCCTCTTTTGAAACACTCTATACCAACACAGTTACCTTGCGCCTGACCCGTTTCCTTGGCGGTATTCCCGTATAGCTGTAAATAACAACATAAAAGTTGCTTCCGTATTCGGCTTGTATGGTCTTCAGGGTTTGTAAAACGCCAATTTTGCAAACAAGCCAAACAACAGTTGGGGTAGAGAGGTAGAGAGAGACAGATCAGATCTGTGGTCCGTATCATTCCACAGGCTGAACACTATGGTCGAGAGAACAGAATATATACATATGAAGCCGGTGGATGAAAGTTTCTTTACAAATGCAATCAACAATCAGCAACTCACGCATCGTCTTCCTATAGAATTACGAGCCATTTCTAGCCTCATGACGCAACCAATAACTGTCCAGCATCAGTCATCTTCGAGATTTTGTCAATGGCCTTGAAGAAGCGAACGATCCAATACAAGATGTGACATCTAACTTGGGAGCTATATAGCGGTCGCTCTTAGCCCTCGGGGATCTCCAAATATCTGATAACAAAACATATGTCGAAGCGAAAGAGGGCCTGGAGAAGACCGGTGTCGCTGCAGCCGTGAACAAGTGTGGGCAGGTATGCGCAGATTTTTCAAAAGAAGCTTGAGCAGTGGACGAAACATTCCAGCACTTCAAAGCTCTCCCTCAGGGATCGAATGACGGTCGGTGGAACAAAGAAAAAATCCAGACATTCAGGACAGGTTCATTATTGTCAGGCTATCGTCCACTTTGCTATCGATAGCGCTAACTTGTACGTGACCTAATTATATGCTGAAAAATATGCTGAAAAATATGCTGAAAAATAGGTGCTAATAAAATAAATTAAAGGGTCATTCTGGTCCGATCAGAAAATCCATCATTAAACTCAAAGAGAAAACAAGACGACGCTTTGCAGCGCAAGAAGGAACTCGAAATCCCAGAGGACGAAAGTGAGGACGAAGACGGCGGCGCTGAGCGAACTCTGGCTATCCAAGAGACCGAAAAGCAATCACGCTTACTTAAAGCCGATCAAAATGCCTCCAAGGTTATTTCCCAAACAATCTCGAAATTGTCTGTCAGAGAGGCTGGCAACGCACACAGCATATATAACATCTCGTTTTCGGGTAGTAATAGCGGCGTACAGATCGGTCACAGCACGGGCACATTCAATTGGAATGACAGTCTCACCTAAGGAAGAGTCATGGTCAGACTTCTTATGAAGGATATATCAAAATGCTATCCGAGAGAACCTGGTTAGTCTCGCGCGTTGGATCACAACTTAAGTCGTATTCTGGAGTACGGTTGAACTTGTTATAACTTCCAGAATTATTGGTATATAGCTATAAGGGCAGTCTAATATAATATGCAGTAGAAGCCTATTTGTCCCTTTGCTATGTGTCGAGCATCCTTTCTTTGTGCAGCCGATTGAGGCGCACCCACGAGGTTCAAATGTGTCACCTTAATATGGAACCTATTCTTTCATAATATTCCTATCTTGTCCATATGCAGCCATGGATGTTTAAGTAGACGATCACATAGGGCTTCTAGCATCGAAGAGGTAATGCTTCGTCGTTAACCAACGCGAGTAAGGAGTAATCTTGACGTTGCCGAACCGGCGAAAGCTGTTGCTGACGTTTCGAAAGAGAATCTGGGCATTACTTGATATAAGTTTTGGCAGAGAGTGGTCGCAGACCACCGAGGAGGGGTGAGAAGCGAATCCATCAGCTCAGTGAGCAGGTGAAATAATTTGGGCAAATGTCCGGGGGATGCTGGACACTAGTGCAACTGACTGTGCGCGCATGGCTCAAATATCACGGGCAGATGGAGCAATGGAAGGAGCAATTCATCAGCATCCTTTGCGAACATTTTCCAAACAGTGAATATAAAAACTAGGGAAGGTGCCGGCAGCTCTTTCCGCACGTGAAATCAGCGATGTCACATCGGCCAGAATCTCAGGGCTCCGAACAAGAATGGGCTACACTACTTGATGGAGGTGCATTGTACGCAAGCCAAATGGGTAATGTCTCGGACGCTAGGGCAATGGCATCAAAATCAAGGGAACAGAGAGTGGTAATATTTGGTGTAGATGGCGAAGAAACCATCGATAGCACTGCAATGTTAGCCAACATATATTGGCTGGAAGGCAGATGGGACGAGGCCGAGAAGCTCCATGCGCAGGTGATGAAGACGTGTAAGATGAAGCTCGGCGACAACCACCCCGACACCCTGAGGAGCGTGGACAACCTGGTCTTGATCTACTCGTACCAGGGCCGGTGGGAAGAGGTCGAGAAGCTCCAGGCGGAGATGGTGGAGATGAGCAAGACCAAGCTCGGCGACGACCACCCCGACACCCTAAGGAGCATGGATGACATGGCGTCTACCTACACGAATCAGGGCCGATGGGAAGAGGCCGAGAAGCTACAGGCGAAGGTGATAGAGACGAGCAAGACCAAGCTCGGCGACGACCACCGTGATACAATGGGGAGCATGAACAACCTTGGGTTGATCTACTGGAATCAAAAGCGATGGGAAGCGGCCGAGCAGATCCAGGAGGAATGTACTTTCAATGGAATACAAGGTTTATCTCTATAGCTAGAGTGCATAACCTTAACTGTATATTTTCACAAAACACCAATACTTTTACCTATCCAATCTATATCATAACAACATGAATCATATCCCAACGCCATCCATCCATCTCCCTACGCCCCCTCCGCCAACTTCACCAATGCCTCCCCATCAACCATCATCTTCAACCACTCATCCATAGCCTTAGCCCCAACCTGCTTATAAAACTCAATACTCGGCGTATTCCAAGTAAGCACGCTCCACTCCAACCTGCGGCCCTTAACCTCCAACACCTGCTTGGCCAGGTACTTCAACAACTTAAAGCCATAGCCATTACCCCGGGCCGAGGGCTGGACATACAGATCCTCGAGGTAAATGCCTGGGGCGGAGCGCCAGGTAGAGTAATTGTAGAAGTACAAGGCCATGCCGACAGGGATTGGGGAGGGGTTCTGTGGCGACGGTGGGGGTGTGATCAATGCTGTGTAGACGGAGCCGCGCTTGGGAGGGTCGTTGGGGAAGGAGAGGGTTGCTAGGAGGGATTCTTCGGTGGCTTCGACTTCGTGCAGGGCTTTTTCGTAGTCGGCTAGTTCGCGGATGAATTGGAGGATGAGGGGGACGTCTGGTTGGAAGTTAGTTAGTGGGGTAGTTATGGGAGGGTAATGGGAGCGTGAAGGGTTGGTGAAATGCGCAAGGGAAGAGGGTAGAGGATGTGGTACGTACCCTCTGCTGTCGCGAGGCGAATAGTAGGTTGGTCGGCCATTTTTGAGAGTATGGAATGTATGGAATGGTCGATAGAGAAGGGAAAGGGCTTCTAGATGCAGTTGGGGAAGTTTGGAGTTGCGGACTCGGGGTTTTATGGCTCCCCGACAGTCCCTTCGGTAGCTTCCGAGACCGACGAAATGACCCACTCGGCATGTCAATCGCAGGGCGCACGCTTCTAGAAACTAATAGATTGATCGGATTTGGAATGGAAAAGAATTGCAGAGGATGTAATTGACCACAGAGATCTCAATATCTCTACACTGGTTAAATCAATACTAGCAACGGTGGATATTATACATAAGAAGAAAGACCCGGTCACTGCATGCCAATGAAAAGGGTGGATGAAGATGGAAGATGCAATGAGTCAAATCAGCGGGACATGATTGCTGACATCCATTTTTGCTCGTCGGTACTGGAGAATGTTAGTCTTAATGTCTGGTCTAAACGCAAGGCTTGTACATACCGGTCGAAATGGAGCAGCATCCCCAGCACGGGGATCAACTGCTTCTGATAACTCTTATCCTTCTGCTCCATGAATTGCAGAAGCACGTTCTTCAGGTACATGTAGTCAATAGACCCGCTAGGACTGGCTCCAGTGCCAGAGGGTGTCTCGCTTCTCCGACTAGAAGAGCTTCGGTCCTGTGGAGGAGGAGGAGACAAGACACCACTTGGCCGGCGGGAACCGGAGTCCATAGACGACCGTGACGATTGACGACCAGACTCCAATCCACGAAGGCGCACATCTTCGCCCAGTGTCTTGTGAGATCGACGTAGCTTCTCCAGTCGGTTGCTAGTTTCCTCGACAGAGCGGCGTAGCTCGGACTTTTCCTTTTCGAGGTCGCGAACCTGCTTCTCGCTTTCGTCAAGCTGCTCTCGGAGGGAGGACATGGCTTGGCGAATCTCAGCAAGCTCCTCGGTGGAGCGCTCGGATTGTGATTCAAGTTCATCACGACGGCGACGCCAGTCCTTTTGAGACTGCTCCAGGTTCTCTCTGTCCTCTTCGGCGGTACGGAGTGCACGTTCAGCTTCGCGGACCGTGGCCTTCAACTCTTCCATTTCTCGGGCACGACGACGGCCCTGGGTACTGGCTTCATCTTCGGCACGGTCTCTCTCTTCGACGGCAGCTTCCATTCGCTCCTTAAAGTCGCGCACCTTGGCCTCGGCGCGACTTTCAATATCATTGATCAGTCGGCGCATGGTTTCACCCTCACGAGTCCGCTCATTCAGCAATCGATGAGCATCGGCCAATTCTTCCTCCAAGCTATCGCATCGCTCCTTCACTTCCTTCATCTGCATGGCCACCTCGGCAGTCTGATCACGCATGCTGCCCATCAGGCTCTGCGCGCTAGCGTGTTGTGCGGTCTTCAGTTGAATCTCCTCCTTCAGACCATCTACCTCCTTGCTCAACTGGGAAATTTGCTCCTCCATTTCACGAATCTTGGTGCGTGAGCTCTTCAGCCCATCCTGGGCCTTGCTGAGGTCTCCCGCGGTCTTGTCTTTGGCGTTGATAGCGTCCTGCTTTCTAGCTTCGGCAGAGCGCAGATCAGATTGGGCAACCGTGAGCTGCTCCTCGGCCTTGAGGCGACTATCCGTTTCTTGGCGGATCTTCTTGTTTAAAGTACTGACTTCCGAATCACGCTCGGATACTCTGTTTTTGGCAGTCTTCAGTTCTGCGCGGAGGTCATCGCATTTAGACTCAAGGTTTCTCAGTTCGCCATTCTTACTAGCGAGAGTTTCCTTGATAGTCTTCAACTCTGAAGATTCGGCACGCAGGTTGCGCAGCTCAGGTTGGACCTTCTGGAGTGTCTCTCGCAGGTCGGTGAGATCCTTGAACCGTGTAGCAGCCAGTTGCTGTGCAGCAGAAAGGTCGGTCTCCAGGGTAGCCGACTGAGTCTTGAGACGCTGGAACTCATCCTTCAGGTCGTTGTGCATCTTCTGAGAATCGGCAGAGCTGGAAGCGTTGCTGGTGCGGACCTCGGCCAGCTCCTTCTCCAATTTACCAATGGTCTCTTCCAAGGCAGACTTCTCGGCAGAAAGCTCTTTAATCTTGTCCTTGGCTTCGACGTGCTCCTGTCCGACGGTGACGAGGTCATCACGCAAGGACTCAATTTCCTCCTTCAGATCCTCTTCGCCCTTGAGCTTTGCACTAAGACGGTCAATCGCTGCCTCCTTCTCGGACAGCTGCTGGGTCAACGACTCGATCTTTTCCTTGAGCTCCTTAAGAGCTGCAGAGGAGACCTCTGGAGCAGGTGTCTCTTTAGTGGACTGCTCTGTGGCGGGCGTCTCTTCCAGTTTCGATGCCTCCTCTGCGGCCTTGCCTAACTTCTTCTTCTTTTTATTCTTCTTCTTGCCGCCGGCGCCTCCACCGGCTCCTCCGCTAGCAGCCGGTTGGATTTCAGCCTCGGCAGCCGGGGCAGAAGCAGTTAGCTCTACGGCCTTCTCAGCGGGAGCAAGGCTCTTGCGGATCTCCTCGAAATCAGCCTTCTTGCCAGCAGCAACACTCTCCTTGGCAGACTTCCAAGCCGTGTTCCCGGTCAGACCGTCCTCCACGAAATCGACAATCTTTTGGAGCTTGGAGGAATCTTCAGACTTTTGGTCAACCTCCTTCTTCAGGTCTGACACCTGCGACTCGGCCTCCTTGAGCTTCGACTTGAAGGTATCCACCAAGCCTTGCACGACACCCAGCTTCTTCTCGCTGGCATCCTTGGCCTTCTTCGCTTCATCCAGCTGCTCAAGTAGCTTAGGGTCGACCTCTGGCTTTTCAGTCTTGTCCGCCTTGGCAGCCTCGGCTTGCAACTTTTCGATTTCTTCGCTCTTTTCCTTCAACTTGGTCTTCAGCTTTTCTGCCTCAGCAGTAGCCTTTTCCAGAGACGACTCGGTATCCGCAAGTTTGGCCTTGAGTTCCGTAACGTCCGTTTCCTTGGAAGTCTTCAGAGTCGTGATCTCGGCATCAAGTTTATCCTTGGTATCCCGCAGCTCCACGAGCTCCCGGCTAGACGTCTCCAGACTTTGAACCATTCCTTCCGTAGACTCGCGCGCAACAGAAAGGTCCTTCTTGAGCTTGTCCACTTCGGTCTTGAGCGTGTCGACCTCCTCCTGCTTCTCCTTCAGTTCTCCCTCGAGCCGGGGGACCTCGTTGTCGAAAGAGAAAAATTCCTCACTGGCTTCTTCCTTTTGTTCGGGCGCCTTCTTAACCTCCTTCGAAGATTCCTCCTTCTCCTTCTTCAGACCGGTCAACTCGTCATGCGCAGCCTTCGTAGCCTTTTGAGCCTCCTCTAGCTTCTTCTTGTAGTCATCCCTGTCGGTCGTCACCCGCTTCAGCTCATCAATGACCATATCGCTCTTCAGCGACATCTGATTGAGGTACTCCGTGAGGGCTTTCGGTTCTGCAATCGAGGTGAGGGGGGTGTTTTCGCGTAGAGCAGCTTCGAAGGGCTCGATCGAAAGAACACGCGAATGCGCCGCGCGGTACGCCTTGAGGAGTTCTAGGAAACATCCAGTTAGCTATCCAGTCTCCCTCCGTAACAACCGGGTAAACAACAATGCATACCATGATATCGGGCTTCAAGTTTATCCAGCCTGCGCAGCTTTCCCCTCACCTCTGCCGGCAATTCGGACGTTGTCTGACTCGCTGGCGCCTTCTCTGCAGAAGGAGTCTCCTTTCCGGATGTATCGGCAGCGGGAGCCTTTGTCTTACTCTTCTCTCCATCTTCGCTGCGCTCAGTCTCCGCGGGGGTAGCCCCCTCCGCAGCATCATCCGGCGTCTCTAGACGCGGCGTAGCCGAACGACTCGAGTCCTCATCGTCGCCGATCGCAAACTCAGCCTCGAATTCTTTGGGGTCAGGCCCACGAACAGGGGTCCCTGTGTTGCGTCGAGGGCGGGAACGTTGACCGGGGGAGAGACTGCTATTAGGCGGACGACGAGCAGAATTCGATCTAGAGATATTTTCCTGCGCAGACTTTTGGCGTGCCTGTTCCTCTGCGATGCGAGAGTCGATGGCGTCGCGGAGGCGCTGGGAAGCGGGTTGTTAGTATAAGCGCAGTCGCAACGTTGCGGAGCTCGCGTGGAGCGTAGATTCGAGGGTCGTACCTGAAACATCACCGCGGCAGGTCTTCTGACCACCAAGACCACCAGATCAAAGCAGGCGAGGACGAAAAGGGCGATGTAGATGCAGAATAGTAATAGGTGGTGCGAGAGCGGAGGCGGAAGCATGGAGAGTCTCGGCGGAGGCAGTCAGCCAAGCTCGCGGGAGTGTTTAATCTGCCATGTGGGATGCCAAGACATTGGGGAACTGCACACGTCAGCTTGTGTTCTTTCACTCCTAATTTTAGATTTTGATATACGTTTGTTCTGGACTTAAGAGAATCTACTGGAACTAGCATAACCCAATGCAAATTGGATTCTCAACTTAGATGATCCATCTCAATGCCGGCTAAATCCAAAGTATATATTCGTCTTGTCTATGCTTGAGAAAGGCCCATAGAGAATGATATTGAAACTGATGCGCAATTGGAGACAACCGAGAAATATTTCATGATGATTAGATTAACCAAGTGGCTGATTGATTTTATTCCCCCTTCAGATTGGACGGTTCAACCATTTCTGATCAAGCATCGCAAATTCCGTGTATGGTAGGCGAGTAACCTCGAATAGCCTTGAGGGAGGTACTTACTATATAAAGTGATTAGGTTTCATAGTTAACCTTTGTAAAGTTTTACTCAGCAAGTTTTAACTACCTTTGGGAATTTGAATTAGTTACGTGTATCCGTATATCTAAGCACCTCCACCAAGGATAGATGTCTCAAAGAAGAATATGCAGTAGTGAGAATCTACTTCTGCTCAAATGCAAAGGGTCTAGCCAATCTATCTTAATGAATGGGTTGCAACTGTAGCGGTACATATAGATATGGTCCCCATACTCGTATGCAGGATTATCAGCCCATAACTCACACTCGACATCACAGTAGACTAATACGGTGACTGACTAGCCACTAGTTGGCGTGTTGAGGCTGAGGCGTAAATGTCACTTTCCGTTTGCGGTAGGTGGACCGGGTCACTAGCTCCTCATGAGTGATATATCTAAGTATTCATGCGGAGATAGATACGACTGTTATGGAGAGAGTGCATGTGTGGCTGTCTAGTGGATTCAGATTATCAGCTGCAGCGTCCTCACCTTACGTATGGTAGTAGTTTCTGACTTTAAAGTCAACGCAACCGATAACCAGCTAGGCTGGGATTGTGTATATGAATTATGTTAGCTATACAGAATGCTATTTTTTTATTCGAATATTGAATATTTGTGCTAAGTATTTAATACGGCTTGAAATCATAGCGACTTAACTCTGGTCGAAGCTTAGCTCTGACATCTTATTTCTACTTCTCTAGGCTGACTCCCTAATTCCATTCGGGTTTGGGAAATTTACTTGGCTTGCTACTTCAGCAGACGATGAGGTGAGAAATTAGTCAAGAGTCTAGTTTGGAAGAAGAATATCGAAAGAGAAAAAGACTACATTCAAAAATTGCTGTTATTCTTAACATAAATAGACCGCAGACCTCGCTGAGAACCTTTCATCATGAGATCCATCCTCTTCAACACTCTACTCTTAATCCAAAATCACACCAGTCAAAATGAAGACCACATTGCTACTTGGAGCTATTACATCCCTTGCTAGTCACGCAACAGCCTTCTACGGCCAGATGGCCGCTAGTGGCTATATCGACATCAACGGATTCCCTTACCAATACGTTTACCTCACCGATTACAACACTGGATCTACCTACCAAGGGTTGACTACACCTGGCTTCAATGGCTGTACTGATGTTCACTGCGGTATCTAGTTAGTATCACCACTCCATCCAAACTGGATATACCTATCTCACAATCTCCCTAGTTTCACCGAGACTAGCCCTGGAGGGTTCAACTTCCTCGCCAGCGTGTGGCGTACCGACGATGGATGCCATAACATCGACTTCGAGGGCGCGCTTGATGCTGGTCATGGGTGGTGCTGTGGCTCGTTGCCTTGCGACTTTACCGCATAGGTTTCTCCTGTAAGGTTCGTCTTATTTATCAATTTATACGCAGCTATCTTTGCTGAATACGGGCCAGATACCGTGAATATTTAGCTAGGGGATTTTCTGGCTTATCAAGGGCCATAAAATGAAAGTGGATCACATGCAACAAGGAAATGCATTAGCTCGCCAGAGTCATATCTACATTCTCTTCTTCTAATACTGCAAGAGAATCAATGCATACTGTACGACCTTTGACGCGCTCGGAAAATGTAGATATAGTTGCCTAACGGAAGTATTTGAGTCTATATAACTAATAAGCTATCTAGAATGGATGGAAGGATACATGACTACGAATTATGATTATTAGACAGAGGTTAATTCAAGATAATTAAACCAATGACTATTTGAGATTGCACTTCCTGCAGGTCCGAGAGTTCATATGTACTGTACATACTCTACTGTGGATCCGGGAGCAGACCAAACCAGGCGGAGTAATTGAGGCACGTTGTTATCGTCCCGATTATCGTTCGTCCGATAATAACTTGGATTAAATGGACCTGATCCTACTGTAAAGTCTATACCTACAGTAGTAATCTACCTATGTCTCCTTTGTCGAGTACTTGGTTACTCTATACATTATGTAGTGTTCTTCCAAGTACTCTCCCTCGTGATCGCCCGCACCGCCTCGGTCGGGGAATCCCTCCCCCAGCCTTCTACTTCTCCTCACTAAAATCTATTCCCTTGTTCGTCTCTTCCCCTCATTCCTTTTTTCCCTCCACCCACCGCCGACAGGTCCCGCACGTTTCCGATGCGACTTCCCAGTCTTGGGCCCTTAGAGGCTTAGAGGCTCGATTTTGAGTTAGACTGACGTCGGGCGTCTAACAAAAAAGTAGGAAGCGGAGCCGGGCTTTCCCAGCTTAAACCAGATTGGGCCCATTCCTGAACCCCCCCCTCCGAAGAAGCTCGCCAACCATGGCCAACGGCCTGGCCCCGTCCCTGGCCCCGTCCCTGGCCCTCACTCTAACGTCGGCGGCTTCATCGTCATCTTCGACTGGCCTGAACTCTGTCGCTCCCTCCGCTTCTGCTGCTCTTTCACTCCCTGCGGCAGCTGTCAAGCTCACTACTGCAACTGTTGCTACCGCTCTATCCGCCGTGTCCACCCACCCCCCGCCCTTTCTTCCTCCAACTCCCTCGACAATGGCGGGGTGGATCACTTGGGTGTTCACCTTCATCTTCCAGGTGATTCCCCGTGGATTATACTGGACTATCGCCTTCACCACCATTACATTGCCTACATGGCTCTTTACGCTCTTTTCCATGAGCTTGACGTTCACCATGAACTTCACCACCCTGTAAGATATCATACTTAACCCTCCTCTCTCAAAATCTATATGATATCAATGCCGAGGTGATAGACAAGTAACTGATCAATCACCTCTCTCATAGCATGTTGATCCTCCTCGCCCTGGTCTCGACTGTCAGCTGGTTCATCCGCTACCGGTTCTTGAACATGTATAGCCGTCTACCTCCGGAGCCCCAACGCAAAGAAGCGCAAATCGACCTGTTCCCGGATGTCCAAGAAGGCGACTCGAAACCTGGGCTGGCCAATTACCTGGATGAGTTCCTCAGCGCAATCAAAGTCTTTGGATACTTGGAACGGCCGGTCTTTCACGAATTGACTCGGACCATGCAGACAAGGAAGCTGATTGCGGGGGAGACACTCATGCTCGAGGAAGAAAAGGGCTTTTGTTTGGTGGTCGATGGGCTGGTACAGATCTTCGTCAAGTCCACTCGTCAAGGCAACAAGATGGGTTCCTCCGAGGACCTACATTTGGATGATGACGCTACATCTGACGAGGAGGATAACCATATGCATGGCCGACAGGGATACCAATTGCTGACGGAGGTGAAGAATGGTGCTTCCATGTCGTCACTCTTCTCTATCTTGTCTCTCTTTACGGAGGACATCCAGCTCCGGAACTCGCGAAGCTCTAGCTCGAGTAACTCTAGTGCGGGACCCGACCCGGCCAATTTCCGTGCTGAATCCGTTCCTGTCAGTCCGAGTGTCGGGGTAATCGGGAGCCCTCACTCGACAATTCGGGATTACGAACCCCATTCGAATCTCAATGGCCATGCAGATGGACTGCCGGCAGTTCCTCCACTCCATCTAGGAGAAAGTCATAGTGTGCCCACCCACACCACTCAACCCAACCTCAACCGACAGAACAAGAAGCGTCGCAAGTCCGTGCACCCTGATATCGTCGCTCGAGCTACTGTAGATACTACCATTGCTATCATCCCTGCTAGCGCGTTCCGCCGATTGACTCGGGTCTACCCAAGAGCCACAGCGCATATCGTCCAGGTTATTCTGACACGTCTTCAACGTGTGACATTTGCGACTGCCCACTCTTACCTGGGCTTGACAACGGACGTACTAGGAATTGAGCGACAAGTCTCCAAGTTTACCACGTGGGATCTGCCTAATGATCTACGAGGCAGTGCATTGGATCGTCTCAAGGACAAGTTCATGCGGGAGAGAGACCGCCTGGGACCGGAGGAAGTTTGCAAAGGAATTGCTCTGCATAACCCTTCCGTCGGACGGAGACGGCGCTCGAGCAGCTCCCTTAGGAAGGAAGCTGTTCTGCAGGCCCGTATGATGGGTACAAGCCGTCCCGCCCCTCTCACTCCGCACCGACAGCCAACTACATTTATGGACCGGGATATGATGGGAGTCAGCCCCGGTGACTTGCTTTCCACTATTCAGCTGTCTCGATTTGGCCCGCGCGGCGACCACATTAGCCCTCAGATTCAAAGTCCCCTTACCGAGAGGGAGCGACCTCTTTTCCAAGCTGCAGGGAAGGACCTCCGCCCATCTCCATTCCAGCGTACAGATTCGATCGACGAAGACACTCTTTTCCGCGAGTCCATCTTGGATTGTATGATGAAGGCAATTGGTCTGACTGAAAGTACGAGCGATGCCTTGCGCAAAAGTAGCCACTCCGGCGATGCTTCGCCTCGGCTGCTTTCATATGACTCGCGTCGACAAAAGGCAGTCTTTTCTAATGCGTTTGGTTTTATTGATCCGTACGAGGGGTCCGGTGACGGTGAAACTGAATCTATGATGTCCATGTCGGTGACCAGTGCTGGAGGAACCTCGCCGGTCGTCAATCTACGCGAGGATCTGCGCCACGACATTGAGGTTGTCTACTTCCCTCAAGGCTCGGTTCTTGTGGAGCAGGGTGAACGACATCCCGGTCTCTACTATGTCATTGACGGGTTTTTGGATGTCGGCATCCCAGTCAACGAGCGCGGCGATGACCTTGTCGGCAGCTCACGTCCATCCGATGGGCCGCTCTCGCAAGCCCAGGAGGAACTGTTCCCAAGCCTGAACCGTACCACTACGGGCTCCTCGCGGGCGTCGACTTCCAATGCCTCCGGTGACTCACGGCGTAAGACTCACTCGCGCAAATCGCTTTACCTGATCAAGCCGGGTGGCATCCAGGGATACGTTGGTGCTCTCGCCTCCTACCGGTCCTACACTGATGTCGTTGCCAAGACTGATGTCTATGTTGGATTCCTCCCGCGAGCATCGCTTGAGCGAATTGCCGATAGGTACCCGATTGCCTTGCTCACGCTGGCGAAGCGGTTGACTAGTCTTCTGCCCCGTCTGCTGCTACACATTGATTTTGCCCTTGAATGGGTGCAGGTCAATGCGGGCCAGGTGATTTACCATCAAGGAGACGAAAGTGATGCCATCTATCTCGTGTTGAACGGCCGACTGCGATCTGTCTTGGAAGGCTCCAAGGGTAAGATAACAGTGATCGGCGAGTACGGTCAGGGTGAGAGTGTGGGTGAACTTGAAGTCATGACCGAGTCCACCCGCCCTGCTACTCTTCATGCAATTCGAGACACCGAATTGGCCAAGTTCCCCCCGCTCGCTGTTCAACAGCTTGGCACAAGAACACCCGGGAATTACTATCCAAGTCTCTAAGCTGATTGCTCAACGCATGCGTGATCTGGTCGAGCACCCGCTTTCCGAGAAAGGTATCGAGCAGGGTCATAGTGGTGTGCAGACTGCGACATCAACTGTCAATCTCCGCACAGTAGCCATTCTCCCGGTTACTGCGGGTGTTCCCGTGGTTGAATTTGGACACCGGCTACTCAATGCACTTCACCAGATTGGTGTCACTAGAGGGGTGACCTCGCTCAACCAGGCGGCCATTCTGAATCACTTGGGACGGCACGCTTTCAGCAAGATGGGTAAGCTGAAGCTTTCTCAGTACCTTGCTGATCTCGAGGAGAAGTACGGACTGGTGTTGTACATTGCGGATACCAATGTCAACTCTCCCTGGACACAGACTTGTATTGCGCAGGCAGACTCAATTCTGTTGGTCGGTCTCGCTGAGTCGTCGCCTCGAATCGGCGAATATGAGCGGTTCCTGTTGGGCATGAAGACAACCGCCCGAAAAGAGCTCGTTCTTTTGCATGCGGAGCGATACTGCTCACCTGGACTAACCCGTCGCTGGCTCAAGAATCGCGTGTGGATCAACGGAGGCCACCACCACATTCAGATGGCGTTCCGTCTCACGACAGAGCCCTCACACCCGCAGACCAAGAAGTTCGGCACTGTGCTCAAGCAACGCGTGCAGATTCTACAGGCTGAGATCCAAAAGTATACTTCTCGACGAATCCAACAGACCCCGCTCTACTCGCCGCAAACCCCTTTCAAGGGTGATTTCCATCGTTTAGCTCGGCGACTGTGCGGCAAATCTGTCGGTCTTGTCCTGGGTGGTGGTGGTGCTCGAGGAATTGCTCAAGTCGGCGTAATCAAGGCTCTTGAAGAGGCTGGCATTCCCATTGATATCATTGGCGGTACTTCCATCGGCTCCTTCATTGGCGCGTTGTACGCACGAGATGCAGATGTGGTCCCCATGTATGGCCGCGCAAAGAAATTCTCCGGTCGGATGGGAAGTATGTGGCGGTTCGCCCTGGACTTGACCTATCCAACCGTCTCGTATACCACGGGTCACGAATTCAACCGCGGTATCTTCAAGACCTTTGGCGACAGCCAAATTGAAGATTTCTGGCTCGAGTTCTACTGTAACACGACGAACATCAGCCGCTCCCGCGCCGAGTACCACTCGTCCGGATACGTCTGGCGGTACGTCCGCGCCTCGATGTCCCTCGCCGGTCTGATCCCTCCAATCTGTGACGAAGGCAGCATGCTCCTTGACGGCGGATACATCGACAACCTAACAGTCGCGCACATGAAAAGCCTCGGCGCAGACGTAATCTTCGCCGTCGACGTAGGTTCCATTGACGACAACACACCACAAGGCTACGGCGACTCCCTATCCGGTTTCTGGTCCATGCTCAACAGATGGAACCCCTTCTCCGGCATCCCGAATCCACCCACCCTCTCCGAAATCCAAGCCCGTCTCGCCTACGTTTCGTCAATCGATAACCTCGAACGGGCGAAGAGCACAGCTGGCTGTTTGTACATGCGTCCACCAATTGACCCCTACGGAACACTTGATTTTGGTAAATTCGATGAAATTTATCAAGTCGGGTATGCGTATGGCAAGGAGTTCCTAGATCGCTTGAAGAATGAGGGATCGCTTCCGATTCCGGAGGAGACGGAGGAGAAGAGAAAGTTGCAGCGGACTATGGCGCCCCGTCGTGCTAGTATTTAGGAGAGCTTCGAGTCAACGCCCAACACACCCATGGCCATGTCTATTTTTATGTTGCTTGTCTATAGCGAAGCGATAACTTGCATTTTTTTTATTCTGGTGTTTGGTTTGGGTATGCGGCGTTCTAGTTTAACATAGCATTCGTCTTTTCGTGCTTATTGCTTTTGCACCGGGATGGCATTGCATTCTTAGCTGTTCTCTTTGCTTTTTTTCTTATTCTGTCTTGTCCACTTTTGCATATGATACACCCTTTTGCTGGCGGTTGTTTATCATTAATGGGCTTTTGTTTTTTCGGACGTGCTGGAATAACCTTAGGTTGTCGATAGGTGAAAATATATTTTGGCATCCGTTGCACTTCTAGGTAGCTGCTTTTTGTTTTCTACCCCCTACCTAGTAACCAGTAAAAATACCTGAATCACCTAATTAACATCCCAAAACTCATAAACCCTTCTTATATTTTGACCGATATATTGCTTAAGATTCTTAAAGACATAGATTCGTGGTTAAAAGACCTAGGTTCAGGTGCAGTCATCTGGGGTTGAGAGGCGGATGAGCAATCTCTCCGCGACCTTGGAATCTAGGTCATGGAAGAGCTTCATGAGCTTCTAATTTTTTGGTGGTTTAACTGTCAATAAAGAATCTGAAGTTTACGGTTACCTATAAGTCGAGGAGAAAATCAACATGCTGCCATACGGAAACTAGCTGTCTAGCCTTGCGCGCGGGTTGAGAGCTGAATGTTGTAGGTTACATGGAGTCTTACCCAAAATGATAGTCCCTGAGCGGCTGGGAAGGAAAGAATGGATACGCCCAATCTATAAGTAAATCGAAAGATAAATAGATCATTCGATTAAAGTAGAGAAAAAATATTAATAGTGAACGGGCACCGCCTCCTCTCCCCAACATATATGCAACACCACCCCCTCAACAACGCACCAAACATTACATTACACCTCCACAAGAAATAAACAAGGGGAATCTCAAAACCATACAAAAGAGCCATAAAAAACATCCGCGCGCAAGCCCATCAAAACCAACCCGTAAACAAAACAAGTATCATAGCGATCCCACCCGAAAAGAGTAGATAAACCCGATACCAGTCCGAATACCTCGTCGGCACGATCCACTTAAACAGTTCCCGCCGGAACGCTCTGCTCAACTGGCGCATCCAAAGGCGGCCGTGCACCAGGCTCGATTTTCTCGTGGACTGGGGCGGCGGCTGCGTTTTCTTTGCGATATGCCCAGAGGCCGGCGACTTCGATGAACATGCCGAAGAAGGTGAAGATGCTGGATAGGCATGGGTTAGCGAGGTCAATGAACGGTCAGAGGCTGGCTGGGAAGGAATAGGGAGGGGGTGATGATGCGGGGTGTTGTGCAGATTTGTGTGACGAGTAAAGTAAAAAAGCAAACATACAAGGCGAGGAAGATGAAGGCCTCGTTGGCCTTCTTGCGGCTGCAGGTTACACCGGGTGGGGCATTGAAGTAGCACGAGTGCTCGTTGTAGTCTTGAGCAGCGAAGATGAAGGCAGTTAACCAGCTAAGTGGGGGTGTTTGTTAGTATGATCAATTATTGGACTGGTAATGGGCTGGGGATGCAGGAGAGAGTACATACAGATAGGAGAAAACGACGTCGATGAGCAGCACGAACTTGCTCAGTACAGATGGTAAGAAGGGAGAGATGAAGGCTGGAATGAAGAAGACGACGGAGAGGACCGCCTAGAATGTTGACGTTAGATGTCTGCTGTATTTTGAATTGAACGAGGGGTAGAGGGTAGGGTGCGGTGCGTACGATGACTTCCTGGTAGATGAGGTGCTGGCCTTTAGGTCCCTGCTTGATAAAGTAGGAGGTCAAGCCCATGACAATCACAGCGCTGGACCATTGGAGCGTGCGAGTGACCAACTGTAGTGGTCTAGCGATAGTAGTTGAGAAGATCATTGCGACGGATGTATATTATCAAGGCTCTGTAGATATCAGATGAATATAAGATATACTTCAAGCGGTGCAGATGATAATCCGGAGAGGCTGCCTCCCGTGGCTTCAAATATATCCAAAAGAGATAGGATGTGGATGGCGATAAAAAGGAAACCAAATCCAAGGAACGAACCTGGGAGGGAACCTTTATATGACTTACTCAGAGCCAAAGTAACAGGGCATCACCGGCTCGACCGGACGTCAGAACCATGAGACACAAACATGACTAGCGCCGAGTCAAAGGAGACCGAACGCCAGGGCCAGACCCGGCAAGGATGGAGTGCAGTTGGAATGCCCGGGTTTTTCCCCAGATGCGTCATGATGGCCTCTGCATGAAGTCAGTGCAGCGGGCTGAAGATTACACAAAAAGCTACGAACTGACACCGCTAGAGGATTGTCTACACTTGGATAGCTGTAGTTCGTAGAGTCTATCTGTTATTTCAGACTCCTTTGAAGAAATTTGGATGCTCTACTTCTAGCAGGTATACACATCAGCGCTGATCCACTCGAATCAATAACAAAGCAAAAAGGCACGAGAAAGCTACTTGGCTCGCGGTAGTGAGGGAGGGGAAAAGATCATCGGTATGTCATGACCTCGTGCGCAAGGGAGGAATCCACTAGAAAGACAAAAGCAAAAAGCAAAAACTCAAAAAGATAATAACCAAAGCCTCCAATGATTGCGATATAGTAATACTATCACACAAACTTACTTCTACTCGAACAAGTAGCACTAGGAATCCCCCTCGGCACGCCGCGGAAGACTCATACGGGCACTAAAAGGACTCGACGAACCCACTCGACCAGCCCACATCAAGTCAAAATATTCCTCTCAAATAGGCCTAATCATCCAATCACCCAATCCCCATCTGCAACACACATCACACCACCCCAGCAAGACCGGGAATCGACCAAGGAAAGCATGGGACAAAAGAACAAATCATAACAATTAGCTCTCCACATATGGCCTGAGGTACTATACTTTAGTGCATACTCTGGAATCAGTGAATCCGGCTGCAGCAATCACCCAATAGCGGGGTTCTCCCTGCATCAATCCAGATCGACGGTGGCTTTTTCAGCCTTGTGAGTTGTGAGAGTAATTCCTTGGGCCGAATGGCTGATTGACGGCTTAATGATTGGGTCGAGGGGACGTGCGCTGTCATGATCGAAGGGGGGGATATTATCCCTTGGAACTGGCGAAATTGGAAAAGTTTGAACCTTCAAGAAGAAGCTGGGGATTGGGTTCTGCTAGGCGTGAGACATACATCTATTGGTTTATCCTGAAGGTCTACAAAGTATAGTATGACTCGTTATGGGTATGGTATAGACAAGAGCATGAAGAAAATCATTCCCCACTTTTGGCAACTGATCGCCGTTTAGCTCGCGGCTTGTCAGTGGGATCATCCAACTTTTCACGTCGTGTAACTGGCCGACGCGGATATGCGGCTATGTTCCTATTATGTAGCTAGCTCAGCTAGGAAGTTAAGAAGCTGGTTAGTTAGCTAGCCACAATGTTTTCCTCTGTGATCTCGAATTAAAAGTTGAAGACCAGTAAATCGGCATGACGGAACAAAGACTTAGTCTTAGTACGAGGTCTACAAAGACTGGTTTCTCACGGCTACGGAAGAAGTCACGATTAAGCATAGTGACTGCAGCCGAATCCTCGCCACCCAGGTAGAATTATAATCGAAACAGGAATTCTGGATGATTCGGCTCTGGTATGAGTAAAGAGGGGTTGGTCATGTGGCCCATGCAATTTGAGGGCATTCTCGTTCCCAAGAGTTGTTTAGTCCCAAAGTATACCCATACAATGGAATAATTAAGGTTGACGAAGATCCTAAAAACCCAGCTGTCGGCTTGTCGCATTTGTCTAAGACAAAACGGCTCCCCTACTTACTATGTACGCGAAATGAGGTTAAGTAGAAACGTTGAGTAGATGTAAGGGGAGAGCAATACCCCGGAAATAAGGGTTACCTCCTTGCGGGAGACTATTTTGTTTAGACTACTAGGGTCCAAGTTAATAAAAGCATGGGGTATGATTTACTATTGTTGTAGAGCTAAAAGGTTACCCTTTTCATATAATAATGAATATTTTGATAATTAGAGAAACAACCCGGCTGAACATGAACATGCCCTATTGCCAAACCAGTCCCGTACGACTCGACTCCATTACGCCCGAGGCTTTTGAACTCCTCTTGGTAGACTACGTTCACCATGTGATGTTGCCCAGATCGTGCTCCTGTAGAATATGTTAATATCATTCTGGAATGAATGTGAACCAACATGTAGCGGAATCTCACCTTAATGTACTCGCTGCCCTTCTCCAAGTACTCCTGTCGAGTCACAGATGATCGGCCCAGATCAGCACCAGAGGCCCATTGAGCCGCGCCCTTCCACGCATCCATGACCGGGTTAGCAGCTTGACGCACACCCAGCTCCGCGTCAATAGGTAGGTAGGCGCGCAGCTCCCTGCGGAAGCGTTCCTCAAACCCAGTGAACAAGGTGTTGCCACCAGTCAAAAAGACATCCTTCAATAAGCGGTTGCGGTCCTGAGTGTTAGAGAATCGCTGGTTGACGATATCAGCCGCGATCTCAATCAAACCCGCCTGATCCACACCCGCAATAGAAGGCTTGAAGACAACCTCCGGCACACGGATACGCTCCACGTTGAGATGAAGCTGGTGGGCTTCACGCTGACTCTCCGGGTCAAATGGCCAGGGTCCGCGGAGGAATGCATGAACCAGGCTCTTGGTCCAATCTGATTGGGCTGCAAGTGTGTGATTCTCCGTGAATTCGGGGTCATACTCCAGCAACTCCTGCTCAACGTTGTTCAGCATGCCGTCAAGATCCTCTTCTTCCTCGTCATCACTCTGCTCGTCCTTTGCGACAGTGCGGTAGACACCCCAATCCTCGTCGTTGGCACCAAAGTCATCGTCATCACCACCGCGACGACGCTTCTTCGGTCCGTCTGCGGCCAGGTTGGCGAGGGTCTTCATGCGCATCTGACTGGCAAGTGACTTGCGGTTGCCTAGATCGGCCTTGAAACGCTCACGATCTTTGATTTTTTGCAGTAGGTTCTGAATATTGTTAGACGAAAGCCTCAACTCGGGAGCAAAGGCAGGCTTACCTGTCGGTTGGCACGTCGCGCGGCAATCCAACTCTCAAAGTCATTCTCACGTTTCTCCCGATCGAGACGTTCTTCCTCCTCGATGCGAGCCTTCTCACGTTCCTTTTCAGCCTTGGCACGCGCCCTCGCCTCAACGTTAGACTTCATCAGCTGCTGGTGTCGCTTTTCTTTCAGACCAGCTTCATCCAGTTCTTCATTAGGAACATCAATCAAATGGAAGCTCATCTCCTCTTGCTGCTCTTCCTCTTCTATGCCGAGATCGCGGTTGCGGGAGCGCTTGATAGACTTTTCGAGGTCACGAATCATCCGTTCCAAGTGAGCCTCGTCCTTGAGATCTTCGGCCTCCAACACACGGCGAATCTCCTTCTTAGTCTCAGAGGCCAGGCGGACCTGTAAATCCTTCCAGTACTCCAATTCCTGCTCTTTCTTCACCAACTTTTCAAGGCGCATCTTCGCTGCTTGCTCCTGCAACCGACGACCGCTCTCCTTCTTACGCTCCGCAATCCGGGCCAGCTCCTCTTCCGTCTTTTCAACCACGACATGCTCGGTGAAGGGATATTGGATGACGTGGTTACGCTCCTCCAGTCCAGTCCAATCGAGGTATCCACTCAACTCGCGGTCGTAGTCTTCAGAGATATAACAGTGCTTGTGCACCATTTCCTCGACCTGATTCTCTGTCAAGCGTGCCGGGAAGGTAGGGTATTTGAGCCGTAGCAGCTTGGTGAGGTACTCGGCAGTTTGCACACCACCCCAGTTAAGACGAGATGAGTTTGAGAGGAGGGGTTTCGAATTCAGGACGGGGATGACATGTGTAGAGGTATGCGATGATGAGACGATCAGACCGTCGGTTCCCTTGTTATAACGGTAGGCGAAGAGGGAGTCGATTCCGTAGGCGACGGAGGGCGCATTGTAGCACTCGAACAGGATCTCGTTCATCACTAGGAAATGTCAGCTCAACACTTGCCATGAGGTAGAAAATCATAGCATACTTCTCCTGGGATATCCAAGGTTGGCAATGGGCTCTGTCATGAGAATTGGCCGGTCAACACCTCCATTGGCACCATCAACACCCAGCTTGAGGAAGATGTAATCCAGCACACCCTCCATGACATCCCAATTGCCAACGACACTTGAGTTGCCATCAAATGCATTCTTCAGCTGTCCACGTGTAGTCGCATCAACGTAGGCATCGTATCCAATGAAGTGAGCTTGACGGCCGAGCTTGCGATCGCGGTAACGGCTCATGACGGGAGGCAGGACGAATCGCGGGTTTTGGTCAAAGGACCAACCGGCCTTGACAAGATGAGAGCCTGTACAGGAGAAGCACACGTCAGTATTGATCTATGAACAGTGGCAATCATGTAGAGAAACGAACCATTGTCGATAACAATGGCGCTGGTGTCGGGATGAGCCTTGCTCTGCTCATATCCATCGGGCTGCGGAGGTTGGTAACCCTTGAATGGGTAATCTTGAACGCTGTATGTCTGAGGTGGAGGCTTCTCGGCGCGCTTCTCTGTAACATTGGCAGAGTAGCGACCCGGCAAGAGGGTCTGTACAGAGGTGATGGTCATTGTGGGCTGCGCCGGCGCGGAAACCAGGAGCTTTGGAGATCGAGGATCGGGTCGAAGTTATGGGTAGCGCTCAGTACATCGCAGGACGGCTGGGAAGCGAGAATTGTGAAGAGCAGTTGATCGTATATAACTGGCGTGAGGTTAAGAAGAGTAGTGAAGCGGCAAACGGAGGAAGTCCCGCTCTTTCGCGGCAGGTCGGCGAGGTTGGAGGCGCCAAGAACCGATACGTTATCCTGTGCTGCGCTGCGATGGATCTCCGCAACGAGGACGAGCTATACGGAGTATCATGATATTCAAGCCAAATTTACGCAACAATTGAAAAGATAAGATGATAAAATAAGTGTTTCAATATCCATAAGTGCATTAATCATAAATTCTACCATATCTTTCGCTGATTCTCCCTAGGAAGGCCCTAGGAAGGCTCCTTAAGGTTCTCCGTTGCTGGAATGATACTTAGAATAGGACATATAGTTTCTAGAATGAAGAGATCATACCTTCGAGATGGAAGAGGACATTGGACTGGTAGTTCTTGAACATTTGTGCGACCAGCTCGACGTTCATATTTTGAATGTTGACCTCCTACACGCGGTTGTTAACAACTCGTCAAGGTACACTCAACAGAGCCGGAGCCGTACCTGGAGACTCTTGTTCATGACCATAATGGCCTCGTTCAGCTTCTCCTGTTCGAGAGATTAGACACATTGCCGCTATTCAAGGTATACTGGCGGCGACTGACAACGTTGGTAATGATGCGCGACAGCAGCACCGTCTGCTGGTGCTCGTGTGGACTCTCCTGTGTCATATTAGCCGTGACTCTTGGCTCCGTCTATGACTGAATTATGCATTATCAACTTACCATGCTGAAGTAGGGCAGGAAACTCGTATATCTCGACCTCGTTGACAGATCAATATCACTGGCGGCGGTTTGTTTGGGCCTTCTCCACGGTCACGTGCAGATATACGAAACACTCCAAACGGGAGTTCCCAAAGGGCGCTCCGTCAATCCAACATCCCTTTCTTAGTACTGTCGCAAACCCCTCCTATACGTCTCAATAATGGCACCTGCTACTCCCGCAAAGGATGACGAAGCTCACCAGCTGCTTCTGAGCCAACTCGATATCGCAGCCGTCCCCAAACCCTTCCGCAATCCACACTGGAAACCCTCCCAGCGCCGCAACAAGAACGTCAAGGCGATCATCTCCGAGACTACTCGAAAGGAAGCTTCCCAGCTCGCTACGCAGGCAAATTCCGGTGCCACGACACCTTTCCCTGCTACATCGGGCGCGGTGACTACCGATGGTACCGGAACACCTGCTGAAGGTGCTGGCAAGGCTCCCAACCTCGCACAAGCTGCCCGGGAACTTTCAACCCTCGTGCTGGAGAAGAATGCCCGCGCGATGTTTCCCAGCGGGCCTGCTATTACCTACACGAACATTGAGTCTGCGCCGTCGCTGGATCCTTCTAATAAGCGCCATTACTGCGATATAACCGGGTTGTCGGGACCTTACACCGACCCCAAGACACGACTTCGTTATCATGACAAGGAGATCTTTGGCGTCATCCGCAATCTGTCCCAGGGTGTGCCGGAGAGCTACCTCGAAGCAAGAGGAGCTCACACCGTCCTAAAATAAGGAGCGAAGCATGGCATCTACCATTACAAATCCTCTCAAACTCTACAGCTCATCACCAATAGGTATGGATACACCATCCTACTCTCCTTGAATGGTCTTGCTAATCGATGAAAATGAAATAGATTGGAAACTACCAAGTAATGTCCGATCAACACAGTCAAGCCCTTTCCACCCCACCTGCCCCTCTCGAGGCAGGCTCAAGAAAGCGCTCCGGCTTATTCGCAACCGTGAAAATGTTGTTCTCCGCCTTGTGCCAGGATGCACTCGACTATTACCGACGCCCCAGGGAAAGAAGCGTCAGTTACAGTATCCGAGGATACTGTCGCCGCGGCGTGATGTGAGATTGTTAGGAAACAATCAAGTGTGGGGAGGGAATAGTAAACAGGAAAGACGAGGCGGTCGTGCCTCGAGGATTTGGGAGCAAGCCCGGGGCTGGTTCAGACACAACATCGAGTATCTATAGCCGCAGATTGTATACTTAGAAACAGCTTGACATTATGCTGTCCTTGAAGCAATCACAGAAACAGACCCATTGACCCCAGACCTCATTGTTGGCGTAGCTGTTTTCCCACACAAAGATATAGGCGGAAGTAAAACCCAACACCCGCCCGACGCGGCTTAAAACCAAGACCACACCGCCTTCGGGGGTGGGCAGAAAAGGGCGATTTTCCGTTTCTGTTTACGGACGCATCCGATTGACTCCAAGCCATCGTCTTGTGGACTTGTTACCTCCTATTCTTGCGCCGCTTTGCCCGTGAAACCATCGTTCTAATCGCGCACCTACACAATGCCTAGCATGTGGCTATCAGAGAATCAGAGTACGTTTTTCTTTCTCCTTTATCTACAACAGCTCAACAACCGGTCGCACCTACCAGCTTGGGCGCAAGTGTTATCGCGACATGGCAAATGCTAACTACTGGATATAGAGATCGGTGTCGTCTTCTGCTCAGCCGGTACGCCATAATCCAGCCGCTGATAAATCATCCTATCGTTCGTGCACGCAATACTAATACTCCATCGCGGGTGTATAGGTGGCTTGTTCCTATTCGGAGGAGTCCTCATGTTCTTCGACCGATCATTGTACGTCCACGAGTCCAATCCCACTTCCACACCCAGCGCGATCTCATACTAACCCTTCTTTCTTCCAGACTTGCTATGGGCAACGTACGCCCCTCCACCCCTCCCCTCCTTAACCACCAAACTACCAAACTAACACTCACCCACCACACTAGATCCTCTTCCTAATCGGCCTGACCCTAATCATCGGCGTCCAAAAGACAATAGTCTTCTTCACCCGGCCGCAAAAACTCAAAGGCACCGCCGCTTTCTCCGCCGGTATCATCCTGATCCTCCTCCGCTGGCCATTGACAGGCTTCCTGATCGAGTTATACGGACTGTTCATTTTGTTCGGCGACTTCCTCGTGACGATTGGCCAGTTTGCGGGTAATATCCCCGTGATTGGGCCGTATATCAAGCGTGGGTTGGAGGTTTTGGCGGGTGGGCGGAGTAATGCGGAGTTGCCTGTATGATGGGGTTGTGGAGTGTTTGAGTGCATGATTGTGATATGAGACCAAGATATGACTGTGTTGGTTATGCCGCGATTGGAGAGTTGGAAGATATGGAGATGGGGGTTTGGTGGTCTGGTGTATGTTGGATGGTGTCTGATGGCGCATGAATGGCGTGCAACGGACGATGATAATGCCCCTTGGCTTTGGGAAGTCCCCCTGATGTAATTACTAATGACCTTTTTGGATCTTCATCTAGCTGGATGATTTCCTCTGGGAGATCTCCGCTAGACTGGCGAGATTCAGTATCCATAATAGATAATAGAAGCACAAAATATCCATGATACATCACCGACAAGAACGTATAATTCCCAGAAAAAGAAATACCTACTTCGTTAAAACATATTGCGCAGCCGGATACCATAACACGATCGGCATGTCTCCAGAATACATGGGCGCAAAATCATAGAAGCGAAGTGAAGAGAGCGCAAAAGTCCCTCGAATCGATCCACCTCGAAGTGGCAACATGCAAATAAGATCGACGAGACAACAAACAAACGCAAACGCAGAAAGTAGTAAGAAAAAAAAAAAAAAATCAATGCTCCTTTATTTGATATTCTTCACAGCCCTCCTATGTGATAACAGATTCATCCACATCTGCGTTTTCCATATGCATCCCGTTTATTTGGGGTTGTTGATGTAGTCAATCAGGTTCTCGACCACGGTAGCGGCGTTGGTGGTCTGGGCACCCTCACCGTGGTGAGCGATCATAGTGCAAGCGCTGGCGCGGACAACGATGGCGCCCTCCTTGCCCTATAGTAGACTGGAGTTAGTAATGCTCTCCGGATCGGATAGGGAGCTCCGGGATAACCACGAGAGGTGTGACGTACCTTCTTGCCGTACAGACTGCGCTCATCAGCCTTGATGCAGACGAACTTCTCGCCGCCGATGGAGAAACCATTGGCAAAGGCGTTGTCGCTGGATGTGAAGGCCGAGGCCAGGGAGTTGATGTCCTCCTGGGAGAGCTATCGGATGGGAACCGTGTTAGTGTTGTAACCACCAGCGGACATGTAATCCTTCAGATTGAGAATAGCAGAGCGTGGGAATCGTACAGTGAAGCCGGGAGAAGCGGCCTCCAGACCGGAGAAGTCAGCGGCGAGAACACCGGCCTTGTCGAACTGACCCGAGCCCATCAGGCTATTGAGGCGGTGATGTTAGCATTGGCAAAGGATCGTGACGGGACTGGCGAGGGAATATGCGATGAAGCTGCATAAAGTATATGGGGAGAATCGAAGTACCTGGAGTCGACGTAGGCTAAGAAAGAGCAAAAAAAGACGTTAGTGAGGGGAAATCGTAAATAACGGTTCTGGTCGGGGTGATTTCCCATACCTTGCCAAGTTGCGGAGTGAGCACCCATGATGACGATGTGGGGAGGTATTCTGAGGGAGAGGGAGGGGGAGGATAGAGGGGGTAGAAGAGATAAATGAGAGCAGGTCTCTGAGTGGGTTTCAGAAGAGGGGGATAATAGAAAGGAAGAGAAGGAGAAGGGGGAGCTTGTGGGAGGTGACGAGGGAGGTTGAAGTGGGGGGGGATTTCTGTGTTGGCGGTAAATAAGAAAGACCCCGCCAAACCTGCGCTTCCCGTCGATCCCTTTGCCGGGAACGGTGAAGACGGACGAAGTATGGACGCAGATGGTATATTGACATGATAGGCTTTAATTTTACTGCCTGTCCCCGTTTACTGATTTAGGGCTACTCCATAGTAGTACCCCCGTCATATCTCCTCGAGTATGCTAGGGGCTCCAGGATACAGCGATCTGCATGCCTCTGCGCATGTCATGAGTGGCCGCACGTGTCCGGTACCTGGATCCCTTCAACGAGAGAGTAAGATGGTTCTTTGAGATATACAATTCAATTTAGGCTGCTTGGTTTCCCCTCAAATCCGCCTTGTCAACCCTCGAGCTTGTTATGAAGGTTGCCTAGTAAACCAATCTGACTGGTATACTAGCGGTCTATGACTCGGACATAGAACGCCTGACTCGGTAATGATAGCTGTATACATACATGTATATGCTCTAGATGACAATCGCTCCGGATACAAGCTCGGCTCTCGTTGCCTCTTTTTTAGATTGAATGCAATTAATGAGCTAATCAAGCTGGTTGCTCGGCCGTTCCAATAGATAGTGGAGCCAAGAGGCGTCAAAAAAGTGTCAACAATAGCCCTGTTAATCTGCACGCATCCATCATTGCTATGCTATACTATGTCGCAGCACACCCATTCTCGAATTCACCAGGCCAGATGTTTACGCTGAAGGAACAACCTCAGCAAACTTCCCAGCAACATCCCGAATAAATCTCCCATTCTGCATCCCCTCCACCCATCGCGTCGGAATCGATTCGTACCCGTAAAACACCCCCGCCAGACCGCCATAAACAGCCCCCGCCGTATCCGAATCTCCGCCGAGATTCACCACCGCCAAGACGCCCTCTTCCCAGCTGTCATATTTGAAGAACCCCCACAGCGCAACTTCCAGGGTATCGACCACCCAGCCACTGCTCGCCATGTCGCCGGGGGACTTTGCGTTCCAGTCGGCGATGGATGTGTAGTGCGCGAAGCGGGAGATAAGCGCGGGGTGAGTAAATCGGAATTGCGCAATGGCTTTGCAGAGGTCTGCCTTGGAGTGTCCTGTTATTGAGTTAGTGAATGTCTGAATGAGGTAACTACGGTTGACGGGGTCATACCGCTCATCGCCATGCAAATGATCTCGGTATAAGCCTCGCAGGCATCCGGGCAAGCTAACGCGGGATGCGTAACTAGACTCTGCTCCCGAGCAAGTCTCTTCGCACGATCACTTTCTTTCCAGAGAGCGACGCCGAGGGGCGAAATGCGCATCAAACTCCCATTTCCCGACGATGCTTCTTTGTCAAGTTGCTCAGTGACTTTCTGCTGAGTGAGCGCCACGTCATCCAGACCCTGGGCCTTCCATATCCGCAGTGCCACGCGAGTAGATCTTCCGAGATCCCATGCCTTGTTCGTAGTACTAAACCGACCATGGTTGAACCAGTCAAGGTAGTTCTGAATTGACAGGTCATGGCTGTATTGCCCGTTCGAGTCCACAAAGGACTGCGCAAGAGCGAGGGTCATCGAACCATCGTCCGAGTATGATCTGTCACTGTTAGCTTCTTCCTGCGATATAGGTAGATCTAAAACATACCCTGATGGCTGCTTAAAAGGTTTCACAAATTCAAGCTCTCTGATGGGTTCGAAGGTACCGGGGTCACTAAATTGCACGGGCCCGCCGAGAGCGTCACCCACACAAGTACCCCAGATGGCACCTAAAGCCCGCGAGCGTGTCGATGGAGCCATGATGTCTGGGTTGATGAGGATATGAGGCTGAAATGTCTGGTGTAGGCGACCTTTTAAAAGAAACGTGGTGAGAGGCTTGTTTCAATACGAGAAACTGCCTTTCTGGCTGCTCAGCCACAATGCGGGCTGATGGAGGGGAGTTGTGAAGACTGGAGGTTTTCCTCATTCGGTAGTGAGAAGGTGGATGGTGGAAGTAAGAGTAGATCAAAGTTTGATTGGAAGGAGTTTTGAGGCTGAAGAAGTCTAGTGCCAGAGACTTAAGTCACTTGACCTTAACGCTGGAAGTGACTCCGCATGAGGCTCATGTTTGCTGCCTGGTCGCGGCAGATCAGCATCCTCAACCGCACTTTAGTGTGCCACAAGAATGGGAATTTCCAACTAATTTGCATGTAAAGTTATCTAGATGACTAAGGTCAAGAAAAATCATGTTCTAAAAATTCTACTGCTGGGGAAACTCCCGTTAGTGATGCAGATTTCTAGAGCCAGCTCCATGGTTCGAAGCTCACGAGAAGCATAGCTAAGAGAGTCTTTAATACATGGAAGTAGCGCACGCTAGACTTCAAATAATAATCCATTTAGCTAACTACTAAACTTAGTCCTTTTATGCTACTTATCACATGCGTAAGGAGTCAGTGACACCACCAAATCACATTCTGAATGTCATTCGAATCCAGGATCTAGACCCGACGGCGGTATCCAGTGTTTGACATTGACTATGGATGAGACAATTTATGGCACACTGTCGTGGGAAAACTAGTCTCTAACTATGAAATGGATAGTTGACCCCTGGTAAAGGTACTGGGAATTGCAGGTAGATTCGGTGTTTCTTGGTAAAGTCAGTCCCTCTTTGAGGCATGCAATCAAATCACTACCTTTAGATATAACACTCATGAACAACCTCTTTAATATAGACATGACGTGTCCGAGAAATGAATATAAATGCTCCATATTACCTATATAGACGATGGATCGACTGGCTACTCCGCAAAACATGGCACATGACAGCATTGATTGAGAAAGGGGCCACGTACGAAACCAGGCCCACATCTACGAGACTGCGATCTGACCTACTCAGGCCGTTGCTTCAGAAAAACAGTCAAAGAATCATATACGCCTTTAATTACTTTAAATTATTGACCTAGTACTAGATTATAATACAAGTTCTTGTTGTTGAGATATGATCTTGTACTTTATCGCCTTTAATATGGTATTTTGGGGTGTTTCACCCTAGCAGGATTTACATTACATATCCCTTATGACCCTGGAATATGTATAACCTCCTGATTATCAGCACGACATATAAACTAAACGTATCTCGATTAAGCCCTCAGTCACGCCCTAAATCCATTAGGGTTTCATCATATTCGATAGGAGAGCCTTGTGCCATAAATATCTCCTTGTTCATCATGCCTGTTGCATAAATAACACCGCCTCTCCTATACCGTCTTCCCAGCCCCTTATTTTGCAAGCCAAGCCTACCCATTAGCGCTCGAGCGGCCCCAGTAAAGTTATTGAAATGAACAAATCCAAAGAATTCTGTGAGCCCATGCCTCTGTTCGGCAAACTGTAACAAAGCGCGAGTTGCTTCTGTTGCGTATCCTCGGCCTTGATGTTCCGGCAATAGGGAAATGAAAAGTTCCGTACAGTCAATTGGAATCGTATGGTTCCAACTGGTCAAGCTGATACAGCCAATCATCACCATATCTTGTTCTGCTGTGCGTTCTTGGACATTGTGGCTGAAGTTGGTTATCCCCGCAGAAGTCCATAGCTTGTTTGATGTGTTCTTCAGAGAGATGAGATATATTCCCTCGCAATATTCAGCACTCTGGTTTTTTCGATAAGCACCGTAGATCTTTCTCTTGGCGTTTTCGAAGGGTCTAGCATTGTCCATATACGGACGGCCATTTTCAGAGTTGTTTCTAGCTTGGCCAGAAATTTGCAGTGATCCGAATTGTCCCATAAGAAGTGCGACAGGCAGAGGTGATTTGTTGTGATGTTGAAAGCAGGATCGCACATGGCCCCTATAAGAATATTCCTGAATATTTGAATAGTGATGGCTAATAGAGTGAATCTCGGGCAAGCGGTGACAGAAACTCGCGTGTATGACGCAAATGGAGTAGATAAGTTAGGGAACCACAGCTAAGCGGAAGGCTCACTGTATAAATAGAGAATAGGAGGGTTATGTGTACCTGGCAGACGATCTTGTCAGATAGCCCCGCTTTCTATAATGGGTTACTGCAACAGTCTGACCATATTATTTACCGCTATTTTCTGCCCATTGTTCTGCCGCAGAAGGTCCCGTGTATACAACTAGTCTATATTAGGACTGTAGCAGAACGAATGGTGGTCACCCACCGTATCTGTATGCCACTAAGCATCCAGTTAAGTGAGCATGGTTGACCAAGTGAAAATGAACCATGTGACTGAATCTGGAGCCCATGGACGACTAGTCCTACGCTACTGTAGTGGATTAGCATATAAGTATCTACGAGGTGGAAAGTAAATTGCAACATCTCATTAAAAGCCTTCAAGTTTGGCCAGCAGTAACATATTCCTTTTTCATCATCCACCCTATTCTGTGCACCACGACAGAACCCACAGTTTTGCAGCAGTCTCATGAAAGGAGTAAGAGGAGCTTTCTTAAGTGTCGAGCTATTATCCTCAAAGCCTATGCTTATTTCTCAAGTCACAACCTAGAACCATTCCATCAAGGCCGGTCTTTATCTCTGCTTCTGAAACGTGAATGGGCTGTCAGCTGGGCTCTCTGCATAAACAATTTTCCAGGCAACGTCGCCGGCTTCCTAGGAGGATTTATCCCACGGCTTCTTATCCACCCGGTCCATTTCGCAAGAGCGTCCGCAGCCTTCTTGCGTGTACTGATAACATGTCTTATATGGGTGTATATATTTGACATTACCAACACAACTTCTTCGGCGGAAGAGGATAAGTTGAACAAACCCCATCGGCCAATACCAGCAGGCCTTATTACGGTTAAGCAAGCGCGGGTGCGTTGGCTAATAAGTTGGTGTCTTGCACCCTCTATACTTGCCTTGCTTTATGGGATATGGCCGGCTTTTTATATAGCGCTAATGCAGACCTGGGTTTTTGGTTTCTATGTGTGGCCTGCATATCGTAGAGCGTAATGGTCACCGGTGCCACCTTTATCATGCTCCGCCTGCTTAACGCCGTCATTCTGGACACAGATCAATGGCGGATGGGTCCGGAGCCGGATACGATAGTGTGCGTCTGGACTATGGCCACGATCCATCTACAAGATTTCCGCGATGTTGAACGGGACTGCGTCACGCATGCAGTCACAATGCCTATAGTCCTTTCGCCGGAGGGTCAGACAAAGCTTCGGTACACAACAGCTTGGGTCTTGATGGGCGGAAATATCATGAGCATATACTGGGTCTCGATGTGAGCCCCATACACCTCTGCCGTTTTGACTAGTCTCTTGTTCAACATAAGCTCGAGTATATTAGCCTTTTATACCGTCACCTCCACTTCAAGGTATCAGGACCGGATTATCTACAGGTAGTGGATGATGACAGGATTTTGTGCAATTAATCATGTATTTACTCTATATTTACTGCAGAAGATGAGGGGGTAGGTATTGTCGGCGGATTTGTCTTAAAAAGGGCAAACTCTTTTGGCATGGGGGATGTCTTTTAGAGCGATTGACCGACATGAAACTAGCTTATAAAACATGGCCTAAAGCACGCGAGGGCTGCCAGGACAATAAGAGGGAGGCTTGGCGCGAATTTCGGCTGGTTTTTCTCGTGGCGTCAAACCTCGTACCAAGTGTTTGGAGTCGCTGTATCTCATCCAGCAACTGGGGATCGGGGCCATGTCTGAGATCATTTCATATCGATTAGCTGTAGAAGATGGAGGCCTCTTAATGATCGCAGACATGAAAGCTGTATTATTTCCCCATCCAGAACACTTTGACCGATTCGGCTAACTGTTTGGCTTTGTGGATGATTGGGACGGGCTGAGGCTAAACGACGGTCGCGCACGGACCGTCTCAGCTTTGGCGCGTCGGCTGTCGCAGTGCGATCATTTGTTGCACTCAAGAGTTTTACCTTTGCCATCCTGTGATGCCAAGAGGGGACTGTATGCCAATAGAGCGCTTATTTGGTGTATGGGTGGAGGATGGTGGTGAAGAGGCGAAGAGAACAGGCTGAGCTTCTCGGCAATCAACAAAGCCACATTGCAGACATGGGCAATTGCCATTAAATGGGCCATTCAATTCTAAAGATGATGATATGTCTAGAGTTCTAAAGAGGCTACTATGGCCATTTCAGATGTTTCTTGGACTTAAATGAGCTTGGTCTAGACTATTTAATCCAGGACGACTTGACTCGATCAATCTATTCCCCCGTACTCCACGCGGGATGTACTCCTGGTTTAGCCACAAATCCCATGATTGTAAATCCCGAAACAGATAGAGAGAGGACACTTTTATCAGTTTTAGGACGGAGCACAGTCTCTATCCAAATCAACAACGGTCAAAGTATGCTCAACCTCGATCAGACCCCTGTCTCAAACAGACAAAGCCTTGTCTCAGTCTCGGGAGGGCTGAAACACGCCTTCAGCGGGCATTTGGCCTCTTTCCCCCTTGTTGGCTCCTCTATGGCCCGCACCGAACGTGGTAGCGAAACTGGTCCAGCTAATCAAATCCCCCAATCAATCCGCAACGAGCAATCTCATTCGCTCCACGCGAATTAAGCATCTCGCACGCTGCCACTCATCCCCGAGCAAAAAGGCCCCATCACCTGGCCCCTTTCGTCCATGTCTTGCCCCTTTCCTCCGTCCGCCCTTTAGGCCGCTGAAAATCCAACCGTTGCGGCGCTAACAATGCGGCGGAATCCTGGTCGATCGAATCGCGGATCGCATTAGAGACTAGCAGCGCTGTGTGTTTTTGGTGCGACGGGGCCATTAATATCGAGCTGCGCTGATATCTCGCCCCTCCTTTTTTTCCCACCCACTGGCCGTTGCAGCTCTCCTGTTGGTTGAGTTCAGCTGGTTCGGCTCCAGCCCAGTCCAGACCTGACCTGACGTGCCTGGCACAAAAAGCGAGCATTGTCACTACCATTGGTTCTGGTCACGATGACTGGATCTGGTGGCGGGCGCATTGGGAGGGAAATGCTTGAGCGCAAGAGCACTACGATACGACAATCAATCAGTTAGCGTCATTTCAGACTGAATGAATTATAAGCCCAATTAATGGCAATATCGACGTTGACACGCTGTCTCATGTACACAGCTTGGCGTAATCGCATCCCCACCCAACCGACGATATCGCCCGGCGCCACTCCTGCTGGTCCTGCAAAGCCATTTTCATTTAAATTGCCAGCGCCCCCTTTGCTCGCGCGAACTTTCGCGGCTTGTTTCTGCTTTGACTCCGCATTTTGTGGCCTTCTGGAAGGCCGTCCATTCCTTTTGAAAGATCTGAGATCTGTATCTGCATGACGTTTACCAACACTTCCAGCTATTATACTATTCGCTACGTTATCGAGTTACGAAAGAAACTGAACATTAGGGCGCTTGGAATTCCGGAGAGATGGCGAGAGCTAGGACGGCTGTCAAGTCTCGCACAACGCCAGATACGGATGCGATATCATTCCCCGTCTTGGCCTACACCGATGCACTACCACGAGACGACCTTCGCGATATCAAGAGGGCCCCCGCCCAAGTATCAGAACATGGAAAAGTAGCAAAATATGAGTTCCCTCGACCTAGGAATGCAGATGGACATGAGAGCAGAAAACCACCCCCGGGTGTAGCTATGGCGTCATCATTCGACTTTCGAGTAACAGCACCACCAGACGAGGTCTTTCCCTCGAGTGCAGGTGCCAATGGCAGTCCCGGAGGTATACCCAGGATAGGCGTTGCTCTCGGAAGTCCCAGCATGCTCGACTCTCGAGACAATCTACCGCCACCGCGATTCAATACGGAAATCTTTTCACAAGACCAAGTCGATCAGCCACCGTTGCCACGCAAATCGAGCAAGTGGAAGAAGATTGGCGGACTGTTCAAAGCCAAGAATGCGCTGGCAATGCCCATGGACGAGCCCAAGGTCCCCCCGAAACAACATGCCCCCAAGCACAAGGGTGAACAAGGCAACAAGCCAACACGACGAGGTTCAACCGAAGAATGGCCGAAGATCGAAGTCGATTCCACCGCTGCCCCAGCTGGACACAACACCAGTCCGCAGAGAAGTCGCAAATTTTCACTTTCCGGAAAGAAGTCTAACAAGCCTCAACCCCCGGAGAAAGGCGAGAAGAGCCGTCTGCTCGAGATTGATATTCCAGACGTACAAATGGAGCGCTATAGTGTCATGTTCAGCCAAGTAATGAACAAAAACCAGAGACCCTCTCTGCTGGCCAGGAGGAGCAAGACTCTGGACAATTTGCGCGTGCCAAATAATCAGGTACGCTAGCAATCTCCTATATCTACATTACGTTGGGTGCTACGTAAGAAATGAAATGGACATGATGATAACGATTGACATAGGACTTTCTCGCTGCAAAACTACCTCCGGTTCCTCAACGCCGTGCAACCTCGCCGGCACGATCTAGTTTTACTTTATTCCCGACATCACAGCCTTCGAAAGCCGCACAGGTTCTCGGCACGCAGAACTTCTCCCGTGGTCCGAGTCCGCTGCTGAGGTCGAATACTCTGCCCATTGAGAGTCCATCTAAGGCATCTATGGAGCAATCACGGCCGACGGCAAATGTTAATGCGGCTTCACCATTCGAATCACCGGTTGTTCCCAATGTGTTTGCCTCACATTGCAGTACGCCACGATCGTCCCTCGATAAACCACTCCCTTCCATCAAACCCGAGCTACAGGCATCACAATCGCGTCCACGGGCGGCATCAAAACTGGCGGTTGCTCAAACAGCGAAGGAAACCAAGGAAACTAAAGCAAAAGAGGAAGTAGAGCCTGCACCTCTGTTTTCCAAGCCACCAGTGCTCACTCCAACCGTGCAGGTTTCCGAGTCACCGCGAAGTTCTCCAAGCTCCCGAAAGGAAGCGAAACCATCTGTTCCACCGGTCAGCACTCGGCGACGATCGTCCAGCCTAGCGATTCCTCGAACGCGTGCGGAGCCTCAGGCGGATCAGAACCAGACAAAGCCAACCCCTGTACTGCAAAAGCGGCCGTCACAACTACCAATCTTGCAAGCTCCAAAGCCGGTTCATCAAGAGCGAAAGTCTTCTCTGCAGGCGCCTAGAGTGCATACCCGCCCACCTATCCAAGCGCCTGTTAAGCCGCAAGCTGCCCTGCAGCCTATCCAGCAGAAAGAACGAACGCATCCTCAAGACGTGAGCCAGAGACCACAACAGCCAGATGCCCGTCCTCCTCGACCGAATCTACGGATTCAAACCAAGCAACAAAGCCAGCCACGGCCCCCAGCCAAATCAGGATCATCATCCTCCACACTCCTTTCCAGCACACCACCAACCAGCACACTCCCTACCCCAAGCCTATCAAAGGACAACCTCCACCGAACACCATCACCCATCATCCGATCTCTAAGCCCGCAACCAGGCATCTCCCCCGGTGGATCCTCACCACGAATGCCATTCGTCTCCGAGCCCGAGGAAATCGAAATGGAACTCGACATGCCACAAGAACCCGCCGAACCAGTGAGCAAAATCCCCACCATCGAAGTCTCAATAGCACGCTCGATATCCGTGTCACGGGGCAAGCGACAAATGCTCGTTCCCATCGCTGCGCGCGTTGATCATCTCCATTCGAATGAGCGGTTTATTGAGCGGAGGCCGATGACGCCGCGGATTACGGATGTTAGTTATGGGCATAAACATGCTGTGTCGCAGGAGTTGCAGATCGAGTCTCTTTGAGACGAAACTGGATTGGGTCACTGGGCTTTTTTATTTATTTTTATCTCTTTATTTGATTCCCCATTTTGTTCTTTTGGTCCCGATTACTGGTTACTCGAGCGCATTCCTTCCTTTGCATTTGGGCTGGGGTATGTGATTGTATGCAACTTTCCTTTTATGTGTATCTAATCCATGCTCTCAACGAAGAATTATTTTAGCTATTCTGCTGCGACCGCGTATCCAACTATCTTTAGTTTCCTAACTGGGTTCCAAGGTCTGCAATCTCTGCAATGTGTAGTTAGTTATGACGTGGTTCGACTACCTTCGGAGGCTGCACCGGAAAGAAGTGGAGACGTCTCGGTAGCTACCGAGTCTCTCACAACCTTTCCACCCAGCACCAACAAGTTAAATCCGGAGGAACTCGTTTTGTTTGCTAAAATGCGGAGATCGGTGGAGACCGAGCAAACGGAAGGATCCGAAGTAACCATGATGAAGTAAAATAGGAAAGAACCATCTAAACTCCAACGTCCCCTTCTTTTCAACCTTCCGAGTCTACTCTCTTGGTACCTTCACCTTATTCACAGAAACCCATCACCATGACGGCAGGCATCTCCATCGCCGAATACCTCTTCCGCCGTCTGCGCGAGGCAGGACTCAACGCCGTGCACGGTGTACCAGGCGACTACAACCTCCGACTCCTCGACTACGTGATCCCCTCCGGACTCGAATGGGTCGGGAACTGCAACGAACTAAACGCCGGCTACGCGACAGATGGCTACGCGCGCATCAAAGGAATCGGAGCAATTGTTACGACCTTCGGCGTCGGCGAGTTGTCAGCGATCAATGCGATCGCTGGTGCTTACGCAGAGATGGCACCCGTTGTGCATATCGTTGGAACCCCGAATCGAAGTGACCAGCAGAATGGTGTGAAGCTTCATCATTCGTTTTGTCGTGGACAGCCCGGGGACTATAGGATTTTTGCGGAGATGTATGAGAAGGTTACCGTTGCGCAGGAGAATATTACGGATGTTGGGACTGCTGCGGCGCAGATTGATCGTGTTATTCGTGAGTGTTTGGTTCAGTCGCGGCCTGTATATGTTCAGGTTCCTATGGATATGGTGGATGCTATTATCCCGGGAACGCCTCTTGCGCGGGTTTTGGATCTTTCTCCGGCTCTTGGTGATACTACGCTCGAACGAGAAGTTTGCGATATCATTCTTGATCGCATGAAGACTTCCTCGAAGCGGTTCATATTGGTGGACGTGGGGACTTCTCGTTATGGGCTTTCTGCTCAGACTGATCAATTGATCAAAGCCACTGGGTTCCCAACTGCTACGACACCGTTTGGAAAGGGAATTGTCGATGAGACGTTGCCCAATTTCCATGGAATTCATGGAACTGTTGGACCTCATATATTCACTTCTTATGTCGACTCTTGCGATCTCATCATGAACATCGGACCGGCTCACAGCAATGTCAATACATACTATTTCGCCACTGTGCCCAAACCAGAAGTGACCATCACGATCGAGAGGGATACTATTCACATGGGCGACCGCACGTGGAGCGTATCTCCACAACGAATCCTCCGAAGAGTTCTCGAAACCCTAGAGGAGGACCCACTCCCCAAAGCCGTCTCATATCCCGATCTACCCAATCTGCATCAGATCCTCCAATCCCTTCCTCCCGTCAATCCAACCTCCAAACTGACACAAGACACATTCTGGTACCGCATGTCATCCTTCTTCCGCGAAGGCGACATAATCCTCACCGAAACGGGAACCGCTAGCAACGGAAGCCGGGATTTCGTTCTGCCCAAAAACACAACCCTCATCAACTCGGGTATCTGGCTCTCCATCGGATACATGCTTGCCGCAACACAAGGAGCGGCTCTCGCCCAACGACACCTCTCTCAATCCGATAACCCTCTCTCAAAGGGTCGAACGATTCTCTTCGAGGGCGATGGCAGTTTCCAAATGACAGCCCAAGAACTGAGCACCATCATCCGGCAAAAATTGGATGTCATCATCTTCATTATCAATAACAATGGATACACGATCGAGCGACTTATCCACGGTCCGCAAGAATCGTATAATGATGTCGCTTCGTGGCGATTCCTTGAAGCACCGTCTTTCTTTGGGGCGGAGATGGCGGATCCTTCTTATCCTGTTTATACGGCGAGGGCGACGACGTGGGGGGAGCTTGGTGGTGTTTTGGCGAGGGATGAGATGCGTGGTGGGAAGGGGTTGAGGATGGTCGAGTTGATGATGGATGTGATGGATTCTAATGATACGCTCAGGTTGATGCTTGAGTTGTGGAAGAGTAAGAAGGCTGAATAGTTGGATTTCGTGCTCGGAAAGTAATTCAAATGGATCCATGGCACGGCTCACGAAATATATCTTTAGCATTTTTATCATGGGAATCCCGGGGTTAGACCAGCATCAAGAATTAATGAAACTTCCCCTAAATATCTTGACCGTATCATCACCTCAAAATTTGGTAGAAATAGATGAACGTACAGATGAAGTAGTCAAAACCATCCATGGTATATGACCTCGGAGAAAGATCGGCCCGCGCTACCGAGAGACTCTCGGCAACCACCGAAATATCAAGACACATCCATCCATCTCCATCTCCACATCTGGACATATCAATTCCATTCCATTCCATGGATTGGCAATGTCACAAAGCATATCAACGCCACAGCTCTCTAGATCATCTAGGCGCACGCATTCCAGGTTACCATCAGCGTAAGTCCAACTCTTCGCTTGCTGGGGCCGGACCTAAACTTACCGACGGGATTCAGCTGCACGACTTGCAAATCGAAGAAAGTCAAATGTTCAGAGGGTTATCCGTGTGAATATTGTTCTCGCAGGGGTCTGCAATGCAGGTATCCGGAGTCCAATGCTGGGAGGTTATACTCGACAGGGTAAGGTCTGGTTGACGGGAATGTGGGACCTGGAATGACGTTTTGTTTAGGAAGATTCGTGAATTAGAGGCTCGGTTGGCCTTGTATGAGTCTTCTGGCTCGCATGAAGGTAATTATAAATGCAAATTAGTCCTTGACCGACCAACTGCCTTACTAACATTCGAGATTAGAGACGGGAAGATCCGACATAGACTCGCCATCCACGAGAACTGTGTCGTCCCCACACGTCACTGGAATCGCACCGCCAGATTCGGAACATCCTGTCCAGCGTATGTAGCCATATATGATTTACCCATAGCCCTTATTATCCTGTCTGATATCTGCTAGGTATCACTACCGAGCGCGACATTGGCTCAAGCCAAGATTTTGGAAACAGAGTCCAAACCTTGTTCGAGCAACGTTCAGTACAATCGCCCGCCTTTATTCCACCGCCTTGCAAATCAACAAGAGAAAGCCTTTTCCCCTCAGAGAGACCAGCCCTCAAGCTGAAACAAACCCTGGGTGCTTCCTACCCTATCCCCAATCTTCCTGCCGAGGAAGAGGCCTATCGACTTCTCGATCATGTTTTATTTTATTTCGGCGAGACGCAACATCTCTTCGATGCCCGCGATGCATCTGATCAATTAGCTATTATCTACGAGGATCCACAAGAAAGCCTTCGAAATCCTAGTATTGGATTTCTCCAGGCTCTACTGATAGTCGCTCTCGGAAGGCTCCTCCGCGGTGACTCGGAAGGGTCGAACTCTCCCCCTGGCTTTACATTGTTCAACTACGCACTGGATCTCCTGCCATGTCCTTCAGAGCTACGAGCCCATGGTGTAGCGGGCATTGAGGTTCTCGCCATTGTCACGGTCTATCTCCAAAACATCGACCGAAGAGATGATGCTGCTTCTTATGTGAGATTTTTGTCAGAATGCTCCGCTACCCTAACAACTAACCTATTATTATTAGATCGGACTAGCAATTCGCCTAGCTATGTTGCATCGGTTACACCGGAAACAGACACTGCAGAAACTACGTCGATCAGAGGCAACCCATGCTAGTCGACTGTGGTGGACTGTCCACATGCAAGACAAGCGCTCCATGATTTTAAATGGCTGTCCTCTCGCACTTGACGATAAATTTGTGGATACGTATTTGCCAGCAGAGGCACCTGGTTTCCCAAACCCGTTTGCACTACAGATTAACCTCGAGGTAGCCCAGATACAAACGAGAATATACTCGGGTAAGTATTGGTAACAAACATTGATCTAAACCATACTAATTATACTCAAGTCATCTACAGCCAGGAATCATGTCCGAAGGATGAGTTTGTTGCAGGAGTTCAAGATATTATTTCAACTCTGAATCAACTCGCAAATCAGATTTCTCAGGGTTCTGGCTTTTCGGGCGCCTTGGTCAACCAACAGTCATCAAAGAAAGACCTAAGACTGAGTATATCTCTATATACTATCCTCTATCAGGTATGGGACAAACCAGGCATTGTAAAATGGAGGGATCGCTTGTTGCTAACCACGAGAAGTCAATAATCCTTACTCTGCGACCGATCGTTCTACACTTGACAAAAGCGATTCTCAGCGGTGAAACCACATTCTCAAGTAGCGGCAATGCTTTCCAACAGTTGACCTGCACCTGCATAGAGGCAGCCCGTCGCTCCCTAGAACTGATGGTACTTGCTCAAAAAGAGGACATGATAGGTTAGAACTTTTGAAGACAGTTACATCGAGTTTCCAAGTACTGACAAGAATAGCAAAATTCGGCTTCTTCGACCTCGACGCTATCTTCTCTGCAGGATTTATCATGCTCCTTGCTGCAATAATCGAATCAACAAATAATACCCGTGGCCACCACCTGTCATTCCTAAAACCAACCCCTGGCATACTGGAATCATTACAGCTTCTGGACTTCCTGGCTGGATATCACAATCAAGCAGCCAAAGCTCGCCGTGACCAAATTCAACGACTCTATGACCACATCCCAGCATTAGTCGAATCCTTACAAATAGAAACTGGAAATGGCGGTACCGGACAATCACCGTTTGGTTCTTCGAGCAGCCCGGCTGTGCAAACACCCCATGCGACTGGGGGCAATGCTTCGAATCGACATCCCCCCTCATACATGAATACATGGGATCCCGAGAACGGCAGAGATATGGTGGATGGGTATACGGCATCTTTACCAATGCCATTTCCATCTGATGCCCAGACCATGTACTCTTTATACCAAGGGGATGACTTTGTTTTGACGGGTGCAGATGTGGCTGATTTCGAGGAGCTCCAACGGCATTTGCTAGGATCTGATATTACTTTTTGAGGAAATTACGGGGAAAGAGATATGTTTTGACTAGTCTTTTAAGGGAAGTTATCCAAGTGCGCGGAATGCCGAGCAGGCTTGGGATAGGCAGTATGGGATAAACGTGGTTGGTGAAACGATAAAATTGAAGCCTTATTCTGCTTGATTCTTATCACTGCTCGCACTAATTAGCTGAGAAGGCTGGGGTTTTAACTCAGCGACCGTTTTGTCTCAGCAATATTTTGTATCTTCATGTCTTTCAAGTATTCTCAAGGTATGCTTAACCGCCGGCCACCGAAGTGCCTGTTCTGCTGAGATCGCGTAATCGCGCGGCTAAATTGCGATGACTCACTAACGAGTCAAACCAACAAGCATAGGGGGAAATATTTACAAGGATGAAATACTTATAGAATTCCCATTCAATCAAAGCGACTAGTGAGATTTACCCAGTTACGAGGGCGACGATGGCATCTGCATTCTCAACAGCCCAGCTCAGCAAGTACCTCAAGTACTTGGCACTCCCCCCTGAATATGACCAATTCATCGTCAACCCACAATCATTCCCCAAAACAGAGGAAGCTCTAACAACTCTATTCCGGGGTCAAATCACACGCTTCCCATACGACAATCTATCAGTGCATTACTCAAACGGCGATGTCATCGACATTCGCCCGGAAAGCATCTACCCTAAATTCATGGGCTCCGCAGACTCCCCGCCGTCGAGACGGGGAGGATACTGTCTAGAATGTAGTATCTTCTTCTACCACGTTCTGCTAGGTTTGGGATTCTCGACCTACACAACTGGTGTCCGCAATCGAGCGCGAATTGATGGCGTTCCTCAAGGGGAATACAGAGGATGGTATGATACCCACAAGACCATACTACGAAAAGTGTATTAATATCGGTGTAGGACACATATCGTGAATATTGTCCAACTTCCAACTGGACAGCAATACCATGTCGACGCTGCATTTGGCGGCGATGGACCAACGCGACCGCTGAGACTAGTTTCGGGGCAGCCAATGCATAACCTAGGGACACAAGAGGTGCAACTGGTATATGGCAATATCCCGAAACAAATACGTCCAGAGCAGAAGCTCTGGATCTATCAGTATCGCAATGGGCCGACCAAGGAATGGAACTCATTTTACTCGTTCGCGGAGTTTGAGTTTTACCAAGATGACTTTGAAGTTATGAATCGGTATACAAGCTGGGAAGCGCGGGATAGAGGCAATTTCTGGATTGTCAAGTTTCTCCGCGGTGGAGAGACGGATGGTCTACCCCTGCTAGATGGTGAAGGTGTTTTTGAAGAGACAGAGGCCATTCCTATTGTTGGAAAGCTTATGTATGTTAATGGAGTGGTGAAGCTGAATATGGGAGGAAAGACACGGGTGATTGATTCATACGAGAGCGACGAGGAAAAGTTTGCAGGTCTGAAGAAATGGTTTGGGATGACCTTTGAATAGATAGTTGGTGGATTTGATTTGCAAAATGATTGAGCTTCGGGGTATGGTCTAGGGGTGGATAGAGGTTTAGATCGGAACGAGACTACTAGATAGAATACGATGAACGACAATTTGAACCATGAGTTTACCACTTAAATGTGCACATTCTGATAAGATATGGCGGGGAGAGGAAGAAATGAAGACTGTGTGAACTAGAGCTATGTTGATGAGACTCGTTCGGCGGCAGTCTGCAGCTGTAACCTTGAATCGCACACTCGTCCTATTTGCGAAAGAAACTCAAATATCTCCGGCAAAATTGATCCCCAACCCGACGGTCTGGATTCTGCAGAGCCTTCGAATAGGAATGGTATTTAGCACGGCGCATCTTCCCATTCGATCCGGGGGTTGAGTAAGTAACATAGTGCTTGTCTATTTGACCATCGGGGACCATAACGCTTGCCGGTTCGTGGCTTCCAGCGCGGCTTCGAAGACTGCCAGTTCTGGCACCCCGTTGGGAGGAAGATCCGCGGGATTCTATCGGGATGCCTCGAGCTGATCCTTCATGCTTATCCATCCAGGATGCGACCATGGCGATGTTTTGGGCTCGGCTACGTCTGATATGGCGTTGTTCATGGTTGGGAGGTAGTCCCTCGAGAGACCACTGGCGTTCGTCATGTTAGTGTATGAATGGTTTGAAGGAGGATGGCTGATTGTGATCAACTCTCACACTTACATAGGAATCAATTGTGGGAAGAGATGCAACACTGGGTTGTCTCTGGGGTCGACTGGGAGGATACGACAAGACACTGCGAGCCTGAGGTCTCGGTTGCGGAACGAAGTCTCTCGGTCTGTAGGATCTTGCATACAGACTTTGAGTTCTGCGATATTGGGGTTGAGGGACAGCGGCTGGGCGTCTGGATTGGCTCTGCCTGACTGGACTCTGTTGACGGGGTTGAGGTTGTACCCGAGGGCTCGACGGGGTGCGGTAACGGGACTGGTCTTGACGGGGTTGATAGGAAGGACCGGAGCTTCCACGACGGATTGGAGCTCGCTGTGGTGTCGAAGAGGATCGAGGACGTTGAGGCTGCTGGTCCTTGTTTCGATCACGTCGGTTGATCTCCAGCTTGACGGCTAAACGTAGGAATTTCATGGTGATGGGAGATGGAAATGGTCCAAGGAGATCGATATCTCAAACCGGTTGAATGGATCTCACAGTAGTCTCGGTGAATTTCGCACGAATGCGAGAGCTAGATCAAGCTGAGTGATGAAAGGCATTCAGAAAGCAGAGTGCGCGAGCTTAAAAATCACATCACAGTGAGACCAGAAAAAGATAGAGTGCTCTGAATAGAAAGAGCGAGAAGGAAAGTTGCCTGTGGCAGGCGGAAGCCTGGTTGAGAGAGAAGCAGAAAGCAAAGTGGATTCAGACGTTTGATATCATCCACTTTCTTCGCGAAGATTCCTGCTCTCCGGTGCATTTTCCACTCTCCTTCAAGGTTCACCTTAAATCATCGAACTACAACTCCCTTTCAACTCCATCTTCACCTTTGATTCCCTGTGCCGTCAACGAGCGCCATACAACTGTTGCAACCTCAGATGAGTTACGAAATGGTTTACAGCTGTGATTCGGACAAGATCGAGATCTGTCAAGATGGCAGGCTGGAGCTGGAATATACCTCTGAGGACAGCCTGGAAGAGATGGAAGAGCGTTTACTATCGATCCTGCTCGACATGCTTGCTGGTGATCCCTACGTGCGACCATCTGCTGCCGCGAGACGGATCAACACGCTTTTCCTGCAATGCTGAGCCAACAAGGCAGGTGGGGATAGTGATTTCACTTACGAGATGCCCGAGGTCTTCTTGAAGCAGTTGTGGGACATGGTCATCGCCTTGGTCGAGCAAATCCCTCATACCCATGAAGCTCAGTGTACCATGATGAAGCTGATTCTGGAGCTGCAAAAGATACCGGAGGAGGAGGAGGCTCGTATTGCCAGCGTGAGTTCTCAACCATGGAAAGAGGAATATATCATTTGACCTGCTGACCCAGGCCTGACAGGGGAAATTGATCTTACCGTGGAAACAACTATGCGGTCTGAATTCATGCATGGAGGAACACTTCAGATGTAAGTGCATATCTTCCGAGAAATGCACTAAGAACTGACAAGTTTGACGCATCACACAGACAATGGAATATTCGGCCGTTTCGTCGACGCCCAGAAAGTCAAGAGCTGGATAAACCTCCACGCTTTCACTGCCGCTCTTTTCGGTCGAGGATTAATGAACTGGAGATACGTAGGGATTCTGATATTCCACGACACCTTAGAGCAAAACAGCACTGGGCAAAGCCAAGAAGCCAACATCCAGGCTATGGCTCAGTGAGTCCGTCACGATGGAGAAGCCATGTTTCTCACATTGCAGCTCTGGATCAAGCGGGCGTTTAAACTTGCACAAGAAGCCCCGGAGGATCTTCGACCTCTGGTTCTTAGTTCTGCACACAGGATGGTAGATATTTCAGTTCTGGGGGCCGCAAGTCTAATGTAGAAGCAGGATGTGGGCTTCCAGTGATATCTATCAATGCCAAACGCAATTGTTTCAACTTCAGATTCCTAACTTTCTCTTAAACACATAGCCCGTGGTCCTCATATCGTCGTGCTTCCTCACAAAAGCCAGTCCTTAATGACTCTGGCAATGGACCCATCAGAATTGACAACAGACAAAGTCATTACCACCCGGGCAAACGGGATCTGAATATAATAAGTTAGTTTAATTTGCACCAACCAAGCCTGTTGAAAGTGTCTTACTTACCAGACAGAACATTCCCGCATATACCAGGGTCATTCCAGCGACATCCAGTATTACCACCCTCGTTTGGACAAGGATTGATCACACAAGCCATGACATTGCCAGGATCATTAGGACATGGGTAGTTTCCCGGGCTACCGGTATAGGGCTGACCACCGTACTGGCTGGAGCAGACATTCTGGTCGAGACAGATACAATCCGCACCCCAATTGTTCGAGCAACGACCTCCCACAGCAGCCAGTGCGGTTGGGGCCAGAGCAACGAGGAGGGAGAAGACCTTCATCTTAGCCAAGAGTTAGAGAAAAGAGTTTAATTGCTGAGTGTGTTTGCGTACAAGGTTGATAAAGGTAGAAAGAATTAAGTTGGGAAAAACACGCCTCCCTCCTTAGCTCAAATATAGCTGAAAGCCTCCGATCTAAAAGTCGATCATCTCCGCAAAAGGGATCTGCAAGGTTTCAGGTCCTCGTATTCAAAGGTGATACAAAAACGAGGGACTGCTTAAGTTCAGACTCGTTTGCTACCTAAAATAACAAAGCTGAACTTAAGGTACAGGGGCTGCAATGCAACCTGGCAAACTACAAGCATTAATAGATTAGGCTCCGACGAGTTTAGAGTTCTATAGTGGTTTTGATATTGCATATCTCGAGCATCGTATAGAGGCCGCATGTCAGGTGACCTCGTGTTGTTAGTCCAGACGACATTCCCCCTCATAGGATTCCACGGTCAGCATTTCTCTCCGTATTCATCCTGGACAGAAACAACTAATTGGATGCATGATTGCTGGTAGTTGCAATCCGCGCTGTCCAATGAGTCGCCGCAAAGTCACCGTCGACGGCATGTCAGCCTGTGGGAAAACACGCCTGATCACAGTGCTGGCTGAATATGCAACAGCCCACTATCACGGCAAAGTCAAACCTCGGGAAGAATTCGTTGGCTGCCCGAGCCCTATCACGTCGATCGACATTCAAACGCCCGAGTCGAGATCGATCGACTTGTGGGAAGTTTCGTATTCCTCTTTTGAAAGGCTCACTGTACTCGCGTATCCGAAGACAAACCTTGTTCTATTTTGTTTCGCCCTTGATTACTTGGATGATGCCGGTGTGGTATACGATGTCCAGGATAAAGTGGATTATTTGATATCGAAAAAATCCCATAAGCCAAGAGATGCGCCGCTCATTCTAGTCGGGTGTCGAAATGACCTGCGAAAACAGCAGGAAGCCGCGAAGAATACGAGGGTCTTTACGCAGGCCTCTCAAGAGCTTAGGCGGTATGCAAAGAAGAATCATGTGGAGTACTTTGAATGTTCTGCGGAAAGTCAAGAGAATATTGCGGAGCTTCTTCGGGGAGTTATCAGGATTCTTTTCCTCGAAAGAAAGGACTCGGCTGGAAAGGACTGGAAGACTAGATCTTCCAAATGCATCGTGCTATAAGTCAAAGCTAACAGGGAACACGAACCAACGCCTACGTTGTGAACTATCTTGTTATATGTAATGTGTGATAAATTCCAGATATATGCCGGTGTATATTCCTCAATCTAATCTTTGATTGAAATGTACAAGATCATTCTTTGAGGCTGACGCTAGACGACGGCTCCACCGACTGTGTCGATGTACTCGACGTCACTTCGACCTCCACATTAGGCAAAGTCCACTGCATGCCGGGATAAGAGTCACTAATGACCTTGACATTGACCCAAGTAACACCACAACGGGCCAGGGACATGGATTCAGCAACGGCGGCACTCGGGAACTTGACGAGCGAGCGCACACTGAGCGGGGCGTTGTCTCCACGGCCCTTGCCATGGGAACCTCCACCTCGACTAGAACCAGCGCCAGCACCACCGCGAGGTTTGTTTCCGCCGTTTTGCCTAGAGAATGAGGGCCACGAAACCCTCTTTAGGCCAAGCAGCTCGCCATCCGACCCATCGGGACGAGCACTGCAAACAACGAGGAAGTAGCCCTCGGTTTGCGGCTTTGGGAACTTGGGGGCGTAGATGCGGTGCTCCGCGTTCGTCGATGGATTGCGACGCGTGATGGACGCACTCAACCCCTTGGCAGAAATGCCAGTAACAGCGATAGAGACATTCGGCAGATGGGAAGCCGCTTTGGTGAATCCCGGGTGGAGATTGAACTTCTTAACCAAATCAAAGAAGGCAGACCTGGGCTGAGAGGACAGTTTGGCAAGTGAAGATGGAAGGCCGCGCGGCGGTTTTTCAACGGGGATACCGGGCAGAATAGACAAGGGATGATCCTCGGGCCAGCGGGCAGACTTGATGCACTGCAAAAGAGTGACAAACATTTCGCACGCAGGAATATATCCAAGCTCAGCCATGACGTCGATGGAGGCCTGGATGATACGAATTCCCTGATCCAGAACTGACGTCTGATCACCAACATAATCGGAGATGGGCAGATCGATTCGAGACATGTACGCCTGGAGCAAGAGGAAGGCCTTGACGTGGGGATCCCACATTGGGATATCACCCATCGACTCGGTGGATAGAGGCAGGTTCTGAGCCAACTCGGCGTTGATGAGATCTTCATTGTGACGCACGGGCAGCTCATCAAATTCAGTGGCAGAGCACATCCAGCTCAGGACATCTTGAAAGGTAGGTTCACGCTTTGCGTGAGACATCAAGTAGCGGATAGTCTTGTGCGAAAGGTAGTAGTAACTCATAATCTTGCCGAAGGGGGTGGAGTCAACTTCGCCAGTGGCGGAATCCACGAGCACGCAAGACGACTCTGCCAAGTCGTTGAGCGACTTATCAACCAGGTCAATCATGAACTCTTGGGCGGTAGCTTGAGCAGCCATCGTGTTCTGCTCTTCGGCGAGAATCTCAAGGCCATAGTAGGATGGGTTCTTGTGAAGGCGGCGGAAGAAGAATGTCCAAGTCAAGTAGTCAAGCGCATCTTGCTTCGTGCCAATCGTTCCGGCAGAAACCTCAGCGCCCAAGTGGTTGTCCAAGACCTTGTGAAGTGTAGACTCGACGGGGAAACCGGTATGCAAGAAATGTTTGTAGAAAGCCTTCTTCGAGTCTTGCGTAAAAATGCGGGCAATACCGGAGTTGTCGAATTGTGGACGACCGGCACGACCAAGCATTTGAAGAACATCGGTCAAGTCCATATCACGATAACCCTCGATTTTGGCATCGAAGAACTGAGTGCCCTTGACGACAACCAGGTGAGCGGGAAGATTGACACCCCAGGCGAGAGTACTGGTTGCGACCAGAATCTGGATCTTGTTGTTGGCGAACAGCTCCTCTGCCAGCTGTCGATCAGACTCCACCAAACCAGCATGGTGCAAGCCAATACCAAAGTTTAGAGCCTCTCGCAGGGCGTCATCCTTGACTCGCGCAAGGTTTAACTCCAAATCATCCTCCGACATACGGACAAAGCGGCGAGGATTGTCCTCCATACCGCAGTAGTTGATCAAGTCCTTGGCAGTAAGACGGGTCTGTCGACGGGATGCAACGAACACGATTACGGGTTTCTCGGGAGAGTGGTTCTTGATGGCCAAGAAGGTTGGACGATTCATAGATTGCATCAGAGGACAGAAGCCACGCTGTTCAGGGAAGCCATCGATGTAAATCTCAAGGGGGACCGGGCGAACGGAGTGCCGGAAATTGTAGAGACCCTCCTTGACACCAAGCCAATTGGCAAGATCAGTGGCATTGGCACAGGCAGTTGACATACCCATAAGTCTCACAGAGCCCTTGGACTGGGAAGCAATGTAGTTCATACGAGACACGATGATTTCCAGAATGGGGCCCCGATCACCTCCCAGAAGATGAATCTCGTCGATGATCACAAGACTGACCTTGCGCACGTAATCTCTGGTCTGCCAGCTACGGGAGATACCGTCCCACTTTTCAGGGGTCGTGATGATGATGTCGGCATCTCGAATGGTGCGCGTGTCCGGGGTATTGTCACCAGTCAACTCCACAAGCTTCAGACCCATTGGGCCAGTAAGGCGTTTGCGCCAGTCTTGGACACGCTCACGAACCAGGGCCTTCATTGGGGCAATGTACACAACCTTGGATCCGGGCTTCTCACGGAACGCCCACCACATTGCCAGCTCAGCAGCCACTGTCTTTCCACTACCAGTGGGTGATCCGAGGAGAACGTTGGATGGAGTGTGATATAGCAGGTGGAAGATCTGGGTCTGCATAGGATTGAAGAATTGGAAGCGCTGGCCATACACTTCTTCCAGGATTGGGTTCTGGAGAGCAGAGATGGGAAGTGGCTGCAGGTTCAACAGGTCGGTGTATACGCTTTCTGTGTCGGGGCGAATCAAATGTTGGAAAGACACTGGACTGACAGTCTCGGCACCAAGCCAACGATCGGAAATAATGCGAATATAGATCTGGCTCGGCAAAGGATCAGACAGTGGAATAGTGAAATTGAGCTCGTGGTCGTCGTAAAGCTTCTTGCGGCTGAGAATGAAATATTCATGGTGGTAAATCTCTGAAGTCTCAGAGTTCTCAACCCAGACCCAGAATGACTCAGAAGCTCCATGGTGGCGGTCATTCCAGCTGAACTCGGGGTAGATAGAAAGACGAATGCGAAGGACATCACGGTTCAGAGGCGCAATCTCCGTCTCAACACTGAGAGTAGGGAAATTATCCAACAGCTTGGTCAGCACCTTGCCCATCTTGTGGTTGTGAACAAGCTGCCCGATCTCAGTAGGTTCCATCTCCCGCATCGACTCGATTGAGGATGTGGGTAGCCGCTCATCTAGGTTTCTGAGAACGGGCTGTGGCAAGTCGAATTGGTGGAAGGGATGATCGAAGGGCCAGATCTGCTTCTCAATTGATTTGCACAAAGACAGCAGGACCTGACACTGGTAACCCCAGCGGCGGTTCAGGGCAATCATGAAGAGCGCCCGGCAGATACGAGCCGCATTCTGTGCTACGTATCCGGTGTCGGAGACTAGAGCAAAGTCCTCGATCCTGGCCCGAGAAATGTACGATTGCAGTAGGATGTTTGTCTTCGCATGAGGGGAATCGTTTCCTCCCTCGACTTCAGTCTGGATGACTTCATCGCGTAGCCGTTGCAGTTCTTTTGATTCACTTTCGCGGGCTTGGATGTTATCGAATTCACCACTCAAACTGATCATTCTGAGAACGTCCGCTTCGCCCGACCGAGGACGCATTTGATCATTGAAAATCTCAATACTCGTTTGCAAGACGTAGTACTGACTAGCAATGCGACCGACATCTTTGGCTTTGAGGTCCTCGGTTTTCTCGTTAAAGATGATCATCTGGCTCTTGGAAAGTGTCTGCGCAGCTTGAATAATCAATTGTCGGCGTCTTTGTACCAGCATCGGGTCATCCCGAAGCTCTGCATATTCGATACCATAGTTTCGGGGCTCGCGTTTCATGCGAACAAACAGGTATGAATAACCTAGCCACTGTACAGCTTCAGAAACAGAAGTCACAGTTCCCAAGGCAATCTCAGCATTCAAGTTATCAACGAGGCGGGCCGAGAACCTCGACTCAATCGGTTGTTGTGCAGTCACGGCAGACAGATAATGTTGCAGCTTATCATGGGTGGTGCAAATGAAGCCAATACCGGTATCCTGGAACTGTGGACGACCAGCACGACCAAAGATCTGCAACACGTCGAGGATACTGAGATCGACAAATTTACCCTCCTGTGGGTTGTAGAGCTGAGTTCCCTTGATGACTACAGCTGCAGCGGGCAAGTTGACACCCCATGCGAGAGTAGCCGTACAGCAGAGAACCTTGATCAAGCCCTCCGAGAACATGCGTTCCATGAGGTTACGGTCGCTCCGACTCATACCGGCGTGATGGGTTCCAAAGCCACTGGCAAAAATGTCACGAAGCTCGCGGGCACGGGCGTGTTTCATATCCCGCAGAGCGTTTGAGTAATCTTCATGGTCGTGACAGCTAAACAGGTCCTCACAGCCGTCCTCCGCGGCCATTTGCTTCAACATCCGAGCAGTCATGACCGTGTCCTTGCGCGAATGCACAAAGACCATGACTTGATGTCCCCTCTCCACCATGTCACGAACCTTTTCAAAAGCAACGGTGTCAAGGTTCTCTCGGGATTGTTTGGACCCAGGCTTGCCTTTGACTCCGATGAAGTGTTGCTCCAGGGGCACTGGTCGGAAGGATTGATCGAAGAAAAACAAGCCGGCCATTTTGTTGACTTTCAAGAAATCTGCCACATCCACGTAGTTTGGAAGAGTGGCTGAAAGACCAACGATACGAATCAACGACTGGGTACTCTCCACCTGGCGTTGAGTTCGGGCGACCAGTGATTCAATGACGGCGCCACGCTCGTCGTGGAGCATGTGGACTTCGTCAATGATGAGCAACCGCACCTTCTGCACGAGCTCGGTATCTCCAGTACTCTTGCGAGTTACAACATCCCATTTCTCAGGGGTGGTGACAATGATCTGGGTCTCCACAATTTCCCGCTTGGTCAACTGCATATCACCAGTGAGTTCACGCACTTTAATTCCAAGCCAAGCAAGACGCTTTCCCAGCTTCTCAGTGACTTCAGCAGCCAGGGCCTTCATGGGAGCAACATAAACGATCTTGAAATCATCCACTTCAACGGTGAATTCAGTCGCATCCGGCTGCTCTAGTGGATTAGGAATAGTGTTTTTCCCAACTGCATTGAGAATAGTGAGCATAGCTGCGTCCGTTTTACCAGCACCGGTAGGCGCGCAGATGAGCATGTTCTCGTTGGTCTTGTAGGCAACTTCATACAGCAAGCTCTGCATGCGGTTCAGAGCCTCGTAGCCTTTGAAAGTTCCTCGACACAGACCGTCTAGCCCCGCAATTTCCACCAGCTTCTGGTTTGGTCGCACTGCACCGACGCTGGAGGCAGGGATTTCAAATTCGGTATATTTAGGCTCCTCGATTTCTCGACTTCCAACCGGTAGACCGTATTTTCTCCCGTTGGCGGATAGGAGATTGCCAGAGCTATGAAGCTTGAAGACATGCGGGTAATGAGGCTCAGAACGAGTTTGAGCCGCCATCAAATGTGCATTCTTATGCTGGAAGTCACGCTCCCGTAGAGCCTGCTCCCTTTCCGCTCGAGTTTGCAGTCTTCCAGAAGCAAGGCCATCCGTCTGTGCCTCCACTCGTTGTGGCTTGTCTGACAATATCTCCTCCCGATGAGCGATGAGCTCAATGACCAGGTCCAAGTCATCGAACCCAACAATTTCGGCGAGGGACATTTGCAGCTCCGCATCGTCGCTATCGGTGGCCAGTGTCGCAATAATCTGCTGGGAAAGCTCCGTTGCATCCATGGTAGGGTTCCGCGTCGCAACATCGAGACATTTAATTTCCAACCAGATCCGATCGTAGGCCGTGCTTTGAGGGAGGGAAACATCGTTCGATTCGTGAAATTCGTCTAGACCGCTATCTGTCTCGTCGTCGGAGCTAATAATGTCCCACACATCATCCACCGTTCCGGGGGAAGAGTATTCGTCGTCGATATCCAGTTCCATGTCGCTTCCATAGCTAATCGAATCGTGGGGTAGGTCTTGCGGGAGCTTCAGGTCGGCGATGGCCTGACGCATTGCAGCCAGCTGAGACAGCCATTGCGACTCGGTTGCTGCTATACTATCCATGATTGTGAGTAATGCAGCGCTCGTTCAAATTTGAGTGAAACATGAAAGAAGAAAACAGTGCAGAAAGATGGCGGGGGTGTAAGTCATCAGAGTCAACGGGGTCCCAAGAAGGAAATAGGGCTCCGCTGCAGGGCTCGACCGGTCGGCTGGGCGGTGTGGACTCTGCTGCCTCAGGCTGCCCATTGCGGAGACCCTGTGCCATCATCGCGGCTATCAGGAGTTGGCCTCCCCAGCTCAACCCCGATTCCCGACCTCCTTTAGCACAACCACGACCAGCTGACGCTTTGAGCGATAATCCTTCCGCCTAGTGCTCTGACGCAAGAGGGGTTTCCACACTAGACATCTAAACTGCCCACGCCTCTCGCGCTCAACATCCACCGTTCTTTGTGCGAGCCTCTCGACTTTCCCCGCCACCATGAAGGTTCTCTATATGGGCGTATGTGTCTTCGTCGAAATGACCTCCAAATTGGCTCCTTGGAAAGCATGGGCTTATATTTTGCTTTTGTGATAGGTTCTCCGGAACGATACTCAACCTGCGCTTCAGCTATGCGGAGAGAAGGACCTGACCAGGTAGGTGTTTATCTCGGTCGCCTACTCCTAGTGATCGTACGAACTAACTCCTCATAGCTTCTCCCGATTCACCCGCCAAAAGTATGCCTATCCACACTCAAAGCCCATTCTTCCACGTTGTTAACCACCGCGATACCACAGCTATGAGGAGTTCATGATGCTTTTCACCAAGACCGTCGCCGAGCGCACGAAGCCCGGGCAGCGCCAGGACATTGAGGAGAAATCGTACACATTCCACGCATACGGCCGGACCGAGGGCGTCGCTGGTGTCATCGTCACCGATGGCGAGTATCCCGCCCTCGTCGCGCACCAGCTTCTGTCTAAGATCGTCGACGAGTTCCTCGCCAAGCACCCTCGCACATCTTTCTCCGACCCCTCCCTCCGTGAGAACGCATGCCCGTTGCCTCAGTTGAAGGAGTATATTGTGAAGTACCAGGACCCCAGTCAGGCCGACAGCATTATGAAGATTCAGCAGGAGCTGGATGAGACTAAGATTGTGCTGCACAAGACGGTACGTGGTTGGATGGATATTGGTTATCCACGGAATTCTTCCCCATATTTTAGGCCCGAGGCTAATGCTCATATAGATCGAGAGTGTGTTGGAGCGTGGTGAGAAGATTGACTCGTTGGTCGCCAAGAGTGACGGTCTATCCGCCCAGAGTAAGATGTTCTATACCCAGGTATGTTTCCAATTTCAAAGACCTAGACTTCATTCACTAATACTCTCCTAGGCCAAGAAGCAAAACTCTTGCTGCGTTGTTATGTAGGTTCCTGTTCGCGGGGTTTCAACCCGATAGTAGCGACGTTTTCCTCTTGGTTTCAACTTTATTCATGTAATCAAACCTCGAAGCTATGCATTTTGCAGTTATTGTGTAATCTTTGGATATGCTGCTACCTCGGGCTTCTATCTTTGTCCTCTTTGTCCTGTCCTCTCGTAAGGACTAGGGCTTGCATTGTTTTTTACCACGGTGATGACGCGACCATTCTTTATAGATGCTGCACACAATGACACAAGTTGCCAGTACTTCCATTACAAATCGGGGTAGCTAGTCCCCGATTGCAGTCATAACTTACATCTGATACTCTCATACGGGAGCCCTTGGTCCGTTGGATGTTGGATGTTTAAGATCAGCCACTCTCATGCTTGCGAATACCTCAGGCCGGCATCATCATATACACGTGGAATGAAACTGGCGCTGAATTTGAAGGAGGCACCGCATTATTATCTCGAAGACGGTTGTAAATCCTCGGATTCATCTCTTACGTCGGGGAAATTCCATTGTTTAACTTGTTTCCAGTGTAAATAAATCACAACACGCATACCTATATCACTTCGGGAGTCTAAGATCCACTTGCAGCAATCGTGACAAAAAATATAGAACCAACCTCACACCACGGTCCATGAACCCACAGCCACATGCAGAAAAGATCCAAAACAGAACGATTTTAGTATTGAATCTCAATCTTTAGTCTTGATATCTCTGGGTCACCCTCATCAAATTTGCTGTTGCCTGGATGACAAGGCCCCGTGACTGTGGTTTCTTTTGCTCTACCGGAGATAAGAGATTTAAGAGACTTATCTCCGTGAACTCGAGAGCTACCTAGCTTCTAGTACTAGGTGGGGGATCACGAGACTTCCCATCACAGGTACCTAGCAGACTTACCACAGTACGGGAAGTCAATGTTACTGGTGATACAATCAATGGGTAGTGTGTTAATGCTGGATGGGTATTACCAGCCTGGGGTTGATAATATACTTCTTGAACTTCTGTTTAAGGACAATGGAATTTCAAACACACTCCAGCTTTCTATAGAATTGAATATAGTTATTACACTTTGCGAACCGATACCCGATAGCCCGTTGCAGTAAGATGTTGGTGGATTGGAACGACCGGAACCAAGAGTCGACTGCAACAACCTTGGTCCCACCATACTTGAGAGAGCACACCCCATACCTCAAGATAGGACTGGTCCATCAAGGTCTCCAAAGTCACGTCTAAGAATTTTCAGTCGCCTTCACAACAACAGGGAAGTCACCACTAGGGGCACTATCATCCAAAGTCCAAGTAAGACCGTAGACACCGGTGAAGCTTGTCGACTTGGCCCAGAACTGCGCTTCGAGGAACGTGTTGTTATTGTAGACCAGCTGCGAGGCAAATAGAGCGAAGCCTGATACAGTTCCATTAAGGTAGGCGATCCTGGTAATCGGCAGAACACCAACGGCGTACTCGTTCTCGGGCATGATATACATGGAGCCAGCACGGGTTCCGTTCACAAAAGTTGCGTTCGCAATCCAGCATTCGCCGGTGATAGAAGCCAAGTCCCAGGTCAGGGGAGTTAGGTTGGCGTTGCTGTTGCTGGGATATTCAGCAATGTAAAGAAGGCCTACAAGAGAAAATGATATTAGTGTGCTTCTGAGAATAGTCCCTTTCCTAAAACTTGCCATCCTCTAGACCATAGGCAATAGGCCAGTTGGTAGAATTCGTGCCATAGGCGGAAAGAGTCGCATTTGTCTCTCCACCCCGTTTGATGTGCTGATGGAAGGCCAGTCCGAAACCGATTTGTAAGAATAGGAGAGATAAAAGAGACTTTAGATGCATTTTAGACGTTGATGATGTAGAATCGCTGAGACAACGACGACAATAACTCAAAAGAACAAGACCTTGACAAGTTGAATTGCTGGCAAGATTGAAACGAGAGATGTATATGACTGTCTGAAGGGGGTGTCGTTTCGAAAACGCACAAAGTAGGTGATGTTGCCTGACAGCCGAGACAACAAACACTCGATGTCAAAACTAGCTTATTGCAGAAATAGAAAAGATGCAACTAAAAAAAGCCAAAGTTTTCTTACCAGGTCTCCATTCCAAGTCGGATCAAATGCCGCAGATCTGGCGCTAATCAAGCCCAGAATCATGCTGTACTATCACCTTCTCCACCCACCAACCTTAGCATAGCTTGCGCAAATATAGATCCATTAGCAGCACTAGATTTAAACCCAGCCATCAATCATGTCCTGGCGTACGTAAACCCCGCTGATCAAGCCAAGACGGACAAGTGTGGAGCGGCTTATACTTTAACCTCGTACAATGACTGGGTGGCTGGCGATCCCGCTCCACAAGACAAGCCTTGGCTCGTCACCCTACGCCTAGCGGACGATGTCCATCGCTAGTCTAGATTCTAACCCGGTTGATTCATCTGTGAAAACGAATGCCGTTCGTCAGCCATCATATGACGAAATATTGTTTTTGAAACGACTTTAATTGGTTTCTTTTCTTCGATATGCTGTGACCAGGCGGGGCACCGAACGAGTCTGGACCATGATAGCTATGGTCAGTCTGCGCAGATCGGAATATCGGAATTGCTCCGCGCGGCCGATGAAGACTATACATAGAATGGAGATAGACTCGTAAACTGGGTTCCACAAAACTCCTGTTTAACATTGACACGGAACGTGAAGATGACACTGCCAAGCCTTGGATCATTTGCTGATCACAAAGCGTACGAAGCCCTGCAAAGGACTGCTTGAACAAGTTGTCAGGAAAATGCAAATTACTCAGACAGAATCTGCTGCGAGAATACTACACTCCCTATGCTTCGGTGGAACTAGAGGCTGTGTATGAGCTGTATTTAGAGGCCTTGGTTCTCTGCCTCTGGATTCGAGATGCTTGCAACTTGGAGTAGTTTGCGTTATCCTGTAAGGCTTTCATGCATTATAGGGCTGCCTGGGCCGAAATAAAGACTTAGCCGTTTAGAAGACCCACCAGAATGCCGAGGGGAACCTAGAATCTCGATAGAAGCTGAGTTTCTGCGGCCCTAGAAAGCTAAAAGCAGGCCATTAAATGTAGATCACTATCTGTGGAGACGCTTACCTGCAACTATCGAAGGCATGATGTGTACCAAGAGTGCGAATCCTCTGGATCCTTTACCTGTTTGTTTAGTACCAGGCAGCCCTACTTGTTTCCCCTGACAGAAACCAGGCCGGGCATAAAGTATGGCCCGACACTGCACCTACCAGAAAAACCAGTGAAGACACTCGAATTTCCCATCATTTGCATCTTGTTTCTGAGAGGCTCTTCCTGATTTATTTTCCCGCCCCTACCGCGGCTGTCATTACTGTCATGCGCTCTCTTCCCCTTGCTTTATCGTCTCTTCTTCTTTTTCCAGGAATCTTTGGAGCTTCAACTTTATCTTCCAAGCACGCCAAGCATGTGAGACACAAAGGTTGTGTCAATAGCCCCTCAAACCGGGCGTGCTGGAGTGACGGGTTTGACATTTCTACCAACTATTACGAGAAGGTACCTGATACTGGTGTGGTTCGCGAGTACTGGTTCAATGTTGAGAATACCACTGCGGGCCCAGATGGGGTTGAAATGCCGGTTCAACTCATCAACGGTTCTTTCCCGGGCCCAACCATCATAGCTGATTGGGGTGACACTGTCGGTAAGACAATTGCATCCCTTCTCCTCCTACATTCGTTGGGTCAAGACTGATGAAGGTCAATAGTTGTGCATGTGACGAACTCGCTACAGAACAACGGCACTGGCCTACATTTTCATGGCATTCGTCAAAACTGGACAGATGCCATGGATGGTGTCCCCAGTATTACTCAATGTCCAATTGCACCCGGGGATTATTTTACATACCGCTGGCGTGCAGTTGAGTATGGCACTGGCTGGTATCACTCTCATTTCTATGTTCAAGCTTGGGACGGCGTGTTTGGTGGAATTCAGATCAATGGCCCAGCAACCGCAAACTACGATATCGATCTCGGACACGTCTTTCTAAATGATTGGTATCATGTAAGTAGAGACACTCCTATTAGTTGAGTGACTTGAGAAGTGGAGAATTTATGCTGCGAAGAGTACGTGCTAATGACTATAGGCCACCGCTGATCAGCTCGTCCTTCAAGCCTCCACTGGAGGACCCCCCACAGCCCCAAACGGTCTTATCAATGGAACAAACACCTGGGGAACCAAAGGTTCTCGCTTTTCAACAACCTTTGAGGCTGGCAAAAGATACCGGATGCGATTGGTCAATGCTGCAGCTGATCAGCATTTCCGTTTCATGATTGACAAACACGACCTTGAGGTCATCGCGACTGACTTTGTGCCCATTGTACCTTATAATACAACAGACCTGAGTATTGGTATGGGTCAACGATACGATGTCATTGTCACTGCAAAACAATTGACGAGTGGAAACTTCTGGCTAAGGGCTATTCCCCAGTCGGCTTGCTCAGAGACCGATGCAACCGACAAGGTCAAGGGTATCATTCGCTACGACAACTCTTCCACTGCGGACCCTACCACCTCGGCATATAGTTACACTGACTCTTGTGCCGACGAGGATCCAGCAAATATAGTCCCTTACCTCCCCATCAACGCATCTAGCACGTATGCCTATGGCGAGGATGAGAATGTCGAAGTTCAGGTCACTGATAACGCCCTCCTTTGGCTGATGAATAAGACTTCCCTCCACACACAATGGGAATACCCATCTCTTCTCCAAATCTCCGAAGGGAACAGGACGTGGTTGGCTAAGCAGCGCGTCATTCACCTGCCTAGTGCAGACGAATGGGTATACATGGTTATCCATTCTCCATTCGCCCAGGATCACCCCATGCATCTTCACGGACATGATTTCTGGGTCCTCGGCTCTGGATATGGAAACTTTGATACTTCCATGACCAGTAGCCTCACCTTGGTCAACGCGCCGCGAAGAGATGTTGTTATGCTGCCTGCGAGTGGATATGTGGTGATTGCCATGAAGACTAACAACCCTGGTGTAGGTTTTTCTACGAGGTATCTCATGGATCGACTTTACTAACAATATTGGTTAACTATAGGTCTGGCTCATGCATTGTCATATTGCGTGGCATACCTCCGAGGGCTTTGCCGTCCAACTACTAGAACGAATCACGGACATTACATTCGATCATGACTCGCTTAACTCCACTTGCGCAAATTGGAAGAGCTATGTCGCTGCGAAGGATGTTAACCAGTATGACTCAGGTGTTTAAGGGTGGATGATGTCCGAACAAAGGCAGGGCTTAGGGGGTCCTATTCCATAGCACTTCTACGTCTAGCATGTTTCTTTTTCTAATTCAGTCATATATTCGTTCTCATCCAGCGCAGCACTTCAAACTCTGTGGGAGCATTTCGAACAGACTGGAGCATGTCAATCCATCCAAATATGGAGATACATAGCAGCTCATTTGCTACCGAATCATTTAAAAGAACACCAAGCAGCATGTACAAGCAACAGGGCCCCGCAACGCGAAAATTGGGTTCATTTAGCCGACCAGTCCACCGCGAATTGAGGCTCTGAAGGCCCCTCCTAATATTGATTTCTCAAGGCTGGAAACATGAATAGACCCAATAAAAATTCACCGTTGCAGCCAAATATGGGGCTCGGAGATAATAAACCCCAATTCAGGCAATGTTTCCAATCACATTCACTCCGTCCCTGGTCTGCTCTGCCGGTCGTCGAGCTTAGCGAGGGACGTTTGGGGGCCGACAAGGCTTGGCAAGGCCCCTTTAAGGGGTTTGATCTGGACGACGAGTCATTCAACCATGCTATTGGCTGGAGAATATATTCGGTTGGGACCAGGCTATCGGAGCTAGCTCAGAATCGGTCTGGTGTGCCGGATAGTGCCGCTTAAACCAAGAATAATGAACGAGGGTGTGAATGGTACCTAACCCCAACCTACTTTAAAAACTGGACCACCCCAGGCTAGTCCCTTTATTCCCTAGGAGTTGTTAGTCTTTCCGCTTTCGATTCAAGCAGTCACTCGCTCAAGACAGTCATTCCTTCAAAATAGTCATTCTTTCAAAGCATAAACAAGATGCGAGGTTCTCAAATTGCCCGAGTGGTGGCCTTGGGATTGGCCTCGGCAACATTAGCAGCAGCAGCAAACGATGCGAGCTATGACCCTTCATTGAACTTCCGACCGGACAATGTGACCTTCAGTAACCTGTATCATTGGGTTGGATCGTGAGTTTTACACAGTCCTACTCAATAGATGTCGTTTCTTACACGCCGCAGATACTACAACGGTTCGACGACAATCCAGATCGAGCCCTTTGGTGGAGTCGCCGCGAAGGAAGAAGGGACCCTTGACACCACTTGGTGCCCGAATTTGAAGGGCAACACCTACAATACCAAATTCGATACAATCCTTGGACTTACGGAGCGGGCCAAATACAATGCTGGCAGCAATCCCCTCAACGTTGTCCTGACCCTGTGGGATCCAGGCTTCAACTTCAGTGTGCTCAACGCAAGTAAAGAGATCACAGATTTACCATGGGACTGGGCACTATTCTCTGCATTGTAAGGCAATAAGTACACATGCTGCTATATCTACTAACAACGTGAATAGGCCTTTGGATTCATACAATGGCTCTTTTACGGAACCCGATCTCTTCAATCTCACTCTTGCCGAGACTAGCAAGGCACCCTACAACGTTTCAAGTACCTTCACCGAATATGGCAGCGACAGCACATTCGATTCAACTTACCCGATTGTATTCAACATGACATCCTGCAATGGAACGCAGGCCACTGATTGGTCTGCATACATGATCTCCAACTACTACTGGCCTACCACAGGGTCCAATATCTCGTATCCAGACCCAACTTTCGACATTGTGTTCGACGATAAGACTGCCAAACTTACCCTGGATGCTTACATTCAAGCAGTCCAGGGCTGTGAGGATAGGCCTCAAAACCAAGACTTCTGCGAAGCAGACACTCTGATCGAGGCTAAGATGACGATCACGTTCGAGGGAACGATCGACTCTTATCATTCGGATGAGCTTAAGACAGACAGCTCTAAGCCTACTTGGCTTAAGACAGTTGGCTTCAACAACAGTACCAAGACAGATGGAAACAGTACTACCGGCAGTGGTAGTAGTAACAAGAAGAATGGCTCGAGCGGTCGTCAATACCCGGGCGCATTCCCCCTTGCCGCTGGCATCGTCGCGGCTATATTTTCTTCTCTGTCCATTTAGTTGACCAAAACGTGTGCATTAATCAACGCCTCTATATACGCAATACAAAATCCAAGGGGTCGCCAATCACTCAATAAAGGAAGAAACGAGAAACATCACCATCTCATAGCTCATAAACTAATTTCTTCCCACGAACGGTGCCCTGACGAACATCATCGACCCCTTCGAGAACACCCTCAAGGCCTCCTTTGCGTATTTCAATCGGCATGGGTTTCAACAATTTGTTTTGAAGGAATTCTTCAACGCGCCGATAAAATGCGATCATAAAAGCTTTGTCTTCCTTCGACGCCTCCCACGTCCGCTTTATCCCCAAATCCTCATTAATAATAGTGAAGCGTCTTCCAAAACATGTGTAAACAATGTTCCACACACTTTTGACCTTGGCGGAGGCTGGAAGAGACTCTGGTTGCTCCGGCACATCTGGTGGTACCATGAGTCCAGCATATACCAACGACGGAGCCTGTTCTGACGATTCTTGAGGGACAGAAAAGCATTCATAACAAAAGGCAGCAGTCTTAGTATCTGCAATGCAGTCCAGAACTGAGTACAAACCGTCTTTGTGGACAAGGGTTCTGATTTTCTCGATAGCATCAGGGTTACGATAATTGATGACCTCATCGGCGCCCAGAGATCTGAGCCAAGAGAAGTGTTGCTCTGAGCACGTTGTGATGACCCTGAGTCCTGAGCTATAAACAAGTCAGTATGCAAAATCTGCAACATGGCATCGGAATAAACTCACAGTTTCGCTAATTGTATAGCAATGCTGCCGGTTGCAGTGCTTCCGCCGTAAATCAAAACGGTATGGCCAGACGGTGTTGCATCACTAGTAGGCAACGGCAAAGGAAGCCACTGGTAAAGTGCTTGCGCAGCGGTACTAATCCCCATGCCTAGCGTTGAAGCATCTGCAAATGGGAGATTTTCCGGTATGCGCATCACAAGATCTGCATCTGCCAATAGATATTCCCGGAAGGAACCATTCGCATAGTTTACGGCATGACCTGGGTTGAGTATCTTGTCAATGTGTGCTAGAAATTCTCAAGGAGAGAGATGAGGCATACACGCATGAATAAACCCAGCTATCCGGTCACCGACCGTCCAATTCTCGCATCTGTCACCGATTTCCACGACTTCACCAGCAAAGTCAAAGCCCATTCCGGCACCTGGTCTCCCCAACTTGTCCAGCGCCATCCAGTCGGGCGTGTTGAGAGCTATGGCTCGTGTCTTGATCAGAAGTTGGCCTGCGTCGGGCGATGGAATAGCCAAATCGTGGGCTATATGAGCAATTCCTAGTCCACTCATAATGATCCCAGACTGGATCTTGATTTCTGACATGATGATTCGGTGATGATTCGGTGAAAGGATGAATGGAAAGAAGGAAGCTCAATGTCGAAGATTGATTAATGGAGTGCAATTCTGATATTTACAGAAAGTCTTGAGAGGGTCCCTTTTATGATAGAATCGCTCCTGAGAGTTATATGGGCTAGATTTCAGGCAACCGATGACCCGGTGACTAACCTGCAAAGGCTACCTTATCTCCCGGAGTTGGGGCGAGCGCCATCATGGTTTCGCGGATACAGAAAATTCTGCTCTATCTGGCATCCATAATGTAGGCACTATGATGTAATGGCAGGAAAATAGAATAATTCGCTGTCTAATTGTCAATGACACTGTCCGACTCGGCGGTTGTGGCGTGGTACGGCCGTGCCGGGTCTCGATTGATAGCCTATTGATAGCCTACCGCGCCGTGTAACCCACGTCACCCAATGAAGGGTGCAGCGATCGAGTAATAACCACTAATGGGGCATCTCGCCAGGAAAGATCTACAAAATAGACCTTTAGGCTATTCGGAACGGTCGATTTCACAAATCACATCTCCCCGCGTTGAGACGAAAACACTGGTCCGATCAAGACAAACATTCAGCCAGCTATAAATGCCAGCTTGGTTCCAAGCACCATAGACAATCGCAACACATCAAAATTTTATTTTACCAATCCCCGATCTACTCCAAACCTCCCACGACGATAATCAACATGGCCGAGCCAACCTATGATCCTAGGTGAGTGGAAAGACTCATAACATCTACGCGTTCACATAAATTGATGACTTGCGTAGCCGCCCGATGCCGGAAATCAACATCGCCTACCAGTACAAACTGGGAAACTGCCCTGGCAAAAGCATCGTCGGCTTGCGTGTGGAATTCCCTCCAAACGGCTCGACTCCGCCTCATCGACACGGTGGCAGCGCAGTGGCCGCATATGTTATCAGCGGCACTCTGTTGAACAAAATGAACAACGATCCGATGAAGGTTATCAAGGCTGGAGAGACTTGGTATGAGGCGCCAGGTTGCCACCACCGTATTAGCGACAATGCGAGCAAAACCGAGCCGGCGACCTTGTTTGCTACTCTGGTTTTGGACACCGATGTTTTGGAGCGTGATGGAATGGGCGCGCTGATTCAAATTGATGAAGAATATCGTTGATTCGGTTAGATAGCTATTGCCGCTAAATAGAGATGAAATTGATTTCTTTTCAACTCACACTGTGAGAGAAAAACGCATGAAATATTATTGCAAGATATTTTACAAAACCAGCTGTCGACTCTCCTCCATAGTTGCTCCTATGCCCGAGTCAAAGAATGCACAAAAATCAAAGTCGGGTCCAGGTATTAATCCCAGTGCGCTCAGATCAACTGCTGATGGAACAAACGATGAATCTACTAGCGGTTCGGGTGCGGGTGTGGGCGATTTATCAATCAGGCACAATATCTCTCGCGCAATGATGCCGATCTCTCGATATGTTCGTTTGCCCAATGTCCAATAGTCACTCAGGCGTTTCAATGTTCCCATAGTAAGGCGTATCTTCTCCCGACATTGTGTGCGCTTCTTTCCCTCAAGAACAAATCGACAAGCTGAAAGATGTGCAATGGTGACATTGGCCAGCATGCAGATAATGAAAGGTGAGTGGGTCGTGATATTGGTGGGAAGGGTCAGAAGGTATTGCAGTTTGTCGATGGCGGCAAGGCACTTCATTGTGTGTAATTGGCGCTCCGCCGAGTTGCTACAGTTGAACCCTTCGGAGGGGGCCAGAGGAGCACAGCGGGAGATAGCTTCAATCGTACTGTAAGCAAGTGATGACATTGGTCGATGCACCTCAATGGTATACCTAAGTAGGATTAGTCTAAGGTGCCTACTTAAAAGTGCAAGGGAATTGGTGACTCACGTATGCATGATAAACTCTGCTTTAAACATGACTTCGTCAACAGTACCGTCGGGTCGCAAGATGGTTCTCTTGGAGTTGGGCAGAAGTGAATGCCAAGCGGTGACACTGGTATCCGAATTTGAGCACATCGAAGAGTAAAGCTGGACATCAGATGTAGCTCCGGGTGACAAGGCTTGGTCGATTCCCCTCGTCAATCCGATGAGTTCAGCATACGATGAGAAGCCGACTTCATCGTCAGAGAAGAATTCACGGTTGTCATATTCTTGCAGACTTCTAGGCCTGGGAATTATCTGTACTGACAATCAGTGATGATCATCTAGGTTATTCAGTCATGTAATTCTGCTTACACCCGATTCATAATCTCGTTCTTCGCAGGGAAGATTCACGGTCATTTCGATGTTGCTACAGCGAAATGGGAATTTATGTGTACTGCCGGCAATGTGTGTGTCTGTAATGTAGATTTGCCACCACGTCCGCCGCCAGCTTTCGGCTAGGATTGGATCATTTTGGCTGTTCTCGTCTGCATACTCTTGTCGGTTCATCCCAAGCTCCAAGGCTAGGCGAATAGCTTCGTCCACCAGCTCAACGCCAGCATCTGGCTCATTGCACCAATATATAGCGATTGAGCAAAGTAGTACAGCTTGCACATCGAATCCCGTGATGGAGCGCGTCCTGTTTCGAATGCTGACCAGGTAGGTCTGTATTTCTTGATGCAGTGAGTCAGAAGACATGGAGCTTGCAAACAGAGAGCCGATGTAGTTCAAAACCAGTAGAAGAGGTTGAATTGCGCTTTGATTGGCGTATGTATTCAAGAATTGACGAGGCAGGACACACGGATGAGCTGCATGGAAGAATTCGTAGTAGAGACCAAGCAGAATGGACTCCGAATTCGCTTGGGGTAGGTCCACATTGTTGTTGTTCAAAGCTACCTGCACCGGAAGATCGAAATATCTCTGGTTTTCAAGAATAGATGCTGGGGAGCTGTCGGATACGGTTGTCGTCGTCGTTGAAGATTCTTGTGACTGCTTTTGCCTTGGATTTCCCCGGCGTCGAGACGCATGATAAGTACATTCTTTTTTATCAACTGTGCAGCGGCTGCAGGCCGGCTTCTTGCCATCGCAGCGTAAATGCTTGTATCGACACGGCGCGCATGCAAGCGAGGATCGAGTTGCCCGCCCAGGTGGCTGGGCGGTCTCATTGTCGTTCGCTATCATTTTAAGACACTCTAGCGGTGTTTTGTTGACTCCACCGGTAGACTTGGTAATTAAGTAAGCCGTGATAGCCCGCCACGAACTCTGATGAAGGTGATTTCAGCTGCAGGCCGTTCTTGTACAAGACAAGGACAGGGAAGTGGGTCGATCTGAGATGCGGACAAACTTTATTCCAGATAGCCTATCTGCATTTTAGTGGAGGTCTTGGCACTTCCCAAATATGAATGTACAAGAAATCACTTCGTCTGATCTAGGAGACATTGGACTCGTATTCCATGAATAAAAATTGCAAGTCTCACACAGAACACTTTGCAAGCTACGCATCGATAGTTGAAGATAGAACTAATTCAAAGATAGCCAATTAGACTATTCTATCCTACCTCCACGGATCAAATATTTCTAACGCTCCGAAATATATCACAACGGTAAAGGTCGCCTATTAGACTCAACAAAATCCCAAATACTCAACACTTTCGACTGCATGAATCATAGACGTGCACATCTACCAGAATTGATATGTGTTCTCTTTTCCAATTTCATCATGCCTGTCGTTGATCCTTCATGGCCTACAGATTGCAACTTAAGCGGACCCATTATCTACGAGTAAGTATGCCAATTTTTCAAGATGTGGTCGATCGCACATTTGAATCAAGGGCGATGACAATAAAGCATATCCTTGAAAGAGATAACATTTTTCAGTAAATAGCATGGTCAGTTGGTATGAAACTAGCAGTTTACGCTCTTGCAGCCTGATCCGCAGTAACTATATCCTTCTCAAGAACCACATCACTCCTCCACAGCTTGAACGACCGCGTTGGGAGTCTCAATGCAAACATGCGGTCAATCTCCATAGGCGACCGACCCTTCATTTCAGGCACAGCGAACCAAGTGGCCACGACCCCGACCGCTGCGAATCCCGCCATCACAAAACCTGTCTTTGCTCTCAGATTACCTTGATCTGCGTTATATATATACGGCAAGATGATGGAGAAAACACCAGAAGCAATACCACTCACAAACCACCCAATCCCCTGAGACTTGGCACGAAGTTGTAGTGACGAGGTCTCTGCAGCCACAACATGAGATGCGGGCCAGACGCCCAGGCCGCAGACCATGGTAACAATCATCATAGTGACGGCGGTATACCTGGTAGATTGTTAGAGATGTTCAAAGGGGATGTTAGATTCGTCATGAAAAGTGACTCACCAGATGGTTACGACACCCGTGAAGCATCCCGCGATGCCCATTGCGAGCCATAGAACCATAGATGTGCCAAGAGTTACAAGGCAAAGGAAGCGCCTTCCAAATCCATTGAGCACCCACAAACTGACCACATTGGCAATCAGGCCAAGTCCAATACCGAGAATCAAGAATATCAGACTGTTTGAAGAGCTCATCCCGACAATCTGCATGAAATATGACGCACTAGCCAAGAGTTGTAGGCCAAACAGCTGAGGTAGAGCGCTGGAAAACGCAACGATCAGCGTTCTTCTCCTGTGAATTCCCCTGAAACAGTCCATATAAGTCTGTGACTTTCTCTCCTCCTCTTCAACCAAGATTGATGTGCGAATTTCGTCAACAATAGCCGCTGAGTCGATGCTCTCCGTATCGAGTCGTTTCTGCGCTTTCAGTGCTTTGTCCAATCTTCCCCTTCTTACAAGCCATGTTGGGCTTTCGGGAAGTAGTGCAGCCAGTGCAAAAGGAACCGCGGAAAAGGGCCATTGGGACGCGAAACATATCCGATAGCCTGTTGCACCATCGTACTTGAGAGAAGTGTAGACCACGATGGATCCGAGTAGTTGTCCTAGCAAGGTGAAAATTGGGAGGAAAGCAATGATCGGTCCTCGCAGAACCACCGGCAAAACCTCGGACATGTAAGTCTGGACCACACAGAGGAGTATGCCAATACAAATTCCCTGGAAAAGCTTGCCACCCAGAAATACCCCCCGTCGCGAATCTATATCGTCAGGTAAATCCGCAACATAGCACATTGCAACCGCGATGGCGGATAAGAAACTCCCTGTTGCGAGCGCCAGGCGACGTCCTCCACGATCTTGAAAATGACCACCAAACATGGCCCCGATCATCATCCCGATCGGACTCGCCGCGTTCCACAACGAAAGCCACATCGACGGGATGATATATTTAGCTCCGAGCCGCTGTCCAAAGCGATGTCTTTCGGTGGTCAGACTAGAGAAACCCACAGTTGAGCGGGAAACTTACTGGAATGTTGGCATCGAAGAGACGTTTCCCACGATGACGAGATCATATCCATACAAGAGGATGGCAGAGCTTAGAGCCAGATTGTATACGACAACTCTAGGCCATTTCTTCATCGATTGCCACAGGGGAACATGAACCGCCTGCGGGCTATCATTTGTATCCGTGGGGGAAACATTCTCGATAAAGTCAGCGGTGGACTTTGTACCTGCGTCTTGCATGATAGAGCTTGAATGGAGGTGATGTGAGCACTCTACTAACCAGAATTACCCCGGATTCAATAAATAATATAGGATCGTTTGTACAGCACGGACATTGAGGGGTGTACACTACAGGACCACCGAGGTTCCTGTTGTGGAATGTAACATGAGCTTGGACATGATGCAAATCTTATCTCTAAGCGAGGACTAAGAGCAGAGCCTAAACCCAATTAATAAACTTCATCAAATAGGAGGCGCCATGACAGGCACTCTGCATCTGGTTTTGCAACATATTTGCCGATTGAGCCAATCACCCTCCCTGACGACGGCTCACCCCGCACGAATGCCATGACTGCCAAGTAATCGGCTACGTACTCGAGATGGGTCAAGATAACAAAGAGGCGATGAACTTCAGCTCGAATTGCGGGGGCGTCTAGTGGGGGGTTTGCGGGGCTGAGTCCTGTTTCATACTCTAGGTTTGCAGATGTGGCGCCAATCAGGGGAGTCGGGTGTTTTTAGCATGATCGCATGCAAATCTAGAAAAAGACGTGCGAACTTGCTAAATTCCACGCTAACAATAAGACTGCCTCTAGAGCAAATGTGACACGGGTCAACTTCGGCACGAGAAGCAACATCCATGTGGGTAAGGGCCCAAGCGACAACGCACGAATTCTATGGTCAGATGACTATATAGTAGGTTAAACTACCCAAGCCACACTGCCTTAGAAGGCCATAAAAGCTGAACTGGAGTATTATTCTGACAAGTCTTGTCTACAAAGATGGAGGCTCTCACTCATGCGATGGTATCAATCATGAATTTGGCCAAAATCAATTCGTACCTCCATGTCACCCGCATCAACCATCTTCGGTGGTATTCTCCAGTGTCATCAATGGCGCAGTTGCTGACCTTAGTCGCTTTTCCTTTCTCTGCTCCAATTTCTCCAGATCATCTCGTAACTTTTCGATTTCCTCATCCAGCTCAGACATTGTAGCAAGACGGTACTTCAGTGTCAATATTGCAGCCGAGATCAAAAGCAGTCCAATGGACACTAAGTAAGACCATTGTCCAACTTGTCTGGGACTTTCCTGAGCAGGCCCGTCATTGTATATAGTCCACTCGGCCCAGGCCACAAAGGCAATAATGGTAAATGGGCTGATGATCATACTGAAGACAAGACCGAAGAGAATGAGAAAGTCCGCTAAGACTCGCATGAAAGCTCTCAGGAAAGTCATGCTGAAAAGGGGTCGAATGTGACTCGATAGTGGTGAATTGCCATTACTGAGATCTGCCTCTTTGTGTACTAATTCCTCCTTAGCTTTTGACCGGGCGGTTTTCAGTTCTCCTTTGAAGCCGTTCCAAATATTCTTCCTCTCTTTCCAGATCACAATGATCTCAGCGGAGGGAATACGCGACCGGTAGGGAAGAAACTTGAAGGTCAAGTGAACCAGATTCAAGACGAGGCAAAGAATAATCAGACTGTAAATGTACCGTCTTGAGTAAATGAGTTTATCCCAGAAACGGGCAGGATGCGAAAGTTCGGAGTCTTTGCTTGCCACCCAAGATTGCAATGAGGTTGACTGGCGAAGTGTTTGTGACGAGTTAAAACACGGGTTGTAGCAGATATCTCCAATGAGACTCCATCGAGTTATGTTTGAGAAAGTCTCCCAGACGCTTTCATTCCAAGTTGAGGTCCTCCATGATGATTGCCAGCCATCGTTAGACGTGGTATCATAAGGAGGGAGCCCTGGGTAGCAGAACATGTATTGCGTGGGTGTTTTGGATTTGTTGGCTGCGTAGACTAAAGCGCAGATTGAGCCCGTGAGCATCAAAAGGTTCCATAGATAGAACAAGAAATTTCGAGCTCTTTGGTGTGTCAAAATGCGAGACCAGCATTGGAGAGGTAAGAAGACAAGGTAGCCTGTCACCACGATAGCAAGGACCGCATCGCCATCCAGCTCCAGAGAACCAGGCTGGATCATGACTTGGTTCGTTTCCGTGATCAACTGAGGAAAGTCGTTCCATAAAGTCGTGTTATCTGAGATAAAGGGAATAGTGACCGGTGCTGGTTTTGGTCTCTTCTGTTCACTAGCTAACAGAATGAATGCCTCGATTGCAGCTGTACCTGCATATGTGGCAGCGGCTCCTAGGAAGACATCGGCAAGCCATCCTGTCCAGCGAGTCACACAACTCGCAATCAAGAGCGCGTAGAAGAGGTATCTAGGGCAAGAGTTATAGATTGTGCTAATTTCGTAATAGCACAGAGCCTCTTGGGCAATGAACAAGGGCCCGCTGGAATTCATGAAGGACCCTGCCGCATCTCCGACGGCTGCAAGATGAAAGATCGTCAGATGCGACTTTTGGTCCAATACAGATGATTATAGCGAATAATTAATTAGACAGACAGTTCCAGAGCCCGCTTTTTCATTGTTCATGTTGGTAATTTTTTTCAACGTTCTTGCTGCTGCCTTGAGTGGGGCCAAGGTGAGAAGCGCTCAGTCCTGACGTCAAATACTTTTTGCGGCGATCATTGGCAAGCCGAGATGCTCCAAACCTTAATTCGCAGTTTGTTAGGCACACAAATAAATATTCAGGCTCTTTATATTTTCTCCCCTGATATTTTCGATCAGCGCCTCGCGATTTTTAGACCTTTGTAGAGAACGAACATCTCAACGGCGTGTCCCCTCCTTTGCTGGCGGGACATTCCGATAAGGGTTCACTGAATGTTTCCAGGTCCAGCGTTAGCCGTTTGCCAGTTCTCAACATATTTAGATCTTATTGGGGGCTTTCCTCCTCGGTCTGCTCTACATAATTCGAAAAAGGGGGGTTCCTCGATTATTGATCTTCAATGCTTCCATTTGCGCGCGGCGATCGCCGTCACCATTTACCTGACATCTCTACGTATCGATCGCCCTGATATGAGTATGGTCCCACTGAAGAAATTACTGCTTGGCGGGAGGAAAGAACTATACGACACAAGAGGAATTGGCTATCAATCATAAATCTGATAGTCAAGCTCTAAAACTGCTTTCCATGAATTTCTCGACCGATTCTCATTCCACCGAATATACATCAATTGTAACATGGTTTGGTCGACTGGGGCGATGAAGGTCTCCAACAAATAACGTGCGATTCAGCCATCCATGAGGTCCATCCGCCACTTCGAATCGCGGATTGGTCCTAGCATACCATTCCGACTCCTGTTTGCCCCCCGACGGGTCATCGCCGTCTGCGCCCGACTTCTGTTCGAACTTCCGAATCCACCCTTCATTGGTGACGCTAATTAACGCCCCGTCGTCGGCTTGAATGGTGTATTTGGCAAATACATGACCCATGCCATCGTCTCGAAGAGCGTTCCAGTCACCACCACCCGAGAGGATAGTAGCTTTGAGCTTGGGACCCTCTACAGTTCCACCCGTGATTGGGATGAATCGTCTATGACCACAGTGGGTGGTGCCGAAGTCTTGCGCAGGGGAGAGGTCGACCTCGAGGGTAAAGGCGAGTTCAAGGGTGGGAGCCATGATATGAACCAAAGTTTGTGCAGTAGCAGCAAGTAAATGGAAATATACAGAATTCTGTTTTAAGCTGAAATGGCCGTCGTCTCAAAAATGAGGGGCTCGGGAGCAGTGGGCAACCGAGGCATGCTAGTGCCTCTTAGTTCCAATATCATGAATCCGGAACTAGACCTGTTAAGGTAAGAAGCTTATACAATGTGGATCGAAGAGAAATATCAATAACGTTTTGTTTATATTTCTCGATGTTAAAGCCCCGGTGCGTGAACATAGCATTGCCTGGGGCTGCAAGAGCTTAAGATGCCACTCACTAGTTACTTACATCCTTACGCACTCTAAGGATAGGAGATCAGGTTGCTCAAAAATTGGGTATTCTATCGCTCAATGAAGCCAGTACAAATTTAAAGGGTAAAATCTAAACAATGATATGATGACAAGGACATCTATAAACCACTTGTGCGTTGGACCGCAGGTACAATTTGTTAGATACTGTGCTGCTTTATCTTACCTGCCACGAATAGGTCTCTTGTTAATTTCTAAGGGGCGCCTGAACTCCAAGAACTCCCGGCCGACTCAAATGTCCCAGTCCTACTCTATATTCCGTACAGTTTGAACAGAACTTAATAGAACATAAATTTCAGTGCAAATGTGACTATGAAGTGGTGGTGGAACCGGTTAGCGATTGTGTATAACCTCTCCACCCGCCGAAACTTGTGATATCTGTGGCATCCCCAAGACCGTGAGGTTCACAAATAAACCCGTGCACCCAGCTTCCATCCTGAAGCTCAATTGAACCAATTCCCAGTGGAGATTTGATGGTGTTCAGGAAACTTCCCATGTTGTTGAGTGGCATGTTCCAAATTTCTACCTCAATCGACTTACCTCCATCAGCGACTCGTTTGAGTCCAGGTTTCCGCACGGACGGCCCTGCTTGTAGCGCAAATAGCTGGTACGAAGGGGATGTGAGGGTTGTTTGGAGGAGACCCGCGTCCCGTAACAGCAAGTCCTCGTTAAGCGGAAAGCCAGAAAGATGGGCTCCAACTACAGCCAGCTTCATAGAGTCGGTGGTGGAAGGTATTGCGAATAAGGACTCTTGAAACTCTAAACCAGTGGCTCCCAACAAACGTGGACCGGCTGAGAGCCATTTGCACCCCAGTTTGAACAACCGCGATTCTTCCCATGCGCCGGCTATCAATGTGATACCGAATGGTAAACCATCATCTCGAAAGCCAGCTGGGATTGCCACTGCGGACCAGTCCATGAAGTTCACAAAGTTCGTGTATGTGCCGAGCCGGCTGTTGGCCAGAACTGGCTCGTCTTCCAGCATCTGAATCGTGGGAAAAGTGGGGGTTGTAGGCACCAAGATTGCTTCAAATTTCCGGAAGACACTTTCAATATAGCGTGAGAGTTTCTGTCGGTAGTACTCGTTCTGGAACACATCCACGGCTGAGAACTTTTCGGCTTTAAGTATGATGTCTCGGACGACTGGATTCATAGCCTCGGCAGGTGCGGTACGAATGAATTCTTCGATAGCAGCGTATCGCTCTGCGACCCACGGCCCCTCATATAACAGGGTGGCTAATTTGAAGAGTGGCGTGAAATCGACAGGTTCCAATTTCCACCCCAGTCGCTGTGCCTTTGCCAGGGCTGCAGCATAGGCCGAGGCTTGCTTTGAGCAACCGAACCAATCCGCACTCGAACAGATCGCCAAGATAGGTTGAGACGGGAGCATACCTCGCGAGATATTCTGCGTGGCACAGTCCGCTCGAACCCTGGAGTAAGCGTCTCCATCGTCGGGTCCTTCTGCCAGTTGTAAGACCAGGGCGGCGTCCTCCAACGTCAAGGCAAATATGGACACGCAGTCTAATGTGCGACAGGCTGGTAGTACGCCTTGTGTACTCAAGGCTCCTCGGGTGGGCTTGAGGCCGATCACATTATTCAATCCAGCAGGGACTCTGCCCGAGCCGGCCGTGTCGGTTCCTAGCGCAAACGGCACTGTGCCTTGACTGACAACCACACCACTCCCAGAGCTACTCCCGCCACTCACACGATCTGGATCAAATGGATTCTGAACTACTCCGTATGGTGAGCGGGTGCCACTGAGCCCTGTGGCAAACTGATCAAGATTTGTCTTTCCCACCACAATAGCGCCCTGCTCCTTAAGCCGAGCCACGACAGTTGCGTCAGTTGCGGCCATTTCTGTAGCAAATGATGGACAAGCTGCTGTTGTGTAGAAACCTGCTACATCGATGTTGTCCTTTACAGCGAACGGAACGCCAAAAAGGGGGAGCTGTTTACCCTGTGTGCGGAGGGACTTGATACGTTCCCATTGCTGGATTATTTGCTCGGCTGTCGCCAAAGAGATCCATGCGTGTGATGTATCGTTTTGTGCTCGCTCAATCAAAGATAGTAGGTGTATGGGTTCTGAAGTGTTCTCTTGCAGTGCTCGCCATTGGCAGATTGTCACCGACCGGTTATCTTCGGTGGCTGCGATTCGTGCCATTGTAGCTATTTAGGTGCGATGTCAGCCAAAGCCAGGGAAACGATAGAGTTTATGTGTGAGAGCTCACCTTCCGAGGACCACGCCGCGAAGAAAGAAATCGGAGGAGTATGGTCAAATTGCTCTGGCAACGCTATCATTCGTTATACGTTGAAAAAATACGGCAAAATATCTCCTCACCCTTATTTAAAGTAATTGAGATGGCCTAAGTTGATCAGCCAGCCATGGCGCCTGCAAATGTGGGTCAGGATAGTGATTCTCAATCCTGACGATAGGTGCATGGCTAGTAAGGGCCCGCCGGAGCCCGACACTGCCCGTTGTCCGGCCCCATCGTCCAGGCGGACCAAGACAGAAATCTGCCTTTACGTACTTCATTAATCTTAGAGCCACGATAAGAGAAACAGTTTCATCCTCTTCACGTAATAAATGTCACGGGGAAGATGCTCGAAGATTCTACCGGAACCAGGTTAGGCCTCACGGGTAAAGAGAACCGGACATCTGTATATGTAGACGCTCTATAGCTTCTAGCTTTACTGCATGGAAAAGCGCGGAAGATGATGTAACTTTGGATATTCTATTTCTCCAAAATTCTACTCGATATTATCATGGGAAGGCGGGTTTTGCTAATCCTGTAGGCATCACATTGTTCGCTGGTTGATTGCATAAACCCTGACCAAGCACGGCCATATCTGATGAGCCCAGAAAATAACCTACTAGCGCCCGTATCGTTATGATGATGCCGTCGTAGCACATAAACAGAATAGATTAACCAACTTGAGAAGAAAAAACAGATCTCACTCCAGACAGAGATAAACACAGAGATCAGTCTCGGGCGGATTGACATCATGCTCAAAAAACATCTCGCTGACCCATCCTCGATGATAAGTCTTGTGGTTGATGATATGCAGAAACATACCGCCACGAGTCATCTCCGCAGGTGTTCCATTCACATAGTTGAATTTGGAGCGCTTACTGAAGCTCTCGCCGTCCTGGTTTCCCGCCCAATCGATATACCACTGGTTGACCTCCAACTGGTTCTTTACCAGTTCATCAAAGTCAGGATACAGCAAGTCGCGGCGATTGGAAAAGCCGTGCTCTTCGTTAAGCAGATGGGCACGCCAGATCAAGTCGACTTGATGGTTGTGGTTAAGGGTGCCGACCATGGATTTGAAGAGAGTCTTGCGTGCCTGATAGACTGCTCCTTCTGGTAACTGTTCTTTGATGGATTTGAATAGGACGCGGTCGGCCCAGTCGTTATATTTGGCCATCATGACAGCCGTCTCGGTTGTGAGCATGCTGAATAGCTCTATGATTTCAGGGTTGGCCTCGGAAAGGATGGTGGATTGAGACGTTAGACTGTGTCTGGGCTTGTGTGGGGGATCGAGGTAGGATTGTCTCTAGGGATTTCTTCAGGTGTGCAGTGGTTGTCAAGTTCAAGACATAATCGTCGTGTATTCACGGGCTGCAGTTTGAATGGAATAGGTGTTGAGTTTGAACCGGCCGTTCGATGATCCAACATATATTTCCTGACACGTGACGTAGTAAACGAGATGCTTGTATCGACTGATCAGGTACTTGATTACCCACCCGCCTAATGTAGGGCATCCAAGTCTAACTACTAACTCCCCTACCAGTGACAGGCCTGAGAGAAATTCCATCGTGAACCCAACTTGCTTCGCGGGCTGGGCGTTACTTCTCCAAAGTGGAGGCTCCACTTCCGTCCAAGTGGGGATCAGATGGCCGACGCCCGACGGGATCTTCCTTTATGCCCCGTCGGCCCGTCTCCAATCGCAGGACTGATGCCAGTGCTTGATATGACAAACGATAAATGAACTATTGAAGGATTCCTCTCCGATCGAGGATATAGTCGAGGCAGGAATTTGCAGTGTTGTTTGTGGCGAGTACAAAAGTCAGGCGTCGGCTCCATCCCCCGGTTTTGGATCAGGAACTTTCCTGTCAGCGGGATCGTAACGCTATACGCCGACTTGGGTGTTTTTGACTGGAGACATTAGTGTCACCAGATCGTTCATGATCCTCCAAATTCCCAAGACGGGACTATGAACTCCCCAAGATCCTCCGTTAGCCATGAGGTGGAATTGTTCTCTTCTGGCGTCACGATCGATAACCCGTTATCCATCGCTGAGGCAAACGGGAGGTCAGCCCGAACTTCTGTGTCTGCCATATTGGTCTCATGCCGGTAATCATTCGTTGCAATGGCGCCAAGCTCAAGCTCCAGTGACTTCCACTCGTCCCAGCCCAGGGCCTTTAATCGCGTGAGCGTGTATAGAACCCACTCGCCCATTTTCGCCTTGATTCGAAGTTGCCATTCAAAGTCATTCATGAGACCCTTGAGCTCCTCAGATTCCTCGAAAGTCGCGCTGGTCACCCGAAGAAGTCCCAGAAAACTACCAAGAATCACGCCACAGCCACCGGCAGCAGAGAACCAGAACGCTTCCATGTGCTCGGGTTGTAACCGAGACATGAGCTGCACCAGATTATACACATGCCGTCGTTGGGAGGCTCGAAGGGACTGGGTGAAGTGAGGGTCTATACCGGAAGAACAGCCTTGGATTGCCCATACCATTCGACGATGGAGGACGGTGGTGGTAGCGTGAAGGGCGAGATGGAAAAGGCCGTTCACGCAAAGCCGGCCTTGCTGGAGGTTATCCACGTTGAGATTGGGATTTAAGCTCTTGAGCAAATTGGCTAGGTCATCCTGAATGGGCTTTGAAAGGGCGAGCACCTGCTGAGGCTGGGTAATGGTGGCCATAGCCTGGACAGAGTATAATTGACGCATCACACGAGCCGTGATCGTACTCAGTTTAGCAAGTTCAATGAACAGAAGCTTTCCATGTTGTATGCTCGCACTACCACCGCCATGTCTGCTGGCAGACTCGTCTTCAGTGTTCTCTGAGAAGTCACGATCCTGCAAAGGCATAACGGCCCACTCAGTCGGCGAAACAAGACAAGGTCGGCCGAATACCATTGCAGAGAAGGAATCTTGAATGAATAATGCCCAGGCCAGTCTTCTTCGAAGGCCTTTTTCCCACTCCGGTATAGTCCAGTCAGTACAGTCTAGATGAAGTCCTAGATGTTGACCCAACCCGATAAGCGAAGATGTGAACGCCCACGTCCAAGAGTTGTCCGGTGAGGAAGCGTCTCGACCTCGTTGTAAGAGTAGAAGCCCGGCCTGAATGGTGTTCAGCCGTGGACGGTGCATTGCATCCTGCACGGATTGATAAGCGATCTTGACAAGAGCAGCCTCGTCTACCTTCTCCGCCAGAAGAAGGTCTGCATCATAAGGCCACCAGCGCACAGCAAGGGCGTAGACAGCCGCCAGTAAATGTGGCACAATTTCTCGATAAGTCCGGTTGTACTTTTCGATAAAGACTTCCTTATGAAGGATTGGAAATGATGGGTGGATAATGCGGAAGTACAGATTGACTAAAGCAGGTCCATGAGGATGGGCAAGTGCTTCTATGCTATCAATGTCGACTGCGTCGGGCTTTTCGTTCTTTCCTGCTTGCTGACCAGATGCCGTATCCGGGATCATTTGAAACAATACCCCTTCACGGACTTTACGCATTGCTCTCGCACCGGAGGCATGTAGAGAAGTAACGCCCTGGTCAGTGGTAGCTGCTTGTTCTGACTGTCCAATAGAACAACTGCGAAGTAATTGCCAGTCATGTTCTCCTCCGGGTCCAATGAGCTCGGAGAACCGGCCCTTCTCGAGGCCAAGTGTTGATGTAAGCAGTGAATTATGTGGATAATTGAAAGGATGTCCATCATCATGCTTGGATGGAAGTTGAGAAGGTGACGTTGATGCGAGTCTCTGCGGTCGAGCTGGTCTAGAAGTGTTGGGTGCGGTCGCTCTTTGTTGCTCAACACTGAGCTTTCCAGACTCATCGGGAGCTATTGCACGCCTCTTGGGCGGGGGAGGCTCTAAAAAGGTACATGCGGAGATACCTAGTCCTTGGCAAGTCATGCAGGACGACGCGCCATCCTGAAGCTTGCATTGCTTCTTCCTCTTTCGGCAGAGGTCGCATGCCCTCATCCTGCTCACGGCGCAGAAGGTGTCTCCGTAGATGTCGAATCTACCTACAGAGACGATCAGAGCCGAGTCGCAGGTAGGTGCAAAGGATCCATGGTCAAATTTTGATAGAAGATGTTGAAGATAGTTTGCTACAGTCTGAAGCGTGGTCTAGTGAGGCCACGTGACGCTCTGCGAAGTAGTCACGTGCTGGTTCTTCGCGGCGATCGATATTATTCAATCATGGTCTGCACTAGGTGTGCATTTATCTAAGGGGAATATATACTTAGCAGTCCTTGCTTGATCATATTGTTAATTCAATCAACTTCCCACTGGGCCTAAGCGCTCATGAGATCGCCGGATTTTTTTTCCTTGCATCCAGCCATCGACCTGTTGAGGACTTTCTAAAAGGCTTGGCGGCGGGGTCCTAGAACAACCACGCCGCAGGGTGTGATCGAAATATCAATTCATCATATTATAGCGTATTTAATTACTGACTCTTTACTGTTCAATTCGGAATTACTCCCTCTCTCATGTCTAAGCTAGGGCAATTGTAATCCAAGGAACATTTCTGAATACCCCCACTTTATCAGGTCTGTCGACCTGCCCTCATCAACTTTGAGAAGCCAACTTTGAACCCCAGCGGGGCCCGACGGGCCCCGATTTGCCCGGCACGAGGCCCCGATACGAAAGTGCAGCGGGCCGGATCTTTTAGAGATCACTCTTCTTTCCTCAACCGGAGCAACGTGTTTTGTCACATCGCGCATCAATTTGTACTACCGAGCATGACTTCTGATACGAATTCAGTCGAAAATGACGAACATGTTCAATCCACGCTGAGCAAGTATCACCTGTCCATTCGGGGTGCGTGCAACTTTGCCTACCGAGATGTCTGGGGTCCACGAGAAAAGTCAATGGGAGACCCGTGGTCACCAAGTAATCCTAACGGAACGTGCGTTCAACTCCTTGTCTTTATACTCCTTGTCTTTATACTTAACTGGATAATTGTCTGAGAACGGTTTACTATAGCGTCATCCTTCGCCTGGCCGAGAATAGTCTCATGCACGAGGAAGTCGGCGAATTCATCCGTGAACAGGTTCCTATTCCCCGCTTCACCCTCTCTATCCAACACACTAATAATGATGAACATAGATGAACGTTTTGCCAGTAGATCACTTAACATACAGCACTGGTCCACGGGGGTCCCGACGACTTCGAAGTGCCGCAGCTGCGCTTTTGAATGAGCAATTCCATTCTCGAACACGTATCACATACGACAATATCATTGTGACTCCCGGCCTAGCCAGTGCCATTGACGGAATCACCTTTGCAATTTGCAATGAAGGTGATGGAATTCTGATCCCTCAGCCATTGTACAACGGGTTCAATGTCGACATCCAGAACCGGAGTAATGTCCGAGTGGTAGGCGTCAAGTATGAAGGAATAGAGGGGTTTGGCGGTCTGGATGACCTTTTTCGACCAGAAGTGAACAGGCTAGCTCTTGAGGCTACGATTCATCATGCAAGAGAGGAAGGGATCAACGTTCGCGCTCTATTGGTGTCCAAGTCAGTTCGCACCCCCCAGATTCTCGACATATTGAATGTCGTTATTTAACATGCTGCCTATTTAGCCCGCATAATCCTCTAGGAAGATGTTATGTCAGTATTCCTCCTCCCTGTTAGGACTAGTTCCAGACACTGATTTGAGTTGTTAGCCCCCCGAAACGCTACGGGAGTTTGCATCCTTCTGTGGGAGAAATGACCTGCATTTGATCTCTGACGAGATATATGCATTCTCCGTCTTCCCCAATCCCCAAATCCCAATGGCGACTAAATTCACCTCTATACTCTCTCTCGATCTTGTTGGTGTCATATATCCATCCCGCATGCATGTGCTCTACGGAGCAAGCAAGGACTTCTGTGCCAACGGACTACGTATGGGTTTTGTCTGTACCAAAAACGAAGGTATCATGGGGGCGATGTCTAGCATTGGGTGAGTTGCAACGGCAATCCTCCTTTTCCATATTTCACTGACGGGCCTTATTGCTAGGATCTTCTCTTGGTCTCCACATATCCTGCAAGATGCATGGGCTGCAATGATGGAGAACAAGCTGTGGTTAGACAGATTCATGGCCCAGAAGAGGAATCTGATGGTAGAGCGGTACAAGACGACAACTTCATTCTTCGCGAAGCACGGTATTCCTTTCTACGAGATGTAAGTGCCATAGCTAAACCATGGCTTGGCAGATGAGCTGACCCTTCTCAAGGAATGCCGGGTTATTTATCTGGGTAGATTTACGCCATCTCCTTGTCGCCAAGTCGGCTGCTCAACAATCAGACCATAGCGCCCTGAGGGTGACCTCGCCAAACGGTCCAGTCTTTCTCCGGCGCGAGCTGAGGATTGCAGAGATCTGCATGAAGAATGGGGTCATGATTGCCCCCGGTCATGTTTATGTACCAGAAGAATATGGCTGGTTCCGTATCACCTTCACCGTGGGGAAAGAAGCATTGCAGGAAGGGTTGGAACGTTTCATGGCATCTATCAAGCAGGTGGAGGCTGAACGTCAAAGCTGGAAATAAGGTGATATCAGTTCATTTCAAACGATTTGATGCTATTCACGCTTCCGTATGTCAAATGCCCCGTCAGTTGGTTCATGGTGAAGCTCGATAGACCCGTTGAATGCAACTGGTGAAGGATGGGATTGAACTAGTGGCATGGAATCAGTAGAACATGTGAAGCAAACATCTCAAGAGAAGTGCGTGTCCCGATCAACAGATTTCCGAAAAGTGAGAGGTCCTTCAACAACAGAGCAAACCTCCCCCCGTAAACAAGCCTTTCTCTTTCCCTTTTCCTTTCCCACTTTCCTCCCCATCTCCCTTTCATCTATCTCCACGCCCACCTCTCCCTCAACGCACGCACAATCCAACCTCTCATCTACTACAATGGATTCTGCACCCCAGGAGACCGATCCCGCCTCTACCACAATGAAAGTCACCGGAATGAAAGTCGCCAGAATCACTGAACGGGGACTTCCGCCCACCATCATGAATGCAGCCATCAAGCCCCCAACCCCGGAAAAGCTGCAAGTCAGAGTCCTCGCCGTGGGAATCTCCCAGCAAGTCCGCAACCGAGTCGACGAAGACCACCCCTCGAGCAGATTCTACATGCTGCCCTTCGACCCCACTGTGGATGGCGTCGTCCAAGACGAAGCCACCGGCGACCTCTACTACGTCCTCCCCCGCGGGCCACGCCTCCTCGCCGAACGCCTCAACATTCCCAAGCACGAAATCCTCAAGCTTCCACCAAACACCGACCCCGTCAAGATCGCCGGCCTCACTGGTGCCTGGCTTCCGACCTGGGCCCTCCTCATGGGCTGTTCCGGACACAAGGTTCTCATCGTCGGCGCTACTACCTGCAACGGCCGCGTCGGAGCTCAAATTGCACGCTACCTCGGAGCCTCCGAGGTCATCGGTCTGGCAGACGACGAAGCTGCTCTCGCAACGGTCCACGGACTCACTACCCGCGCCCTGCTCGGCAACCCCGTTGATATTCCCAAGTTCAAGGGTATCAAGTTCGTGGTCGACTTCATTGGCGGCGAAGCGGGCGCTGAAGTCCTGGACCAGATCAACCAGGGCCCGCTCATCTGTGAGCTCAAATACCTGCCTGCCTGGGGCCCTCGTGGCGGTGACCCGTTCGTCGTGGACGTGAACCTTGTGATCAGGAGAAGAATGCGAGTCATCGATCCCGCGCTGTCGGTCTGGCATCTTACGGCTCCGCAGAATGTGGGGAAGCTGCGGTTTGCTATTCAGATGATGAGCATGATTAAGGTTCCGTTTGATATTGTGGCCAAGCCCATGGCGGAGGTTGCTGAGGTCTGGAATCATGAGTACTTTAAGGACTTGAAGCAGGTGCTTGTGCTGGTTCCTTCGGAGCGCAAAGTCCAGGGTGATGTTCAGCTGTTCAATAACAAGAGACGGGCGGTGGGACAGTTGACTGAGCAGCCTGCGATGAACAAGAAGCGAGCATAAACCTCGATCGAAGATGATGTTCGCCATGGTATCTTTCGGATGGAAGAACATACAGGGGAACAGTAAGTTAGACATGTTGCGATGATGAACAGGGATGTATGCCATGCGATAGGTGTACTTTAATGACGAGATAGCCAAACATGTACTTCAATAATGAAATCAGCGAACAGTTTGACTAAAGTGCACAATCACTTACACACCCTATCCAGTATGGTGTAGACAAAATATTAATGGAAAAAACTGGAGCACTGAAGAGTATACATCAGTATGCATGTAGGTAAGACGAGCCATCCTCAAGGCGATGTTCAGCTCGATTCCAGTCGACGAAGTCTGATCCTAACCAGGTATTAGCTCTATAGATATCAGAGAACAATTCCTCGCATCCAAGTGAACTTTAATCAACAGAGACCCCATGAAGAGAGATGTCTTATACCCGATGCTCAAAACCCGATGGTGTCGATCAACACTATCTCCGGGGCTGGACTAGTTATCTCCGTCTGCAGTCTTGGCGGCCCCCAAAGCTTATCCTTGGACAAATCTGACCCCGGATCTATCGGTATTTGCATGTGGAGTTGAAGATGAGAATAACTGGACTATGAATATAAAAAGAAACTGCATATACGTGCGAAGATGGTGATTAGTACAAACCCAAGACTCCATCGTCGAGGTAAACATCCATCATCATCATGGCATCACCCAAGATCGTCCTGATTACTGGTGGAAATAGCGGGATTGGCTACGAAGCTGTCAAGGCTTTCTTTGAATCCCAGAATGCCTACCGTGTTTTCATGACTAGTCGATCGCTCGAAAAGGGGCAGGAGGCAATTGACAAGCTTCGAGAGGGATGTCCAACTGCGACCAACACAGTCGAGCTACTCCAGCTTGATCTCGCCAGCGATGAATCGATCGACCAGGCCTTCAGGCGGGTTAAATCCGAGGCTGGATATATCGATGCTCTGGTTAATAATGCTGGTTAGTACACCCGAGACAGCGTGAAAATGACCTGCTGACAGCTATCGTAGGCGCCACGTTCGACATCGAGTACATCCGCGGCAAAACATCGCTCCGTGAATGCTTCATGAACGCTTATAACGTCAATGTTGCCGGCACGCACGTCATGACAGCAACCTTCATGCCGCTCCTACTCAAGTCCTCAGACCCCCGATTGATGTTTGTGACGGGCTTGTCGGCCATCAACCAGGCCGGGGAGAAATATTTCCCAACTCCACCCCAGCCGGCAGGGTGGCCGAAGAAAATCGACTTTGAAACCATTGGATACCGCTGCAGCAAGACAGCGCTGAACATGTTGATGTTGGATTGGAATCACAAGTTGAAGGCAGACGGGGTGAAGGTTTGGTGTGTGGGACCCGGTATGCTGGCGACTAATCTCGGAGGTGTGCCGGAACTGGCGATTGAGATGGGTGCCAAACATCCGAGTCTTGGTGGTCGACTGTTGAGGCAAGTTGTTGAAGGAGAGCGCGATGACTCGGTCGGCAAGATTGTAACGGCAGTCGGGGTGATGCCTTGGTGATGGTCAGATTGGTGGTTTTGTGAGAGCCCTGGATTGAGCGGAATTGTTAGCTATTCGTCAGTAAAGTTGGAGGATAAACCCGGAATTGACGTGATCTTCGGTCATAATTTGTGCCCGCAAACCTTGTGCTGCTTGAATTGTTGCACAACTCCATTAGTAATTCCCTCTGGCTTCCACAGCCATAAAGAAGTGTGTGACAAATCAACCATTCGTGCCCCACACAGAATCAAACAAAGTGGGAATATACAGAAGCCAGCGCACAGCAAGACTTCGATCACACATCAAGTTACCAACACACAATCTAACTCACTCGACATGAAACAAGCTTTTGTTGACAAGACCGTCACGGTCGCCGTGCGGGATACCGAGGTTCCCACTCCACAGCCAGGCCAAGTGCTTATTCGCGTGGTGGTCTCGGGGACCAACCCAAAGGACTGGAAAGTACCCCGGTGGCGCCCTGATGCCCCTCCCACGAACCAAGGCGATGATATTGCCGGCTACGTCGAATCCGTGGGCGAAGGGGTGGTTGGGTTTAGAAAGGGGGACAAGGTGGCTGCGTTCCACGAGATGTTGGCGCCATATGGAAGTTATGGGGAGTATGCGATCGCGTGGGAGTATACCACTTTCCATTTGACGGCAAAGACAAGCTTTGAAGGTGAGAAAGAAGAGCCCGAGCAATTGTCGTAGTAATTCCACTGACACTCGACTAGAGGCTGCCACTGTCCCTCTGGCTGCGATGACCGCGGCACTGGGCCTTTTTCAAAAGTTGAACCTGCCACTGCCCTGGAACCCGACCAGCGAGCCATTGCCCTTGGTCATATACGGTGGAGCCAGCGCTGTTGGAGCCTTCGCTATCAAATTCGCGACGCTATCCAACATTCACCCATTGATTGTCGTCGCCGGCAAGGGCGCCTCCTTCGTAGAGGGTCTCATTGACCGATCCAAGGGCGATACCATCGTCGACTATCGTGAAGGGGATGATGCAGTCCGGTCAAAGATCAAGGCCGCGGCCGGCAAAAACCCTATTCATCATGCCTATGACGCAGTCTCCGAGCATGGCAGCTACTTGAACACTAGCGCTGCTCTCACTGCACCAGCTACCATCACCACCGTTTTGCCACCCAAGGAGGACGACGAGATCCCCACTGGAATCAAGATTGACAGGACCATGGTCGGATCAGTACACATGGACCCGACAGCGGGCAAGACGATCGAAGACCGCGAATTTGGGGCCGCGTTTTTCCCATTCATCGGGCGTGGGTTAGCTCAGGGATGGTTCTCAGGACATCCATTTGAAGTGCGCCCAGGTGGATTGAACGGAGTCGAGGGTGCACTGCGAGATCTCGAAGCGGGCAAGGCGTCTGCAGTGAAATATGTGGTGCGGATCGCGGAGACCGACGGAGTGTCGCAGTAAATCCCGACAACCGATGACTAGTAGTTCATAGTTGCAATGTCAATCCATGCTTAGTGCTCTGTATAGTTTGATGGTGGACTTCGAATTCTCGTCTCCGAGGATCCCGTGGTAGCACCGTAGAGCGATAGTGGATAGCCGTTGACACTAGCTTCGTCACGGTCAGACGGGATGCACCGAGGCCGACGGGCTTCGATGTGGAATTCTAAATTGCTTCTGCATGAGTGGATCAAGTGAACCACGGAAAAATCCAGGTATTTACTAGAATCAAGACAGCCTCGTCGTCAACGGTCTCGGTGATATAACCGAGTTAGAGTGATGGAATGCAGCTTAAAGAGATGAAGACAAGCGCAAGCCCCAAAGGCCAAACCACAAACGCGACTCCGCCCACGTGCCAGGAACGTGACAGGAACAATCGGGCAATACGCAACCTCCGACGCCCGGAAGCTTATCACGAAACAAGTTTAGCAGACTCCATTTTGCTCTTTTGTGGTCGGATAGGGAGCCAAATTCGGGGAAATACTGGGTCTGATGGTCCTGTCGTGCCTGATCGTCCTTTCCTCTTGTGGTATCCTCCTCCTCGATCCAGTCTTGCAGTATGCACGCCACTATGTCGATCAGCATGAAGATGGCAGTCCTTGCGAACGGCGTGGGTTTTTTGTTCAGAATGATTGGTGATTGATGCTTTCGCACTGAGATGGCTATGGATTATCACAGCAGTCGCGATGGCCTGTCACAACACAGGGATTATTCACCTATATAATCCTCCAGATTGGCATCCTCGGTAAGAATGGGGTTTCTTTTGAAGAACAGACATACCTTCGACAGTTTCTCGTCCGTCGATAACTGCTCATCATGGTTGGGTCGACATCTTTTGTCAAGGCTTTGCCCTTTCTGGCGGCCTATGTTGTTGCTAGTGTCAACTATCCCACGATTCCCAGCGACTTGACCACTCCCTTCCAGCAGCGTCTCGCTGTCTATGGGCCCAATGGTAAGATGAAAATTTTCGAATTGCTATATATAGTGCAACATTGGACTGTGCAACATTGGACTATACTAACACCATCGTGATAGCCGTCTCCGTGGGTTGGAACACTTATGAGCAGCTCAACCAGAGCTGCGTGGTCTACGGCACCTCCGCCGACAGCCTGACCTTGAGCGCCTGCTCCACCACGTCCAGCACCTATGCGACCTCGCGGACATGGTCAAACTATGCAGTTCTGACCGGCCTGACTCCCGCCACGACTTACTACTACAAGATCGTGTCAGGAAACTCCAGCGTGGATCACTTGTTAAGCCCCCGTACTCCTGGTGACAAGACCGCTTTCAGCATGGACGTGGTTATCGACCTGGGTGTGTATGGCAAGGATGGATATACCACCTCCAAGAGAGACACTGCCCCCGTGATTGAGCCCGAGCTGAACCACACTACCATCGGCGCTCTTGCACGGACCGTCGACGACTACGAGATTGTCATCCACCCCGGTGACTTTGCCTACGCGGATGACTGGTACCTTAAGTTCTCCAACCTCCTTGACGGCAAGGAAGCCTACCAGGCCATCCTCGAGCAGTTCTACGACCAACTTGCCCCCGTTGCTGGCCGCAAGCTTTACATGGCTAGTCCTGGAAACCACGAGGCCGACTGCTCTGAGATCCCCTACCTACTAGACCTATGCCCGGAGGGTCAGAAGAACTTCACCGACTTTATGCACCGATTCGAGAACACTATGCCTAAGCCATTCGCCTCGTCCTCATCCAACACCACGGCGCAATCCCTCGCCGCACAGGCCCGCAGCCTCGCCAACCCTCCCTTCTGGTACTCCTTCGAATATGGCATGGCCCACATCGTCATGATCAACACCGAGACCGACTTCCCGGACGCCCCCGATGGAACCGACGGCTCTGCTAAGTTGAACAGCGGACCCTTCGGCAAGACCAACCAGCAGACCGACTTCCTCAAGGCGGATCTTGCTTCTGTCGATCGCACCGTGACCCCCTGGGTCATCGTCGCCGGGCACCGACCCTGGTACAGCACCGGTACTAACAACGACTGCTCCTCGTGCCAGGCTGCATTCGAGGATATCTTCTACAAGTACGGTGTCGATCTGGGTGTTTTCGGACACGTGCATAACTCGCAGCGCTTCGCGCCTGTGTACAACGGCACCGCCGATGCCAACGGAATGAACGACCCTAAGGCCCCGATGTACATTGTTGCTGGTGGTGCTGGTAACATCGAGGGTGTTGATACCCCTGGTGTCGAGCCTTCCTACACCGAGTTTGCCTATGGATCCGATTACAGCTATGCTACCATTCGATTCGTGGATGAACAGAACCTCCAGGTTGATTTCTATCAGTCCTCGACTGGTACTCTTCTGGACTCGAGCACTCTGTACAAGAGCCACGCTTCGCAGTTTGTCCAGCAGTAGATTGGGTCGTTTAAGCCCACTTTGGGCAAGACGATAACGATCATTTCCATGTGATATATACGTTTTTGCTTGACTAGATTTGGTAATGTACATACATGCTTCGCTCTGGATAGCTATTCTATCAAAATCATTCCAAGCGTACCCTACCTTAGACTCTTGAACCCACCGGAACAGCTCCCCTTGAAGAAAGAGCCCAGAAGCACCGATAAATCTGGATCGCGAAATCGACAACCCGATTTGGAAAAGCCCCTTTCTAAATGCATACGATCGGTAGCGATCTGCCGTGGCGAAGTCGTTTTAAGGATGATCAGCAAATCAAATTGCACCCCAAGCCCCAGCTAAGCACAAGCGAGGCGGCCAAGTGAGGCGACCATGGCGAGCAATGGCCACTATATACTCCGTACTCGATTTGATTTCTCTGGCGGTAGAACATCGGCAATTACGGTACCCGCTCGGTCCCTTGAAGCTATCCAGACAACCACAACCCTACTCAATAACTCATTCAACAACCCCCGTCGAACCATCAAAACTCAAAGGATATCTATGTCTGAACCAATGCATCCAAGCCAAAGTCCGGAAAAAACACACCCCTCGAATCCGGCCATACACGGCGCCCGCCAAACCACATTATGCTTCCTCACCGGCCCACCATCAACAATCAAAACAAGCCAACCATTCAGCGTGACAATAGGACTCCCATCTACACAGCCCTCTATCCTACAAAATCCATCCGAGAACTGCTCCGAAGCTATACACCTATCCCTGAGACTCGCGGAGAACCACTCCGCTGCGAACATGCTTAGCGGGAATTTGACGTCGACGATCAGTCGCGTGAACGGTTGCTCGCCATCTTCAGTTACTTTTGATGGAATTCGTGTTGTGAAAGGTGGTCGGTTTCGGCTGAGGGCTTTGCTGGGGATTGACTCCGGTGGTGGTGTTAGGGTTGCGTTTACGGTGGACTCGGATATATTTGTGGTCTTGGTGTGAGATTGATGTTATACACACTATCGCAATTCTGCGAATTGATATGATCAACCCGATGTTTGATCCTGAAACTGGAATAACCGTTGATTGATTGCGCTGCTGGGTTTGTTTTCTTTGCAAGATAACAAGTAATGGGTTGGAATTCGTCCTAGCCAGACAAAATGATCAAAAGACATGATAGGCCGATCCTACACGCTATTTCACAATTTCTTGCTCCTAGCATCACGCAATAGCTCCAGATCTCAGCTTGATTTGACATCACTGTCTTTGGATCTAATTCTGGATACTATGGAAGTGTGTTCCTGTAAGTTTGTCGACGTATCCACTTTTCATGGACTAGCTGCTGCTTCTTCGACTCTTTGATTCGATGTGGGAATTCTGTCGGAACCCAGAAAGCTCTATTTAATCGATGATTAGCTATCAAAAGGCATACAAGGATTTAGTCTCCATACCATCTTGGAGGTCTTTCATGGACTCTTTCAAACGCACGATTTCAGCCCTCAGATCCCGGATCGCTTGATCGCGTAGCTGTATATCCTCGGTCAAGTCTGCGATAGTTTCGTTGCATTTTGAACAGTTAACCACTTGTGCTGTTATACTTGTGGTAAGCACGTTGGCTCTTAATGCTGGCCTTGATGGCTGGTCATCGGGTTCACTAATTTTGACTATCCCAATAATCAGTTTGCTGGCATGCACTGTGATCCTAGTGGTCTCAAGAGATCTGACCTATGTTGGAAGTAACTTGTAATGTCCCATTCGCATTTGACACTGCCGTCGAAGCAATTTGAGCACGGGCCGATCGGGCTGTCTTCAGGCCCTCCGACCTCGCATCAGAAGCTTTGCATATTATCGACATATATATTGGAAAGCGTTCTCGATTTTCCAATCATGGTATAGAATCCGGACAGCTATAGGGGAAAAGTAATCGCGGAAACAGAGTAGCGTGGCGATCGATCTCTTAAAGTACTTTAAATGCAATGTCCACACAAATCTAGACTATGACGTAGCTAGCTCATGGGCCCATTAGACTGCTCGAATACAAAGGCGTACCGCGAATCAAATCCCGATGAGCCACCAAATTCCAGCGACCATACTGTCGGTATTCACCAATTATTATGACCGAATTGGGAGCGCGGGTTAAATGGTGTCTTGTCTCGCTGCCTAGAGACGTCAGTGGAGTATATTTTGCGGTGTAGATGATGGTTCAGCGGCCAGGCCCTCCAGGGTCGGGGAGGATGCTGTAATTCCGGTGCAATGGGGAGAGAAAACACTCTACTTGATGACTTTGAAATACTGACGATGATCCCGACCAACTAGTTACCCCTTGAAATTGTCGTTCGGAATAACTGAGGCATGGGTGTCTTAAAACTATTTCACCCCACAGCGAGAATGTTATTTTTGGGTCGACCTATCGTGTTTCAAATTAAACGAACAAATTATAACGTTCCATTACTTTAGTGGATCGGACTTTGTATGCACTTGGCGTTTAACGGACGTTTGACTCCCGCGTGGGTCTGACATAAAAATGAGAGACGAAATCGAAATCCATTTAGCCATTCAAGTCTTGTTAGAAAGGTACACTGAGCAAAACATACACCAAGCTACCACATATATCTAATCTTGACCTTCCGCATAACTGAAAGTCTTTCCATAACGTTCATGAGCTTCTTCCGCTACCAGATCAATAAAAAGCTTCGATAAACCTCGACTTTTCTGGGCCTCGGCAAGGTCGTAAAGTCGCGTAGCTATCTCACTTGACTGAAGGTATTCGACTCGAAAGGCAGCCCACAGTAACGGCTCCATGATTGGTCTGGGGTAGAATGGGTCGTTACGCCAAAAGGCAGTCACGCCTTGTCTCACGCCCGCTTCATCAACAGACATATCTTTGCAGCAGTCAAAGTCTAACACCCATACACTATTCCCACCCGAAATATTCAAAATGATATCAACACTCCGTTTGTTATTCTCGTTTAGAGGAGCAAGGACAAACTCAGTATCGTTGCCGTCGATATTTGCGATCCAGTGCATGATAGCAAGGGTCTTAGCCATGATCCGGGCATACTGCTGTCTGTCTTCAAGAGAAATATCCAGTTCATCCATTTGGTTGGCATGAAGAGGAAAGTTCCGCAGCGAGAACACTTGGATCTGCGAGAAATTGGAAAATTCTCTCCACAGGCGCCGTCGGCCAAGATATGTCCGAATGAGACAATCCTTGCTTGGCTTGCTCTCCATGATGTCATGAGCCATCTGAGGCAGACAGTACTTGTGAATGCGGAGACGTCTGGTTCTAGCAGGCAAAGGTGGAATGCGTCGTGATTCCAGGACATTGCATGCAGTATATCTCGGAGGAAAGGCTTGTAGATTAGAAACCCACCAATCGGAGTTCCTGGTGATGAAACGTCTGCAATCTAGAACTTGGATTTGAGGGTTCATCGAGTGAGAGACCTTGTTGAATTTTTGAAGGCTTTGCAGTACTAGTTTATGCTTGTTGTAGTCATTTTGGAGCGATCGGAAGGGGCTGCCATCTTCTCTCTTGTATGCGGATCCGCCCTCTGATGAAGCCCAGACAGTGCCACAGAAATCAGTGCCGATCATATGAAGCTTTGAGATAGGCTCTTCGGAGCTTTCAGGAATACTTTCGCCTTGCATGATCTTGATTGGTATTCAAGGGAGCCGCCATTCACCACATCGCTTCTTATGGATAACAGTTAGCCTCATTAGGAGTACTGTATTTCATCACCTTCGATTGCGTACTGACTCTGATTGTTATTCTTCATTACCGTGCGCCCTAATTCCGCGACCAGTGATCCTAGAATTCCCGCCCATATATGGGGCTAAACCGTCGTTCGCATCACTTGCTTCCTCTTTTACGTACATACTTCAGTCATAAACATACGCCTCGTAATAGTTCCACTGGCTCAAATTATCCAGATTCTAGCCTTTATGAATCTGACCGATTTCTAGTGATCTTGGGGGATTTAATATGATCTGTACTGATTTTCCTATTGTAAATCCCATACGGGTGGATCAAAGGGGCGCGAACGATTTTTATCGGCAAATATGTGGCCAGACAGTGTAGCGTGGCTAAGTTAAACCCCTGCATCTGCATCACAGGAAGCCAATCCTCGACATATTCCTATCAATGCTTCAACTCAACGGGCATGGGGCGACGCACATGGGATTTAATAATATCTAGAAGCACCACTCTATGACGCCCGCGAGTCCAAAGTTCAGTTAACGCTAGATTTAAAGACCTAAGGAGATGGTAGCGGCGCCAAATAGAAAGTCATGCGACACTGGATGCATAGACAAATTTTATTCCCACAGAAAAAGCTCTCAATGCTCATATCATTCATTTTTTGACAATGGAGACTCCGAAATGGCCAAGTCAGCTTTGATCAAGCCGGAAAATCCAAAGTTGATAGATCGGATCGCGGGCAGCTCCACTCGGCATGACATCACCCGACAAGCTTAATTTTGCGCGTCAAACTTCCCAACCTTGACATGACAACGCGTCTCAACATCCTCAATTAACCTACTTCACTGCCACAATGTCAAAACGCACGCTAGACGCATTCTTCAAACCAGTCACCACCTCTACCTCTACAAAACGAACCAAACCAAACTCCGACGATACACTACCACCACCACCGGCCGAAGATACCTGCCCCCCAGATACCCATCCCAGCTACCCAATTCCAATCCCCCAACTCCCCTCACACATCTCAATCAGCTTGACACACGGGACCCCCGCAAAGCAACCCCGGACCATAAACAACCAACCAGACCTGGACCTGCTCTACTTCAACCCATACATAACTCGAACCACAGCCAACGAACTATTCAAGTTCCTCCGCCGCGAACTACCCTTCTACCGCGTCCAATACACGATTAAGCGCGGGGGCATCGAAACAGAAATAAACACACCCCGATACACAACCGTCTTTGGGGTCGACGAGACGTCGCAATTTATATCAATACCTACGAATAACTCCCCAGATGCACACCCTGCAAACACAAACCCTCAACCCACTCTAACAACATCACAACCTCAACCACAACCACCCCTCTCAACCCAAACCCTCGTCGACAAACCCTCCAACCAACCAATCCGCGCAACAAAATACCAATACACCCCGCGCCCCATCCCTACATGTCTCACACACCTAAAAAACCAAATCGAATCCGCAACAGGCGCCCACTACAATTTCTGCCTGGTAAACTACTATTCCACCGGCAACGACAGTATAACCTTCCACTCAGACGACGAGCGCTTTCTAGGCGCAAACCCGGACATCGCATCGTTGAGTCTAGGCGGGGAACGGGAGTTTGTTATGAAGCATAAACCGGCGCCTACGGACGCTGCTGCTGCTACTACGCAAGCTACGCAAGGTCCATGTGGTGCTGCTACGCAGAACTCTACCGCGTCGTTGAAAATGCCCCTCTCCTCGGGCGATATGATCGTCATGCGCGGGTCTACACAGTCACACTGGCTGCATAGTATACCCAAACGCAAGGGCCGGGGTGGTGATGCGGTGCGGGGACGGATTAATATTACGTTTCGGAGGGCGAGGGTTCCTGCGTGGACGAATAATTATTATAAGTATAATGTTGGGGGAGGGGGCTGTTTTTAGGTGGGATGAGGGGAGGGGGAGATGGTTAAGATGGAGGGTGGGGGGTGAGGAGGATGTGTAGGGGATTGGAATGTTTGTAGGGAGTCTGGAGGAGGGAGTTTTTCGGTCTCGGAGGAGGATGTTTTGTGATTGATAGAGATCGAAGAGGCATTCCGCGATTATAATAGAAAGCCATCTAACCATGATACAGGGCGCAGCCGATTCATCATGCTTTGCCTTATACTCAGAGAGACCTCGTCGCTGTATATCCATTGTCCGACACAAATCCAAAGTCCATCAAATAAAGTTCTATTCATGTACAAAGCTAAAACGAACATCGTCACAAAAAGGTATCACCAAACCACCATGACGAATAAACAATCATCCCCACGAAAAAGTAAAAAGCTTGCAACCTGCAATGCAACCTGCAATCGCATAAGCTATGCATACAATCAAGCTCGCGCAAACACAGCGCAGGAATAAGCTCAAGCTCAAGCTCAGCCTCAAGGCCAGGGGCAAGGTAAAGAATGAAAAGGACCAATGACAGGTCAAAGTTCAAGTTCAAGGTTCATCACAAAACTCCATGTACATTGCTCCCAAAAGAAATAAACAGCGAAGCTGGAAGTCGTCATATGCACTGGTAGTCCGGTCCATTAAATCGCGCCATCACGGCTATGCTATCCGATCCGCGATGGATATGGGATATGCCGGTGGAAGCCAGACGACAAGGACCGAAGGGTAAGAGTGAGATAAAATAAGTGGGAAAAAAAAGGTCCCTCCCATCGAGAAGAAAAGAATACAGGTCAAGGGGGGCATGATTTTATGGAATACAAACATGGATGTAAGAAAGAAGAAAAGGGGGGGACGGGAGGGCGTGATCGAAAGGCCCGTAAATAGGGTTGCAGATGCATGTGCGGTTTGGGAGCGTTGATTAGATGATAACCTCCTCGCCGTAGACATCGGCGTAGCACTGGAAAGTATCCGGACAGCTGTGTCACGGTCAGTAAAATGGAAATCCACCAGGGGAGAGGGCAGTGGCAGGTCTTACAAAACAGGCTCCTTGCCGAAAATAATGTGCCACGAATACTCCATAATATTGGAGGTGACCTCGTCCGGCAGATCATTATTCAGCACCCAATTATACATGCGCTTGTAATCGCTGAGCGGACGTTGAAGCACCTGGTCGCGCGACACGGCAAATTGCGAACAGCACGGCGCACCAATCTCCTGAGGCACATTGTCATTACCGAACAACACTTTCCATGCCTCGGCGTAATGCTTCTCGCCCGTGTTACCCGGCTTTGGCGGCTTGCGGAAGGGCTGCATCTCCGCGGGACAACCTGGCGACAATTGACAACGCAAACTGACGAAACCCTCGGCCAGAACGTAGTCGCGCTGAAGTGCGCGCACGGAATCTACATTGCTGTAGTCCATGGTATCGGTGTGCCAGCCGGCGGGCCAGCCGTCGCGGTGGGAGTGAAGGAAAATAATAATTGCCGGGAGATCATCGTAATGGTCGACGATATATTGCAGATAAGGGAGAGCCTCGCGGCCCTTATTCTTTGGGGTATGTGCGGGTGCGGAGGTATCGTCGACCGTGTAGACGAAATTGCGCCATCTGGAGAGGAAAGTGGGTTCGTGTCAGCCTAGTCTTAGATTTGGGTCTGGGGCCAAGACCCAATCCCCAACGAGCCTCGTCCACGAGGAAAAGCCCCCCCTGATGGACAGAGAAAAATAAAAGAAAAAAAAAACGTCCAGTGGCTGAGACAGCAATTAGACATTTTGTCCCAATTCGATTTGCAACTTACTCGGCCAATTCCGCGGATACCCAAGCGGTGTCCTCCTCACGGAGTTTCCCCATGACAATAATACCCTCGTTAGGGATTTCGATGGGAGTAGTCTGGAAAGTCAAGACGGCCGAGTTGCCCGTGCCAGCACCCCATTTCCGGCCGCGAACATCTTGCGCGGGTTGTGGTCGTAGAGCGGCGCGGAAAGAAGTAGTATCGAAGCGCCAGAAGGACTTGGGGGTTTGCTCGGTGGTCAGGCGACGGCTGAAGAGGAAGAGGGTGACGATAATGAGCGCGGCGGCCGAACCGACTCGAAGTGATAGCCTCATGGCATTCCGCGGTGACTGTGTATGTCGGGGGGAAAAGGAGTAAAAACGAGTGACGAAAGTTGGTGAGAAGTGAGAAAGGAGGCCGAGAAGAAAACGGGCGCGGCTGTCAGGAACGGAGGCGGAGCCACATGCGGCGGGAGAAGGAGAAAGAGGGGGGGGATACACAAGCACAAGCACAAGCACAAGCACTTGAAGCCGGATTCAAGAAATCCCCGTTGAACAAGAGGAACAAGGCAACAAGTAAATCACAAAAGATGAAAGGACTACGGAGAATGAGTCGAAAATTGGAAAAGGAAAATACGAACCTCAGTGAGCACTTTCCACCAGCGAGTTTCTATCGGGGCCAAGTGGTTCTGAGCGACTGCGTGATTGGGACAATTTAATTGGTGGAGACCGAGTGGACAGAAAGAGGGATGCTGATTGGTTCAATTGGCTTGATTTAGTCGATTGTTTGGTTGTGCTGGGGGGCCGATGCACGGGCATCCACGGGTCGATCCAAGTACTTGGAAGTACCTTCCCGCCTATTTTACTATGGAAAGATACTTACTCACTACTTGTATACCCGCCGATCTCCCTCTTCCCCTGGACCCCTCAACCTCAAACAGATCCATCTCGGCTGGACTGCGATCGGCAGTTCGAGATATAATTCTGAAGATGATCGTACATATTAACCATGTCTATACCATATTCTTTATTCATCACACTCACAACTACTCCCGCATCCGGGCCCTTCCAATTCTCCCCTCTACCGAATGACTCCTTTTCCCGGCACCTGCATTTAGCCTTTTCTCTACCCGTCCCATGCAAGGGAGTCGATGTTATGCAGCCTCCCCCACTTCCTACCCCCCCATAACTTATATGTCATAATAGACCTTGACGTCAAAATAGGATTGGTAGAGTTATCATGACTATCCGACTTGAAGAATAGGAAATTAAGTGACCTTTAGCTGATATAGTGAGATGCCATCACCCATGCTATATATATAGCACGGTCGGCAATGCCAACCTAAAGATCTTCACGAACCTAGTTCAAAAAGCGGAATTACTAATAGAAAAAAAGGATGTAAGATCTTAGTTACTCAAAATAGGGCGTTACATACTCAAAGAACAATGCAATTGACAAATAACATCTCGGAAGTTATCTAACCCTTAGCTAATGCCCCAGTCGGTGCCTCAGGTCCTTGCAGTCTCGTTTGGGAGGGTAAACGACATACGAATACGACCTAACAATCCCAACCCCACCGAAACACTAGAAATTGAGTCAACAACTTCCAATCTACATTTATCCATAAGACCCTGTTGGAACCACCTAAGCATACCACTGAAACCAGCCTTCTAACAGATTGACGTAATCTCATACTAACTTACAACTCCATAATTACATACTTCACCAACGGTATAACTTATCCGCGGCACCGACACCATCCCCTCCACAACCAGACAAGACCCTGCATAAACCCAATCAAAGATAAATGAACCTTAAATTAAAGGATACCAGAACTGAGCTGGTCCAAACCAAGTTACATTCTGATGACAGGGGTACTCGGCAGGTCAGTGTCGCACCAAAAAGCTTAGGTACAGGTAACCCCGCTAGTCTGAAACGCGATAGGTCACAGCTTGGATTAGGACTGTGCTATGCATGGGTGGTACGAAGAGGTTATTTGATCCTCGCATGAGATATCGGTATACAGTAGATGAAGAGTTTGTATTTTAAAACGGAATAAGGTAGTAATGGGACACCGTGAACGCCTCGCGAAATGACGAGCCCGGGATATCTCGAAGAAACAGCAACCAAAAAAGCACAACGACAAAGGTATAGAAATCTCCATAAATGCAGATGCAGCATTTTCCCAAATCAATCACAACTCCAAGCTCAAAATAACACAATCCACCCACATCTTAGGAACTCTCAAACCCCTCCAGCGGAGGAATATTAACATCAAAATCCTCCTCCACCCCAGCAACCCTCCCAACAACACACCTCGCCCTCTCCAAAAGCGCCCCCTCCCCACAATCCCGATGCTCCAAAAGATGCCTCATGAATGTATCCAGCCCCTCTAACGCCCTAACCGGCCCCCCAAGCTCCCGACAACAAAATATACATCCGAACGGACCACGTGGTTCCTTCAACTCCCCCGTCAGCGACCGCTTACACTTCATATGACTCTTTGCCAGAAACGCCCAGCGGTATTGGATGCCCGTAGAAGGGTGTGTTGATACTTCGGTATTGACTTTCGGGTCGTTCCGGCGTGAGTCCGTGTCGAGGGGCATTTCGAAGAAACAGGTTGCGCAGCGCCATTTTGAGACCATGGAGTAGTAGCCTTTTGGTTCAGAGTGGACTTTGAAACCGCCGAGGCCGGAGGAGAATTTCCAGGCGCCTTTGCAGAAACCGGCGTAGTTGTTGTCGTTGCTGGGGGGCCAGCAGTTGCGGGGTGGGCGGTCGGAGGATGCTGAGGATGTGCCGGAGTTGGTGGAGGAGATGGATGGTGTGAGTGTGGGGCGTGAGATGGGAGTGCGGATTGGGGGTGATGTGCCGGTGGTGACTGGGGTAGGTGGGTCGCGGAGGTTGGTCTGGGGTAGACGTCCGGGTTGTGAATTTGGACGATTTCGGGAAGAGGGAGGGGGATGAGGGCGGGGGCTTGTATAGTGTTCTTGTCGGATGGTCTCTTCGGGTCGAAGTTGGGGGATGAAGCCTCTAGACTCGATACCAGTATCCATCATCGCTGCTCTACGTCGTTCAACGTTCTCCAATGGACTGAACTCCTCTGCCCACGGTGTTTCCATGCCTAGGAGGTACCTGGAATCAACTATGTTCGTTCGAAGTGGATGCATATGGGCGGCCGGTTCAGGGATTGGCTCAGGAGTATAAGTTCGAGTCCAATCCATGTCTGACGCTCTAGGGTCCACGTCTATGCGCGATGAGGTCGTGGTCGTCTGACCCGCGTCCATGATCCACGGGTTTGCGGTCATTTCAAGAGTGAGAGGGTCGTAGTTCATATCGTCCCCACCTGATGATGAGGGTGCACTATCATGCTGACGGGAATCAACCTCAGTTGGGAGGGTGTACTCTGGCATCTCTTGCTGCGCTAGCTCTCGCTGTATATTCTGTTGCAGTCGAGCCGCAGTGATTCGATTGATTTGATTTTGCTCAATATAATCCTGGAGATCAGCTCTATATGCACCGACCGAGCCGTAAGAACCCTCCGGTGGCCTTTCGACGATCGTATACTGGTCGGGCATTTCAAGCATGGGCGGAAGACCCGCACCTGACCCGAAGCTGCCAAAGTGAGAGCTCGACTCGCCTCGTGGAGAGTACGCCTCGACCGAGGATCGCCGACGACCCGAAAGGAGACTTCCGAAGGAGGCCCTTGAGCCGGAGGACCTCCTGGATTGTGGCGAGACCGCCTGTTCCTCTACCTGGCGGATAAAATTCAACATGTCAAGCTGTGGACCCGACGAGCTTCCTGCTAAGACCCTGGCCCCGGGGAATGATGATCTGCTCTGTATGTACCGGGAAGATGGGAGTTGAGCCAAATACTGATTCTCGATGAGGTTGATCCAGTAAAATAGCCTTGAAGCGGGATCGATTGGGACGGGACCGAAACTGATGGGTGGTGGAATGGGGGCAGCCTGGGTGAGCCGCTGGTATAAGTTATGAAAGACCGTAATGGTTTTGATCCGACCGCGATCGGAAGCTTGAACCAGAGCCATCAGATCAAAGTCAGCGTTATTCTCACGCAAGTTTGCGAGTAAAGCACTCTGCAACTCGATCACGATGTCCTTCATCTGCTCGCGAGCCAGCGGGTCGCCATCTTCGAAATGGCGGCCTAGTCGGCTGGTGTGGGCATTCCACTCGGTCAGAATATCTTCTCGTCCACGCCGTAGTGACCACTCGAGATCGGTAGGGCTTGCTTCGCTGGTGAGGGCTGGTGGACGACGGTGTTTCTTCCATTTTTTCTTGATGGCCTCAAAAAGCTGGTTGCCATCGTGGTATGCGGAGACGACTAGTTCAAGTTGATTGCTATTAGCTATCCTCCGGAGAAGTCACGTTTGTAATGTAGGGTATTTTGGAATAACCAACCTGCTGCCACACAGGCGACAACGGCGATCACCTCCCCCACGATCATGACGATTGCTGGGTGCTGGCAGAGGCAGACTTGGTAGCGACAAGAGAAGTGTGTCACACGAGTCGACGGCCGGAGATAAGAAGCCGGGGTAGATGGCCGATAGCAACGAGTGGATAGGAAACCACAACCAAAAGAATACCAAGGGAAAGACAGGTCTTGGGAAAAGACAAGAGATCGATGATCAAGGAAAAAGAAGAAAATGCCCAGACAGCCAGACAGAAAGAGGACCGGGGTTAACACCGACCGCTCTAAATCTCCCAGCATTCAAAAGGCAGCGAGCTTCGCACAGAAGCAGCAGCACGGGCCACTCAGCGAGTCCTGCCAGGTTGATCTGGAGCGAAAAAGAAAAAGGCGAACAACAGGGGGACCGGGTTCCTCACCCAGACGCGCTAACCTGCATGTCTGTAGAAGAGGGGGATTGGGTGGCGGACAGGTCGATTAGCGACCAGGCGAGTTCCGAAGTGTCGGATGAACTTATCACGGCTTCGACAGAGATACTGCAGAGACCAGTGATGTAGGCATAATGGACGAAAGTACCGAGTACAATCGTGCATCCACCATGGAGTGCAAGCTTTGTACTCTGCTCTTTGTCCGAAGTACGGAGGACAGAGTACCGGGACTCCAAAGTCCAACAGAGCAGCAGGCGAGAGGGCCAAGAGACTAGCCAGTGAGGCTGAGCGTTGGCGGAGATTATCCAATGCGCGGAGCGGAGTGAGATTGAAAGTGGAGAGACCAGCAGTACACTTCAGTTGACATTGGAATCACCCAATGACAGCTGTGCAACCCCCTGCGAGAAGGCAGTGCAGTCGAGGAGTCCACTGCATGACTGTTCGGAAAGTAATTTCGATGCCTCTGGGAACCCGGGTTTTAATCTGCACGGATGCAGGGTCGAAAGCCAATTGTCTGGAGGGGAAGTCGGAGGTTGGTGAGTGTCAGTTGAGTCGCGCCGGTCGATCGGTGGCCCTCTTTTTACCCCGGAGATCCACTCGTGTCCACTCAAGGGGCCAGTGACATCATGTGCAACGGAAGAAGTATATCCTTGATTGACCATTAACAATTGCTCATTTTTAAAGATAATTATTGAAAATATGATAGATAGCCTGCAGGATTTCCTTATGCTTGTTTGTTGGTCGATACCCAGGTACTCGGGTCCAATCTATCTGCAGTAGACCCGACAGCTGCACTGGTATGCATGCTATGCTTCAATTCGTCACCTCGGAGGAAAGATTCGATGACTCGAATGATAAAGGTGGAATCCGGGCCATAGAATTGTCTTCTAGGTTATTCTGGACGTGCTTACATAGCACCTAGCTGTCTAGAGCCGCATGATTCCTGCTTATGAATGCGACACGCGTCACCTACGCAGGAGGGGGATACTTAATGCATGTTTTCAGGGGCCTAGCAAAGTGATATCAGCTAATCTCACTGTGATATTCTGAGATCTAGTCTTGTTAAGCGGAGTTTGGTCTATTATGTGCGTGAGTGATATGATATGTACTTTCATTCTGCCAAACAACGGTAGCCGTAGTTATATGAACAGAATCACAGCGTTGGTAAATTCCAGACTCTAGGGGTGGAGATTTACATTTTATACAAGACGGGCTACCGTAAGAGGCAAAGCTCAACGTGTCACATCTCAACTGTAAGGACTAGCAACGGTGATCAGCTAATTTCAGGCGACCTTTCATAGTAGCCTAGACACAGACGACTCTATAGAGCTCCCCTGCGTCGTCGTGCAGATTCTGCGATAGCGGACGAGGAAGTCTGCAATTTTTACGTAGGGTATATTCCCCAGTAATTAGGCGAAAAGAATAAACGTAGATTGTAAACGTAGGTTGATGAATGGTATTCAAGCGAAACAAAGTCAGTATGAAGAAATCAATAGATCAATAGATCCAGCGCCAAACGAGAACGCCAGTCTTTAAATGCAGCCCACCACCCCAGAGATATCATCGCAATGTATGAGCAAAGCCAAAAACCCAGACCAAAAGGAACACGAAACGATAAAAAAGACCATCAACAACACCGTCCTCGCTTCTTCGCGGTACTCATCACCTGTACCTCCTCGGCTTCACCGACAGTCGGCGTCGCCAATCCCAACCAACTGCGTCGTTTATCACCATATCCAAGCCTGAAACTGCCATTCCCATCCACAACCCCCGGCGTAAACGGACCGATAGGGACATCAATCCCAGGTGTACCAATAGCCGACAAGGCGAGTTCAGCATCCCGTCGATTCCGCTGCTCAACCAACTTCCGCGTAATAACACGAAAAACCTCATCAATCCCCTCCCCATCCTTGGCACTAATCTCATGACAACAATCCCACCCAATCTCCTGGCCCCAAAACGCAGAACTCCGTTTACTATCCGGACTCTGCAACACACCGGGACTAACCACAGGCGCCGCCGCACCTGTTCCAAAAACACCAGACCCAAACCCAAGGCCCATCCCCATACTCATGCTCATACTGCCCATGCCAGCGGTCGGCGGCGGCGTCGAAGCCCGACTCGGATACAACTGATCGGCGACGTACGCGATCGTGCGCTCAAACGGAACGCGCCTCTTTCCGGGGTCCTCGGCGACGATATCACTCTTCGTCCCGACGACGTGGATAACGAGGGGATCGGCATCGTCCTCGGCGCCGCCGATATTCCGTCTCAACTCGCGTAGCCAGCCGGCCATTTCTTGGAAACTGTTTTCGTCGGTGATGTCATAGCAGAGGAGGCAGGCGTGTGCGCCGCGGTAGTAGAGGCGTGAGATCGAGCGGAAACGCTCTTGGCCGGCTGTGTCCCAGATTTGGAGACGGACGGTAGTGTCGGATGTTGTGTCGAGGACGCGCTTTGTGACGAAGGACGCGCCGACGGTGGAGGTTGTGGTGGATGGGTCGAAGGCGTTGCGGACGTAGCGCTGGACGAGGGAGGTTTTGCCGACGCCTGGATTTTGGGGGTTATGTTAGTATGTGATTAAACGAGGAGTCTTTAGAAGGGGGTACCTTGTGCGCCGAGCACGACTATCTTTGCCTCGAGGGAGGAGCTCATGGCGCGGGGTCGAGGCGAGCGGGGCCGACCGTCCGCATTCGCATGATCGGGAGGGCCGAAGGAATGCAGTTGAGAAACTGCGGGGGGAGACGTGTGGAGGATAAGAAAGAAGGAGGAGGCAGTAAGAAAGAGATGAAATGCTGAAAGACCGAAATCCGCTAAAAACAAGGAACCAAACAAAGCGGAATCAGCCGATCGATCGTGTTCCAAGGTTTGTCAAGGTTCGCAGGGTCAGCTGCGGGTGATCCTCTTCTCTTCTCCCCTTGCAACTGACACTATTAAAAAGTCTGAGTCAAGGGCTTACGAGGCGCAAGGGTGTCGTGACTGACTCATGGGCTGAATGACTATTATTGTGCTTGTGGTCATCTGTTAATATGAGAGTTTCTCTTTTTTTTTTATTCTTATAGTATCGTTTTAAGCCTCATGCAGGGATTCCTTATTTCACTAGAGAGAGACTAGCCACCTCCCATGCCGAGGCTAACGCCACGCGCTAACAAAATATGACTTGCATACAAATCTGCCACGCATTCCAGCACTGGCATTGCATACTTGTATATTGATTGGGATTATGATTGGTGCCTCGGATAAATATAGTCATTTAGTCTACGAATAGACTAAGTGAAGCCAAGATCTTAGGGAACTATATATTTTGGGGGATGAACTTTAGGTAGAAATATCCACGACTTGAGCAACCGACAGTTTTCCCCGCACAAGCTCGTCTCCAGCTCTTCTACATTTTAGTCGTACAGATGTTTAAAGCGTCGCTTTCAAATCAAATGGATCTAACTGTGCATTGCGAGGAACGTAAGAGGTGACCTATCACTTTGTTAGGCTAAACACAGATTTCTATGGTTCCGTTCATGCGAACCTTCACAGGGTATATTTTTTTAGATTAATGTATCTACATGGACTCTTTAAAACAGATCCCCAACTCTGACCGCAATTGATTTTGAGCAATGAACCTGGCATTGAAATCGAAAATGCAAGCGAAGGGTATATAGAGGAAATGCTAGTTTTCAAAGACGTAATCTCAAACCAAGCAGAGGGTAGCGCTCAGTGCTAAAACGTTCTGTCACTGACCAAGAAAACGGAATGAAATGACATCACAGACATCACATTGACAGAGAAAAGAAAAGCAATAACTCGACACCTCAGGTCAAATAATACTTTTGTACACAACTTTTTCTTCTAAACACCGTTCTCACACTGTTCCTCCTCTGACCCAGGGGAAGCAGTACCCTTCTCCGGATCCGCAGGGCTAGCATCCGCAAAGCCATACTCGACAGCCTTCTGCTCAATCTCCTCATCGGTAAGCCTAGGCAACTCATGCGAAGCCTTGACATAGCTAATCTTCTCGCAATACCCCTTGGCAAAGATAATATCGATCTCCTCCAGAGAGCGACCAGCGGTCTCGGGATAGAAGAAGTACATAGGGGGAATGAAGATAGCATTCATAGCGGCGAAGAAGAGATACGTGCCCCAGCCGATATGAGACACCATGACGGGCGTGATCATGACAACGGTGAAGTTGAACAGCCAGTTAGAGCAAGTCGAGACGGCGTTGGCCTTGGCACGAGTGCGGATGGGCGACAGTTCGGCTGGGTACAGCCAAGGGAGAGGCAGCATGGCAGCGCCGAAGAAGGCCATGTACAAGAAGAGACCAAATACGGCACCCTTGGCTGGCCCGGTGCCACCAGGAATGAGGCAGGCGAAGACGATGATCATGGAAACCATTTGGCCGGTCATACCGCCGATGAAGAGCTTGCGACGACCGATCTTTTCGATGAAGAACCAGGAGAAGGTGGCGAAGATGGCGTAGACGATCATGTTGATACCACCGATGAGCATGGACATGAACTCGGTTTGGCCGAGGGACTGCTTCAACAGGACGGGGAGGTAGTAGATGACGGCATTACAGCCGGACAGTTGCTGGGCGATTTGTGAAGAGGAACCGATCAGCATGCGACGTAGGTGTTGGGTCCTTCCACCGGTGAGAAGGTCGGAGTACCCAGCGCCTTCGGCGACACCAGCACTAGAGAAGTGTTAGTAGATGTTAAAATCGAGAGATATGAAAAATGACATACGCTTCGATAGACTCAATGACAAGCTGTTTCTGCAGCTGAGTCTCGTGGTCGTCGATTTCCTTTCCAGCAAGAGCGGCAAGTACATACTCACCCTCGTGCACCTTACCCTTGGAGATGAGGTAGCGAGGTGAGTCGGGCAAGAAGTACATGCCAACGATAATAATGAATCCAAACACAATCTGAAACGCAATCGGGAAACGCCAGACCAGATCAGGAGGACCGTACGAGGCACCAAAGTCAATCCAGTAAGCAATCGCTGTACCAATGGCAATAATACCACCCTCAATACAGATCAACAGGCCACGGTTACTGGTGCGAGAACACTCAGCCTGGTAAGTTGGAATGGTCGAAGTATTCATGCCATTTCCAACACCGGTAATGACACGGCCAAACATGAACTGCAGGAGGGGAATATGGCCAACAAAGGAAGTGACTTGAATTATGACACCGATGATCATAATCGCAGCACCACACATGACCATCCATCGACGACCGAGTCGGTCACCGGCAAAAAGGGCAAACATAGCACCGAATAGACAGCCTAGCTCGTAGACGGCTGTGATTAGGGCTTGCATGGTAGAGTCGTTCTTGGCGGCTGTGAAGACGTCGTCGAAGGCGTTGGCGGAAATGATGCCTGACATTACGCCTTGGTCGTAGCCGAATAGAAGGAAACCCATCGTGGCGATGGTGGACACTGTCAGGGAAAGTGGCCTGCCGGACATGCCAGCAAATGTAGGCGCCATGATGGAAGTGTGTTGTTGTGGTGACTATAGAAGAGCGCGTAGGAAGTATATGTATACTGTGGTGGGTGCACGTCCTGCCCAAGAAGGGATATACTTGTAATAGATCCCCACGTGTATATAATTGAAGAATGGGGAAGGGAAGAATCGAATTGAGGAGTCCAAGTTTGGGACTAAAGAAACAGATGGAGAAAGAAGGGAGAAAACAGGGAAACCCCAAGGGGATGCGAGGGCAAGCGCGCTCTATTTAACGAGCAACCCTTCTCCAAGCCACACACAAAAGTGGCAACGAGATGCAATCGTGGGGCCTTCAAGGATTATTTCCCCGTGTCCAGTATTTCCTACTCCAACGTGTGCAGATTCTCCCAATGCCCTTACGAAACAAATGCATGGGAACCCGCCGATGCAGGCTCCGCTCCACCCACATCTTCAAACCTGCCGGTTCGCCGAATGGCGGCTCCGCTGGGTGGAGCCAAGCTCCCGGATGCATCAATTATAAGCAGTTAAGCATTTTTTGCAGACCCGCCCAGCACGAACGGAGTTTGGTGTCCCTGATGACATCAACGCTACCAAAACTGATGCACTTCGGCTAGTCGGGTCAATCTCATTGGAAATCATGATTCGTGAAGAAATTATGATGTGGAGGGGATGTGGGTGACGGAATTACGTTTGTTGTCGACGTGGAGGGTATCGAGATGGGCTTGAGTGGCCATACATATCGTATAGAATGGAGAGAATTTGTGGTCCGGGTAGTCGGAAAGAAGGTGTTTCACATATGCCATCGATATACCATTCGCCCTGACTATTCTAAATGACAGCAGTGTCAAGCATAGATGGTGAAGCCACAGACAAAAAAGATTGCCGCACAAGCAAGGGGGTTCAAGTTTAACGGTTTCGCTACCATATCCACGGAAACAGCCAAAAAAACAGTGGGACTTGATTTGAATTCTTGATGTTAAGACTGTATTTCAAGCACAAACCTTACACCCTTGAAAGTACAGTTCTATATGATCACCCACGAGTTTGCCTCGGAAGAACTAGTCTGATAGACTTGCCATTTAAAAACCTGCCCCGGTTATATCGACATCATCAAAAAGTTTCATAAACGATAGAAAGTAACACCGGAGATCTCCCACCACCAAGATAACCCATTCAGTCACCATTCGACCCGTGCATACAGTAGTATGCATTCAACGACACGGATGATGAGGGGTAACGAGCTGGGTAAGACATACTTACCCCGACGATTCGGCACCGCAGGCGGCAAAAAAGTACTCCGGACGCCGTCACCGTAAACCCAACGGGGTGCAGCGACCGGGAAGTTGGTGGGCGATGATGCAAGAATGCGCCGTCCGGACCCTCAGCGGATCAGTGGGGCTTTATGGACCCATTTTTGGATCGCCGAGCGGGCAGTATCATCACGGATGATGCATAATTATCAGGGCTCGCGGTTAGGTTTCTTGGTTGTATGCTCTCGGTTTAAGTAGGGGTATGAATTGTGCCTCAAGTGGTAGATTTAGCATATAGTTTTCTTCACGGAGTTCGTCGCACGGACATGTACCGAATTAGACTCAGTAGTTATGGTTTTATAATCGAGTCTATCCCTCGTTATGTGTGGTGGGGGTTGGAGAACGAGATCCGCTGGCCTGCATTCTGCATTGCATTACTGGCCGCGAGTCAGCTTGATTGATTTTGGTCAAGAGGAAATAGATTTTGGGAAGTCCATTAGGTTTGTTGTCTTTTATCTTGTCTTTTATCTTCTATAGGTTAGGTGAATCTTGCCGGGCTTTCTGCGTTAGAAAGTAGGGCTTGAGTAATTAGCGCTTATTGTCTACCTCAGTACTAATCTCCTGATTTGTTGCTATTGATTGCTTAATACACTACTTATACAGAAGTGGTAAATTTAAGGGCGCAATAACCTACCTATGTGTTAATTTTGGAAATAATTATATTTTGTTGTCTATAAGTGATGTAGTCTTTGTACTAGTCAACTCTCCTCTGAAATTTAGAAAGTCGTTAGGGTCCTTACTAGAATGCCGCGGAAACACCCGCTTGGCTTAATCCACGTCATTTGCTGCTAAGGAAACAAATAGTTGCTGACCATATCTACTGACAAGGCAATTGGTGTGAACAGTCTCTCAAGTCGTTTTCATAGGAGCATGAAGGATTCAATGCTAATTTCGGAACCCAAAGCCTCAAAGAACATTACATGTCTCTGCCCCGATAGCATCATATGAATAGCAGGTATTCCTGAACACACACATACTACTACGGCAGGGCTCATATCATGGCAAGAGGGCCCTGAAGGTGGATAACATTCTTCCCCGACACAAATATTACTGTAGGGACATTACGATCATTAGAAATGACATACAGAAGTAACCCTCACGAGAACAAGGACACACGGAATATCCATAATGAGGAACTAATTCTGCCTCGTCATTCAAAATCATGAAGTGGTTACCTTTACAACCCCCTTCAGCAATTGCCGAACGGAAAGCATACACAAGCTTTGCAGAATCAGTTGGAATTTGGCCGTTACTCATATGCCCTAGTGAGAAGTTCAGAGGCAGTCAGATAGGTGCACGAGGGGGGCATTGTTCTGCAGCTAGCTGGAACGGTGGTAACGACTCGCGCTATCGTTGAAAATCGAGCTGTCGTCATCTATAGTGGAGACCAGTAACCAAGCTTTGCATGATTTATAGAGTATCCAGAACAATGTCCAAGCTCACAAGGCGGTAATAATAGATAATCACGGAGATATCTCAATACTTGAACGGATGGCCTTCAGTATTACTACAAAATGCAGTTCAATTATTGATCAGAATTTTCATCTCCAATAATAAAATAGGACGCCTTACTTACAAGACATAATCATCCAAGCTGATCAGTTCTGGGTCCGAGAAAATGAGGTAAAAGTATTTCAATGTCTCTGCAAGCCAGAAGCTTTCCATAACATCCAATCTTGCCGTCCTTATGTCGCGGGTATCATTGAGCGCAGCATAGCCATATTCAACTTTGGTGTACTTCTTGATGTTCTGGAATATTCTCCAGGCGGCATCTTGCAGTGACCTGTCGCCAGTAATTCGGTACATAATAAACATGGACTCGATTGCTTCAGGTCTGTGGAAAAACGTCAACCCGGCGCTTTTCGATCAACTCCATCGAGTGAATAATTTACCTCAGAAAATATCCTGGATTAGCGACTTCCAGTATTGGCGGTTGAAGCCTATGGTGCTGAATAATAAGCTGTGTAGCCTCCCGGACATTCGTAGGCAGTGGCTCTCCGTCTGGCCATCCGAAAATATCACGGATCCATTTTTCTTCCTCCCATTCACAACGGTCATAATTCCGGCAACCGCTGATGTATAAGGTCTCAGGCATAATTCCAGTTGGCATGAGGTCATATGCCCAGATACAGCCATTCACCAATTTCTGTGCAATGGGCAAGTCATCTGAGCGCCCAAATGCTCGGCTGCCGAGCGCTACCATACCCCCGAGGAAGCACTTCAGATGCTCAGTTTGATACTCAAAGATTTCTTGGCCTGACTTTGAATCAAAACGGACATTTCCAGCGAACAAGATATCTTCCTTATCTTTCGTCATGCCATGGAAGAGTATATGCTTTTTGATCCCTTCCATTGCGGAGATATACATTTCACGATATTGGTCCGATTGTGCTCCAAGTAGTAAATACTCTTTGACAAGGTATTCGTAAGTGGAGTCAGCCATACCACCAACGGTAAAGTAGTTGTTTGAGAACTTCAATGCTTGGGCGTCAAACGAGAGCGGCCACAGACCCGGCAGTCTAGTCTGGCTTTGTGTGCGATGTAGGGTGTCTGTAATTCGCTGAACAGCATCAAAGTATTTGGGATCGCGTGTAATTTGCGAAAGCCGAGTAAACTCTAAGCTCAATGAGCCTATCTCGGCAAGCAGAGTACTTTCACTGGGGATTACTGAATGTTCGAATACGCTCCTAAATAGTGGTTAATGCGTTCCGAAGTGAATCTAGGAATGCAGCAATGCCTTCCCGGGAGTCGAGAGGACAATTATCGCCTACCTTATCCATTGCCATCGTATCTCCGGCATCCTGTTTGGGGTATCAAAGGCCCCATACAAGAATTCGCCCAATTCCTGGGCTTTCTCAAAGAGAATAGGACGTTTTCCTTCGGTCAAGTCATACGCACTGATCAAGCCTCCCAGATGTCGGATTGTTGTCTCGAAAACATGAACAGTGGCTATCTTAGGAGTGGAAAAATCGACATAATGGACGGCCTCAAGTGCGGCTTCAAATTCTTCATCCAAACCCATTATGAGTAGCGTATCCAAGGAGTCAATCAAAGTTGCCGCCCACCCCCCAAGGGAGCTTTTATAGCCACCACTGATCGGCCTTAATTCATCTCGCAGCCAGGCATAGGTTTTGTACCCGTTCCAGCTATGTTGGAATGCGTTTCTCACCGCTCGTTGCCTTTTTGTTCTCTCACATCGATCAGATTGGGTTTCACGATCAAACCTGTGTTGGATCTGTGGAATGGATCTTGATTTGCCTTTCGGAAAAGGGATCAAGAAGACTGGACAGGTTTGAACAGGTCTGGCAGTTATTTCCTTTGTTTGTGTGGAAATGATGCCCCCTCGGTGGCTTTCATGAGTTATCTCCAAACTCAATATCAAACACGAGAAGTTGATACTGATCAGGACGAAAAGTAACAAGTTGGATGACATGTGGCTTTCTTGAATGAACATCACCGGTGGCGTCTGGTAAAGAATGAAATATTCAGGGATCAGCTTCGAGTTAACTTGCACGAGACCTTTATACTGGAGAAAGCAGCAAAGGCACAGTGGGGAGTTGAACCCCACGTAATGCGAAGTCGGAAAATATTACGGCAGATGGTCAAAACCCGCATTCATGCATGCCTTTTGTTCACACTATGAAATTAAATTACCAATTTACTTTGCCAACTACGTATTGAAAGATCTTGTCGTAATCTCGATTAAGGTTTTGTTCCCCGCCCACGCTTTTCCCCAATCAAACAACCAACACACTCCTCACACTAGAAGTCCAAAATTGGTCCATCCAAAATCTCTTATCAAATGGAACAACTTCGGAAAACCTTCTACAGTCCAATTGCATCAAACATAGGGCAATTCAATTATTTTTTGCCCCGAGCTCGGGTCTTCGATACTCGCAAAAATAACGGCACCATGAGGATGCTTCCAACAAATAAACTGAGAAGGAAATAAAGATGTGGAGACACGTCATACCCATGCAAGATTGCTACCGTGTCTCGTTGGAAATTAACCGGTGTAGTCGGTAGCTCAAAGGTTGAAGGCAGAGGCCACAGATCTTCAAGTAACTGCCTCAAAGCTTGTTTCACTTCAATCGATGGGCCCTTCATGTCGTCATTGAGACAAATGAACTTTGTTGGTCGGTCTCTTATCGATTGTAGTTGGTCGATAGTGGTCTGGTAGTCGTCTCCCAGCATCTGAAAGGTCACATCGGTTCCCATCTTCAGTCTATATTCCTTCTTCTGCAAACGCGATCGCAAACCTGGCATATCGATGCAACGCTCCACGTCCTCGATAGATAAGCCTGTGGTGCTTCCCGTCCTCGTTGGTAATCCCAGGATGCTCTTAAACTCAGAGCTATTATGAAGGCACATTTGAACGAAGTCATGAAACCCTGAGGGTAGGTTTGTTCCGTACAGAAGGCTTTCGATGCTTTGAATTTCACCTTCTTCAATTGTGCAAATGTGACTGGCCTCAATGCCTTGATCCCGCAGCCCGCACAGGTTAGACGATAGAAAGTCGTGGCGATTAATCAAATAGTTGAAATAGGCAAAGCCAACCTGCAGGTCCTGTGGGTGGCGAAATCGATGTGCTGAATTCAGCTGAAATTGTTGTGGAAACATGCCTTTGAGCTCGGTAAGTATTTGCTTGTTCATCATATGAGGCATGTGAGACGGGACTCTTCGGAGATGCTTTGAGGATGGGAAGCGACCGTTGAATGCCTTTATCACAGATCTGATTGCATTAGCAACCAAGTCGTCGGCATGGGGGCACTGCGAAAATGCATCTAGTAGGGCAGCAAGTTTTATTCTGGTGTTGGTTTCCAGCCTTAGCATGCTATCTGGCGTGGTTGATGCCTCGACGTCCTCTGAGGTACGATTGTGGGTTGAGTGTAAGGCAACGCTTATGTGGCCGTGTCCTACAGGGACATCACTCTCCACAACTGCGTCAAGCAATGACTGTGGGATCTCTGCGCCTTCCACATCGCATGCCGATGAGGCATAGACTTTCCCGGCTAGCCGCTCAATTTTGACTTCCCCATTCCCATCATCCACGAAGCCGTAATCATCAGACTCGAGCTCAAATGGCAGTTGGGGCTTATCCGAAACACTGTTCTCAAACCAAGCTCTATGCTCCGGATATGCATCATAGCCCAATGGAACTGGGTGGGAGAGGTAGATGGTTTGTACCCCTGATGGTGTGATAAAATCATCTGGCCAAATAGGTGCAGCTAGAAAAATGTCGTCATTGAAATATATGAATGTGTCACTGAGCCCAGCAATTCTATCCAGATTGCTCTCAATAGATGTGGAAGAAAAGACCGGTAAGTGTGAGGAGTTTTCGAAAATTTCCGAGTGTTTGACAATTGTGACACGGGGATTGTCCAGGTTCAGCCAAGTAGGAACCTGGCCATTTGTCACGATGTATATATGCCGTATCCAAGGTGCATATGTTTCCAGTGAGCGAATTGAATATCGAAGCTCGTCATTGTCTCGGAAATGATTGTCGGCGAAAGCATCATTCGCCTTATCAGAGCCATTGTTCTGACTATTTCGGAGATCAAGGGCAGGTGCATCATATTCCTGGACCCAGCGCTGATACCAAAAGTCCCTATCACTCTTCCATATAGGATCTGACCCGTTGACCCAGGTGTAAACCGCATCTATGGGTCCAAGCATTGATTGTTGTGAGAATCCGCTTTAGCCAATTTTATATGCGTTGGCATAAACACGAATTTCGTTTTGCGAGATGTCGTTCAAGATGAAGATCAACAAAATAAATGCAAAGGAAGACCGACAACTGAAAATAACGAAGATGTCGTTGAGCCACGGCAGGATTGACACACCCCTCAAACTAGCCTGAGAACCTGGAAATTTAAGGCGTATCATTATCTCAAACCCAATCTCAAATTATACAACGATACGCCTCAACCGTTTTTCAATGCTACTCCACATCGCTTTCTAGCTTATTCACTAACGGAATGGAAGTCTTTTTTCTGAATGGGGTGAAGTGTGGTGGAGCTAAACTTTAAGCCCTTGAAACTCAATCGTGCGTTCGCAGTCTCGATAGATCTCATCGTTCCTTGGGCATGAATATCTCGGTTGGAACCTTTACCGAACAACGTTTGACGACATGAAAATTGGATGGATAATCATCGAGGACAGACGAATGCCATACATTTCCCACGTCGGCAAAAACCCCCCTAATTGATGAAAAAGCGGATGCATCCATAATAGAAAAATAACCTTTCAAGGCCGAAGGGCTCTAGATCTCGCCCAAATGCGGGTCGGTTACGAACCCGGACCCAACCCCCATCGAAACGAACCACGGTAATACATGTCACATTATGCTAGACGCCACAAGTAACTACTCGTAGTTCATGATATTACATATGTAATTTTTGGTGTAGCTATCTGGGGGACTCTTACATATACTAAGTAACCGACTCTCCTCCTTACGTATCCCAAATCACAATACCCTCTAGCCTAGGGCCATGGTGAGGGTTTAGCAGCCATAACGAGAGGGGCCTCAGACGATTGCTAGTTAATCTACTGCGTCAGTAATATGCTATATTTGTTATAATCGCCTATTTGAACCGGAAGAATGTATGTATGTGACTGAATTTAGTTCGTACAGACATGTCATAGAGCTAGTTACTTGCTGTCTATATGATTATTTTCTCAACTCCTTCATCGGAATTCTTTCTTGTTCTTGTTCTTACTCCTCCTGCATCCACATGACTACAGGGTACCCAAATCAAGGGGCATAGCTAAGCGAGCTGGTACAGTATACCGTAAGATGGTATGTAATGTTTTTTGGTAACAATGCTTTGGAGCCTTGGTTGCACCGATTTGTTTTCGAGCTTTTCCGTCTGATGACACTTTGACACCTGCAGACGTAAACCGGCCTAGAGACCATTCTAGGTTGGCCCCAGTTGTAGAATCGCACACCAAGTTTAGTGGTCGGCTACTAAATTCAATTCGGTGATATATAAGCGAAGAGCTAACGCTGGACTGCTGTCACGTTCAACCCCTAGGTTTGAACCACCGGGTAAGCCGTTGATGATGAAAAGGTCGTCTTCTTCAAAGCGCTCAACCGAGAATCAAGAACTATAAATCACACAAGAAAGAAATCCTAGATAGCCCTATTTAGAAAGATAAGCTGGTAGATTGTTTAGTAGATAAAAGCAGAATTATGATATACAAATGCTCAGACAGTTTCAAACAGAGTATGTGCTTGCTTTTGATGAATGATTTCCAGCACTTTTAGATTAGTAACACACTTTGAGAGATCGTGCTTTCCAGTCAGCTCTCCTTGGATGGTCAGAGCAGTGTCCTTTACCACTCAACTTATGCACACCACGGAGCTACTGTTGGAGGAATCCTGGAATTTTGGGCTGATTAACTTCCCAACAGAGGAGACATGCAAATGAAAAGAGTAGACTAACAATCTTAGGCCAGACAATGGCACCCTTATTGCAGCAAATCTGATCACGACTATCACAATAGGAATCATCTAGTGCTTGTGAGTAAGCTGACTGGGTAGACCAATTGTGGCCCTGCTCACCATAGCCGCAGCGAGTTCCAGCTATGTTTCCCACAACATATCCAGTGCAACAAAAACAGCCGGGGGGACTGATCAGTCTCTTGTCAAATTCATTGTCATCAGGAGATTCCGTGGCAACAGAGATGCCGGTGATTGCAAAGAGAGCAAGAAGGGCTCTAATATGCATCTTTGAGGGGGGATTTTGTAATGGAATATAACACTCTAGGGCTGTCAGTGGCGCGGGGTGAACAATAATTATCACGAACGTATTAGATGTAGAGTAAAGAACTGATTTTAAATGACAACTGCCAGGGTCTAGAATGATACTTTCCAAAATCGGCCCTCGGATTATGATCCAGGTCGGCAGTGAGCGGGACCGGGGTAGAGGACCTTGCATCATTAATGTCACCCATGAATTCGAAAGCAGACCGAACCGGTTCTTGATGTTGGAAACACATCCTAGATCTACAGTTCTACAGTCGGCAACGGACCCAGTCAATATTAAGGTTTGATTGACATTGGGCATGATCCATAAGTCCAGCACCGCCCTTCAAGATAGATCAATCGCTCATTTTAGGTTATTATTACGGATCACAAGGTGCTGTGAAATTGAAATACTTGAGAATAGGATGACGAAAATACTTCATTTATTCTTTGTGCAAAAAGAAGACGAAACAGATAGCATAAAGTAAATGCATGCAGCGCGAATGGTAAGAAAGGGATATCCATTATATTACACAGTCGGTTCCCTGGGACGCATGGTGAAGAGTGAAGGCCCGGCTCGAACTCGTTTGTGGTGAAAATCAGATTTTTAATTTAGCCCGATGAGGTCCTGAAAATGAAACAAACACGATACAAGTTCTGCTACTAATTATCCTAAGACAGTTCCATAAAACGATAACGATCTAGGTGCTACCTACACATCGTCAAATCCCGCGGTCTAGATGAGCACTCTGTACGGCTCTCCGATTATTAGCGACGGTAATGTACCAAAACGGCGATACTTCAATAGGATTCCTCTACCGTGTTTCAATTCACTGTGCGCAAAGATGAGTTTCGTCGTCAACGATCCACACTACCATAGATACAGCAAGAATACGAAAACAATCAACCTTGTCATTGGAACCATAATATACTCCGTTCCGTCTGTATACAACCTTGAGACATTACTCGTGGATCAAATAGATCTAGACATCCGTCGACTTCCGTCTTTCAGGAGCAGCAGCGTAACCCCAAATTTCCTCTTGCTTCGATGCCCAACATATAGTGATGAGGGATCTAATTTTCACATTTCATCCCGCATGAGAAAAAGCAGACCGACAAGTAGCCCGGTTATTGAAATGACTGCAGCCATTGCGAATGAATGCTTCCATGCTTTTCAATATTATCCGTTAAGGTGGGAGCCCGTCACCACTGCTTGGCCCACGAGGTTAGTTACCGGTGGTTTTTATTATTCGCATCTTCTACAATTTCCACTCCAGGAAGTACTGCCGAAGGCGCAAGTACTTGGGCAATCATCTTTATGGGATCAAACCTTTCCCCCAGATGGTTGGGATTATTATTATCCAAACCTGCAGCTCCAAAGGGATCCCGATCCCGCAATACTCAATTCTGGGGAATCATCACACAGCACAGAAATATTTCTACGGGGATGGCCCGACCAGGCACTGGACACTGTTTGCGGGTGGGGCTCCAGCGAACAGCATACCCGACGAGTTCGGAAGGAATTCGCTGAAATACTGAACACATATCAGGTGGAAACACTGAATGATGCAGGCTGCGGTGATCTCGCTTGGATGAGCACCATAGATCTCCGGGGGGTCAACTATGTCGGTTATGATATATACGAACGTGCAAACTGGGCCGAGCTACGACAACGTGGTTATGAACTACACATTCTTGATATAACAGCAAATGAATCGCGCCCAGCTGACCTTCTTCTCTGTCGTGATGTTTTTATCCATCTACCCAACGACATGATTCTTCCTGCGTTAGAGCGATTCCGTCGCTCGGCGTCGCTACTTCTCACCACAAGCTATACTAGCGACTCCAGGACTAGTCAGAAGAAGTTCTCCAACTTCCAACGAATGAATGAACCAAGCCTCCACCACGCAAAGCTCGATCTGACGCTACCTCCGTTCAATCTCGGCCAGCCGCTTCTTCGTATCCCCGAGGACTCGCCTAACAAATACCTCGGACTGTGGGACATGACTCGCCTACCAAACGTCCCTTGAGCGATTTCGCTTCCAACTCCTTCCGAGAACCTAGGCGATGATAACCATTGGAAGCAAATTTATTTAAGGAGCTATTATGGTGTATGGGTGATTAGTCAATGGCAACGGAGTGACAAGCCTCGAGAGACTATCCAACACTACACGGCGTGATTACCATTGCCATCACAGTCTGTTCCTGAGATATTCATCCGAATTTTGATTCTATTTATTTTCTCCCACGAATATAATTTGAAAGGTCGGTAAAGATTCCACGTGGAATGATGTGGTTAAGGAAAGAAATCAAGAAGTGGCGGATATAAGAACGACGAGCACTGGCATTCGCCCCTAGTCACAGCTCGCTGGTGATCACAAAGCTCCCTAAGAAGGCTCGAGATGCTTTTCCAGCCCTACGTGGCTCATGCGCGTACTAAGAAGAATTATAAGCGAATATGACACTTGGCCCCCTATTCCAATGACTGGAGGATAGAAATACTCCTACCAAACCAAACTAGCTCGTGCCATGATTAAAGCCAGTAAGCGAAAGATTATTTACCTCGCCAATAATACATAACCTCTGGCTCTGGCTAGAGAAATAGAGAGGCAGTAGATCGATCGGCTATTTGTACATCATCCAAGGTCAACGTAGTTTACCGGGCGATCCATGGTAAGGTGTACCAGGATCTATGTCATTGATGTCGATGGTCTCGTGAGATTCGGAACCCGGAAGTTTTGCTTTCTATAATAAATATGCGGTCGATTAATGCCCACATAAGTTGTCTTTAAACCTTTGTCGCCTTCTATGATGCGCCTTGAACAAATTAGCAGACGGCAAACGAAATCTTCATCATGGCGTGTTCTTTTTTGATTTTATACCTGCTGCTGTCGCTGACCAGTGGGGAGACGGATTGGCCACATCAATCATTTTGGACAGGAAATTGGCAGCCCCCCCACTTGTCGCTCAGCGAGACTGGTGAAACGGACACCGGATACATATTTATAGGCGTTCGAAAGTCCAACAAGGCTGGCAACGCTCCAACGATCTTTGACAACCATGGGGACTTGGTGTGGCACGGCCCACAGCGGGAGAACCTGGATTTTAAAATGCAAAAGCTCTTCGGCCAGGATGTGATCACGTACTGGGATGCAGAGCCAGATGTACGAGTGTTGGGATATGGAGCAACGCATATCCTCGACAGCACATATAAGGAGATCTACACAGTCACTCTGCGCGATGATTTTCGCACCCCAAGTGGGAAAGACTTTGACTCTTTTATCGATGGCCACGAGCACTACATTACGCCTCAGAATACCATGCTGGTCTCGGCTCTCAATTTCACCCAAACGGATACTAGCCATCTTAGAAGGGGTACTGTCAACATGTGGGTTTTGGACTCTCTCTTCTACGAAATCGACATAAAAACAAACAAAGTTTTGTTCAAATGGGATGCACTCAGCCATATTCCAATTTCCAACTCCAGCATTGCCGTAAAAGGTGGGAAAGAGTTGCATGAGGCCTGGGACGCTTACCATATAAACTCAGTTACTTCCGCTAAATATGGATATCTGGTCAACTTCCGGCATATCCGCTCTATTTTCTATATTAACAAGGATGGTTCTGTCCGCTGGCAACTTTCGGTTAGTATACCTAAGCTTTACAGATGTTGAGTATATCCGCTTACTCGGCATCGTGAAGGGTGACAACAACAATCACGGCGACTTCGAGAGTAAAAATGTTACCTTTGCATGGCAACATGACGTCCGTATACACAACGAAACCGACGAAAGTCTGGCCCTCACTCTCTACAACAATGCTGCCATGGACAATGAGGACCCTGGTCCATCAACAGGACTAGCCATCCACGTTGACCTCGTCAACAAGAAGGCATGGATAATTTACGAGCTGACAGATCCAACTGACCATATTGTGAGCGCAACGCAAGGAAGCTTCCAGGTCCTTTCAAGCCTAAGACCAGCACACATGCTGGTGGGCTGCGGATCGATACCCAAACTGAAGGAATATGACGGAGACGGCAACGTAGTTCTCCGAGGGCAGTTTGGCAAGGATACATTTTCGGCTAATGCCTACCGCATATTCAAATTTCCCTGGAGCGCTACTCCACACTGGGATCCTGCTGTCTTTGTCAATCACACAACTTCGTATACAATCGATCTCTACATGAGCTGGAACGGTGCCACGGGCTATAACAATTGGGCGATTTTCTCGATCCCATCTCGGACCTCAACATTGCTAGAGGGCAGGCTTTTGCTGGTCCATGAGCGAACTGGCTTTGAAACTCACGTTCCTCTTGAGAATATTGACGCCCGCTTTATCATTGCTGTTGCGAGAGACGGGGAGAGAATCTTGGGACAGTCATCCATCGTAGAACTGGGTCAGATAAATTCTGTTTGTCCTGTCATCCCATGAAAGAAGATTACAGACTCTTGACATGGGGCATGTTGGAGTAGGCTAAGTCTAATAAGCTATCAAACCCGTCCAAATACACATCATCCGTGGGAAGAGCACAGCTTAATTGCTAATAATTGACTAGACCGTATAATTCACGCAAAAAAGTGCAAGCAGGAATAGATGATCTAAATAGCCGTTAGCTGGCATTTATTGGCATATTACCGGAGGGCACCATCGGAGCTATCCAAGAAATCAATATTCAACTACGCTGGTGTGAAGGAAGGAATTAGTGAAGGGGACCTGGTTCTCACTGTTTCGGCGTTCCGAGCACGAAACTGCCCCTGTAGAAGTGCAGGAAGATGCCTCTGCTAGGTTTACCATTATCGGACTTATAGATACAGATCACTTTTCAGAAAGTTTTCGCCTGGAAAGTCTATCTTTTCAAGTTAGTATTCCATTAGCCTCGGCCTCTCCTATCACATCACTCCCTGACAATCAGTTCATACCACCACTCCTCTCTGGGTTGTTCGAATATATATATATATTTGTTCAGAGTCACCGCAAAGCTCTGGTTTAGAGAGATGATAAGGAGTAGCGTGTACTAGGATTTCTATCTCTAGCTATGTCTGTATATCTTTTTTTATTTGAACCGAGAAGGCTAGTAGGTTTAAGATGTCGCCGATCGCCTAATTATTGTGGAATCAACAGGTTCCTCTACTATTGATGCGCTTATTTTGCGTCCGTGCGCAGCGAGAGTACGGAACCTTTATCCTCCTTGAATGTGTTGGCCACCGGTGTTCCAGTCGACATATTAATGGCCGCGTGAATTATTTTCGTTATTTATTGTTACCAGACAAAATGTGGCATTCCAGCCATCGCTAGATGAATAACTGCCCAATCGGCTGAATTACCTACAGCTGTGGCCCGGGGCCGTCAACGCTTGCCCAAAGCATTTCCCCATGTCGCCGTCACGCGCAATGGAATGCCACGACTGTAAGGTATGTTGTAACCCTCAGTCCTTTATAATGGAGGTAGTCGTCCCCGCCCAACAGAGCAAGAGATTCTTCGCTCCAACGCATTCATTGCCTCGTTGCCATTTATTCCTCGGACTCAATTTTCTGCTTCAACATGATGGCGGTGAATCTTCGAACTCTCCTTATGGGAGTTAGCCTCTTCTTTTCGGCCACTGTGAATGGAGTAGAGCTACAGGCTCAACAAGTGGGAGATTGTAAGTTACTCCTGGCCTACTTGACTATCATTCATGGGATCGAGGATTGCTAAAACATGCGCAGGTATTGCTTGGTACTTACCCCAACTCCGAACTCCTCCAGAGACCTGCAACGACGTTGTCAATATGCACCCAGGGCTTGATTTGGCCACTTTTCTAAGCTTGAACCCGTCGATTCATCCTTATTGCGACAACATGCTGGCCGGGCATGCGGTCTGCATTCGAGCTGTTCGGCCAAATGACTGCCTGAAAGCAGCAGAACCAGCTCCTCAGCAACCAAGTATTAGCTCAAAGCAGCCGCAAGCTAGCACCACTCCAAAGCCGCAGGAAACGAGCTCTGCAGCTTCCAATGGATGGCATTGAGAAATGACAGTGTAAGCAATGTTGCACTGGGGAGAATCAGGTCGATCTGTCAAAGCTCTTCTGCGTTATGGCCCCTCTAGTCGTTTGGAGTGCGTATATTATGTATGGAGTGACTTGGACAAGTTTTCTATGTCGAGAATATGATATTCATCTTGGTATTTAGCTCGGACTAAATATACATAACGGGCCGGATGGTGTAGTTGGTTATCACGAATCCGGTGCTGCCTCTGAATTACGCGGCGCGGTTTAGCACCCCCGTTGCGGTTTAGCGTCGCCACCCGGGTCGTCTCGCCCCGTGCATTGGCCCGTGACAGAAACTAGGAGACCTCACGATTGTTTAAGCCCTTGCCCATCGGCCTCCGCTCATATTAATAATCCAGGATGTAAGTTCATGACATTCAAATTCCAGGTGTAGCTGCAATGGGACTTTGACTATAAAATGTTCATTTTTGCAGCGCGAGTAAAGGTGGTCAAGAATGTCCAAGGTGGCTGGATATATGATTGGCTCTAGAACAAGATTAGAGCAAGCCCCGTCTTCAGCGCATAGCAGTAGTATCGCTATTATTACTGATCCCTGTTTGTCACTGGTCGCGAACTTCTCCTCAATTGACTGAATAATATTTTTACGATATTAAATTTGTCATTCTTGTATGAAAAATTGCCGAAGGGGTGCAATTAGATACTTTGCTTCAATAAAAAGCTAGCTTCTCGGGCAACAAAAATCATCAGCGTGTTCCGTAAGATATAATGGTAGTATAACACGCCTGGCTTCTTCAGTTAATTAGCAGAGATACCCTTAAGATCAACACACTAGCTTAGCTCCAACTCTCTTATCATTCATGGCGCAGCTGAACTTATCCCTTGGACTGGTGAGGATTCAAATTATATTTTAGCATAATTTTTATATGGTTTGGGCGTTACCGGCGATTAGTTAGGAAAGCGGAGTGGGACGGCAGAATTGGGTGTTAAGTAGGTCCCCACTCCCTCGCTAACCCTTCTTCCTTCTCCCCTCCCTATAGTGAATTCTATTAAGCTAACTACGTTCCCTGTCGTTTTTTATCGATTTCTCTACTAGTTTCGGTATTATTATCGTTAATGTCAACATGTGGATGTTGTGGGGTCACATGACGAAGGACCCACTCATATAACCCCTCTCTACATCTAGATCTTATACAAAAAAGATCTATCAGATTGATCCTCAACGATCTCGCATTGAATTGCCTACCTAGGCAGGAGACTATATAACACTCCAATCTCTTGATCTTTCATGTGATCTTTTACCATGTTTCTTATGATATAAATACTGCCCTGTTTCCTAGCTATATTGAATTAAGTTTATCATCCCTTTTGATCTCTCTTCTAGATCAGTGGTACTCTTCCACAATCGTGGTGCTTCTCCTTCTTAGAAGTGCGTACGACCGATAGACTTATAACCGTGTATTCGGACACTACGTTGAGTATTTACCCTTATGCACACTATCTTCTTGTGTGTATAACCACGACTTTATGGTCACTGCCTAAAGTCCGACACATAGTCTCCTGCCTAGGTAGGCAATTCAATGCGAGATCGTTGAGGATCAATCTGATAGATCTTTTTTGTATAAGATCTAGAGCGGGGGATTAGATTAGTGGGTCTATCACATAACCACATATCCACATGTTGACAACTTCCTTCTCTATTATAACGTTAAGACGGTACCTAAGGCCTAAGGTTCAAGGGTCGTAAGGGTATAATAGGTAGGACGAAGGGTCTTTTCGAATAGAAAGTACTACTTTAAAGTCTTCGAAAATTCTTGTGATGGTGTCATCGACACCTGCGCAGAGGAAGCAGAAAGGAAGGGGAATCTGAATCAATGTCTCTATCTAGACTATGATGAAGATGATCTAGAGAAGAAGAAGGAAAAGAAAAAGAGAAAGACCTAAATAGGTCTACAAGACAAAGAACGGCGTCGGTCCTAGAAAGAACCATCAAACCTGCAGAGCAATCTATGCAGGTGTAAACGGGACGACGTATGACCAAACGACCGAGTAGTCGAGGTCAATAGGGCCGAGTCATCATCTTGTATTAACTAGCTCCTATTATAAAAAGGAAAACGTTCCTGCATTACCTAATTATCTAAAACTATAGTATTAACCATATCGTTACGATCTATTCGGAAAGTCTATATGATCTCTAGAGAGACCTTAGCGGGAGTAGAAGAAGCCTAAGAGTAATATATACTCCGCTTATCCTAAATAGTCTCTATTGATACATAAATTAACTAATAAGCCTAATAAAACTACGGAACTATTTTAGCTACCTTCTAGTAGCTTACTATTAACTAGTCCTTCTAAGTTTAGGTTTTAGGTTATAGACTAGGCCTTCTATCTAGTAAGGTTTACTAGACCCTTTTAAGGAGTAGAGACCCTAGAAATCTTTTTATAGATCTTAACTGTCGGACTTTAGTCGGTGACCATAAAGTTGTGGTGTTGGATAGGACTCAATGTAGTGTCTAGTTACACTGGAATGAGTATGTCGGTCGTGCACACTTCCGAGAAAGAAGCAGAAGCGCCACGATTGTGGAAGAGTACCACCGATCTAGAAGAGAGATCAAAAGTGTTATGAATGAACTACTTGCAGGGTAGTCGGCCTGTCAACTAGGTAGGAGAGCAAAGCACGAAGTCAGATTATCACAGAGACTGTTTCTTGAGGAAGGAAGATCCCACTTCCTCAAGCATTGATTTAAATACATCATCTTTTGTGCAAACAAGAATCAAACACGATTCGAGGGGGAAACCATAGCGATAGGCCACCGTATAGCCAACCCATCGCTCATACAGTGGGCGCAGGTTAGATGCAGTGTGTTACGGACCTCAAGAGGCGCGGGGGCCGCAGTTATTTGAGGACAACGGAGGGCCAATCATCCCACGGACGCTAAGGATTAGCGTTGTCACGTGCGTTTCGGTATACTTGGGCGAGCCCCGGCAGGGCCCCAAGGCAGACACTCTGGGCGGAAGCCAGAAACGGCCTACGGCTAACCGTCACAACCAATACCCGCTTACTCCATGAGACGGTTAGCGCGACGCAGGAAACGGCCACCATTTTACCAACACCCAGATTACACCACAAGTGCAAGGACCCGGTAAAACCACACGTGACGCCAAGGATATACTCCCAGCGTGACTCCAAGGAGTAGGCGATGGGGTATACGGTGACTCCAGATCTACTCCCAGGGAGTAGGTCGGGAGTAGGAAGGGCTAGATATATAAGGACACTCATTTCGCATCATGTATTTAGTTCTTCGCGATCAATCATTCAAGTTACTAGGACAGCACCTTTCCTACATTGTTACTCGGTTACTACCTTTAGTACTTTGCACTTCACAGTTCACCTTCAAGACAACCCAACCTACAAGTAGGGGATTCACTCAGTGGTAACACTTAGTGA